AAACTTTACTAGTTTGGTTCAGGTTAGTAAATCTTAATTTTCAATTAATTTAGTATTTCTCACTATGGTGAGCAATAGACAAAAATAAGAACTAATTGTAAAAGAAGAAGATTTGTTTTTAACATATCTTATTCTTTATTATTAATGCACTTACACTGTTATAATCAATGAAATGAATTAACATATGTATTAAAAGGTCTTTTACTAATAAAATACATATATACACTGTCACATAGATAATAATTTTATTGATATAAACACTGACTACACCTGAATAATAATGTTATTAGTTTTATATATTCTTAATTACATGTTACCATTATTCTTGACATTACGGCTGGACCAATTCGATGGACCGTTTTTTAAGTAATATTAAATATGACGTTAAATTGAGACAATATTATTACAATCGAATAATAGATCTTCTCTTATGTTTTTGTATACAGAAAATTATGTGTCAAACCAACTAGGATACATTATGTTTGGATCTGTTTTGTTTATTAATATTTTTATTTCATATCAAAACAAACTAGTAGGTATGACGCTAATTATTCTGTGATTCACAAACTAATGTTAGAAGTATTTTTTATGAAGACGAAATGTGATGTTCATGTTTATTTGTACCTAAATAATATAATTGAATACTATTGTTTTCTTGTTGCAATAAATAATTATGATGGACATTATTGGCTGTTTTATTTTTATTTATATGATTCGTTAGCTGATCTATGTATATATCTAGATGACCGAAAACATAGACATTCAGGGGAGCCGTTTAAGGGATTGTATATTTGACAAAGATTAGGTAGGAGCGCTCTCTGATAAACATAAACAAATTCCTTATTTTGGGAAACCATCTTTTTTATGGAATAGGAGGCAAACGAGCAGACGGATCACCTGATGGTAAGCAATCAGCACCGCCCATTTAGAAGAGGTCCATTGTCCAGCAGAGAGTAAGTATATTCACGGTGTAAATGATTATATAGCGCCTGTAGTAATTTTCTATGAGATTTTAATACTGTAGGGAATTTATGTATTGTTTTATTTCAGGAGCAGCTTCGGATGAAGTTGTAAATAGAATTATCTCAATAGCTTAATTTGCATTTGACTAATTTACATCTTTTAATATTTGTAATAAACTGACTAAAAGGAAACGCTCAGATCAAACTAGGTAGTATTAGGTACTAGTTGTACCGCTGTGAGTGTTGTAGATCTATGCGAACATGTACTCAGGTCCCTAGGTTCTTCAGGAGTATTAAGATTTGACTAGGAGTGTGGAAAAGTCCTTACCTCTTTCTAATATCCGTAAATTACAAATAATGTACGAAGTCGACCTCAAAACTTAATATTAGCTGCGGAGAACTTGACGGGTTACCGGGGCTCCGGCTCGAAGTGCAAGAGTAGGAACGGGGTGATTTTTAGTCAGTAAGAGTCTGACACTGCCTCCCACCTCACCCAGGCGGAAAAAGCGATTCGATGATTTTACCCCCTTAAAAAAACCTTAACACTAAAACAAAAGCGTAAGAGAGAGTTGTCTTTTATAGTTTTACATCGCCATGGAGTCGGTTTTTATTCTTGGACATAAATAAAAGGTTAAAGAATACGTAACTAATATAGACTTAGGCAATTTTTTTTTACCACGCAGGTGAAGCAACGTGTAACAGTTAGCTAAATAGTTTTCTAACGTTCGTAATTCACTTACCAAAAACCAATAGCAATGTGTAAAATGTTAACATGCTGTGATTATTATGAAGTCCAAGTTTTAAATAAATTCAGTTAAGTTGTAACTTTTCATTGGTTTAAGCTAATTAATGTAGGTACCAGATGGACATTAAAATAAAATTTAGGAAACTACCCTATTATCAATTGTTTGTCATAGTAATCAAACGGATTCATGACATAGATGAAAGTCCATGTCTGAAAAATATGGTCATTATAAAAAAATCATTAGGTAAAATTAATAATCTACATTGCTTTTACTTAATTCATTAGTTTGCTATCAGCTGCTAGTAAGGCGTTTGAGCAAACGTCATCATAAAATGTAGTAGTTGCAGTACATCCTGATTATTGACACAGATAATGACATATCATAACGGATTTTTTATGGAATACGAGGCGATGGTAAGCGACCAGCGCCGCCCATGGAGCCCGCGCAGAGGATTTAATCTCCGGGGGGGGGGGGGGCAGACAGAAGTGAATATAAACAATATAGTACCCAAGATTCATCAGTCAGACTTAAGTTACAAGTCCTATGTAATAGGAATAAGCCTTTCACAATATATCGGGTACAATTTCAAACTCCGTGTTATTAATGAGAAATTTTTCGATAGACCGAAAATCTTCCAATCAACCACAGAACATATAAAATGTTCTGTGCAATCAACAATGCTGCGTCTGACCCGAGAATCAAACTCGGAACCTTGCTCGGTTATCGAACATGCGACCACATGACGCACGTTACAATAATATAGGCGGGATAGTGGTCAAATGGCAACAAATAGAAATTTTTTAAAAATTTACACACATAACATCACGCCTTTTATCCCCGAAGTGGTAGGCAGAGGTGGACATTATGCCACTGTACAATGTAACACCCACTTTTCACTATTTATGTTATGAGTCCTATGTAATAGGGGGTGAGCCTATTGCCATTTACCGGGCACAATTTCAGACTCCGTGCTAATACTGAGAATTTTTTAAAAAAAATCCAGTAATACTTTGCTCGACCCGGGAATCGAACCCGAGACCCCTTGCCCGGCAGTCGCACTTGCGACCACTCGGCCAACGAGGCAGGCAAAAAAAATTGAATTAGAGGTTAACTCAGTATCATGACCTATGACACAGACAACTAATAGGTTCGATGTTTGCTCTCAATAATTTATATGATTATTGTTGCTTATTATGACCATAATTGATGAAATTACGTTCATAAGAAGTTCACAAATAGGGCAAAGGTTTCGAAATATAATTGCAACTTTATTGCACATACATAGGTAGGTAAGGTACTGAACGAAATTATGTGATGGATGATGAAAAAAAATTTAAATAGTAATGTTTATTATAAGTAGGTACTATTCAGAATTTAAAAAAATATATCATTCAAAACGATGCAGCGTCCTCAATCTCTTTCAAACGTTACTAGATCACTTTCCAATGTGACTCGAATACAATCGAGAGCTTTTGAAGGCGATTGAGTGTCCTCGAAAATGATCAAGCGTCCTCGGTCACTGTCGTACACTTGTTTGTATTTATTGAACACTTTTTGTAATTTTGTGGGGTGGAGATCTGGAGATTTCCAATACAGGCATTTTACGCCTAATACAGAATCCACCACCTCGCATTGCTAGAAAAATAAAATTATAAAACTATTGTAAAACCTAGAATTAACACTAATTCCAATGACACCATTGTGAGGAGAAATAAAGAAAGGAGACCGGTAAAACTTTCATAGTTGTGGACGCAAATAAAATATAAGGTACTATTTAGTATTTAGCCCTGTGTAATTAGTGTTGTAATATATGTAACTCGGTATATGCCAATTAATCCACATAACATCACGCCTTTTAACTCCGAAGGAGTTAGCAAAGGTGCACATTATGGCACTAACATAAATTCAGTTAATATTGAATAAATTCTCCTAAGATTTTGTTTCCGCTTTTATGGATTGCTATGTCGTCCGACGTTTTTTTTGACAAATGAGTTCATCGAGGTTAAGTTTTGCCGATCTCCTTTGTGTAGACCTATGTACAGCATATATTATATTTACCAACTAATATATTACTGTTCATGACTGTATCTAGTACTTACTAGTAAACTGGTTTCACAGCCCACTACGTGGACCGACTATGCAATTTGTGACGAGTTGACTTAACAAATGGAGTACGATTAGCTAAAACTGGTCTCATAAACAAAGGAAGACAAACCACATTTTTTCTTATTTCCTCGTACTGAGACTAGTTGTTTATACCTTATTATTATATTTATTTACTTACGTATGCATTATGTTGTACGATAGTGCGTTAGCGTGGGTATTCTTGACAATTAAGCATTATGTGTGTATAATATTAAATTGTACACGCTGTATATCAGCACTATCCGTGCTGTGCCTTTAGCCAAACGTCACATTAGCGCTTGTCTAGGGTTACCGGGGCTTCGGCTCGACGTGTAGGAGAAGGAACGGGGTTGTTTTTAGTCAGTTAGAGTCTGACACTCCCTCCCGCCTCACCCAGGCGGGAGCAGTCATTCGACGATTTTCCCCCTTTAAAAAAAAAGGCTTGTCTACCGAGAGAGTAGAAAACTAAATGTATGTGGATGACACTGACAAGTGTCAAATTTTATGTTAATCCCATATAATACATATATTGGTAGAATATATTGTAGTCAGTTGAATGTTCAAGGCTTTACAATATTTTTAGCAGTACTTATGTTTATAATGAACAACTAATTGTAAGACAATTTTTGTGTCACAACAATATGTACTTCTTCGTACAATTTAGTATGGGCTGCTAATTCTCTATTATACGCAGATAGAGTAGATACTTCCAAACTTTTTCTCGAAGAAAAACAAAAAAAATAATAGGCTGACAAACAAACAATAAGACATTAAGAGCGACGTCGGTGTGACGTCCTAGGTCAGTTGTGCATGTAGATCAAACAAGGATATCTTGCGGCTCAAATGACCGGCACATTATTGTACCACACTCGTGGTAACCACTCGCAACTAACAACACATCACAACTTTAGTTTAAGTATTGGCTAAAACGTGCTGGTGCGAAAATAATAAAAAGTTTTTATTACTTCATTAAAATTTGGCTGAACAGCTAGTTACATTGCCTCTAAACTTTTTAATCTGTAATTAAAAAAAGTATTGTCAAAATTTACGCGGGAAATTGTGATATTGTTTTAATTTTAATTTTCATGAGACGTAAAATGTATTTGAGAATATTTTGAGTTGAAATAAATTATTTTAAATATTAATCACTTGAGGTGATCTTGTCAAAATGTTTCCACTATTCTTGGTGTTGTTTCTTTTCTTTGGAAAGTCTTCGGGAGTCATCTTTAGCTTGAATGGTAAGTTGACAACATTTCTGCTATGGTTGGTTATTTACAACAATTATACATATCGATAAGATTTTATTCCTTGGCTAATTTCATCGTCATCAGGTTCCGAGCAAGACTTTTGAGAGAGATCCTGAATTTGATGGCAGGTCAACCTATTTTTCGGTCAAATTTCTTTAATCGATTTTCAACTCTATCGTTTAGGGACAAAATCGAAAAACCAATTTAAGTAGGTTGTTGTGCTAGCCATTGTACTATTGTTGGGCAAACTAAGACTGAGATTTTCCATTGAAAGTTTTTCATTAATGGTTGTCTATTCAGCGTATAGCAATAGACATGCCTTCTTTATACCCGTACTAGGGGAGGGTGAAAATCAGTGACAAAAGGGTCCCATCACAAAACACTATAGGTAGTAATGATAATAAATTTTATTCTCTTATGAGATTATATCACTAAATAATGATCCTAGTATTTGCAGTCTCGTTTAATATCGTAATTAAAATGTGCGTCATACACTCCTTACAAATACAGCATGAAAGTAATTAAGAATTAACGACTCTTAGTCGGATCGAATTGTTTCATACGTAAATAGAAAAGAACATTATAACTAAATAGGTAATGTTCAATCTAGTCATGTCCTTATTTCGGATAGTCCAGACACGTATCCAAGAGATTTTATCTTTTCTTAAAAGTTTCTTTAGTTACGGAGCAAAAGAATAAACCTCAAGATTGTGTGCCATTAAAATAAGATTATAATTTTAATTCTTCTGCCATTTTTATGTCTTACATACTTACGTCTTAAAATGAATAAATAAATGCATTCCAAAAAAAAAACTAATTCTATACTATCATAATTAATATTTTATAAAAAATGTTTGTTTATTTATTAGAAGCGCTAATATCCAGAAATACTGGTTTGAATTGGGTTAATCTTTTTGTGTGGGATAGCCAATTCGAGTAAGGATGTAGACTACAAACAAAAATATCATCACGCCACGATCAATAGGAGCCGAGCAGTTATTGCTGCTGCTTTAATCTTAAAGTTAAACCTGTCATCAAAACGTCCAACGTTAACAATAAAGTTTCTAAAAACTAAAATAAAATATAAGCAGCAGTTACACATTCAAACAGAATTAGTATTACATAATACGGATCAAGGAATTTCGCGACTCGCGCCTGCGCCTTGAGGCGGCTATTTGTATTCCAGTTAAGTGCATCATAAACGCCTGGACATAATCCATAGAGTTTCTAAATACCTTATACGTTACATTTAAAGACTCAGGAAGTTTTTCGCGAGGTAAATAACGCGTTCAATGCATGACACTGAACCTTGGTTCAAGTTTAACTTATAACCGGAGTGTGGAGGAAAATTGAGTGCACTATGAATAGGCATTGTGAGGTAACTGCGAACTTTGGTGACCTGAGCGAAGTCAGGGTTGTGAGTTATATCCCCGTGCCGTGTTTGACTATATTGTTGGCGTTCTTACGAATGATTTCTGTTAAAGAGATATTTATTATTTTTAATATATCGGCCACGATTGAATTACAATAGGAAACTTTGTTTGTTGTGTAACTATTCGAGCTCCTCGTCCAATAATTACGTGAGTGAGCCGTAAAATGTTAATAATTAATTGTATAATGTCTCACGGAAGTTATAATTTATAGACAATTTTGTGACATCACTTAAAATTCATCTTGTAAAGGTCCATTCTTCCATTTCAAAGTATAATGTAACAACACATTACATTTTACTTTGAACATATTACATTACAATACTATCTCACTGACTGACATTATGTTACTCCTACGTTAATTAAATTAAAAAAAAATTATAATGTCAGACGAAGCGATATTTTTTTTATTTCAACATTTCTATTATTTACGTAAAAATTTAAGTATACAGGGTGATTTGTAACTCGACATATTCCTCTCGGGAGGTGATAATGCAGCTAATGTCCTACAAAATTAGCCCTGAGGTATCTGGTCCGAAAGTGGCTAGTTTCTGAGATATTCAAAATTCAAGGTTTTGGTGAAAAAACCCCGATAGAACCACAAAATCATCAATAAATAATAAATAACTGGTTTGAATTAAGTGATTTTAGTCTCAATTTGTTGTCAGTATATCAATAAACATTTAATAATACTACATAACATAAACATAACATCACGCCTTTTATCCCCGAAGGGGTAAGCAGAGGTGCACATTATGCCACTGTACAATGTAACACCCACTTTTCACTATTTATGTTATAAGTCCCATATTGCCATATACCGGGCACAATTCCAGACTCCGTGCTACTACTGATTTTTTTTAAAAACCCTAGTAATACTTTGCTCGACCCGGGAATCGAAACCGAGACCTCTTGCCCAGCAGTCGCAATTGCGATCACTCGGCCAACGAGACAGTCTTAGTTATATAATATATTTCCAGTAATACTATTACATATTATAACTATTACATCAATACAGTAGTATTATTAAATACTAATACTGGAAATATCATTCGTTTTAAAATAGCAAGTAAATTAGTATCCAATTTTGTTTTGATTCACTAATTTGGTCAATGCAAAACTGCATTTACCTTAAAAAATTGATATTACACTAAGCGTACAAACTATTGAAAAAAATCCTCGGTTTATTAGCTACCCAAAAACACTAAAAAGAAATGCGTCGAAAGAGTTACGAGTCACCCTGTAAATACATAGGTAGGTAATACAGCCATGAATTATATTTAATAACCGGTGAAAGACAGGAAGCGGAGCGCGTTTATGAAACAAACATCAGGTTCAAAAATAGTGTTATTAGAGAAAGGTGTGAATTGAAAGACGATGTAGTGACAATAAATGAAAACGGAATGTTCCTATGGTTTGGATTGGACATGTAGAATAGAATAGAATAGAATGTCATTTATTTCCAAGTATATGGTACATTGAGGTTTTACATTAAATATTGTTTCACATACACTACCATTGCTGGTGTAGAAATATTATGTTAATCATGCTTTATAAAATAAATTTATAAAAAACTAGTAATTACAATAATGCCAAGTAAATTGATTGAATCACACATCTAAGATTTTGCTCGGTACATGACAGTAAATAGAAGTATCAGTGTTATTTCCATCAAAGTGTTAAAATATTTCTTATAATGTTTAAATGCTAAATACAATGTCATTGTCAAAATACTAAACTAAAATACTAAATACAATGTCAGTCAATGTAAAAAAAAAATTAAATTCTATTCAATGTCAAAATACTAAATACAATATCATAACATTAGATATTATAATGTCGAAATATTAAATAATGTCAAAACTTGTGATTTAAAAATTCATTAACAGAATAGAAGCACATCTCGAGAAGCCAATGTAGAAACGATAGATGAAAGAAGAGTTACGAAAGAAGTGTACAGAGTGGATATGAATGGGACCGGTGTAGCCCTAGACGGGTATATATCGACCAGATTGGCGATATATTACAGAAGGGCCAAATTAAAAGTACACTTAATCGACGAGCATGTATGAAAAGGCTGATGACTGTTGATGAAGCGAAAGAAGTATGTAAGAATCGTAGTAATTGGTGTTCCATAGTCTCTGCCTACCCCCATGGGAGACCGTATGTATGTATCAGGTTCTCCTCTACCTACTTCACTCATGCTCGAATGTGTGACTTTAAAAATCTGTAAGCAACAAAGTTAGTATAGTCTAATCAAACTCCAATTTATTTTGTTATTATCTACATGCGTGTAACATATTATATTATAATACCCACGTCTCGAATCTTGAATTCCGTGAATCAACTATAATAATACGATACAGGAACATAGAACAATGTCTAATGTGCACTATTTCTAACACAATCAGTAATTAGGTAACGTTATCGCCGAATCGTACCAATTACAATCAATAACATGAACCTCATGTACTTGTTTCATCTCACTTATTGTACTGGACGATGTATGAAGCATAGGCGTGTAGAATAACGTGCAGGTAGATAATCAAAGATGTCGTGTTGGTGAGTCTGAGGTTTATGAGCTTACAATGCATGAGGGCGCGGTTTCAAAACCAACGGCAAGTACCAATGCGACTTTTCCGAGTTACATGTACTTTCAAAGATTATTTAGACACCACTGACAAACTGTGAAGGAAACCTGAGCTTATAATTTCTAATTATAAGTTTAAAATTGCTAAACTGCATTCCGCAAGCGTGGTGATTAATGCTCAAATGGTAAAAAACCGAGTGTATCGGAGAGCGCTACGTGTTTTTACCGACTTCAAAAAAAGGAGGAGGTACTATGTTCGGCTGATTGTTTTTTTTTTGTTTGTTCGCGCAGTACTCCTCCATTTGTGAACCGATTTCCAAAATTTGTTTGTTTGTTTGAAAGGGGGTATACTCCCGAGATTGTCCCATTCTTACCTATCAGCGGGTGGGTACCCTATCAGTACTTATAATAGTTATTTTTTGCTTTTTAGTTTTGACTTTTCGTTTGTTATTAGTTTTTGGTTTTTTGAAGTCGGTTTTTTTAAACGCAGTTTTTATTTTATTATGTTAATTGTCTAGTGTCTTAGTCGCCTCTTACGATGCCCGAGACAAGAGTAGGATTCTAGGAGTCTTACGTTGCTGTCACTATACAGCTTATATTACAAAAAGTAAAACATATAATGGACTAAATATTGAGTAACATAATGTACACATTTGAGTTTCATGTCCAAGTGCACATTGCAACAAGTCTGCTTATGTTATAGACCTTGTCCATATGTTTGTTGTTTTATTACATTTTTATTGAACAATAACTGCGTACACTGTAGCATTTACATAAACAATTATAGTAAAAAATATCTGTGTTGTTACAATGTACAGAATTTACACTTCTACAGATTTATTATACTAGCTTCTGCCCGCGACTTCGTACGATCAATCCCGTATCCTCCCGTTCCTGTAGGATTTTCAGGATTTTTTCTGTCTTAATAACCTTCTCCTAATAATAACAAATACAACAAAAAAGGAATTAGTGAAATCGGTCCAGTGATTCACGCGTGATGCTGCCACTAAGGGAAAAAGGGATTCATTTATATATATATACTAATATATAGATATACGTATATCGTATACCTACAGAAATACGTAGCGACAGTCAGTCATTCCCAAATTACGAATAACGGTCTAAACCTTTGCTATACCATTCTATGCTATATTATTCTATTATAGTGATGCCGCCATTTTCAAAAAATTACGTTGATCATTTATTACACAAACAATCTGTGGTGTGTTTACTATAACTTCGCCGGATCAATAAACATCATAGTTAATCGATAGGTAGCCATTTATTTTCCATAAATTATGGTTAACATGATTATGAATTACCACCGGACACGTCATAAATATAAATAAAACTGCGTACGAAGTTATTTTTTGCAATTAATCTATCTTGTATGGGTATAAATCACATTTTCCGGCAAGTCAAAGTAACAAAAAATCATTATCTTTAATTTAACTAATTATAAATTTAATTTAAATAAAATAACGCAACATTACGCTTTGTACAATGTAACACCCACTTTTCACTATTTACTATGTTATGACTCCCATGTAATCCCCTATTACATATACCGCACACAATTCCAGACTCCGTGCTACTACTGATACTGAGATTAAAAAAAACAGTAAAAGTTTGCCCAATCAGGAAACCAACCCGAGACACCTTACCCGGCAGACGTACATGCAACCACTCGGCCAACTAAGCAGCCGAAGTCAATCATAAAATGAGATGATGATATGAATAAAAAAGTAAAATTTTCATGAGCAATAAGTTCGTTTTTAAAGTCAAAACTAAATCAAATAAATATCAATTAAACGGGTTCTTAAAAATAAATTATTATTTTATAAAATGTCACATCCAGGAACTTAAATTTTGTCTAGGTATCTTAATTAATTTATTGACATTGTGGTTGTGTTTTTCAACTTGATGTAGTATCCTCAATCATGTGCATAAATCCATGTAGTGTAGCCAAGGCATGCATGGGCCACTCCAGACTATGTAGTACTTGGGTTTACTCTTGTACCTATCCTACAAAAAGACAAGAAGCCTGGCCCCAAGTGACTTGAGATGAGACAAGGGAGATGATAAAAGATTCTATGTTTCATAACGCTTTATTTTTATTTTTAGTGAGCGAGTACAACAAAATGCCGGCTCTGTACGGGCTGGACGACTATGAGGAGTGCATGGTGGAGCCAGGGTGGACCTACTGCATGATAGATGTGGATTTACACAAGGGCAACAATGCTCAGCTGATGAGGATGATACAGGTACCGAGTAGCATAACAATAAGAGAATTCGGATACACTTTTTTATGGGATAAGCCGGGAAACGTGCAGATGGAGCACCTAAAGGCAAACAATCGGCGTCGCCCATGGACACCTGGAATACACAAGTGCGTTACCGGCGTTTTGAGGATTAGGAATTTCAGGATTGTTGTAGATTCAAGGATTAGGAAGATAAGGGGTAATTGGGCCTCCAGTAACCTCACTCATACGACGAAAGATAACGCGAGCGTTGTTTCACGTCGGTTTTCTGATCACTCCGGTCGAGCCGGCTTATCGTGCTGAAGCATGTCTCTCCCACAATTAACTTTCAAACTTTAAGATAAAACTATTTTAGATTTCAACATTCTCTGCAAACAGTAACACGGAGTTTAAAATTGTGTCCGGTGCATTCTAATCCAAATCACGAAAATTGCATAACGTGCATACAATAACCTAAAATAAAACATGTGATGATGTTAATAAATACCTAGACAACAGCCATTATGCAAGAGTAAATGGATCAATGCAAGAAATACAGTTGTCAGATGGTATTGACAGAAGTTGAATTGTTTAGTTTATTTAATCGTTCTTTTGTTCATCCTTCAATTGTTTAGAATACTATGTAATTATATGTACCAACGGACATATTAATTACGGTTGACACTGATGAGTAGTATTGTAGTTCACGTCTGAACTAGTCAGGCGTAAAAAACTTCCCTTTTCATTATCATCACATTAAATTATTTTCCGGAGCTAACCTAACCAGTTACCGGGGCTTTGGTTCAAAGCAGGAGTTAAAACGGGGTGGTTTTCAGTCGTAGTAGGGTCTGATACTCCCTCTCGCCTCACTCGGGCGGGAGAACGCATGGAATGGTTTACCTAATTAAAAAAACACTAAATAATTTACTAGCTTTTGCCAGCAGCTTCACTCGCGTTACCGAGATAGAAGCAGCTCATGTGTTATGCTATACTTTAATATTTCTGTGATCCATAAAAGATATATCTCTATCTCTGTCTACATTCTATCTATAGGTATAACAAACACCTTTACAAACTCCTATAGCCCTTGAAAATATTGCATTTGTAATACGACAAGGTATCAGAATTGTCGGAGACACAGACGAATCAAAATTATGGCCAAAATAGGTGAAAATTATTTAGATGAATTGTTTTTATTATCTGCCATAATGTAAAGGTTAAGACCCCATTAAAATATTACCGTAATCATCAAGTTAATAGCCTAAGCAAATATATCTGCAGCACAGGTTTACTTTTATAATAGTTTCTCGTTAGATATAATTATATAAGTAATATGTTTACGAGCTGTTTTCCCGATGATTAATGGGAAAACCGGTAGTGCTTTCTGCGAAGGTTCGTAGCTATTATTCTAACACGTGTAGGTATTTATTTAACCGTACATATGTCCTTAAACAAAACTACGGCTTTACTAAAATAAGCGTAGAAGATAAAATCGTAAGGTCGTTTTTAAATTTACCGTAAAACTCTTACTCTTATACAACTAGCTAAGTACTTGTAATGTATTGATAGACTATAATTAAAGTAACTCGTTTTATCCAGTAGGTAGTAAACCTACTACATTCTTACATTGACATAAATATTAAATTGTTAATCAAATTAATCAAAAATTCAAGAATGCTGCAATATGTCTTATAGAACTTCCTGTTTTTTTTAATCAATGCCTCCGCCCGAATGATGCGAGACAGGCAGGAGTCCAGACTCTTACTGATTAAAAACCACCCCATTCCTGTTCCTGCACTTCGAGCCGGAGCTCGGGGAACCCGGTATGTCCTCCGCGGTTCCGTATCGGCATCAGCCCTATTGGGTTCCATTTATGGTGCTCTGGTGGGTTTTTGAGGCGCGCCGCGGACTACGCTCGGGTCTAGAACTTCCGAATTAGGCAAATGACACTAAGGGAGACGAAACAGAATAGAAAATTCTATGTATGAGGATAAAAAAGGACCACTCGTTTGTAAGCTGATGAAGAATAGAAGTTATCAGAAGTTATACACACAAACATGTTATATCATTTCGATATTACATGTTTGAAAGTTCGCTGCTGGAATAGATCAAGGTATATCAAATAATTTAGATTCTAATTATGTAACAGACAATAGATGTCACTTATGTTTTTAGCTTATAATCTCGATTAGCATCTTGTGAGCGGCGTCTGACCTATCACATAATGGCATATAATTGAGAGGAATTTACTTATTAACTCAGTGTCTCAACTCGCACTTAGCGATAGGGCAAAGTCTATTATTATAAATTAGTCTTAGTTATAATAAGTACATATTTATCTACATAATCCATGAATTCAGTTAACAGAATTAAGTATCATAAACACCATGAATAACATATTGCACATTTTTTCAGGAATATTCAGACCACAGGATGAAACACTTCAATCACACACAAATACACCGAGGAGTGTGTGTCACACACACTTGTAGACAATTCACAAGAGTTCCTCACTCGAACGAAACGTTGGACCTAAGTAAGGTCCTTGAGGCATGCCTCAATAATTCCTTACATTCTCAGTATGGACTTGAAGGTAGACTAGCTAATATACACTATTGTAAGAAGGAAGGAGATAAAGTGATAATAGATCACAGTGATATTGCCATGGCTGTAGTATATGTAGTTTTAATTGTGCTCAACGTTGTCGGAAGCCTGTACGATGTCTGTGCATACAACAAAGAAGACAAAACAGGTCGGTATTTCAATTTATAAACATTATTCATTACATTGTTTAATTATTTAACCATAAATGATCAAATAAACGTTTTATTTCAGGGAATCCATATATTTTGGCGTTTTCAATACGCAGAAATTGGCGCAAACTGACTGCCCCAAGCAATTCTGCACGGGAACCGCGACTAGAAAGACTGAAAATGTTTAATGGCCTGAGGTAAATCGGATATAATCGGAATAATATTATATTGTACCTCTATTAATAGTAGCACACAGATACATGTTATAATGTCTTTCAATTACCGATGTCATAAATGTACCTGTCCTCTAATTTTAACCATTTTATATGTTCTGTTAAATAGGAGTTGTAATTTTACCTTATTTCATATTTTTCAGAACCATGACAATGATTTGTGTGCTTTTCTCGCACACGACCCTCATCATGTCGTTTTCATATGTTAATAATCCACTCTACATTGAGACGGTAAGCTTTATAAATTAAATAAATAAATACTCCATGTACTCGATCAACGTGACACGCAGTTAATTTTTGTACAAAATAAAAAAATAAGAACTATGCTCTCGATTAACATACACATGAAGTAAAAATAGAACGAAACCGAGATAATTGAGTTATTATAGTGTACATACGGAAAAAATAAGTTATTATAGTGTACATACGTAAATGTAGGTTCTTAACCTGCAATTATGCAATTATGTTCATACATACAATTATAACATAACCTTGCTCCCTACAAACTTTGCACCCCATTATATTCTTATTGTTTTCATGTATTTACAGATAAACACGTTGTTATGAAAGAAATTAGATCATTTTCTGTAATTATGCCAACACGACTAATTAACTAAGTAAATAAGAATACGTATTTGAGTTGCTGGATAACATAAAGGACATCATTGAGAGGACTATGCTCAGAAGTGGATGGCAATGATGATGATGATTATGGCAACCTGTTATACATACATAACCTCACGCCTATCTCCCATGGGGGTAGGCAGAGACTATGGAACCCATTATTAAATCCATTAATGCTTTTTTGGGTCTGAATCTATTGTAATTTGTTTATGAAAACCTACAACACAAAGGTGTACTGAAACGTTGTTTACCCGCAAATACATTATGTCAAATATGCAGCATTTTCAAATAATGTAAAATTACTTTTTATTTCAGTCGTATGAGGATCCTCTAAAACAGATCCTTTTCAACGGCAGCTTGGTGACTCACACCTTCTTCGTGATGTCCAGCTTCCTCCTTGCCTACAACTTCCAGTTGTACTCTGAGAAACACAAACCCAGTTGGATACAGCTGCCGAAAGGGATCCTTTTGAGATGGTTACGGTGAGTTAATTATATTATTTCGTGCATTTCCTTGGTCCTTCTAAGTTTAGGGTAGGGCAATATAAGATTTATTTTCAACAAGATTTGAATTTGTCATAAACTTGTGCAGAAGTGATATTCTTTAGAAACCAAAACGAGAAAGGATTTTAGTTTTTCACTTTTCTGTCTTTTTTATTATGGGACAACACCACCATAAATTCGTCAAACCGCTGCAACTGTATTATATTTATAGTATTTGCCTGTCTAAATAAAGTACAACATCTAATTTCAGCCTAACTCCTTCGTATGCACTGATAATGTTCTCCGTATCGACGTGGATGCGACATGCCTACCAAGGTCCGCTGTGGGGCCTGGTGGTGTCCAGCGAGGCGGACGCGTGTCGCCAGTACTGGTGGGCACAGCTACTCTATATCAATAACTACGTGTACGACGATGCCTTCTGTTTGCCTCAGACATGGTAAGATGAATGAATCAAAAGATTTGTTCTTACTTTTTGTGCATATTTTCTTATTTTACTTGGTAGTTTCCTTCTTTCATTCTCCTCTACCAGATATTATAAAATTATCAGTGCCATTTTCCTTCCTCCTTACGCAACATTACGATTTGATTTTTTGTATATTTTGTTCTGTTGCTACTTTGAACAGGTTATTAAAAACAAACAATATTTTACTGAATAAACTGGTTGTTGCGGACTTCAATGTTCACATTAAAAAAATTTTATAATAATTAAATTAATATACAATTTTTTTTTTGGCTATGATGTGAGAATTTGTGTTTTTTAAACGTCTAAAAATAGCTCTGACGCAATATAATATATCTATTTTGATTAATTACTTGTTTTATGATTTTTGTTGTTTTTTCTGTAATTAATGCTTTGACTTCGGCTATGATCCGCAGGTATCTAGCAGCAGACACCCAGCTGTTCTGCCTAGGTTTGCTCCTGTGTGTGGTAACTCGCAAGTGTAAGACGCGAGCCATTCTACTGTCAGTGTGGTTCGTCATAGCTCTAGCTATAGTGGCTGGGCACACTTACTTCCAGGACTTGGACGCAGTCGTCATACAGTCACCAGAGTAAGTGATATTTTTTAAAGAAAGAGCAACGTATATGAATTGTTTGGGAGGTAATTTGATAGGATCATAGGAATTTGACATAGAGCACACAGTTTACTATCAGCAGTTCAGCACATTTCCTATGTTTTATGATTTTGTCCGTCCAGCAAAGGGTGTTTGTTCATGATTCCCATGTTAGAACAACTTATTCATATTGTAACTTTGGTGAGACATACTAAATTATTAATTATGTTTTTCGGCTAACACACGTAGTTAATTATTTGACGAGGAACTTGACTAGTTTCAAGCCATGAGCTTCTAGCATGGCTTGCTTAACAAACATCATCATCAATTATCAACAGCCTATAAATGCCCACTGCTGAGCAAAGCCTCTTCTCACACTAAAAAGATTTGAGCATTAATCACCACGCTTGCTTAATGCGGGTTGGCGATTACAGACTTATAATTAGAAATTATAAGCCTAGGTTTCCTCACGATGTTTTTCCTTCACCGTTTGTCAGTGGTGTCTAGATAATCTTAGAAAGTACATATAACTCGGAAAAAGTCACATTGGTACTTGCCGTTGGTAGGTTTCGAACCCGCACTCTCATGCATGAGAAGCGGGCATCTTAAACCTCCGGGTCACCACGACGTATGAAAAACATAATAACTAACAACTTATTATTATCCCCCTTGTGGAAGTTACATTCAACCTCTGCACTGGCAGCACACACAAACCAATTTAACTATTGATAATGTTGTCGTCAGATCGTACCGCAACCTATACGCGTCCGATGACACATTCCGTCTGCTGTACATCCGCGGTCACACCAACATGTCCACCTACATACTGGGGCTGGCAGGAGGTTTCCTAGCCTACCACTGGCAGAACGGGAAGGACTTGGAAAAGTATAAGGTAGAAACAAGTACTTATAATAATGAATACTCATAATACACTCATACCCATATATATGTCGCGGAGAACCTAACGGGTTACCGGGGCTCCGGCTCGACGTGCAGGAAAAGGAACGGAGTGGTTTTTAGTCAGTAAGAGTCTGACACTCCCTCCCGCCTCACCCAGGCGGGAGCAGCCATTCGATGATATTCCCCCCTTAAAAAAATTTAAATAAACATATATATATAAGTACGCGCGAAAAACCATGCCCTTCTTTAAATCGGGTAAAAAAAGATTGGGAGATGGCTTACTCCCTAGGATTGTGCAGTAATAAATTTTGCACAATTGAGATTTTAAAGATGGTATTTAGCAAACCCAGTATCTTTTATAACACTTTTACATGGTGTTGATGACGGTGGCCACCTGTGTACTTTTAGTATCTAGTGTCACAAACTGTCTAGGTTTTCATTCAGCTCTTCATTTTTTTTGTTCTGCTTCTATGGTAATCTGTTATTCAACAATAAGCCTTCCTTTTGTCTGATACACTGTATCTGGAATTTATTAGGTAGTTGAAGAGTCCAGCTCTAGCTGGTTACTCTTGGCTCCGCTCTTCATTGAAAAGAAAGTAGGATGACTTATCTGAATTCCTAACTTTAGGGATTGTGACATCATCATCATCATCAATACATGCCAGAATACCTCCATTGCTGTATTTATGTCTCATTTAAAGCAGGAGGTTTCTCTTCCTCAATTTCAGATCACAAAGTTCCAAAGTTCACTTTACTTTACAGAAGTACCGTTTTGTGGTGTGGTCGTTATTCCCGCTGGGGCTATCAGTGATCCTCTCTGGAGGTCTGTTCTACTCCGACGGCGGGAGGGCGCCAGTCCTCCTCAGAGTGATGTACGCCACCCTCTACAAACCTTTGTTCCAGTTCCTTGTAGTACTACTCATACTTGCCTGCGTCTTCAAATTTGAATGTAAGTAATTTTTATTTTGACTATTCCATTAAAAATGGAATGTTTTTAACATTACCCTCACTTTGCACTAGTTTGAAAATTCCGTGCTTCTACTGGGAATCCTAAACGTTGCAAACCTGATAACATTTTTTCAATCGGTTATTTTGGATTCGGTATTTAGTACATACATACATAACATCACGCCTTTTTATCCCCGAAGAGGTAGGCAGAGGTGCACATTTCGGCACTTAATGCCACTGTACAATGTAAAACCCAATTTTCACTATTTATGTTATAAGTCCCATGTAATAGGGGGTGAGCCTATTGCCATATACCGGGCACATTTCAGACTCCGTGCTACTATTGAGATTTTTTTAAAACCCAGTAATACTTTGCCCGACCCGGGAATCGAACCCGCGACCCCTTGCCCGGCAGTCGCAATTGCGACCACTCGGCCAACGAGGCAGTCGGTATTTAGTATTATTGCATTACTTCTATTATTTGATCTTCTACCATAACTATGTAGTGATAGTTTGGTCCGGTCAATTTCATTTTTGAGCTTGGGCTAATAGGAACTATATACTTACTCTTCATAAGAGATTATAATTTATCCTTCTGTGTCAGCAACGTACCGTGGTCTCCTGGAGTGGCGTGGTTGGACGTGGATGGGCCGCGTCACGTACTGCGCCTTCCTCCTTCACACGCTGTTCCAGAGAGGATTCATTGGGGCACAACTACAGCTCATACACATGTCTGACTATTACGTGGTATGTACACTATACAATACTTCTGATATTTTGTTACTATAACTACATTACATTTTTTTTAAATCTTTAATTACTTATATATAAATAACTGTATTATTGGGGTTTTTATCCCTTAAGGATATGACAACCCCATCGTACCTTATTCTAAAGTGAGCACATGACTTAAATTACAGTTTCACATTAGGTACTTATGTGTATATATATCTATGTAGGTACTTTAATTACATTAATTGAACACATTAAGTAAATAACTACTGATTACTCTTGGACAATTTTTATCATTGTGTACAATCGTTTAGCCGCTTTTGTTGGCTGTGCAAGTATACTTTGTATCAGACCCACATCCAGTCTATTAAGTTTAAATTCTTGTAAAAACAAATTGCGTTCATTCCTGTTTCGGACACATTCCATCAGCAAATGTTGTATATCTTCTACATTACATTTGAACAGTGAAACATGGACGTTACGATGACCTTGATGTATCTAAATAGTATCTCTATTCATAGTATAGTGGGTAAGCAAGCAGACAGGTCATTTGATGAGTCTGATGGTAAGCGTCAGCGTCACCAATCGACACCAGCTCCATCGAGGATTTACAAATCCATTGTCGGCGTTTTGGGTGATTGGAGATTGGTCAACTTGGGCACTCGCAGACGGATCACTTGATGGTAAGCAATCGGCGTCGCCCATAGGCACTTGAAACATCAGAGGCATTACAAGTGCGTTACCAGCATTTTGAGGATTATTGGGAATTCGCTGATTGTGGAGATTTTTTAAATGGGCCTCCGGTAACCTCACTCATACGACGAAACACAATGCAAGCGTTGTTTCACGTCGATTTTCTGTGAGGCCGTGGTATCACTCCGGTCGAGCTGGCCCATATGTTACAGAAGTATGTTTCCCCGACACTTACGCCACTATGTACTAGCGTCCTATTAGAATGCATCAATATAATTGTATGCTTGCTGCTCATTACTTGTACATTTTTACAGATGATAGTATTAGCGGCGAGCATCTTCCTAACGTACATGTGTGCGTGTGGCCTGTGGCTCTGTGTGGAGGCCCCTATGGCCGGCCTCATTAAGGCCGCTCTCGCGCCCTCTCGCGACGACACGGACAAAGACACGGACACTACTAAAGTGTAAAAATAAAACAAAAACTCAATACTTTGTTTTCTTTTAATTACCCAACAATTTTAAAAGCTATAAAACATTATGCTCCTTAAATCATTATTAAGGAATTTGTAATATTTGATGGACTTTATATATGTACAATGGTATGTCGTAAATAAAATTAAAAAAAAATACAATTATTCCATTTGATGTAAACTATTTAGTTAACGAGTTGTAGTAAATTTTTATACAAACGCATTCCTATGTGGCAGTGTCAAACCCAACCGTGATATTTTAAAATAAATTCTAATTATTGTCTAACATCACAATTTGTTCGCATAAATATAAAGGTAAAGTCCAAACCATACGTTGGTATCGCCTAACACAAGGCGGGAGAAGTCATTGGATAATTTTCGCCCCTTAAAAAAGCCATACGTGGTATTACGTCACAGACGTTACTTCTTATTCTATATTTTGCTAAAAGCTCCTCAAACTCGTGAATTTTCATAGGTCCGCTCATCACTTAGTATTTCTCGTAAAGTCTTCAAAGGAACAATTTTCTCAATGGCCACTATTTCACTGTCACTTAGCGCTTTTTTAGAATGATCTACTTTTACGTTTTCTTTATTATCGCCATCCTTTTCTCTTGGGGAGCCCATCAGGAACAATTTAGTCACGTTGCCTAGTGGTGCTTCTACTATCAAGAAGAATGGTAACGCAGTTAAGAAGGAGACCAGCACGAACCCAACTATCATTTGTTGCTGTGGACAAAGAAATAATTTTAATTCACATTCTCGATTATTGAACTGAGGCCTTGGTACGAATCGAACGAGACGGCGTTCTGTGCTCTGATTGGTTGGTTCATTAGAGCCGGCCAATCACAGCGCCGAACGCGTACTCGTTTCGATTACTTTAAACGAAAACGAACCTCGTACCAAGTCCTCTGACTGTACGGTGGCCAGCACGCTAACTTATCCCATTTAATGAAATGTCTCTCTTACATCTTCACTTTCTATATTGACGTGATAAAGTAGAAAATTCAATTAATAAAACAGATCGGAATAGGTTGATTTGTTAGACTCTGTACGACGGTCATGATAAAATTAAAAATGCTACAGAGGCATTTCTTTCTTTCTTTTCTTTTAAAAAAAACGTTGCCCCACACTAGGATTATCTCCTGTGTCGTGGGTGCGTTTACAAACATACAAGTTCACATACACATGACACCCAGACCCGAAACAACAATTTGTGGATCACACAAAGTGTTGTTCCGTGCGGGAATCGAACCCGCGACACGTTGCACGGCAGCCGGTTGCCCAGCCACCGCACCAACCGTGCAGTCAAACCTTACTTCTCTTAGTTGGTGGTGGAGGGCAAATAGTAGTGTTCCATATATATTCTAATATTTAACCAAACCTGGTTAAGACTTCGTAACATCATCATCATCATATCAACAACAGGAACACTGTTGAACATAGGCTTCGACTTAGTGAAAGCCTCGCCCTAACCGAGAAAGAGTTACGGCTCAAAAGTAGGATTACATTAATTATCATGCTATTTTATAACTAGGCCTCTAACTGCCGACAAAAAACTGTTAAAGACTAATCCTCCGCTAGCGTCAGTCGTCGTTATCCAAAATGGCATCCAATGTGCCAAGTAACAAAGTATAAAATAATAAGAGCCATACAATTAAGACGAAGGTGGCGTGCCAAATTGTAGTCTGGTAGGATACGAAGTGTCTGATGTAGGCGACGTGTACCAGGTACGCGCTGTACGAGATACGGCTGGGAACCGTCCAACCCTGCCATTCCACTATATGACGAACTATGTCTGTGGGAGAAACACACGATCGTTAGAAGAAAAATTGTAATAATTTTATGGATTTAATAGTAGAAAGAAAGAATTATAACTATCGTGAAACAGTACTTATACTGTTTACTGTTTTCTCATGTCTCAGTCGCACTGGAGGCTCTTAATCATGATGTAAAGTTAAGCGAGTAAGCCGTAAAACATAATTAATTAAGAAAAACCAATAATTATATTCTGCACCGTTTTGAAAGAGCTCTAGTTTAGTAAAAATATACACGATTTAGAACATATCATCATTCATTCAAAACTTCCATCATCGACCAATTAATGATTTTGATTTTAGGGGTAACTTACCATCAATTTTAAAGATGAATGTAACTAACCCCAAACCTATTATAAAACCGAATAATGGCTTCTGAAGGCTGGCAAAAGCAACTCTGATGTACATTGAGTGGCGAGGAACGTCCTCGAAGAAGATGCTGCCCGAATATACAACACCAGTTCCAATCAAAACTAGCAGAGGAACCCCAAAACGATATCTCTGAAACACAAATAAAGGAGGGCCAAATTAGAAGTGAAACAAGTGAATTTATTTATGTTTACCCCCAATGGAGACAGACGGGAGGTTATGTATGTACAAATGAAGAATGAATAGTTTTTTAGTAAAAGTAAAAGGTACTTAATTTTAATTAGGTCTTACTTTAACTAGACACAAAGTGTGGGTATGCTTTTAGAGCTTTTAGAGCTCTTAAAGCTTTTAGAGCTCCTTGCTCTTGGCTACGCAATTGGTTCCCAAATTGAGTATAGTAAAACTTTTATTCAGATTTATTACATTTTCTTCCAAAATTCAGTGGTATTAGAACATTGAATTTCACCACGTTTATGATCAAAATAGATTTATTCTCCATTACTGTAAGCATTTCCTCGGTTTATTCGACGACATGTTGTCACGTCCACTCAATAACATAGGCTGCCTTATAGGCTGTGCCCACTGCTGAGCAAAAGCTCTCACACTGACAAGGTTTGAAAAACATGCGCTAAGCTTGCAAGGTAGGTCGGCGATTTGAAAATTATCCAGATTTTCTCATTGGTGTAAACTGGGTAATTGTTACCTACCCTGAACCTGGACATGTCCACGCCTTTCTTCTGCCAGTGGTAGGTGAGGTAGCCGAAGGAGAGGCCGATGGTGTAGCCAGCGAGGTTGGTGTGGCCTCGTCTGTATGTATAGTTGAAGGTAGGCTCGTTTAGGAACAGACTGTGGATGGCCCTGGAAGGAATAATTTACAAATGTTAGGTTAGGTTAGGTTTTTGCTTAAAAAAATATTTTACTGAGGACTCATACAATTTAGGTTAATAAAAAGGCGCTATAACTATCTGACAATGAATATTACTATTTTATATATGATCAGAATGATCACACAACTTTTACAACATGCGATACAACTGCTTTTACAAACTAGACGAAAAAACTATAGACTTTTTGTATTTTTGTTTGTATTATTTCTTCCATACTAAATACTATCAAATGTCAATTTCATTCGACAGTTAAGAATTAACTGATGATTGCAAAATTGGCTGCCTCGTTGGCCGAGTGGTCGCAAGTGCGACTGCCGGGCAAGGAGTCTCGGGTTCGATTCCCGGGTCGGGCAAAGTATTACTGGGTTTTAAAAAAATCTCAGTAGTAGCACGGAGTCTGGAATTGTGCCCGGTATATGGCAATAGCCTCAACCTCTATTACATGGGACTCATAACATAAATAGTGATAAGTGGGTGTTACATTGTACAGTGGCATAATGTGCACCTCTGCCTACCCCTTCGGGGATAAAAGGCGTGATGTTATGTTATGTTATGTTATATGCAAAATTGGCTGTAAGATTGCATTTTCCAACTTATCATTGCAACATATTCCTTTCCCATTATTGCAACTTACTCTGGAGATACAATTAAGGTTCCATCCAAGTTGAGCATATAAGTGATGACCCCGGGAATGATGAGGCCTGCTACAAGCAGGAGTGGCAGCACTATCTTCCTGGATCGAGGAGTGGAGCACAACACGAAGACTAAGGCACCGACACAGTACAGCTGGGTGTCTGTTGCTATGTACCTATGATAGATCGAGAATATTATAAAAAAATATAACCATGTAGACTATACAAACATTCAAGTGTGATCTATTAAAGAAATAATGCGAAATTCTGAAGCATTAGCGACATCGCAAAAGCAATAAGAAGAGTAACGAATACCTTGACTTTTAGCATATAAAAACCGTATCTAAATTCCAATTTTAAACTTTTATTTACGTATTAACTATTAAGTAATCTGTGCTTTTACCAAAAATCTAATACATTTTTAAAAAATATCGCATATTCCTCTTTGTCATTACCAGTTTCTATTCGAAACTTTTCTTTTGTTTTACTTTTCAAGAATTCGGTATTTTTTATTCATTCAACCTACCATGTGTGCTGCATGCACTGCGACTCGTCGAAGTAGTTGTTTATGTACAGCAGGTTGGTCCACCAGTACTTCTTGCAGTCATTCACTTCATTGCCTATCACCTCCTGCAATTAAGAGTTTTGACATAAACGTTAATTGAATAAAATACAACGAAGGTCCAAAAATTATTTTGAATTACATTGAATAATTCTTTTATAAACTACCTTTTAAGTGTGGGAGAGCCATGCTTCGGCACGAATAGGCCAGCCCGACCGGAGTGATACCACGGCCTCATAGAAAACCGACGTGAAGCAACGCTTGCGTTGTGTTTCGTCGTGTGAGTGAGGTTACCGGAGGCCCATTTACCCTCCCCTTCCCCAATCTCCCCAATCCCTGAATCCCCAACGATCCTTAAACTCCAAATCCTCAAAAGGCCGGTAACGCCTCTGGTGTTCCAGGTGTCCATGGGCGACGCCGATTGCTTACCATCAGGTGATCCGTCTGCTCGTTTACCGGCTTATGCCATAAAAAAGGCCGACTACAACTCTCTCTTTTTTGAAGGCAATTAATTAATCAACCTTCTCCTTCGTGTAACAAACACTTTTCTGAAACCGCATCAAAACCTCCTTGTTTTGAAACTACTTAAGTTAATTGCGGAGTGATGGTAACTAAAAATACTTTGATACTAAAACTGACCTGCCACAAAGGACCATCAGTGAGGTACCTCATCCAGGTGATAGTCAACCCTAATACGACTGCGTAAGGTGGAGTCAATCTGCAAACAGATAAGTTGGTTTGTAAAGAAATAATCTAAGAAAGAACGACATTGTTAAAGTACTGTATACATTACCTTGACTTAATTTAATTAATTATTGGCTTGCTCACGTAACTGTTTGACGATCAACTCGACTAGTTTCAAGCCATGCTAGAGACTTATGTAATTGAATTTTTCTAATTTCTCACATACATCACGGAGTCCAAAATGGTGCATGGTATGAACTGATCCCCTAATACATGGAATTCATAATATAACTGGAGATGGGAGACGATAACATGGTATATTGGGCCTCTTGAAATAAAAGTATGTTTTTAATGTTACCTTAGCCATCTCAAAATGATGTATTTAGGGAACGACATTAAGGTTATCTTGTGCTTCTCAGCATGCAGTAAAGAGTTGTAGACCAGAAGGAAGCCGGACATCACGAGGAATGTCTGCATGATGCTCATGCCATTGAAGATCACCTTCAACATATTGCTTTTATACAGCTGTAACGAAAAAATCTGATGTTAGAAATTGTACAACCTTAGCGGGTCTTATCGAGTATGCAACTATCGAATGTGGTGGTCGACTTCTAAATTCTTGGAAAACTCATGAGGTATAGAGGCCGTCTAGTGGGCCGTGTGCTTTTTGCCACCGAGTAATAAAACCGGGTACTCAATAATTATATACTGGACTGCCACGTTGGTCGAGTGGTTGCAATTGCGACTGCCGGGCAAGGGGTCTCGGGTTCGATTCCCGGTCGGGCAAAATATTACTGGGCTTTTTCAAAAAATCTCAGTTGTAACACGGAGTCCGGAATTGTATTGCCCGGTATATGGCAATTGGCTCACCTCCTATTATATTGGACTCATAACATAAATAGTGAAAAGTAGGTGTTACTTTGTACAGTGGCATTAAGTGCGTTAGTGTACACCTCTGCCTTCTCCTTCAGGGATAAAAAGGCGTGATGTTATATTATGTTAAAAAAAACGGAAAATGAAGCTAAAGCTCGTTATCCTGTTATTAAGTTATCCAAGATTATTAGCTGTCATTCATTCAGAATTCACTTAATAAAATGAAATAAGTTTAACACATACCTTCTCAAAGTAGTCTGGATTGTCTATAAACGCGACGCAGGCTAGGATTGAGTGGGCCATAATTACTAGTGTGATCGACATTGTCCTAAAAGCATACAATAACATTGTAATAAAATTACGCCTACGTAATGTTACCAGAAGAAGTTCCTGATAAGTTTTAGGTTATGTAAAGAAAGAAAGAAATACCATTTATTTTGCTACGACACACAACAAGAATTTAGAAACACAAAAAAAAAGCCTATGGTGCGTCGCAGCGCAAAAGGCTATGTCTGTGGTTATAAGTAGGTTCTTCTTCCAGAAGGAAGATCCTTTACCTTATGCCATGAATACTCTTGAGTCTCCTCATCCGAGGGTCCTGCCCTCTAGCGACAGGAGCCACCAGCTTCCTCCAGTTGTTACGAATCGAGAAACAGACGAGGAATCTTGATACTGTAAATTAAATTAACTAAATGAATCACTTGATATATTGGACGAACTATTCACATCATTTGTTCATACATAAGTAGTCTCTAAGTATTGGAAATAAGGTCTATAATATACCGGTGACCACTTGGGGACTCGGCAAAAGCAATAATTATAAAAGTAATGTAAATTTAACAACACTCATTCTCCGATCTCTATTGACAAAGATGCATGATGACACATTCAGCTGTAACATCCACTTCTCAATAGATATGTGATGTTATTTTATGAGACCAATGTCTATTTACGGACATGGTTCCGTTTTATGCGAGAATTTTCAAAATGTCGGATAAAATACCCAACTAATACTTTAAGGCCGATCCGAGAATTGATGCGGCTAACGACAACAGTCAAAATTTATCCTTACTAATATTATAGATCGGAAAGTGAGTTTGTTTGTTTGTTCCACTTTCGCGCCGTAACTACTAAACCGATTGCTTTGAATTTTTGCAGACGTGGAGTTAGAAGTCTGGATTAAATAAAAATAAAAAAGTATCCTACTTTTTATCCCAGAAAAATTTGATATTCTCGAGGGAAAACGAAATTATTGGTATAGATGGTGCTGTGTGTATTGGTATATGTCACATAGGCTACTTTTTATCCTTTTGTGACGCGAGTGAAGCCGCGGGTAAAAGCTAGTACTTAATATTACTTACAAAAATCTTTTCGATGTCCACCGAAAGGCTCATAAATAGTTCCAGCAATATTGGCCAACAATATTACAAGACATACAATGGCCATCGCATAATCAAGAGTATCTAGCGGCTTGTCCTTCGGCGGCTGGTTGCAGAATTGCCGGATGACTTTGATCTTTAACCCGTAGTCCTTGAACATTTCTTCATTGACACAGGCCTCTATGGCTATTCCTATCTCAGTGTCATTAATGGAAGCTGCTGTACCGTTGTAAAGATGTTTGCATGTCTGTGTGAGGCACACTCCTCGTACCAACTTCGTGTAATTAAAATGCGTTGTGTTGTGCGCTGAGTATTCCTGTAATTTTGATAGGAGATACAATTAGCATATATCATTTGAATGCTGTTGTCGAAAACAAATATACGGCATTCTGCGTCGTTATCACGCTTACAAAATCTAGGAAAGGGTGAACGCTTTGTAATCTTTATTAGTATCAAAATTTCGAATCAATCGTTATAAAAACATAATCTAAAATTATAAATATGTTCAATGTGTTTCCGTCCTCTATGTCTTTTTTTTTAATGGGGGAATATCATCGAATGACTGCTCCCGCCTGGGTGAGGCGGAAGGGAGTGTCAGACTCTTACTGCTATGTCTGAAAGAGCTTTTTGACGCATAAAACATAATAAGTTTATTTTTATAATTTTATGATATGCTTTTCCGTTTGCCATCTTAATATTCATCACGCTTGACTTTGCTATTTGTGAATTTATGTTAAGAAAACATACTAAATCGCAGTTAAAAAGGTCCGGGTTTATCAGAGACTACAGCTACCCGTTCTCTGTTAAATGTGCAATCTCATGACACCGCGACCAGCGGGAGAAGTAGGGGTCACCACCCCTGACAACGACAGATCATTTGCTCATTTATCACCACACTAATAAGCAAATGATCAAACGCCATACAGGTAACTGTGCCTACTCTATTTGTATTTGTATTATAACTTTCGTGAGACATAATAAATAAATTATTCGACTAGTTTTAAATTATACGAGGAACTCGACTAGTTTCAAGCCATGCTAGAGGCTCATATTCATGAGCAGCATTTCGCGACCTGAGACGCGGCGACTGTCGCGCTGCTACTGAAACTAGTCGAGGTCCTCGTCAAATAATTACGTGAGTAAGCCGAAAACATAACAATTTACTCTATTTGTGTGTGTATTTGCACGGTTGGCGCGGTGGCTGGGTATCCGGCTGCCATGCAGCAACTCTTTGTGTGATCTACAATAGGTTTGGTGGCATGTTGTGTATGTGAACTTGTATGTTTGTAACGCCCCCAACGACACAGGGAAAATCCTAATGAGGGGGCAACATTGAATAATAATTTTGAATATTAGCAGATAAATTATAATTTTAAATATTCCGGTTTTGACCTTTCGGATGCCTATTTTCAGATTTCGGCAGTAATTTGGATTTTGATTTTTTTCCATATTAAAAAAAGAACCTTGACATTAAGATCTAAACAAAACGACACGTTGTAATATATTTCACTAACGTACTCGAATAAATAAATGTAATCGCCTGTAATTAAGATCATGTTGGTCAAATGTTTACTTTTAATTACAGTTCCTAGGAAGTCTAGGATTTTGATGAATTATTGGTGTCATTGTACTACGTTCAAAGTTCTTAAAATAATATGAATTTGTGCATTTTCCTGCTGGAAGATTAGGGATTTTTGTTAATCGGAAATCCTCAATAATATTTAGCATGACCTCTCTGAGGCAAGATCTCCGTGGTAAGCTATACCAAAAAGACAGATGACTGACACTATTGCGAATATTTTTTTTAAGTTATAAATCCTTGTCGTGACGAAACGTAAAGTTAATCTTTTTTTTACAAATATTGCGTCAATTGTGCATAAATTATACAAGAACCGATTAATCTTAAACTGGTTTAATTCTAACATGAATAAAAAGACCGGTCGTCAAATGATCTCGCCAAGAGTAACGCAATGATTTTATTGAAGGCCTTTAAAGAGGTTTTGTTATTTTTTTGTTCTTGGGCTTAGAATAAAATTGTTTTAAACTGGCTCTAGTACCAAACTTCCTTATCCTATAAATTCCTAACCTTACTTAGAGTAAAATATAAATTACAATATAATGAGTGGTGCTGTGGGTAACAAATAATATTATTCATTATTATTTATTAAAAAATCAGCACTGTTTCGAATCAGCCTTGTGCATATGTTACTTGATAAACAAGATAATAAAAATATAATATATAAGATAATATAAAATATTAAATGATTAAAATATTATGTTTCTACATTATTCCCGACTCTCAGCTTTTTATTCCCGATCCAGTCCACACACGAATTAGTATGCAACATGTCTTTATAACAACTATCGTGAGACATACTAATATACTAAAATACTAATACTAATATACTTCCTTCTCATGAGGAAGAACCGCTCTGTGATTCGAAACTAGTAGAGCTTTTCTCAGTATATTCACGAGAGTAATCCGCAAATTTAGTTAATTTAGTATGCAATATATTATTATTATTATATGCGATATAATTAAGAAAAATGTATTAGGTTTTGAAGAACCTTACTTGTATCATGGTAAGCAGGGGACTAGGGGTGTCGGAGACCAGGTTGAGCTCCGCGAAGCAGTAGACAGCATCTTCATCCCAGTGGCACTTGTCATACAAATCTCCTTTGTACTTGGCGGGCATTCGATTATACTCCGTGTCTGTAGAGAAGAAAAATAATAATAAAAAATTGTCTATACATATAATCTATAGTTACATATAATAAAATCGTAGGAAAGTCGAAACTGTACATTGAATATTTTTTTAAAAGAATTCTTTGACCATGATCTACAATCGATACCGAAGCCAAAAATATAGTTTTTAGAATTTTTGTCTGTTTGTCTGTTTGTATGTCCGGGCTAAACTCAAAAAGTACTGCATAGATTTACTTCAAATTTTGCATGAATATTACAAACAGGCTAGGTCAACACATAGGCTACATATCATCACGCTATCACCTACGGAAGAGGAGCTGTGAAGAACTATCCAAAGTCCCTATTCCACGCAGAGTCTAATATAACTCATGAAAGTTATCATAAAAAATGTAAAACTTCATATCTTTACAAAATAAGTCAGACTGTGAGCGATTACAGGAGGATATAGACCGAGTCCTGGAATGGAGTGAGAAGAACAGGCTATACTTCAACGTAGCAAAGTGCGCGGTGATGAGTATAACGCGTGCTCGTGTGCCCCTGATGCATGAATACGTACTAGACGCGCTGCCTATGCAACGTGTCACGGAGGTGCGGGATTTGGGGGTTATAGTGACTAGGGAAATGTCATTTCGTGACCATATTACGAGGATCTGTAAAAGGGCCTTTAGAAACCTTGGTTTTGTTCTGAGGCAGACGGGGAGCTTCACCAACATTGCAACAGTTAGGGTCTTGTATGACGCATTAGTCAGGAGTCATCTGGAACATAGTGCTGTTATATGGGATCCGCATGAGACAAAGTACAGTGTAATATTGGAACGTGTACAGAATAAGTTCACCAGATATTTGTACTGGAAACTGTATGGGGTGTATCCGTTCTACCCGCTGATGTATCCCACTCTGTTTGTGCTAGGCATGGTGGGGTACAATCAACTCGGTGTACGACGGAAATTTACCTTGGTTGTCTATTTGGTGAAATTGCTCCGTGGTCTGGAACATAACCCGGGAGTACTGCGTCACCTGAGTCTTGCTGTACCGGACCGCTACGTGTGGAGACGGCGACGTCCGCCAATATTGGCAGTGCCAGCGGCGAGGACGAACCTTCTCGCTAAAGCACCACTGACTCGCGCAATCCATACCATTAATAAGCTCCACGATCGTATTGATATATTTACAACTCCTTCGAGTGAATTCACAAAAGTATTATTATTTATTCTAAGTTATGATAGTGAATAGTTCCTACTATTGTATATTATTTTTATGTAATTTTAGGTTAGTTTTAGTTATTATTGTGTAAGGTAGGTAATTTAATAGGTTAAGATGTAATGTGTATATAATATTATTATTTTTGTGTTTAATGTTATTATTTTTTTCATTTTTTTTTGGGTTTCGTTGTATTACTTCTTGTTAGTAATAGGTATAAATATGTTTTTTTTTTTTTTAACTAGATTAAGCCTCACTGTCGAATTGGGAAAATCCTGTAATGAGAGTGTAGGAAGAATTTTATAATAAATAAATAAATAAATAAATATAACGTTTTACGATTAATAACGTTGCACTTTTTAATCACATTATACAATGTGACACCCACTTTTAATCAGATACGTTATGAGTCCTTTACGCAGTATTTTATTTATTTAAGCAACCAACAAAGCATGTACACTAAAATTCATGATAGATTTCCAACGTATTTTAACATTGTATAGTACAGCCTTAATTAATGGCTGCCACGACAATAAAATATAACATAAACATCTTTTATCAGCGAAGGGGTAGGCAAAGATGCACATTACGGCACTTAATGCGATTGTAACACCCACTTTTCACTATTTATGCTATGAGTCGCATGTAATAGAAGGTGAGCCTATTGTCATATACCGGGCACATATCTAGACTCCGTGCTACCACTGAGAATTTTGCCACCACGACATGCATTATACAAAGAATAAGATATCTAATAATTGAGCCTGAATCCATATGCACACAGATATATAGATTAGAAGAAATATATTATACTAGCGACCCGCCCCGGCTTCGCACCAGTGCAATATGCCTGTATTATACATATAAGCCTTCCTTCAGAATCACTCTATCTATTAAAACAAACCGCATCAAAATCCGTTGCGTAGTTTTCAAAATCTAAACATACATAGGGACAGACAGACGGCGGATAGCGACTTTGTTTTATACTATGTAGTGAAGTGTATGGTGTTATTCATAATGATTAGAACTTTGATATCAACAGTACAACTGACTAAAAAATGAAAATTGTGTATCTCGTCCAACAGGTCGGTAATCCGGCAATAAATACCTACTGATATAACTGGTTTGTCTTTTATATGTATGTAATTATAGTGTGTATATTCTAGCTTGTTATTGTTTGTTAGGTTGGGTTAGGTTAGGTTATGCAATTGATAGTGTAGACGTATAAATAAAGTGTAATAAACTGCAATCGACTGATTAATCTTTTTATTATACTTTTTTTTAAACGTTGCCCCACACTAGGATTTTCTCCTGTGTCGTGGGTGCGTTTACAAACATACAAGTTCACGTAAACAATTTCGTATTCTATTGAATGAAATGTATCACCTAGCAGCTCACCACTTGATATTTTGTTACTGTTGGCCGCTACGAGCCACTAGTCGTGACTACGACTAGTGGGCATTGGCTCTCGAGTTGATTACCAGTTTTATTGAATTTTCAACTTTTGAAAATTTTCATTCATAGGTAGCTAAAATAATATAGGACTCCTTCATAACATAACATCACGCCTTTTTATCCCTGAAGGAGATGGCAGAGGTGCACACTAAGGCACTTAATGCCACTGTACAATGAAAGTCCGACTTTTCACTATTTGTGGTATGAGTCACATGTAATAAGGATTCTAGAATCCGTGCTACTATTGAGATTTTTTTAAAAACCCAGTAATACTTTGCCCGACCTGGGAATCGAACCGGAGACCCCTTGTCCAAGTCACACTTGCGACCACTCGGCCAACGAGGACTCCTTCCTAATTAGTAATTAGTGTGTATTACATTTAATCTTCATGTGTGCACTTTAGACAATGAGTATGCCGACAATCATAATAATTAATTTAGTATGTCTCACGAAAGATATAAAATAATGTTTTGTCCATTTGAAGAATAAATTGTGTGTATCTCTATAACCTTGCGAAGTATAAAATGCATACCCCACTAAACTAGTTTGGGACCGTGGACCGGTACGCGCGGTTACGTCAATGCATAGCTTAAATTTACATTATACCTCTATGATTTAGATACGCTCGTAATAAATATGGAACGATAATGTCTTTTTTTTTGCATTACTGACATTAAAACTTGATTTGACTTAAAACGTAGTCGAAGTAACATAGATACCGTTTTGACACACGAAGATTTTTTGACCTTTTAAGCTTTGACGTCTATTAGTTTATTAACCACACTATCCATTAGTAAAACCGGGACTAGAAATGGTCTGGTACTTTTGAATTTGTCCCGTACACACTTACAAACAGACGCGAATGAAGGACTTATTTCTACATGCAGTTTTTTTTATGGTATATCTCTGTTCGTTGGCCGAGTGGTTGCAAGTGCGACTGCCGGGCAAGGGGTGGGTTCGATTGCCGGGTCGGGCAAAGTATTACTGGGTTAAAAAATTCTCAGTAGTAGCACGGAATCTGGAATTGTGTGAATTGTGGAATTGGTGGTAATTAGGCCTCCGCTAAACTCACTCACACGATGAAATAAAACGCAAGCTTTGCTTCACGTCGGTTTTCTATGAGACCGTGGTATCACTCCGGTCGAGCCGACCCTTTCATGCTGAAGCATGGCTCTCCCAAACTTATATGTATTATTATTTGTTACTAACTTTTATTATTTTCATATATTTATTTTAAATTCTCTATAAAATACATTTTTAAATACTATTTACAAAAACATAAAAATAATATTTAAAAATATAAAAAATAGGAGCCGACCAGTAGCGGGAGCATGGTCCAAGCTACCGGTGGTTAGGGCTCCAGAGACAGAAACCTCCTCACGATACGTGCCGTTTCAAGGAGCACTGCCTTCTGTATCAGGCCCTTGACCCAACTACCTAACGCTAGCCTCCTAAGGTGGTTGTCGAGGCTATTAGGTATTAACCCATTGGCCGATACGACTATCGGCACAATGATAGCCGAATCTACATTCCACATGTCGACAACCTCGTGAGCCAAATCAAGATATTTGATTTGTTTATCTTTTTCAGCTTTCACGAGGTTCTCATCATGAGGAATAGTGATATCGATTATCATCGTGCGGCGCAGTTGTCGGTCTATCACCACTATATCAGGTTTGTTGGCTATAATAGTCCTGTCAGTGATGATTATTACTTTAATTAATATTACGTGGCGACGAGAATACAAATATAGGTAAGAAATTACATCATTAAAATAATTCAAAATATATTTTTAAAAGATTTCCGTATTGTTTGATGTGATAATAAAACGGCAAAGGCAAAGTCCAAAATTTCAATAAAATTACAACCTTTTTAATGACCTCTATGAACTGTGTCTAGCTGACTGACGAACCAACTGACTAACTGACTGACTAACGGACTGACTAACTGACTGACTAACTGACTGACTAACAGACTGACTAACTGACTGACTAACTGACTGACTGACTAGCTGACTGTCTAATTGACTGAATGACTGACTAACTGACTGACCAACTGACTGACTAACTTACTGACTGACTGTAATTTAAACTTCAAAGTGGAAAATCCTCCTGGAGAGGACGAAAAAGGCTGTCAGATTTTTACTGACTTAAAACTACCTGGTGTCATACCTGGATAACCAATTCAGCCCAAGATTACTATTCGATTTATGTCGGAATACTCAAACGCTACTCAATTTTAAGTCACGCTTAAGTATAGTTCTGTCTCCACGAATTCTTTGTAAAATGACAGAGATGGCACGATATTTAAGCACGACTTAAAATTGAGTAACGTTTCAGTATTCCGGCATTAAACTATTAAAACAAAAACAAAATATAATACTTATCTATTTTAAAGATGGATTGACAGATCCAGCTTTGACACATTTTAAATATAGATTAAGTTTGACAAAAAATACTATGAATATGAATAGTCTTATAATAAGTCATATTTTTATTGTACTCATGAGAAGAGTCAAAGGTCACACACCTTCGAATATTTAACTTCAATTATGTTTAATTTTTATTCTCATATATTAAACATGTTTTACGCCAGGCATTTATTTATACTTTTTTATGGCATAAGCCGGTAAACGAGCAGACGGATCACCTGATGGTAAGCAATCGGCGTCGCCCATGGACACCTGGAACACCAGAGGCGTTACAAGTGCGTTACCGGCCTTTTGGGGATTAGGAGTTTGAGGATCGTTAGGGATTCAGGAATTGGGGAGATTGGGAAAATTCCTTGCAAATCAGCTCGACCCGAATATTGATCCTATAATAAAACTATGTAACAAAAACCAGTTACAAATCAATTAAAACCAATCAGGTACAATCACTGGTCTCCTATTATAAAGCATAAAAAACTATTTAAAAAACAAATGACATTTTAATGACGTCACGCTCAAAACGTCAAGGACAACCACATAACTTCTTCTCTTTCTAATTTTAAATTTTAATTGTAACATAGCACCATTAAAAATACTAATGTAATAATTAATGTATTATTAAGAATTCAAAAACTGGTCTAGCAGATTAGGTTTTATGGTTATGGCAATTTTTTGATAATTTTGAATAGCTATTCCAAAAACAGTTTTAAAAGAAATAATAATAGTCTGTCAGTCTGTCCGTCAGTGAAGCTAGGTGCAAGTTCCAAAATGTCAATTCGAGTGGAGAAGAACGAGCATACAAGTTCATATACACATGACACCCAGACCCGAAACAACAATCTGTGGATCACACAAAGTGTTGTTTCGTGCGGGAATCGAACCCGCGACACGTGGCACGGCAGCCGGTTGCCCAGCCACCGCACCAACCGTGCGGTAAATTAAGTCTTATTGGAATCTGAACTAGGTACTGACTACATTTGAGTATTGTCCAGTGGAGCCGAACCATCATGCTGCCAAGCATTTTTATCTTCAAGATAATCTATCAGTGTATAGTTAGTTTTTGATTACATAATTCGCGCTTAATATACCTCTATGTTTTAAATTTGCTTTCATTAAGATCTGGTATGCGACTTGGTATTTTATTGTAACATTAAACGCATAACCTCATGAAGGATTTCTGTACCTTGGACAGTCTGAATTGCAGTACAGCTATTTTATTTTTGCCTCTAATATTAAATTTGTGTCTCATCGCTTCTTTTTTCGAAAATTTGCCTATTTTTAACCGACTTCCCAAAATGGAGGAGGTTATTAATTTGGTTTACTCCGATGTTTGTGGACGAATTTTAATGGAAAGGTCATGCTCTCGGGGTGGTCCCATTTTCACCAAGTCAGGATGAGATGATTGGATCCCATGGAAACCGAGGAGAACTTTACAAAATTGTATGGGTGGCGAGAGCGTTTGTAAATTTTTTGATATAGTATTTGAAACCACTACAATTTCATGAAAGTATCGAGTTGATCTGATGATGGAGTCAAGAGACAGCCAAGGGAACTTCTCGAGGATTTGTAGCAATGACCCCGTGTTTGGGCTTAAATAACTTGTATTGAGAAGATCTTCACATCTAAATGAAATGTAATTGTCATTAGAGGCCTCCTCAATGGTTAACAGTAGCTACCTGGTGTTTGGGCTTGATTAATTTGTAGTGATAAGAACTTTACACCTACATGTGGTATGACTGTCATTAGGGGCCTGGTGATGAAGGAGTATGATAGCTAAGGGAACTCCTCAACGGCTTACAGTAGCTACTTGGTGTTTGGGCTTTATTCATTTGTTTTAATCACACAAACACACGTTTGTGTACACACACACACAAACGTGTGTGTGTGTGTTGTGTGTGTGTGTGTGTGTGTGTATTTGTATTGTCAGGAGAAGGTTCTTAAGACAGAAAAATTCCTGAAAATCTTACAGGAACGGGAGAAAACGGGATTGCGCGTACGAAGTCGCGGGCAGAAGCTAGTGTATTGATAATTTAGACTAACTGCGGTTTGGTAACGTTACGTAATGAGTAACATTAGACTAGACCAATCTGTATAATCACTAAGAGATTTTTAATCAGTTTTATATTTAACATGACTATATTGACCCGGACTACATTGACATGAAAGAGAAATAGATTTTTCAAGTTTAATCGTTTTTTTTTTCGTAATACTCGTTCGACATCAGCAGTTGATTACAAGTAACATAAAAGAAACATTTAAAACCTTACTTTTATAGAAATACTAGCGACCCTCCCCGGATTCGCACGGGCGCAATATGCATGTATTATACATATACACCTTCCTTAAGAATCACTCTATCTATCTAAAAAAACCGCATCAAAATCCGTTGCGTAGTTTCAAAGATTTAAGCATACAATGAGACATAGGGACAGAGAAAGCGACTTTGTTTTATACTATGTAGTTGAAGACTTGGTTTTTTCCATCACCTGTCGGAATTTTTCGCTAGCGTGCCGTTTACACCCTATATATAAATTCACTACTTGGCGTCATAGGTGAGGTCTTTCTGGAAATTATTGAATCGAAAATGCTGGTCGGTCGATCTTATATAATTTTATACATTCGTTTGAATTTTAATATACGACGTGATGTTATGTTATGTTATACATAACATCACGCCTTTTATCCCCGAAGGGGTAGGCAAAGGTGTACATTATACCACTGTACAATGTAACACCCACTGTTCACTATTTATGTTATGAGTCCCATGTAATAGGGGGTGAGCCTATTGCCATATACGGGGCACAATTCTAAACTCCGTCGTTCTAAACTACCGACTACTGAGAATTTATCAAAACCCAGTAACTTGAGACCCCTTGCCCGGCAGTCGCACTTGCAACCACTCTGCCAACGAGGGCATTTCAATATACTCTAATAAAATATTGTTTCATTCACTAATCTTAATTTAATTTCTTACCTAAAAATAATCTTATCCTGCCATATGTAGCAGAAAAAAGATAGTAACTGCTTTTATAAACAAAAATAATTTAAATAATATAGAGGCACTTACCATTTAAGTTATATATAGCACCATAACAGCTATGTAACAAACACAACAACACTATATATTTTTCCATGTTTCATAAACTAACTTTAACTACACATTTATAAAACTTAATAATTTTTCTATATAAAATAATACGTCTATAACTCAAGTTGTAACTATAAAACCATTCTCTATAATAATATGACAAATTCTACAAATTATTAAAATATGTTAACTATATAATTCGTCAACTAAATTCAACTTTAAGACAACAAAAAAATTTTCGTCCGCCAATCCGTGATATCGGATTAATCTACAACGAATGAATTCACAGTATCTTTTAAATAATTTACGTGTGTATAATCTGACAATTATAGGCTTCGTTCACAAAGTCAAAATCTTTATATTTTTCTATGACAATCTCAGCGCACCGCAATACGTATCGCGTCGTATCTCTTTCTAAAAAATATTAACCGTTTATGTGTACACGGCTTTACATTTGTTGTCTAACGCGAATCAAACCTGTTGTATATGTAATAGTATTTTATAAAGTAGTACAACATCAAAAAATCAAGGGAAGGGGGTCGGACAGTCGGCCAAAGTTGATACGATCGACCGACGAAGCTTATTTTAGCGTTTTATTACATAAACGTAATAATTTTGTTATTTAATCTGTGTTCGATAGTGTTAGAATAGCAATATTGGTAAATTTAGTTGTTAGAAATGATTTTCTTAGAATCATTTCTAATGCAGGATTACATCTATTTCCAAGCATGGAGCATGCTTGGAAATAGATGTAACCTAAAAAAACTCTAGTGGGTTAATTATATCATGGTAAACTATTTCTGTAAACCAATTGTATGTGGGTCATTGCCAGTTATGCGTTTGTCTGAATAACAAAACAAAGTGACTCACTAGTTTCGACTTGTGTCTACATTCTGTGTGTATTAATATATTGTACGGGATCTGGGATAGAATCCGATCCAATCAATCCACCAGCGCTTACATAATATGATCAATGGACCAATAAAAACTATTTCGAGCAATGAAACATTAACATAACATCACGCCTTTTATCCCCGAAGGGGTAGGCAGAGGTGCACATCATGCCACTGTACAATGTAACACCCACTTTTCACTATTTATGTTATGAGTCCCATGTAATACGGGGTGAGCCTATTGCCATATACCGGGCTCAATTCCAGACTCCGTGCTACTACTGAGATTTTTTTTAAACACCCAGTAATACTTTGCCCGACCCGGGAATCGAACCCGAGACCCTTTGCCCGGCAGTCGCACTTGCGACCACTCGGCCAACGAGGCAGCCAACAGAGCAGTTCGAGCAATGAGTTGTATATAATCAGTGGCGTGCACACCATACATGCAAATAAGCACTGCATACCCTAGAAAATCATGGTAAACCTACATAGTCAATTACATAGTGTCACTCATATACACGACATGAATATTTACTGACATCATACAGAGATTTCGTAATTTTATTGATACTTAATTCGGAAAACTTGTAACTAACGCCATCTATTGAAAAAATATTGAAGTACTACAACCACTTTCTACTTTCTTCGATATTGGAGCATTGCGCCAGTGGCGCCGCCACCTCGCTATTGTGTGATGGTGGCGGAAGCATGTACTAATGCTAGCCGGTACAATTTGCTTGTTTTCTTGTGCTGATGTTGGATTTTTTTTTTGTTAGGTTGGTAATTTCTATACAACTGCAAAAGCACTGCTTCTTCGTTATCCGACTAATTTAAGAAGTCAACAAAACGTAGCGTTTGTTGATTGAAAATAGATATATTAATTTTGGTCAACTTATTGTTTACGTTTTTTGGCCATTTTGTTTTGGTTATGTTTTTATGTGCAAGTGAATAAATTGTAATGTAATGAATTATAATTTAAATGAACTGTTAATTTACCGAAAATTATGTAAAATTATAGCTGTGAGCTCTGTGCTGGTGATTTGTGTTGTTCAATAAATTCAATATGAGTGCGTTGTCGTTATTCTCGTTTGAAGAAGAAACGAAAATATTTCCAAAGGCGATTTTGCGTGTGTCGTATGTCCGGGCTAGGCGTAACTCAAAAAAGGTAATAATTTTATTATTTCTTTTAATAAAATACGATTTGCGATTATAGGTAGGTATAGTTTGTTAGCACTGGTTGTGTACCAATTTAATTATTGTTTTTAAAATCCAGTTTATCTTGATCTCGCTTTGTACGATTTTTCTATGCATTTAACGGTCAGTTATACTGGTGTCGCATAGCTTGATGTGTAGCCATTTGTACTTCGCCGCTCCAAAGTTAATAGATTTATAAAATAGATACCGATAGATCTATGTTGATCAACTTTATACACGGATAGTTTTAAAATAATTATGTACCTAATTTGTCTATACAAATTAATAAAATACTTACTAAACCTAATTACCTACTCAAAACTATGATGTTTCGGGAGTTTTATTTTCCGAGATTAATGTACCTAGACCAAATTTATTTTTAATCATGTGATACCTTCTGCCTACCCTACTTCAAATCTCTGTGCACGCCCCTGTATATAATATGTACCTGTCCATAAGCTTGCCGATTGATCTAACCTAAAAGCTAAGTTCTACCGATTTCTGCTTACCCTTTCTTTTTTTGAGGGGGAAAATCATCCAATCAGACTCTTACTGACTAAAGAGATACTTCCAGCCAGGGCCCCGGCAACTGCCCCGATGGACCGGTACACGAACGGGGAGTCCGCAAGGCACCGTTTACCTACCTTCCACAAGACCGGGAACTGGCCCCTCTTCTGCCTACCCTGGAGACTAAAATAGGAATTAAATATCTCCTAATCTTAGTATTGTCTTTGTCTGCAGTTCCTGGTAACAAATTAATTAATTAACAAAGGTCAAAACAAGACCTTCCAAACTAGCACTCTAAAAAACTATTTTGAATATATCAACGATAAAATTTACATTCTTCAAACTTACATGAATTTATATAAATACGCATATACAGGGTGTCCTTGAAGTCTAAGATCAAATGGCAACAGGTAATCAACAAGGTTCTTACAGTAATCAGAAAAATATTTAAAAAAATCCAAGTCAGATAGTTTTAAAATTATACTAGTCAAAACAAAATAAGGGCTACTTGTTATTTTTAACAGCGGTAGCGATAATTTATTTTTTCTGCGTACTCAAGTAGCTGAATGGTTATTACAGCGTTACTTTATTTGTTTACAAACATTTATTTAAGTGTTCTACAGACATAACTCTGTAAAGTGGGCAGTTTTTGATAATTTATTGTATCCACTTGATTTTACCCGATTTTAAGATGGATTTTAACTCAGTCAAACTGACGATTCTGTCAAGAACAGTTTAGTTTTGTTTTACTTCTGACTGAATTATTTCTTTAACAAAGATATGCCGAGAATCCGACGCCGTATGGACTTACCAACCGTCACTAAGGCCGTAACATTACTTCAAGAAGGCCATTCGCAGCGTTCTGCTGCGATGCAGCTGGGGTTTCTCGGTGAGCAATTCAGAATGCTTGGAATCGATTTCAAGAGACTGGGAGACTAACCAGGAGACGGGGATCTGGCAGAAATCGAGCAACTACCGCACAGGAAGACTGCTACATACGTTTGACTGCGCGCAGAGAACGCTGCATCACAGCCCGTTCCTTACAAAACCAATTGCGGCAGGCTACGGGTACACGTGTTAGTGATCAAACCATTAGAAATCGGTTACACGAGGACCAGCAGTTCTCTAGGAGACGTGTAGTGCGGATACCATTGACAAGTGCTCATCGTGCAAACCGATTATCGTTCGTAAGGCAGCATCTGGCATGGGATATGAGTGAATGGATATAATGACTTGTGTGTTATTCACGAAAAAGTACACCCTGTGCCAGTCTTTTGACTCTTGTTGCTACAATTCTTTATTTTTTCGTCTGTATGAGTACATGTACAATGTACTGCGGTAGTAGTGGCAAATTTCACCCAAAATTGGCGCATTTAATAAGGATTCTAAAATGGTATGTCACTGCCGCCATTATCTTTTTAGTTCGACGCAAAATAACTAATAGTTTTCAACAAAACTCCGTTTCAATATTTTTCTGATAACTATAGGAACCTTGCCGATCATCAGGTGCCATTTGATTGTCGACTTCAGGGACACCCTGTATATTATTATATTGTTCTATTCAATTTAAAGTAGAATTGATGTTTTTGTTATTTCACAGGTTATACGCATAAAGGAATATAATATTTATGCATGCAATTATCCAAAATAAATGTTAATTTTTAGGAGTCATATTATGTTACGTAAACGTAATTTAGATTTAGTAGAAAGAGAAAATTCGATCTTAATCAATAATTTTTTCATTAATTATCCCAAACCTTGAATTATTATCGTCCACTACTTTTAAAGCAAATATCATGAAAATCTCAACTGTGCCGAAGTCGCTGAACACGACTTTATTTAGAAAAAAAATAGTTGCCGATCAGCCATTGAAACTTTAGTGCACCAAATGATAACACCTCGACCGGTTGTCTAGGTACGTAATTATAAAAGCTCTGACCCTGCAACTCATAACCACCTTGCTTCAACCTCCGGCTTGCCATGACCGTGACCATGGAATTATAATTATGGTTTTTGGATTTTCCATATACATCACCAACATCAATAACAAACTAATTAATCAAGATTTTTATGCATGCACTCATTGCAATCAAGATTTTTATTGCTGCTTCGAGAAAAGTCTCAAGTTTTCTCGTTCCTAAAAGTATAATGTCATAACATAACATCACGCCTTTTATCCCCAAAGGGGCCGGCAGAGGTACACATTACGGCACTGTAATACCCACTTTTCACTATTTACGTTGTACCATGTAATAGGGGCGAGCCTATTGCCTATACCGGGCACAATTCACACAAGTATAATATCATAACATAACATCACGCCTTTTATCCGCGAAGGAGCCGGCAGAGGTACACATTACGGTACTGTAACACCCACTTTTCACTATTTATGTTAAGAGCCCCATGTAGTAGGGGGGTGGGCCTATTGCCATATACAATTCACACAAGTATAATATCCTCATTCACTTACACACTCTTCAAGGAGTAAGAGTATCGACAGTATGTTTTCTGTCAGTAATCATTCATTGATTCATGAAATTCATATAAGTTCACATAGTTGCGAGCGCAACTGCTCAGCAAGTTGCATCGCATATGGCTTTTTTAAATATCAGGGCTTCGCATTTGGCTACCATCTCGCCTGGAGGTAAGCGATGATGTAGCCGAAGATAGAGTACACCTACCTATAATATAAATAAGCAACTTATTCACTCGCACTCGGGCCTTGAAGACATCCACGTTTATTTTTTAGGAAACACAGACTCCAGCTTTCTCCTTTTCGGGCCTGCGACGGCGAGCATGGGTGGCTCCACGTCCGACCAGAAACAGACCGAGCGTACGGCGCATTGCGTTCCGCGCACTCCTCAAAGAGCCATCAGACCGCCATGGATGGGGCCTAACAGGTCTGATGCCGATTCGGAGTCGTGGAGAATCTAACGGGTTACCGAAGCTCCGGCTCGAAGCGCAGGAGAAGTAACAGGGTGGTTTTTAGTCAGTAAGAGTTTGACACTCTTTCCTGCCTCACCCAGGCGGGAGAAGTCATTCGGTGATTTTCCCCCTTAAAAAAAAGCTTTCTCCTTTTATTACAAGAATTTATTATTTTTTCCAAGAATTTATTATTTAACCACAAAACAAATATAATAAGCCAATTATCGTTTTCACACTGTGTCTGTGTGACGGTAACAATTAATGGCCACATATTTTAACAAAGGTGTAGAATTTCAGAAGTTAGGGCTTATGAATTCAGGCCGTGTAGATTTATAAACTTGTTTTTACAAGTGATCTGATAACTTTTTCACAGTGTAATATTAAAAAATGAAGTAACATTTTACATTAAAATGTCTTTTGTAGGATTGATCTGTCTATGGTCTACACTCTACACCGTCTACATCTTGGACTTGAATAACTCAGAGAGCCATCTAATGAGTAAAGATAAAAGTTATGTTATGATTAAGTAACTCCTTTTGCATTATTTTATAGTTTCACTCGCTTCGAGTTTATTGGCATAGATGGCGTTGGCAGCCAGAATTGCATTCATTTATAAACAAATGATATAATAATATAGAGGTAGATATTGATTCATTCATTTGAATTTAAACAGATTATACCCTGTTGAAATTCATTATAAAATATTGAATTACGTACGTGTAATTTTCCATTCTAAAATCTTAAGGTTACTTAATAATTGCATATTTTCCTATTTCCAGACTCACAATGATAACTGCAACATTTTTCTCATTACTAGTGGAAGCTCCATTGTGAAACCTCAAACAATACTTCCTCAAACGTGATTTATTCAAGGAAAAGAAGAAAAGTTCAATAATTGACTAACGCAATGATACATTTTACAAGAGTAAAAGAATATAAAGAACACTAGCATTTATGATAGCTCTTTTCTATCCTTTGTATAGTTCATAACATGTAAGAAGAAGAAATTCAAATAAACCAAATAATTAGCTAGGTATCTTTATTAATTTAAACAACAAAAAATAAAGATGGGGAAGATTAAAAAAATAAAATGTGTATTCAGATTAAAACTTTATTGATTGTAAACATTTTTAATATAAAAACATTCGTGTTTAGTAATTAACTACAATTAATTAGTATATTTAATAAACCTATACCTAAAAGTGCAGTTATAATGCCTAACATAATAAACATAGACTAGATGTCGTCTGCACAAACAGGACCACGTCAAGAGGTCCCTTAGAAAAACTTCTTTATTTTAATCGGTATATTATTGAAACCAATTTTTAAAAGATCACAAATTGAGCTCTTTTTCTTATCGTCAGTAAGTAAAAATCTAAAAACTTCATAACTATTCTTTAAACAAAGTGATAAAAATTCACAATCCTGTCATGTTCTCGTCTCATATATCAATTAGAAAGTCTTCATTTAAACTCCAATTCTAAAAAACTCGATAATCTCGGTAAATCTCATTAGATTTCATGTCCACTTCATTTATCTCATTGTCATCAATCTAAAGGTATTCCACAACAAAAGCCTAACTAAAGTTATAAAAATAGGATCCTTAATTATATTTACAAAAGGCAATGCAATCAAGTCTTCTTCTAAGACTGTGGTGAGCAAACTTCACTTGAAATTGTATGAAGAATTTAATTCAACCTGCCAACAGGTTTTGGCTTGCAAAGGCTTACAAATATGATATTCTGATGTTCCAATCAAAATGGGACAGTTAAACCAGCGAAGTAATTAATTACATACATGTAAGAGGCATGAGGTCTGGTGGTTTGTCATCAGGTCTTCTGACCGTTTCCTAAAACTTTTCAACTGATTCCTCATGAAAAAGGTTTGCCCACCACTAAAGATTTATCCTTCCCACACTAGGCATCATTCCTCCTTCTAATTTGTGAGACCAGGTCAAATGACTTTCCAGCAGCTTCCACTGGTATTGACGGTCGTCTCTCAGGCCCATCTCCCTCGGTCATGGCTTTCCATAGCTGGATGAGTGGCAGTTCCACTAGAAGGCACAAGGGAACTGATGCGATGTAGCTCAGCACTGATGATGTTATTAGCAGGGATAGCTGCAAGAAGAAATGAACAGGACGTACGTATAAAACTGATTTAGGACTTTTCTGGAGTGGGTTGTAGTGCAATCATCCTCTGTATGATTCTTACCATAGAGAGCACAGTGGCGTGTCCCAGCTGAGTGTTACTGGCAAGAGTGATCCTCAGCACAATGAAATGGATGAGGAATACACAGTACGACAGCCTGCCGAGGATATGGAAGCCACGCCACTCCAACCCGTCACGAATCATAGCTGTAAATGACAACGCATTATCTTCCATTTCTTGCCATCAGATGGACAGTATGTTTTTTGACCACCTCATTCATTAAGAAATATCGAATTTAACCGTTTTATTTAAACTTCATTATATCAATTAGATACTTACACCAACATCTGGAGAAGCAACCTAGCATGAAGATGCAGAAGAATGTTGCGACCAGGGGTCGGTCGATTGCAGCGTAAAGAGCTGATGCCCACTGAGGCAGTGGGGAATCTGACAGGAATATAGTACCGGCCAGCAGCACCGCACTGCCCAGGAAGAGTGCTGAGTGGAACAGCATGTTGAACCACTACGATAAGAGAAATAGAAAGTTTTGATTTGTATATTATTACAACTTCGATGACGAACGGTGCTTAGTTGATTACACAATAAAATGAATATGAATTAACACAAAACTGGAAAATGTCTATACCTACGCACTATTAAATAGTTTTTGTAAAAGAATATACCTAAATGATTTTTAAAACTTAAAAAGTCTACACATTACAATCAAAGAAGGAAACAAAATTACTTTAAAAATACTAAATGACATTCCATCAGTATCTCACCTTGCTGTCTTTAAGTTTAATCTCTCCCTTGATGTTGTTGTGGTAGAGGATGAAGGCAGTGGCGATGCCTCCGATGTAGCCTGGAAGGTTCATCCAGAATGGCAGGTACAGCAACGTCAGGATCTGGGAACCCGCGAACATGTTGCGAAGGACCCTTGAAGGTATTCAGATTGAGTTGTAAGTCATTATAACAGCAGAATAAATTAGCTTTACAACAATTTCATTGCGTAAAAAATCAGTACAAAGAACTAATGTTTGCAATCCTCTCAAGCAAGGAGGCAAGTTGTGTCATAGAACAGAGATCTTCAACTTTCTTCTCTTTCTTTCTCTGTCTTTCTCATTCTAAATACTCACTCTGGCGTCTGTGCAGTAACGATAGGTGTGAGGTGGTAGAAGTAGACCACCAGACCAGCTGCTACCGAGGATCCCACCATGAACAGCATCAGCACCGGGATGACTGCTTTCTTGTACCTCATCAGTGCCAACAGGAGGAACACTCCGATGATATGGAGCTGCATGTCTGCTGCCAAGTACCTGAAGATGTATGACGGATTAATTAATTACATTGAAGTGAATTAGATGTTATTATTATTCGATAGGATGGGCCGCATTTTATTTTAAGTATCAGTTTACATCCCAGTTTGGTTTACTTTTTTATTGTCAGTTTTGGTTCCGTCATATTTGTTTGTAGTTTTAAAGCTTAACCAATTTAATTTTGCTTTGTCACTTTCTATAATAGTTATAACTCATACAAACCTACTTCTACTGGTCTACTAAGGCTTTCAATCACTCACCAAGTATGTCCCATGCAGAACTTGCCAGTGGGCAGATGGTTGTGCACATACAACACGTGGTACCACCATCTCTCCGAGCAGTCGTGTGCCTCTCTCTCCACAAGCCATGACCACTGCGGTCCAGCGCCCAGCAGTGGGAACCATGCCACAGTAAACCAGAGCGCGAACACCGCTAGAGGTGTCAACCTGGTTATGAAGATCAAGGGTTAAGGAAATGTAGTCTAAAATTGGTAAAAGGCAAAGACTACTCTTAGTGAACAAGTTAAGACTTAATTTACTTTATCACTACTTACAGTAATAGTGGTACATTACTAAATATTTAAGTAAATTTACCTTAATAATTCTTTGCAATAATGGTTCTTAAAACATCAAAATACCTGATCCATCTATTCACAATGGACATGACGCATTTGAAGAAGGTGATAGGTTTGGTGGGTGAGGAGACGAGGGTGGCGTACGCAGTGAGAAAACCAGACATCGCGAAGAAAGCTTGCAGCCACAGTGGAGAGTTCATCACTGCTTGCCAGGTGAAGTGGTCGTACATCTAGAAGTTAGAGAAGATTGGTTTACAAAGAAGGTATAAACGCAGTAGTAATTTTTTTTCACCAAAAATACGTTTGAGAAGATTCAGAGCAATTTAAGGCCTCACCCTTTCAATGAACTGTGGATTGTCAATGTACGAGTAGATGTAGATCAACATCACGTGGGAGAAGATCACGCATTGCATTCCGAGGAACCTGGAATTAAAAAGTAATCTCTAGTGGAATATGTAAATAGAAGAATAAAATATAAATAAGTTATTTATATTTTATTTCTGCGTCCAATCTTTAAGGTTGTAGTTGTTCCACTTTCCACACTTCCTGAGCCTATGACGTCATTTTACAACAGGAAATACTTAAGGGGTAAATACTAAATACTTTTAGTGCTTTACAGACCCTTCATATAAGAATCAAATCTTATATACTACCTCTATTATATAAAGCGGAAGAGTTTCTTTGTTTGTTTGTTTGAACGCGCTAATCTCCGTAACTACAAGTCACATTTGAATAATTCTTTTTGTGTTGGATAGCGCATTTATCGAGGATGGTTATAGGCTAAAAAACATCACGCTACGACCAATAGGAGCTGAGCAGAGCGTGTGAAACCGCGCGGAAGTAGCTAGTTGAGTAATATAAAAGTGTTACCTGATCCCTTCGATACACGCCACATCCTTCATACGGTCGTCTGTCCTCGGCTTGCAGCGGTCGTACGTCAGAATATCAAAGTTACGCTTCAATGAGAATGCTAGCAAGTACCTGTTACCTATAATCAGTCAACGGAAGACTGTGGTTAGGAAGATGTCATATATTATATTATTTGAAGTGACTTTGTAAGTGCAGAGTGTAGTTTCTCAGGATAAGTTAATGAAGATGAAGAAAATAACATAACATAACATAACACCACGCCTGCCCCGAAGGGGCAGGCAGAGGTGCACATAATGCCACTGTACAATGTAACACCCACTTTTCACTATTTATGTTATGAGTCCCATGTAATAGGGGGGTGAACCTATTGCCATATACAGGGCACAATTCCAGACTCCGTGCTACTACTGAGATTTTTTTTAAAACCCAGTAATACTTTGCCCCACCCGGGAATCGAACCCGAGACCCCTTGCCTGGCTGTCGCACTTGCGACCATACCATACGGCCAACGAGGCAGTCAAATGAAGGAAAGAGTGATTTAAAATAGGAGAAAGTAAAAGTAGGTTGTAACTTCAGAGATAATAAGACAGAAGGACGAAAGGTAGAGGTGTTTAGTGTGCAGAATATACATCGTTCATTAGAAAGCTACGAATTACAGATGATGTCTAATTGATTACGTCCCAGCATCCTAATATCAACTTTCTAACTAATATTCATAGGTGCGGAAACAAGAGATGAAGAAATAAGTATAATCGTCCCTCCTTACGTAACGATTGTTCGTCTTATGGCCAAAATTAATAAACGACATTAGTTAGAATATAGAGTTTCTGCCAAAAATCAAACGTAATCCAGATCTTGGATTAAGATCAGTATGAGGCTATTTATTTAGGCCCTTAAAGGTTTTTAACAACAACATTATTTATTACTAAAATATATCTATATAAACAAATCAAGCATGCGCCATCAATCACAGCCTTTTTGCACCGCCATGTACACTATTTTTTCTCTATTTTTATTTTTTTGGATCTTACAAGTTCATCTATTCAATAACCAACTAAGACACATAGCATTAATAATGTCACCCTCATATAGAACAAAGACACCAGTATAAAGATACAATAGGTATTTTACACTCAGCCTTGGCGCAGCGGTCGCCTAACACATGCACCCCAGTAGCGAGGCAGGCCAGGGCCACCAGCATGGTGCAGATGACGGCTAGCGACCGGCCTGGACCAGAGCTCTCTGGAGGAGAGTCCGCAGACATACACCAGTCCACTGACAATACTTCCGCCTGGAGAGGAAGAAAATAGATAATAATGTAGGTATTCACCTATTTTTAAGATCTAAATGTCAAAATCAGAAGGCTCTGTAATAAAGGTTAACGAATTATTATATGCTCTTAGTACCAGTTCATTGCTGACAAGAAGCAAATATTTGTATCATCGAATCACATCTTTTGAATTGCGTTGTTACGTAAAACTAGCTTTCTTCGCGAATTTGGCATTTAAAACGGTTCTAATAATGAACCCACACAGTTCACTGGTGAAAATCGCATAAAAATCAACCTAGTAGTATATAGTAGATAGACACTAAACAGACAAATAAGTGCTGAGGACTTTGTCTTACTATTTGGGTGGGGAAGAACAAAGATATGAATATAGTCCTCACCTCGAGGCCATACTGCTTCACGCTGTTATTGACACATCCCTGTGCCGCCTCCTGCCAGCCAGCCGTCCCATTCTGCCGGCCACACCTCGATACACACACGCCGCGATGGATCTGAGTGCGGTTGTAGTGTTTCAGAGACTGTTTTGAATAGTCCTGGAAAGGAAAGACAATGTAAATTAATTTTTAGTAGACGAATAATATTGATGATTGATCTCTGTATTGCAAAATTGGAATTTCAGACGAATAATGTATTATTGTTTCATTAACTTGGTGAGTATATGGATGCCTATGTGTTAAATACTAGCTTCGGACAGTGGTTCCACCCGCATTCCCTCGGCATAAAAAATAGCCATCAGATCCAGATAATAATCTACTCATGTATTTACCAATCTGTTTTCGTCTCGATCCCTTCAGCCATTTTGACGTGATTAAGTAATAACACACAAACTTCCGCATTTATAATATTAGTTCTTACTATATCTTTAACATAACATAACATCACGCCTTTTATCCCCGAAGGGGTAGGCAGAGGTGCACATTACGGCACTTAATGCCACTGTACAATGTAACACCCACTTTTCACTACTTAAATTATGAGTCCCATGTAATAGGGGGTGAACCTATTGCCATATACCGGGCACATTTCCAGACTCCGTGCTACTACAGAGGTTTTTACAAACCCAGTAATACTTTGCCTGACCCGGGAATCAAACCCGAGACCCCTTGCCCGGCAGTCGCACTTGCGACCACTCGGCCAATGAGGCAGTCAATATTAGTAAGATATAAGAAATTATTACATTCAGGTACGATGTACCTAATCAATCAAAAATTAAGTTCAATGCAATAATTTAGAACGAAGAAAGTCATTTAAATTGCGAAGCGGAGCATCAACTTTTACTTATTATTTATTGAAATAATTCTTGATCTTAATCTCAAAGTTAATTAATCAAATGTAGACCACTAACAACAAGTTATATCAGTCTATTTTTGGTAGTAATACCTACGTACTGAAGATTTATAATACGTCTAATATAATTTCCGGTTCAAATACAGAATTGTCTGCGTCTATATTTACTTTTATAATATTTGTTCTAATGGTAGAAATCTTAAATGCAAATGTTTGAGAATTTAGTCTCCAATGTGATCACCGGATCGTATTGCTCGGCTTTCAAAAATCATCGTAATTCATCGCTAATTTTAAAATACTGCCTCGTTGGCCGAGTGGTTGCAAGTGCGACTGCCGGGCAAGGGGTATCGGGTTCGATTCCCGGGTCGGGAAAAGTATTACTGGGTTTTAAAAAAAATCTCAGTAGTAGCACGGAGTCTGGAATTGTGCCCGGTATATGGCAATAGGCTCACCCCCTATTACATGGGACTCATAACATAAATAGTGAAAAGTGGGTGTTACATTGTACAGTGGCATAATGTGCACCTCTGCCTACCCGTTCGGGTATAAAAGGCGTGACCCTAAAATCCTCAAATTCCTAATCCCCATAAGACCATGTGCGACGCCGATTGCTTACCATTAGGTGAACCTGCTCGTTTACCGGCTTATCCCATAAAAAATAATAGTAGGTACTCAAAACTCTCTCTCAAAAGTATAATTTCTATATCTCCTAACACAAACCTCGCTACCATGCCAAAAACTATTTCTTAACCAAGATTTATATATTCTATGTAGATTTATGTATATTTATATACCAACTCATGTCGACATTAAACTAAAATTCGTCAAATCAACAACAACTTCGCATAGCCGGCCTTGTGCTTACAACACACTGGACTTGTGGACCCCCGCAACTCCTTGCTATCACTTACTCAATGATTTAGACAGAAGGACATTTTTATATGTATTTACGAAATAACATAACCAATGTTTAGAACTTGGTTTGTAACTGTGTTAAGACAGGGGTTATCTGATTGACCTGTTTGTTTGTAAATATGTACATAACATAATTTGTCTGATTTATTTTTTTTTTTTCACAAAACATATCTGTGAATGGCGGACTTAATGCCTTACAGTCAATCATAGGGAAGTGCAAACAAATGAAGTGGTTGATACGAAGCCAGAACACAATCCAAAAAATTATGTTATTTAAACTTCTAAGCACGTTTCCTATAGCTATCCTACTAATATTATAAATGTGGAAGTTTGTGAGGATGTGTGTGTGTGTTTGTTACTTCTTTTACGCAACATCTACTGATCAGATTGGGATGGAATTTGTAATTTTCTTGCCACCATCGTGGTAGCAGACAAAATATAACATTTCAATATAATTTACCAATAGAAATAGCCAAACGGCTACAATAATCACCAAGAATTTTACCTAACAATCATAAATCATCATTTATAAAAGTTGACCTTCGTCAAATGTTGTGTGAACTTATTTAGATGGTAAAAGGCAATAGAGATAGCTCAAGTAAAGTTGCCAAACAACCAGATTATATTGAATGAAATAGTTGGTGCGGCGTGGTCGGCCGGCGCCGGCGCCCGCTGCGTATGTGTACACAATCGTGACCTTTGCAATACATTTACATTTGTTGAAACGAGCTACGAAATATTTGATCAATTAAAATTCTTAGTTGTACGTTTTTACTTTAGTTTTTGTTAAGTTAAACGCAATTGTGGAGCACGTGGTCCTAAAGGTGTCAATACACAGCCGACGACAGTACATAACACGGTTTGCCATAATCTTGGCAGGTGGATAACGCAGTTTAAAATGATAAGGTTTTTTTTTAATGGGACAAGCCCGCTACAACCTCCCAAAAACCGCTGCAACTCCTGTAAGCCATAAGCCAGGATCTACAGTAGATACAACCATGAAAACACCGGAACACTGAAGTCCGGCGCGTCCCAGGGACATGAGTAACTGTCGAAAGAATGTTCAGGTTTACAGAGAGTGTTATTTACGTTCTCTGTCAAATTCAATTGTATAGTATTAGATTGCTTACCATCAGGTGGTCCGTCTGCTCGTTTACCGGCTCGTGCCCATAAAGAAGTATTGCAATGTGCACTAGCGCCACCCGCAGGTAAATGCAGGAGTATACCTAGATACTCGACCGTCATCACATGACTAATTTTACGACAAATTTTGTAGGGGTAAAAAGTAGCCTAGGTAAGTATTACTTCAGACCATAATCGGACATGTGTTCCAAATGTCATCCCAGTCCCTTCAGCCGTTTTGATAGATTGAGTAACAAACAAACACACAAACTGACATATTTTTGCATATATAATATCGGTTCAAGCTAATGCTTCGGCACGAATGGGCCGGCTCGACCGGAGTGATACCACGGCCTCACAGAAAACCGACGTGAAGCAACACTTGCGTTGTATTTCGTCGTGTGAGTGAGGTTACCGGAGGCCCAATTACCCTCCCCTTCCCCAATTTCCCCAATTCTTGAATCACCGATTCTCAAACTCCTAATCCCTAAAAGGCCGGTAACGCACTTGTAACGCCTCAGGTGTTCCAGGTGTCAATGGGCGACGCCGATTGCTAACCATCAGGTGATTCGTATGCTCGTTTACCGGCTCAGGCCATAAAAAAAAATCATCGGCCCTGGAGTTGCAACATAAAGTCCACTGCGGGCAACCAAACATTCGACAAAGTTATATTTGCATTTGGTACAGTAACCATGTCTAGGGATAGCGCCTCACAATTAAGTTTGTTTTTTCGTGTAGATACTTTTTCGGGATAAAAAGTAGTTGTGCCCAGGATATTAAAGAATAATCATACGAAGTTTTACTGCGAGTTTTTACGTGATGGGTGAAAATACAGACAGAGAGACAAAAAAATGCAAATGTAATGTAACAAACCCCAATAATTATTCTTTTTATCTTTTCAATGTACAGAATTTATACTTGTACAGTTTTATTATATGTCACTACATAGTATAAAACAAAGTCGCTATCCGCTGTCTGTCTGTCCCTATGTATGCTTAGATCTTTAAAACTACGCGACGGATCTTGATGCGGGTTTTTTTAAATAAATAGAGTGATTCTCAAGGAATGTTTATATGTATAATACACGCATATTGCACCCGTGCGAAGCCGGGTCGGGTCGTTAGTATAGAATAAGATAATTTAAAGGCATTATTAACAACAGCGAAATGCTTTAGAAAATGTAATTGTCCTCGAGGCAATTATTCATTTCGGAAAACATAAATCTACATAAAAATATTAAAATACATGTAATGTACAAACAACATCGACACATGTAATCCTATGTAAACATTATTGCACTTTAAGCATAACCTCGACACAGCTTGCAATGCAATAATAGTGTCTATTGAACATTTATTTTGTATTTCGATAGTCTAATGTTTACTATAGTCGTAAATTTTAAAGTAGGTGAACATAGAATAATATTTTATTGTAATGTAGTATTGTTATGTAATGGGGTGTGGTTATAGGCACACCCTTTGTCACATGGTTTAACATTAGTTATTTTGTAACAGGTGGAAGTTTTTGATGTCGAACAATAATCGTATTTCATTCGCTGTATTGTTTACTAGCTTCTGTTGGAGGTAACCTAGCCTACTTTTTTTTAAGGGATACCGGTAAACGTGCCGGTAAACGAACAGACGGATCACCTGAGTGCCAAGCACGAATAACTATCCCATTCGTATCGTAACAGTATCGAGCGAGTTAAGCGTTCTGATTGGTTGGTTCACTTGAGCCGGCCAATCAGAGCGCCGAACGCGCTCGATACTATTACGTTACGAATGCGATAGTTATTCGTGCTAGGCACTCTGATGGTAAGAAATCGGCGTCAACCATCGACATCTGGAACACCAGAGGCGTTACAAGTACGTTACCGGCATTTTGGGGATTCGGAATTTGAGGATTGTTCAGGGATTAGGGCAATTGGGAAAAGGGGGTAATTGTGGTGTTATACCAGACCATAATGTGGGGTACATTCTCAAACATCCCGATCCCTTCAGCTGTATTACGTGATTTTGTTACACAAAACTTACTCACAAACTATCGTATTTATAAGATTATTAGATAATCTTACTAATATTAACAAACTATAATTATAGTTTTGACCTCTGTAATAAGCGACTCGTGAAACATTCGACTCTAGTTTCTCTTATTGAGAATTTTAAAGACCAAAACAGCAGTAATACCTTACTAACTTGCTCGGTAGTCCTCCAAAGTAGAAACATTATGTCATATTGAACACCAAACACTACCTATTCACGCTGGGTCCCCACTGTTGCATAAACTGTATAATTCTTGCAAACCTCGTGCTGTCGATGTGTCGGGAATATATATAGTACTTGTTATATAATATAATTATATGTATATAAGGAAGCATCTCACTTGGTCACTTGGCCACAAGCCTGCAGTTGGCGCATGCGTATTAAACACACGTCTCAATTAAATTAGAATCAGATGCATCACGCATTATTGATTTCTATTTATGTATGTTGTTTGTTTCCGTCAACATGTGTGGACAGGATTTTATCTCGAGCTATGTTTTATCGTTAAATAAAATAATGAAAACGTAAATGGAAAAATGTGTTTGTTATCTTTGCGATTTTTTATGATTTTTATTCCATGTAGGAAATAATAAAGGATTTTTTTCATTTTCCTATATACCGATATTGGTTCATTTTAATACAGACCACGTTATAATTTTATAAATATAAAATTGGAATAAATTTGCTTTTAAAAACTCAAAATTCAAAGCATTTATTTCAACTAAACCATAAAGAGGTACTTTTGAAACGTCAACAAATAAAGAATAGTCTGTCAGTCTGTCCGTCAGCGAAGATAGGTTTTAAGTTTAGCACGAACGCATTTTAGGTAAGATTAAGTGCATTATTTGCTCACTAATTTCTTATTTCATATATCAACCAAATAGTGAAAAGGAATAGTAGTTGTAGTAGTAGTTATATCTCCTTTAGAAACTTATTAAATATCTAATAATTAAATACTATATATATATAATACTTTTGTAAAAGGTTAATGTTATATTTTTATTTAATATACACTCTACCTTTTTGATATTTTGAAATATTAAGATTTTTCGAAATAATTTCTACTTTATCAATCTGTACCTTGCTTTCACACAGACATATCATATTTACATTTGTAAATAGTGCAGAAATACCTGAGTTTGTGTATATAACCTCAAGGCAAGCTACACAAAGGCTTCACGAGCACATTCTAAATGCAATGAGTTATGCACACAAATACACAACGATGATTATTATTGCAACACCGAATAAACAAACTGAATAAACACTATAGGTTTCGTTAACACGTTTAAATAATATAAAAGATAATTAGTTAAATAATAACGGCTCATCATCAATCATCATCAACAGCCTATAAATGCCCACTGCTGAGCAAAGCCTCTTCTCACACAGAGAAGGTTAGTTCTCACCACGCTTGCTCAATGCGGGTTGGCGATTTCAAACTCATAACTAGAAATTATAAGTCCAGGTTTCCTCACGATGTTATTCCTTCACCGTTTGTCAGTGGTGTCTAAATAATCTTAGAAAGTACATATAACTCGGAAAAAGTCACATTGATACTTGCCGTTGGTAGGTTTCGAACCCGCACCCTCATGTATGAGAAGTGGGCGTCTTAAACCTCCGGGTCACCACGACATTGTCTAACGGCTAGTCGAGGTTGAATCTTCTGCAAAAAGTATATGTATATAGTACATGTGCAAAGACGCACGTCCCGGCGACTGTCGCGCTGAATACGAGCCTCTAGCATGGCTTAAAACTAGGCGAGTTCCTCGTCAAATAATTACGTGAGTAGGCCGAAAAACGTAGCTCAAGAACGACATTCAATGGAAAAGGTTGGCCTTTGCCGACCGGCAAACAGATTTTCAGAAAATAAGTAATAGGTATTTTATAGATACTAGACCTAAGTAGGTATTGCAAATCTTAGCCAATTTTAAATTATGTAACAGTTATTAGTTGGATTTGAATAAAGGGCTATTTTATTTTATTTTTTTATTTTTAAGCCGAAAAACATAATAATAAATAACTAGAGGTCATTTAGAACCTGTCAAACTATTTTTTTTAAAGAAAAACGTTTACAAACATACAAGTTCACATACACATGAAACCCAGATCCGAAACAACAATTTGTTGATAACACATAGAGTTGCTACGTGTGGGAATCGAACCCGCGACACGTTGCGCGGCAGCCGGTTGCCCAGCTACCGCACCAACAGTGCCATTAATAAACCTAAACTTATCTTAACCGAAGTTCACCTGTCTTTTACACCTCTGCCTACTCCTTCGGGGATAAAAGGCAATGACGTTATGTTATGTTAACATTCATTATTTCCTTTGAAATACTTTGATGCATCCCCCTTCAGACATTTACATCGACCTTCTAAATATCCTGCATACGATACGTAGTTGCAGCTAACTGTTATTTATACTAATTGTTTATTTGATAGCCTTAGAATCGAACACCTTGACCTCCACTTTTCAAAGGTTTACAATTATTTGATCATTATGTTACATTATTGTAAAGCTGCATGCAAGCATGGCCAGGTGAAATAATTGTATTTATTTATTTTGTTGCTTGAAGGTTTCAAGGGTTTTATTAATTTTAATTGAGTAATTATGTCATGTAATAACACCGTAAATAATAGTTTCCTTATTACGTAAGTATAAAATGAATCAATATACAATATTAGGTACGGAATACATTAAGGTATGAACTGTCTGAAAATATTTCGAAGCAAAGACCTACGCTGCGCGTTGATATCTTTTGTTTGTAGCATTGCCTTTCCGTTTTATTATTAATGTTTATCGTTATTAAGACCAAGATTTGAGTAAGTATAGAGGTAAATATAAGTTATATGAGTGCGTGAAACCCTAACAATTTAAATGGTGTGCATAATACAATCACTTTATTTAATTAGAATGATCACAATCGTGATGCTTGCTTTTAATCTGAAACTCGAATGAATAATAAGCTTGCTACTATGTATATTTTTTATCATTAGATATCATCGTCTCTCAGAAATATTGTAGCTTAATATGAAGCTCGGCCACATAATAAATTCCTATTCATTTTCAATTCCTAAATCAGAACCATTCTCACCTGCCTTCTCCTTATCTCTTCATGGAGATAGTGGTACTGTATTATGTTGCCTCGTACTCCAGGCATGGACCGTCCTAGGTTTTTGTTGATGATGATATTAAAGACGTACCGTTAACAGCATCATAGTAGGCGATGGTTCCCGCGAGTGCAGCGCGGCGTCGACGATGCAGTACACGTCGCCCGGCCGCCGGCACTGCTCCCACTCGTCCAGCCCGTACAGGGGGGGCAGCGTCGCCAACACTGTGTCTGGAAGGCACAGACAGGGAAGATTCTTAGATTTAAAACTAGACTTCGAGGTACCGAACGTAGATATACGCGAGACACAATGTGTTTTCTCTTATGGCTTATATACCGGCACTCACGAGGTTTAGAAATGATAATTTAAAACTACTTTCCAAATTAGGACAGATAAGTCACAGAGAAATTCAAACGTATATAACTAGGAAATGGAGGAACTAATATGCACATAACATCACGCCTTTTATCCCCGAAGGGGTAGGCAGATGTGCACATTATACCACTGCACAATATAAAACCCACTTTTCACTATTTATGTTATTAGTCCCATGTAATAGGGGGTGAGCCTATTGCCATATACCGGGCACAATTCCAGAATCCGTGCTACTACTGAGAATTTTGAAAAAAACCCAGTAATACTTTGCCTGACCCGGGAATCGAACCCAAGACCCCTTGGCCGGCAGTCGCACTTGCAACCACTCGGACAACGAGGCAGTCGAACTAATATGGTTTGAGCATATCTGCATACACTAGGTACATCCGTAGTCCGTACATACAATTACAGGCTTCGTGCTATCAATGGTACACAATAATACGTTGCCCGTCTCGAAAATCGAAACCAAACTCCTTGGTCGCACTTGTGATCACTCGACAACATCATAGTCAGTATAATCATAATATTATCATTACGATTGTTTGAAAATACGTCATCGATTGTAACCCTATAGAATTCTATGCACGGGGTACCATTAATACAAGAGTCACGAGCCTCTGTACCTCATATAGGGAACAATATAATTGCTTGTAGGCCGATGTATGTATTTGTTCCGATGCCTTGACCGCTGATACAATAAATGAAGCGTTCCATGGACACATGGGCACGTTGATGAGCAGTGTTTGTGAAGACACAAATTAAAGGTTGTAATCTTTAAAAATATTTCACTTAATTATTTATTAGTTTATTGTTTTGATTGATATATGGGTGCATACAAAGGTATTTTGTACCTAGTTTGTTTCTAAAACAATATGTTAGATATACCTCTATATTTGTCAATTCCCCGGAAGGTATCCAACTGTCATTTAACGACTCCAATTTTCAGGTCAGATCAAATCAATTACGTGATACATTGCGAATTAAACAGCATCACGCGTTTTATAACCAATATAAAATAGACAAAAACTTTGCAACTTTGATATGTATATATGAAAATGTATGTACTTATTGTGCTTTGTCTAAACCGGGAATCGAACTCGGGCCCCTTTTTTGAATGGGAGGAAATCATTCAATGATTTCTCCCGCCTTGGGTAAGGCGAGAGAGAGTGTCAGACTCTTACTGACCAAAAACCACTACTCCTGCTCTTCGAGCTGGAGCCCTGGCAACCCGTTAAGTCTTCCGCGGCTCCACTTGACTTAGCTATTATGGTTGTGGCCACCATAACGACGAAACAGTTTTGCTTTGCTTTTTATATGTCATACGACTTTTGCTTTAATTTTTATTGTTTTAATTTTTATGTTGGAATCGTGGCCAGCGATGGTTGATGAAAAATAAGTACCCCTTCAGTGAACACGGGTACAGGACATTATGAATGGAAACACTAATAGTGTTACATGAATTTTAATATAGTAATATTATAGAAAGTCTGAATAAATACGACCTGTAATCCATAACCCATTAAAATAATACCTATTTTTAACATCAGTTAAATCATATTATTATAAATATACGCTCTACGCGCTACTTAATTATTTTATCTTTTTTTATATATTCACATTCATAGGAAAATATTTTTCCACATTTTTTCATCCAGAACGCTACTTACCATTGATATCAACAACACTGGCGATCACCGTAGAAAAACACGCAACGAACCACACGCACCACATATCGACACACCGCCTTGCGCGCGCGCAGCCTCTAACCGACTTGCCAGCACTTGAGAAACGCGCCTGCGCCGCCCTTCTCTGCGTTACGACAGATCATCTCGGTTACACCGTGTCCACACTTGCGTATACGCAGAAAATCAAGTTATTCTAATAAGTTAGATATTAAAAGATTTTAATAACTGTATCTTAGGACTCAGGTAAAGTGTTAATCATTTTGAAAAAGCGCACTTAACTGGATTAAAATTCCAGTTGTCACATTCGTAAGTACATCATGTCATGTATTCGTGAAGGAAGGAAGGATCGTGTTCACTATTCACCTCCCAGCGTAAATACAAGTACCTAATAATTAACAATCAATAGTCATTATGTCCAAAGTTAATTATCGTATCAATTTACCAGTACCTCAGCATCCCTTATCTTAATCTGTCAAAACTGGAACATTGTTTTGTATGAGTTAAACAATGTCAGACGAGTTGTTGTAACGACTTTTTTCTAGAATAGACTTTTATAGAATGATAAGATGTTGAAAGATGTGTCTGTCTGGCTGTCTATCTGACTCTGCACCATTCCTCAAGGCCATCGCTCTAAAAGATTTGCTGCAGTATTGATTATCATCATCCATAACTACGATCCACTGGCTGTACAAAGTAGGCCTTCTGCCCTCTTCTATAATGTGACACTATCGAGGATTTTCAATCTGGTCAAGTGTGAGTTGCTAAACTGTGAGAGATGTGTTAACGTTACTAGTTGTAGAATGCGCAACAACATGTCATTGATTTTGGAATATTTTGGGATATTGCATTGTATATAAACATATTTTATAGTCACCTAGTTTTAGCTGAGCGTTGCGAAGGAATGGGACGTAGAGCTTGTTTCTACATCGCTTGTGACGGCGCTGGTTTAAACCAACATCCTGCTATGTTTTAGATAGGTACTTGCGCGTTATTCTAGCTTTTTGGCAACCATGATGGAATTTAATTCTCTATAACTCCTGCACTGGTACTGCTAGTAATAGGTACGATAAATAACATTTATTTCCCATATTTAATTTTAGCGGCCGAAATAAAATCAGATCTTAGTCCAAACTCTTTGGATCGATCTTGATTTGATAAAATTAATGTAAGTAATGTCAAAAATCGAACGTGATCCGGAAATTTTGGATTGATATCAATTATTAATTTGAACCATACGTGTACCGTGGGAAAAAAATACTCGTTTTACTACTAACGCTGTGATAAAATACAATACAAAACACTTGTAGCTACTATCAATGGGAAGCCTTCTGGCTTTGGTTGATTAAAATAGAAAGATGGGGAAACTAGTCGAGTTCCTCGTGAAACAATTACATGAGTAGGCCGAAAACATAATAATTAATTTAGTATGTCTCAGGAAATGTACAATTTAAATAAAATAGAAAGATTTCGCGAGCCCACTGAACAACATAGTCTGAGGAAATTAAGAATTCTTTCACGATCACGGTCCGACCTAGACCCGAGAATATTTTATTATCTGAACTCTTTTATTTGTTCAATAAGAATAACAAACAGAATAATAAATGTACCAGTAAATAAATCTTATAAAACGCACCTAACAATTCTTGTTCTTTATTTTCTGCTTTTGTACAACTTTAGAAGTACTTTTAATCTCCTTGTGGGATTGTTGAGCGAGTGCTCATTATTATTATCAGTAGGTTAACGGTGCAATATAAAACCACCCAACACGGGAAGACTTCTAGCGGTCGTGAAGGTCGAATCAACACCCCTCGGGTTGATTGAACCTTCGGGAATCTCACTCACACGACGAAACACAGCTCAAACCCGAGACCCCTTACTCATAATTTTGTTCCGTCAACACCATTACTTGACCTTGACCAAGATTCCTGTTTTCTATGGAAAACGTTTAGTGTACATCGATCTGCCCACCTGTCCCCAGCAACAAGTTCGATAGTGTTGCCACACTCGAGGTGAACGTCCACTGCGTCAGTTCAAGGTCCAGTGTTGCAACATCGGAATATACAAATGTGCAACAACTTTATATTACTTTTTGTAATGTAAACTAATGTGTGATTATAGATGAGGGAGTTCGTTTGTACGTACTAACTTTGACGAGCGGCTTCGCCCGCGATCCTGTTGGGTAAAAAGGCTTGTGTTATTCCACACCATAATCTACCCCTGTTGCAAATTTCATCCCGATCTCTTCAGCCATTTTAACGTGACGGAGTGAGAAATAAACATACAAAGTTACGCCATTTATAATATTAGTAGGAAGTAGGATTGGTGGGATTTGAATAGATCTATTTGCATTAATTAACCTAATTTGTAAAGAATGTTAGAAAACTTCTTAGTAATTTTCACTAGTGTAAGTATACCATTTACTGTCCAATATAATCTATGACTTTCTTCCCGATACATATTGTCATCGGCCTTTTATTCGTTTTACAAACATTCAATTCGTGTTACATGTAAAACTGAATAAGCCTTGACGGCGCAAGCTGCTCATGAGGAAGAACCCTTCTTTGGTTCGAAACTAGTAGAGCTTTTCTCAGTATATTCACGTGAGTAACCCGCTATTTTTAGTTAATTAAGTTCTGTAAAGGGAAAACAACCACAACTTACACAAAATAAAAGGCAAGCATCAAAATAATGACTTTTTAATGAATTGTTTTTTCTCAAATTTCAAATATGTATTAATATTTACATGAATAATCTTATTTTAAACGTAAAATAAAAATATCGTTGATTACGTTAGACAACACCGCGTCTTGTTCATTGCTTGACAACCCTATTTTGGTACCGACACATCAAAACTGGAAGTGGTACCGTCCTTTTGTATTAGAAACAATACTATCTATAAATTCTTAAACATTCTATCTATTAAAGGTTAAAGCGATGATTTCTATAATTTCTAGCAACATGAAATTAAATGCAGGTGGCACAATGCCATTCTCGAAACTTCATTAATCTATGGAAGCCATTTCGACACAAGTCTGTCAAAACTATGGTAATTCTGTTTCCAGTTCTAATGTGTCAATAATCATAAGCGCTTGCGCATAGCTCCGCAAACATTTGCTGTGAAGATCTTCGTAGTACTAAAGAATCTAGTACGCGCCATTCTAACACGTATTTCGATGAGGCTAAGAGTTAAATTAGTAGAGCAAGTTTATCACCTTAATATTTATTGCCTTATTCTATTTAAATGCTAGATTTTTACATCATTAGTTGTTAGAAAACGCTACGAGGCCGGATCTATAAGCAGGATATTTTCCCAAGTTAACGTGGAGGAAAATATTCAGTTTTAAAATGACGCGTCCTATCACTCTGTCGGTACCACTTGGTAAACACCACGATGTCTCGTCAACATGTTATAATCAAAAAACGTTTATAATATGGAATTATACAAATTATTTCCCAATAATTATCTTTATAATTTTAGGCTTATAATAAAAAATGCTGCAGTTCTCTAAATGTACTTTAATGGCGTTAAAATAAAGTTCCATTTGATTTTAGTTTACAAAAGTTCTCAGGCAGGATTTGCTGAATACAAAATAGGTACTAAGTTACAGCCTAAAATTACAAAGACGTACAAAATAATATATTGATAATAAAAACTATCTAAATTAAGTAAACGATCGTAGACGAAAACGCAACTTGAGTAAAACTAAATAAATACAGGGTGTAAACAATTGCTCCATCAATAAATATTTTAACACCTTTATTCCATTAATAGTTATAAATTTCAACGGTCCATTTCATGGATACCACTCGGTCATCTAATTATTTTATATTTATACATATTTCAATTAGCAATTTTTTACACCTTATACTAAATTATGTACAAGTGTGCTATATATGAAAATATCTTTTTAGATTATATCAAAGCGAAAGCAATTATCTAACGTATAGGACGCAAAATGAATAATTATTTAATCACTAAACAAGTCCGGACAAGATGGCCTACATTACCCGATCACTAATAATTGAAACATTTCATAACTTCACCTTGCCCGGATATATCACGTTATTTAGAATTTAAAATCGTAAATAATGCGTGGAATAAATTATAAACATTGCACATTGGCTTTGTCACTCACTTATCAAAAAGGCTACCTCGCTTGGTCTTAGTTTGACATTGACAGCTGTCATCTATGACAGGAACAAAACGAAACACCATGTACATTATAATTGTATAGTATACATTGTAAAACACCTTTTAGATTAATAATAATAATTTCCACATAAAGTAAATTGGGGTATCACATGGCTAATTAAAACTAAGAATTTTATTGCGAATTTTTAGTAAACCTATTTAGTGTTCCAATTAGCCCTGTAGTCACTTGGTATATTATAGTTAGAGCTTTATTTCAACATTACTTTATTATGGCTTAGTCGTAAAGCTAAATGTCGAAGGTGGATAGGACTCCCGGTACAATAATATGCGAAGATAAACTCTTCTAGTTACACATAGTAACTGCGACGAAGGACCAACGATCCAAGAACCGACGCGGAATAAAAAATAAAGTTACAGCAAAATAATACTTTTGAAAGACATAGGACTTAATTTCGAATTGTACCTACAGGTGCTGGACCCTGTGGATATAAGAATAACGTCTAATTTACATCAGCAACGTTGCTTACTTACGCCGTTTTGTATTGTCTTATAAGTAGAAGAGGGGGAAAGTCATATGGATATAACGTCAGATGGGGGAAGGGGTGACACTTAGTCATATAACTATATTATAAAATTCAGCTAAATTGTTGAGAAAACTCGCTCTAAGATCGCTACCAGCACGCATTATTCACACACGGTGCAACTCTATTGCCATAGATACGCTAAACTATTTGCATCTAGCATAGACTAAGAGATAGATAAAAAAGCAATATTCGTTCACATCACTAAGCGTCACCCCTTTATTAAAGCGTTGTGAAGGACATACACACATACAAAATTATTGTCGTTGTAAAGAATAGAAGATAGAAAGTAAATGATAATATTTAGACACCAATTTATATGTAAGATAGGCACTCATTTAGAATACTAATCACACGTATTTATTTATGTATTAATTTTAATATTATTTCTATTTGCACAATCCTGCTTTCTACCATGTTTGTATTGCGTTTCATATTACAGGACCGAAACTGCTGGATTGATTTTGTTGTGTACAATTATCGTTTTCAATTCCTGAAACTTTTATAATTGTCTCAGTAGACTTATAAGGCTGGTTATCAAAAATTAGATGAAATACTTTTCAAAGAAATTTGAACTATTTCTACAGGCTTTAAGGTTTTAAATATTTACAATATATTGAGAACGTATTATGTTTAAGTTGGAAGGTATTAAAGATAATAATTTAGATTCAAACTTGTAGAAATAGTTATAATTCTTTTTCCTTATACTAACAAAATTTTCGCAAAGAAAATATGAAATTATAGACGAGATTTGGAGGGATTTAGAAATGAATTAGAAGATCTACCAAAAACTAAATCTGCTTTAAGATCAGAATATAAGTCAAGAAGTTTATTATTTCTTATTGCTTAATCGTCCATATTTGAAAGAAAGAGGCAGAAATAAAATTACTATCTCGAAGGATGAATTATGAAAATATAGATTAAGGACATTTCTGCCTGTATTGTTTCGTAAATAAAGCGTGATGGTATGTACCAGTTCCATGTTTGAGCAGTTTTCTATTCAATCCAGTCGCTAGCTTAACTCTCTATCTTGATATTAAAAAGAAAGTATAATTTGAAAACTAAATAGTACTGTGGCCAGCAACTCAAACTATACTTTTCTGTCAAATTCCTTTATTCGATTTTTTACTTTATTGTGTAATTATAAAGTCAAAATCGAATGAAGCAAAATGACAGACTGGTATAAGTTTGAATACTTCACTAGTAACCTCAATAGGAAAGTAAATAGGAAGAGAATGAATCTCTTTATATGAGTAAGAAAATAAAAAATAAACCGTGAAAGTACACAAAACATGTTTAACAGGTCGACATTATGACATGTATCGACCTGTTCATACACTAACGAACAAGTCGATACAGGTACGTCAAGGTACTCCATTATAATACATTTTGAACCATTATACCTATGGGATAAGGTCTAGAATGTATTATAATGCTGGTATACCTTGATGAGCTAGTGTACTAGTGTGGTATAGTAAGGTAAGGCCGGTGTGCAGGGCTCCTCTGTGGACTCAGTCGACGCCCGCGAAGCCCTGCGAGCCTTCGATGGCTTTAATTAACTTCTCTCGTAGTTGCTGGTAGCTTTCATAAGGCGGGAGATCTATGCGGTTGAAACTGCAAAGAAAAGGGTAAAATTAATAAATATGAATTATAAAAATAGTAAAGAAGCTGCGTGATGAAGTCATGAAAATCGTTTTGTATTAATTAAGGGAGACTTATGGCTATTTTCACCAACCCGTAAACCATCTCTTGACTAAAAGTTACTAATCGTAACGTAGCACCTAAATTAACCCCACTCCTTACTTGTACTGTTAGGCGACACTTATAGTTTGGTGAAAAAAAAATAGGAATTCCTTAAGAGAGTTAGAGAATTTGGCAAAAACATGCTTTATTATCATGTACTAAGTATAATGAATATACTGACCACGTATGTGCCCGCGGGTAGTTTTCTGGCGCGCCCCACTTCTCGATGGTGAAGAGTTGCGGTCCGTTACTGCCGTACAGCTCCTTGAACCCGTTCATGGGCACGCGCGACGTACCCGTCACGAACTGCAGCAGCCGGGACCGCATCTCGTTCGAGAACGATAGCACCACCTGGAAGGGAATAGCATTTACTTAGTCATCAAGTGTGGGAGAGCCATGCTTCGGCACGAATGGGCCGGCTCGACCGGAGTGATACCACGGCAACGCTTGTGTTGTGTTTCGTCGTGTGAGTAAAGTTACCGGAGGCCCAGCTCCCTCCCCCTTCCCCAATCTGCCCAATCCCCGAATGGGGATGATGACAGGGTATGAAAATTAAAAATATAATTAGTCCGTAAGTTAGGTAATGAAAAAATATTAGACACGTATTTTTTTATTTTGTCGTATAATAAAACAATACTTAGATAAAACGAATCAAAGTTTAGGAGTGGGGGCTGAAACGTCATTTCTTAGTATAAAATGTACTGAGAAGTGACGTCACGCGACATTTCAAATCAATATATCTTCGAAACTATTCGTTTCTGTGAGAAAATAAAAAATACGTGTCTAATGTTTTTAAATAATCTATCAGACGGACATTAAAATAAAAATTAGTCGTCTACCCTATTCTCAACAATCTTCAGACTCTTAATCTCCAAAAGGCCGGTAACGCACGATTGCTTATCATCAGGTGATCCGTTTACTCGTTTACTCGTTTACCATATATGCCATAAAAAATCATTACCATGAGTCCAAAGTTCGACTTAATATTAAAGCTTATGATTTTTGAGAGCGTTAGTTTCCTGAACTACTACTGTATCGAATTTGAGACCATTGTTTGTATTGGATAGTCCATTTATCGGGGAAGGCTATAACTATAAAACATCATGATGTAACTAATAACGGTCGAGCAAAAGTTGGTGAAATCGAATCTAATGAAAGTGTTAATTTTTGAAATGAAATGAATTGATTGATTCTTACTCCTAACGTCTACGAAAATAGACGAAAACGACTTTTATAAGTTTAGAAAGACATCTCTAAAAAACTAACAAGCCCCCAAAAAGTGTATTCTACTCAAAGACCAAAGCGTCGTAAAGTAGCCCGTACCCTCCAGAACCCTGTACAAGAACTAAAGCGTGATGTAATGTAGGCCGTACCCTCCAGAACCCTGTACAAGAACTAAAGCGTGATGTAATGTAGGCCGTACCCTCCAGAACCCTGTACAAGAACTAAAGCGTGATGTAATGTAGGCCGTACCCTCCAGAACCACTGCACGACGATGTGGTTGGCGTGGTAGTCCCCTACAAGAACTAAAGCGTGATGTAATGTAGGCCGTACCCTCCAGAACCACTGCACGACGATGTGGTTGGCGTGGTAGTCCCCTACAAGAACTAAAGCGTGATGTAATGTAGGCCGTACCCTCCAGAACCACTGCACGACGATGTGGTTGGCGTGGTAGTCCCCCTTGTAGAGCGAGTGCGCGCGCCAGTCGCGCACGTCGATGTGCTGTATGCCGCACAGCAGTAGCTCCAGCTCGTTCTCGTCGAAGATCTTCAGCAGCGCCAGCGGCACCAGCGCGCCCAGCCCCTCCAGGAACGAGAACATCTGCTCCTGCACGCGCGACACGAACCGCCACTGGATCACCAGTCTGCAACCAAACACCAGCTGTTAATTAACTACCTCGAATGGTCGCATATGTGACTGCCGGGCAATGGGTCTCGGAATTGATTCCCGGGTTGGGCAAATTATTACTGGGTTTAAAAAAATCCTAGCAGTAGCACGGAGTCTATAGTTGTGCCCAGTATATGTCAATAGGCTCACCCGCCATTACATGGGACTCATAATATAAATAATGAAAAGTGGGTATTACTTTGTACAGTGGCATTAAGTGCCGTAATGTAAACCTAGGCGTGATGATTAATAAACATATTCATTATTTTTGTTGAAAAAAGAATAAAACTCATTGTTGGAGGATATATTCCACGTGGACGAGACATGCGTGATCTATATGATGCGTGTCTGATGATAAGATAAAAACTACTTGGAAAGTTATACACAACGAGACTGGTAGGAAAAGATTAAGAAACTCAGAATTTAATTTAAATACCGAAAGGGGACAGATTTCATCAAACGTAGATGTAGCCCAGGAGTTTGAAATTTTTTTTACCAACATTCCTATTAAAACCACTGAACATTTAAAGTCATCAGCAAACCTCTCTGTAACTTTGCTTAAGAACAACATAGAATCATTTCAATACGACTTTAGTTTTCGATATACGAATCCTCTACAAATTATATAAGTTTTTAAAGAAATCAAGACCAAATCAACGGAGGATCTTTGGGGCTTATCGGTAATAGTTTGCAAGTCACTTATCCAAACTGTAGCGCCATATCTGGCTGTGATTTTCAATAAATGTATAGATGACGGTGTTTTCCCTGACCTAATGAAATATAGTAAGGTTATCCCACTATTTAAAAGTGGTGACACTAAAGAACATTTTAATAAACATTCCATCTTTCACCAACAACAATACGTACATACATAACTTCACGCCTGTCTCCCATGGGGGTAGGCAGAGACTAAGGAACGCCAATTACTACGATTCTTACATACCTCTTTCGCTTCATAAACAGTCATCAATCTTTTCATGCATGCTCGTCGGTTAAGGGTACTTTTAATTTGGTCCTTCTTTAATAAATGGTTTTTCTTTCTTTCTTTCTAATATATCGCCAATCTAGTCACTATATGGCCGTCTAGGGCGCCCTCTTCCGACGGCCCCATTCATATCCGCTCTGTATACTTCTTTCGTTACTCTACTTTCATCCATCCTTTCTACATGTCCAAACCAGCGTAACATTCCCTTTTCAATCCTTGTCACTACATCATCTTTCAATCCACACCTTTCTCTAATAACACTATTTTTCACTCGATCACTCAATTTTAGTCCACACATACTTCTCAGGGCTCTCATTTCCACCGCATTAATCCTGCTTTCATGCTTCTTCTGCCACACCCATGATACACCATATACACATACGCGTTGGTGTCATACACACTGCATTACAGCAAGTCGAGCTTTGCTGGATATTATTGTACTCGGCATTACAGAGTGTAAAGCACCATTAACACTATTTCCCGCTTTCACTCTCCTTTCAATATCCCCGTCACACTTTCCATCTCTCGTAAATAGTGATCCCAGATACACAAATTCATTCACTTGTTCCAATTTTTCATCACCTATTAACACCTTTCTATCAACACTTTCGTCTTGTTCACATTTACTTTCATACCTTTCCTTTCAAATGCATCATTCATAGCAGTGATCATTTGTTGTAATTCTTGGGCCAACGAGGCAACAAGCACCTGGTCGTCGGCATACAACAATGCTTTAATCACTGTGTCATTCATCCTTAATCCAGGCTCTCCTACTTTCAGATCGTTCAAACAGCTGTCCATATATAGGTTGAACAGCCAAGGAAATACTACACAGCCTTGCCTAACACCTCGATTAATGTTAAACCACTCTGTGTAGTCCCCATTTATTCTGACACAGGCACTCGAGTCCTTATATAAGGATTTAAGTGCCTGAATCAGGTGGCTATCCACCCCATACATGGACAGAGTTGACCACAATTCATCCTTCACCACTCTGTCATAAGCCTTTTCTAGGTCTATAAAGGCACAAAATACCTTTTGGTGCTTTGATAACACTAACAACACTTTACTAACACAACAACAATACGGTATCACTAAAGGTCGTTGCACAACTGATGCCGGTGTCACTTTGATTAAGGAAATATTTGGTGCTTGGGAGGAAGCACAGGATGCTATTGGTGTCTTTTGTGACCTCTCAAAAGCATTTGATTGCGTTGACCACGAGACACTTTTGCTGAAATTAGATCACTACGGGATAAGAAACTCTGCGCTCCGTCTTATGAAATCTTATTTAGAAGAAAGACAGTTAAAGGTTCATGTTAACGGTATTAACTCACAGGGCTCTGGGATGAATATAGGCGTTCCTCAAGGTTCAATATTGGGTCCCTTTCTCTTTTTAGTTTATATAAATGATTTGCCATTTATATTTAAAAATAAACCAAGAATGGTGCTTTTTGCAGATGATACATCATTACTTTTTAAAATAGATCGACGTACTAATAATCTCATATGTAGTGAGTAGTTAAAATTCCAATAGTAGGTAATTTAATACTTTAATTCTAATGTAGACAATCTAGTTTCCTTATGGCATCGAGCATTTCTTTCTTTATTGAAACAAAGAGTTTCCTTTTTCTTGTATAGAAGTACTATTTCTATGGATTGTCAGTATGCATATGTGAGCACCATGTTAGACTTTAAGATTTTTTTTTTTTTTTTATTTTAGTAAGTTATTAGTATAATGCGTCAAGCGTGTCTTTGCATTGTTCTTACATATGCGTACAGTATTGAAATATGTATCAGAGACATTGTAGAACATACTTTTTTAAAAAGAGTAACGAATGGAGTTTCTTGCTCGTTCTTCTCCATTCGAATCTACAGTTTGGAATGAGCACCTAACTTCACCTAGTTTCACTGACGGACTGAGTGACAGACTATTATTTATTTTGTATTTGTTGACGTTTCAAATGTACCAAACTATGGTTTAATTGAAATAAAAGCTTTGACTTTGACTTTAATGCTTAAGCACTGCTGGGCCGGCTCGACCAGGCTAGGAAAAAGGCGACAGAGAAAACTAGCTTTGAAATGTGATATATTTTGGCGTGTAAGTGAGATTACCAAAGTTTACACTAAGATTAATAAGTTCCCATACTATGAAAAAATATATATTCTAACATTTGTTTAGGTTTTTGACATAGGCAGATAAATAATGTCAAAAATCTATGATAATTTAACATTTTTAGATTGATCATTTCAAAAGATAGCAATAGAACTGCATATAAGTATACGTACTTGATATATTCATCCTTGTTATCATTATCCACCGGTATATTGGCGCCGCCCGGCTTCAAGTCCCGCTGTATAGTCTTCCCGAACTGCTCCTCGTCTACTGAGAATGTCAGGTATAGCTCTGACGGGTCATTTTCCTGTGATATCATAACAAAATCCACTTTAGTATGAAATGCTACATAAATTAACTAAAATCGCGGGTTACTTACGTGAATATACTGAGAAAAGTTCTACTAGTTTCTCATATGTATTCATGTGAGTAGTGTCTCACGATAGTTATTATAAAAACAAATGCTACATATTTTATAGAACATAGAAAATGTTCTGTTATTACGAAGTACTTACGTAAAGCACAAAGTAATTTTACATTATTAATTTTTTTTTATTTTTTTTTTTAAACGTTGCCCCACATTAGGATTTTCTCCTGTATCGTGGGTGCGTTTACAAACATACAAGTTCACATACACATTGACACCCAGACCCGAAACAACAATTTGTGGATCACACAAAGTGTTGTTCCGTGCGGGAATCGAACCCGCGACACGTTGCATGGCAGTCGGTTGCCCAGCCACCGCACCAACCGTGCAGTCAAATTCTGACAATCAAGCGTCGTTTGCTGAATTTAAACGGTTCTTACTGCATAAAAGCAATTATAATTGTTCGCTACATCCAACATGGAAACCATTAGTCGACCAACGCTTGTAAAATGATAATTTCATAACCCATTTTATCTCGTATAAATTTAAAACAAGTTAAATATGAAACCACCGACCTTAATCCACATGAGTGAGTTATAGTACTCTAAGTCTACAGACTCCATGTCTTGGAGCTCTATCGTCTTGCCTAGCATCATCTTGTAGAATGGACGGATGAAGAACGCTGCAAATACAACCAAATTCAAACTTTAATTCATTACAATATTTAATAAGAACTTATTATTTTTTTACAGTAATTCATTAAACTTGGGTAAATTCTTATGTTTTATGTCCTCACTAAAGCTTTCGATTGAGTTTGCCATGAAATGTCTACTAGCTAAAATATTCACAATGCCGTAGAAACAATAATTATAAACCTTATAATGGTTCGTACACAAGTTAGATACTTATATCGAATAAAAATAGTTTGCACAAATTAATCACTAAACTTCTTACAATAAATTGAAGGGATACCACAAGGGCCCATGTTAGGACCACCCCTTTTTTGTAACCTTAATAACACGTGATTTTACAGAAGACTTTTTAAAAGAAAAATTTCACACAAATCTTACTTCTTACAAATAATATAAATGCGAAAATTTATGAGTGTGTGTGTATGTTTGTTAATCAGTCATGTCAAAACGCCTCAAGGTTCGGGATCAAATTTTGATAAGGCGTACATTATGTTCTCGAATAACACGAGGACACGGGCGAAGCCGTTGGTAGAAGCTAGTTACAAATAGTAAAAGTCCTCACCATCCAACAGCTTCCCATGGTACACAGCCATGCCTGCGACCCTGCCAATAAACTTGAAGTAGCTGAGATGTTCCTCGTTGCAGACGCCACTGTTGGGGTTGATCTGCAGGGTGTAGTTGTCCATGGCGGAGTACTCGAACAACCCGTAGTAAGGGTTGAACATCTCTTTCGATAACAGGAAGAACCATTCGCGGGCTAGACCACCGTAGTCTGAAAGAGGAACAATATAATTAGAAAACATATATTTCTGTTTAATACAGAATTCACCAAAATTAATCAAAACAAATTAGATTCGGTGCATTAAAATATGAAGTTAAATAAAAACAAGACTAAAAAACCTAATCATATTATTATGACAGGATATCGAATGTAATCGTCACTATTTTTAACCGACTTCCCAAAAAGGAGGAGGTTATCAATTCGGCTGTATGTATTAATGACTTCATCTAATCAAAACAGTACTAAAAACATTTACACCACTTTTGCAATGCATTACATTTTCAACTTAATCACATGTAAGCATAAAGCTCTATTTATACAAAATACTTTCAAAAATGTAATACATATAATTTTGATGTTAACTTACCAAGACCGACTTCAGATTCGAACTCGACCCACAGCTTAGTCTTGAGCAGGTCGAGTCGGCTGACGGAGCTGATGATGCGGTACGAATCTTCTAAGATAGAGTTACGACGAACTTTTATCTCAAACTTGTTTGGCACGTTGCTCTGGAATATGAGGAGTTGGAAGGCGATCATTATATAGGATGGATAAGTTCAATAGTTTTTAGAATTAATTACAAAACTATTAAGTTACTGTTGCATGCCATAGGTGCAGGCGTGTTTTGATACTCTTATCAAAACATGCCTGCTTCTAACACCATAAAAAACTTTTGAGCATATTTATCAATATGAATATTTGTTGAATTTGGTCTCTGTGTCATATTCTAAGGACCGCTTGGTACATAGCCTGTGTAACAATCATTGTAATCCCAAGTTATTCTGTAATATACATTTATCCTATGTTTGTACAGTTGGTAGCCTTAAGTTTCTTTTTTGCCCGACACTAGGATTTTCTCCTGTGTCGTGGGTGCGTTTACAAACATACAATATCACATACGCATGACACTCAGACCTGGAATAACAATCTGTGAATCACACAAAGCGTTGTTCCGAGCAGGAATCGAACCCAACTGCCAACTGTGCAGTCGAGTGCAGTTTGCCCCATTGTTATTGCTAAGTAGATTTATGGTAACCTGTGACAACGTCGTGAGGAGTGTAGTTGCTAAATCTATAATGTGTTATATTAAACATACTGCTGTTTGTTGTCCTTGATAAATAAAATAAAATAATAAATAAGTTTCTTTTAGCTAAGGCTTTTCTATGGAATATACATCAAATTATACACAAGTAACACCAACCGAAACTTAACTAAAAGTGCTGAATCACGACCTAACCCTATCGAAGGCAATAAGAATACAGTGTATAGTGACATACCGGTTTGCGGAGTTGACTCTTGAGGTACTCGTACTTTCGCTTGTAGTCGCGCGAGTACGGCACGGCCGGGCCGGCTATCTGAGGGTTCGACAGTCGAGGGTCCTCCCACTGAGTCGTGCGGGTATCTGGTAGAGATCAGATTAATTATTATATACAATAACAAAAAGAGTCAATGTCTATTTATTGTTTTTATGCTTATTATCTTTGAAACCACTTTCTCGAGCAGCTCTATAGCAGGTCTGCCCAGTCCCGGGTCGTTTAGATTGATGATGTGTTCATATTAAGTTTTCATAAATGATCTAAGAAAAATCGTATTAAGTTTGGTAAACAAAAATTTCATTGAGATGAACGAACGTTAATTTATTTTTACAACAGACTTTGACTTCAACAGAGAATAAAAATAATGTGAATTGTGAACATATTTAAAGGTTAAAAATATATTTTTATTAAGTAACGTCAGTAGTGTTGAAAGGTGATGAACAATATAATAAACTCTGTATACTGACTGTGGTCTATAAAGAAGATTCTCCCGTCAGTATGCACCCTCTCCTCCCAGCCCTCGGGCAGTGCCCCCAGTTCGTCTGCCTCCACGGCCGCGCTGCTCGCGGCGCCCGCCGCAGACGGTAAACTGGACGCACAACCTGAAACACATAATAGTATGTTATTGTAGATACACTGCTAAAAACACATATATGCATACTTAACTAGTGACCCGCCCCGGCTTCCCACGGGTGCAATATGCATGTAATATACATATAAACCTTCCTTAAGAATCACTCTATCTAATAAAAAAACGGCATCAAAATCCGTTGCGTAGTTTTAAAGATCTGAGCATACATAGGGACAGACAGACGGCGGATAGTGACTTTGTTTTATACTATGTAGTGATGACTTGTTGCGCAAAATTTTTCAGATAGTTTAAAAACTTGAACAAAGTTTTGTGTATTTATAAGAATCTTAACGTTTCAATTCCTTAAGTTGACTAGTAGATAATGCGTCCGGCATTAAGTCTATCATGGTTGTTGTCTGCACAAAGATTTCAATAAATAAATGAATCATATTGGCATACGATCCATAATACGTACATCTCTATTATATATTTCATGTTTTTTAAACTTACCAGTTCTAGGATCTATCCACGTCGTCGTCTTCTGATTGTGGTCAATGAAAAATATTCTACCGTTTGGCGCTCTCTGCATACTCCAGCCAGGGGGAAGACCTACGTAGACAAATAGTCATTGTAGTTAAAATTAGCAAACCCGGCGAACTCCGTTTCGCCACCAGATGGCATCGTTTTATGTAACATTTCGTTTGGTGATTAAAAGATGAAGAAACATTTTTTCCTGATTTTTCTTTGCTATAAACCTCATGGCGCCCGAGACCTTTCCAACGAATGCAAAACCGTGGAAATTGGTTCGTGCGTTCTGGAGTTATAGCGTCAGGAAGGAAAACATTATATAGTAGATAACATAATACCTATTATTTATACGCCGCAAAAGGCCGGTAACACACTTGTGAACTCTACACTGGTGTACCTTGTGTCCATGGGCGGCGTAGATTGCTTACTATCAGGCGTCATACAAAAAATAACTACTGAACATAAGCATCCCCCAATTTAGTTTCAAATCGGCCGGTTGGAAGGATCTTATGGCTCGTGTTTAAACAAAATATAGTTTTTTCCCATCCCCTTTTCTCTACTGGAAGTGTATATTCACCGTCACTGTTGGGCAGGTTCTGACTCTGCGTACTGCTAGCACTGCTACTCCTCGTGCTCTCTGTCGAGCCGTCCGTCTCGTCCTACAAACACACACATTTGTAATAACTACATTCAATTGTACACGCTATATAACTGGTAATAAAGTCGTGATTACTAAAATCTCATGTTGAGTACTGGCAAAATACAAAGAAAGGTTTTATCAGTACACTTATACGTAGGATGTTAAATGAACGTGGATGGTTATTTAAAATTGGGTACTTGCCAACTGATCAATTTCAATACTTTTTACGCACTGTCAAAAACGACAGTTTTCTACGAATTTTGTACGACATTGTGCATCGTGACGACACGTTTTTTTAAACGTCAAACAGCATTGTTATTTCTTAAATAATTGCTGAAAATACTAAAATTAAGTTGTTCATAAAATCAATTAATGAAAGTGTGATTATTTATTCAATACTTTATTGCATTGGACAGTCGAAATAATTTATTTTTGATCAAGGAATGTATTCAATTTTAAAAATTGACGACTATTACGTAAGGAACTTATGCTTCTTGCAAAGATCCATTTTTAACCCCATAATATTAATAACAATAATATTTGAAATTTTGAAATTTATTTGCCTGCTACACCAATTAAGAGCCCGAATAAACAATGCGTTCTTCCAAAGTGAGAAAAATATTCTCTATTTATATACTGAACCATCCACGCACACTTAATAACCTCACCCTGTATACCTGTGTGTAAATATATGCATATTTACATATATCATAGCTGCCTAGCTTACATAGTCTACGTTGCAGGAAAGCTTCATATATTCTGTATAATCTGTGGATACAACTTTGACAACCATATGGATATAATACCTAGCGAAGAGAGGCATAGCTTCCTACAAGAAAGATTTTGCTATTTTAAGATGCCATAAAGAATTGCGATCTTTATCCCTCAGGCCTTTCAATATGCGCTAAATTAACAACAACTACATAAAAAAGGCAATAGATAAATAATATTCCATCAATCAAAATGATTAGGTTGTCAAAGCTTTCTTAGCATAACTTGATATTTAAATGTTTCCCATCGAAGAAAGTACAAATTCATTGAAGAACCTGATGAAAGTTGAAAACCGGCACAAATAAAATCCCCTGTCACGTAAAATACATGAAAACACACCAAACCTTACCATACCACTACGGACATATCATTTCAAACCGCCAAATATCTACTTGGAAGCAAAAATACATAACTCAAACTACATAATAACAGATACTAAAAATACAATAATATATCTAAAGTTAATGAAGCAGTACAGCACAAGCAAACATGTACATAGGATGTCAAACAGATTTATTATGATGTCGCATACATAATGTTGTATTAGAACGGAATGTCAAAGCATTGTCAGACTAGCTCACGTTGTTAAACATTGTTATGTTGGCGCGCTTTTTTCTCATTTTTATCTGTGGACGATACTCTGTGGAACCTCTATGGTAAGGTATCAATGTGCATCGTCCATAGATAATTCATAGTTTGCAGCACAAGCTTGTTCGTAAGCGTTTCGCAATAGTTTGTAGAAGCCTAAATGACCAGAAGATAGATAATATAACACAGATTGGAATAGGAATAATTTAAAGCTTTTTATAGATATTTTTTGAAATTACAAGCGCGGCATTTGCAAGGCCTTGTGCTACAAACAGCCTAAGTAGGTACCGGAGTCGGTGAGCGCGGCGAGGCCTCGGGTGTTAGTGACGTAAGCAGACATCACAGTAGCGTGTTGTGCCTCACACTTCTTACTCATAGACAATTTCCCAAAGCACTCCGCCGCAGGCCAAGTGCGGGTTGCGACGCAACTATTAACCGTGCACTGTTGTTATGAAGTCTATATTTGAATGCAAAAGTTTTACATAAACTTAAAATCGTTGTGGGAAATTGACAAATGAATTTGTAACTTATTATTCCGCGCTTTAAGATGTTATTTACAATGTACTACGTATTGCAATGTACATATTTACGTATAACTTTCGCGTATACTTGTGTTCGCGCACCATATATCGGCTAGATCGCATCGCGTCCCGCACGCGGCCCTGTGGTGTCTTACCTCGGAATCCTCCATGGAGCTGGTGGTGGTCCTCCGCCGCCGAGTGGTCGGCGTGGCGACAGGCGACGCGCCGCCCGTCGGAGTACTGAAGTGATTCTCATCGAACGTCAGAGCGTCTTCCTCTACTATTACTTCTGCCTGAGCTACTGCTGTCTCAGTCTGAGGTGCTGCTGTCTCAGTCTGAGGTACTGCTGTCTCTGTCTCCGCAGCTTCTGTGGCTGTTGTTTCAGTCTCATTCTCAACTACTTCTGCCTGTGTTTCGTTCTGTGTCTCTGTCTCATTAGCTGTGTCTCTCTCATTAGCCACATCTCCTTCGTTAGCTGTATCTCTCTCTTCAGGCGTGTCAGTACTGCCTTGTGTCGTCTCTGTATTGTCAGTCGTGTCCCGACTCTCTCCCTGCGGTGCGTCAGTAGGTGGTGTGTGACCGCCTGCCCCGTCGGTAGTGGTATTGTTAGCAGCTTCAGTGTTAGTGTCCTCAGTTAGTTCCGCTGTGTCGGCGGCCTGGCTAACTGCGTCGTGACTAGTACTCGTGTCAGTTTGAGCGTCGCCAACTACTTCGTTGGCGCATACAACATCGTCGTCCTCCTGTATCGTTTTGTTTCCTAAATTATTATCACAGTCGGTTTCATCACTTATACTATTAGTTTGGTTCGTCACCCCGCTGTCCGCAACGTGTGCGACGGGTTCCGGCGATCTGATCGGTGTGGAAAACGGCGTGGGGTCCGTCGAGTTAGTCTCCCCACTTCTATTGCTTATATCCTCCTGTTAGACATTTACATTGGATAATACTTGCCGCATAAACTTACGCGTGCAGTTCGATGAATGTTCCGTACACAAATGTTTGTTTACTTCCATCGACTGCACGTTTAAGTTTGCGGCGACATGATTACGTCCCGGATGATGCCGGGTGTAAGCGTGAAGCATCAATGTGCTGCAGGATTGTCTATGAAAGTGAGGACAACACAGTGGATGCCTATGAAACACCCGAACCGATGAGCACAGACTATCGTCTTATTAGTGTTTGTATGCATGAATGGTTGTCTGAAATTTCCTGAAAGATCTCACATAAAACACAAACAGTTTTTATAATTTTTGACATACAACAATTTATAATTTAGGGTTAACAAATTTTTATTGTAATGGATGATAACACCAATAAGAAAACCTTTCAGAAAAGTGACCTATGAGAAACCATGTACTCATTTTAAAGTTACAGTGTTGTAATACAATTTACAGTATAGGTATAGGTACAATATCGATTAGGTCGGCGCCAGACATTTGGTGATGAAAAGCAAAGCTAGAAATATGACGAAGCAAGAGATTTTTTCTAATTTGCGCTAAGCTTTAAGCCCTTTTTATTACGGATTATATTAGAACAACAATTTGCGCAAACAGGGCGTTAGCGCAAGTACTTGCGCATCAATGTCTGACGCCGCGCTTACAATAAGTATGTATCTGGCACAAGATGGCACATTTGTAGATGTGTTTCGAAGTCAATGGTTCACTTAAATAAAATTACTGCGGGAAGCGGAGAGAACATGCAAATCTTAACCATTCATGCGATTTTTAACAAGTACAGTACTTACGTTTGATAAAAAGTGATTTGCAAGAACATATTTAACTGAAAGTGTATTTTTATATAGTAAAACATGCGTCTTATACCCAGTAGAAATATAAATTAGCTGCTGAGTGCAAAGAAAATAAAATAAAATAAACAAAAAATGAGTACACGGCTAGAGAAATTACTGGAAGTGTGGATATCACAATATTCGTAACATTTATTACTATATAGACCTTAGGATATTAGATGACGGGATATTGACACTTCCAGTATATAATAAAGAAGTATAATGTATCGATGTATTGTTAGTACATATCTATATCGCTGAAGCCCATGCTGCGAAACAAAATATTCACTAACAGAATCTGACTAATAAATATCCTGATAACAAAGAAATAAATTGTTTTTAAATAAATAATATCCTCAACGCCTCCTCAACACATGCGTCCAATATATTGCCGATACCGCTACTACTCCATGCAAAAACGACCTTAACACAATGTTATAGAGTCTATAATAGAATATATAGGAGCGATATTGGTGATAATAAATATTTGGAACAAGAAACGCCGCCGTATATTGCTGTAATTGACTGATAAAAGAAAATAAATAGTACTTATTATTATCAGACAATAATATTTAGATATTATTTTATTGTCTTGTAGGATTCATGCCATCGGTTTGATGATCTGAATAAATTTAATCACACACTAATACCTTCATTACATACATATGCACAAATTATCAAAACCAGAGCCGTTCGTTCGTCACAGTTTAAAAAACAAAAGATAATCTTCAGTTATAATAAAATCGTATTTTTAAGTGCGCATATATGTTTTTTTTATAATGAATTGTTCTAGTAAGACATTATAATGTGTAACTATACTAAACTATAGCCCGAATACTGAAACATCAATTATAAGTCGCGCTTAACCGCTTGAATGCCTGTATATGAGACACAATAGAATATACATTGTGTCCCACGTGGGTTCACGTCTAGACACACGACGGGTTAAGTATAGTTCTGTCACTACAACTTTTTTGTAAAATGACAGAGAAGGCACGATACGTAAGTACAACTTAAAATTGAGGAGCCTTTCAGTGTATGTTTGAAAAACCACATGTCTTTAATTTAATCTATATAATTATATAAAAGAAAGTCGTGTTAGTTACACCACTTATAACTCAAGAATGGCAGAATAGATTTGGCTGAAAATTGGTAGGGAGGTAGCTTAGAGCCAGGAGACCGACATAGGATACCTTTTTAACCAACATTTTTTTTTTTACTTTTTACCGAAAATCACGAACGGGGACGTGAAGAAATGGGATTACGCGTACGAAGTCGCGGGCAGAAGCTAGTTTACAAATAAAATAGATTTGGGAATTTCTTTCTCATTGTTCTTCATACGACTCGTTTTGGACCGAGCACCTAGCTTCACTGACGGACGTCTGACCGACAATTCAATTTTGATGCTTTGACTATGATATACAATTGAAATGAAATCAATCAATTACAGACAACACACGTGTTCATACCCCATTCATATAACATTAGAAATCCCTAAAACATTACAAGTTGGTATACCATATGACTACAATATAAATACCTGATGGTTCTGTGTGTGTGTGGCGGGGCTGGCGGCGAGTTCATCGTCCGCAGAGATATGGAACCGACGCTGGAACTCCGTCGCAGCCGTCTCCATACGTTCCGCTTGCGACTCCGTACTCATATTGCGCCTGGAAAAATCAGATTAGTTTTTTTTTTAACAAAACGTTGCCCCACACTAGGATTATTTCCTGTGTCGTGGGTGCGTTTACAAACATACAAGTTCACATACACATGACACCCAGACCCGAAATAACAATTTGTGGATCACACAAAGTGTTGTTCCGTGCGGGAATCGAACCCGCGACACGTTGTACGGCAGCCGGGTATCCAGCCACTGCACCAACTGCACACCGCGCACCGCAGCAAGTTTGAAGTATTGCCGTAAATATTATCACTACACTGTATAAAACAAAGTCACTATCCGCCTTTGTCTGTCCCTATGTATGCTCAGATCTTTAAAACTACGCAATGGATTTTGATACGGTTTAATTTAATAGATAGAGTGATTCTTAAGTAAGGTTTATATGTATGATACATGCATATTGCACCGGCACGAAACCGGAGCGGGTCTTTATTATAATACTATCTACTGCCCCGCGGCTTTGCGCGCGTTCACGTGGGGTAGAAGTAGACTATATGTTATTCCAAACCATAATCTGTTCCTGTTGCAAATTCCATTCGGATAGCTTTATCCGTTTTGACGTGGTTAAGTAACAAACAGTATACACACATAATCACAAACTTTCACATAATATTATAGTAGGATAATATAGATGAAACTATTGTTTTTGTATGCAGATATGCAATGTTTTCACATCAAAACTACAGCACCGATTTCGCCATTAGAAAACTGCATCTTTACTAAACAACAGACTATTATGAACAAAAGAAAATACTGCCAAGTCCCTAATTCACAAAAACAAAATCGCGGGCAATACGGGCTAATTTTGTACAGCACTCTTTAAACTTACTTGATAAAAAGTCTTAGTATTGTATCCAACATTATGAATAAAAATGATTTATTTATCACGGCAAAATGTATTAAACCATGTGTTGAAGTTGAATATCAAGTCCAAGGCAATAACACTTCGTTAGTGGATTAAGAATAGCAGTATCATAAGTTGTTTTAAGCCATTTGGTTGGTTTTTGCGTCCGCGTACTAGAGTAGAGAGCGAGCGAATGAGCTTAGTGCGCCTGGATGAGAAGCCAACAACAGTTTCTAAGATATATTAATTACTAATGTACTAATATACTAATTTCACTAATTACTTTTATTACTATGTAATTACTAATCAATCGCCCCTAATTACTAAACAATTTACAAATACCATTTTACTAATTTATTTTAATATTATAAATGCGAAAAGCTAAAACAAGCTATCAGTTTGTTTGTTTGTCTGTCTATATATTGACTTGACTGCACGGGTGGCGCGGTGGCTGGGCAACCGGCTGCCGTGCAACGTGTCGCGGGTTCGATTCCCGCACGGAACAACACTTTGTGTGATCCACAAATTGTTGTTTCGGGTCTGGGTGTCATGTGTATGTGAACTTGTATGTTTGTAAACGCACCCACGACACAGGAGAAAATCCTAGTGTGGGGCAACGTTTTTAAAAAAAGAAAAGAAAAAGAAAAAAAATATCTGTTCTTCAAGCCGAAACTACTGAATCGATTTGGATGAAATTTTGCACAGATATAGATTAGGACCCGAGAAAGCGCATAGGCTAGGTTCTATCAGCAATTTTTAACCGACTTCAAAAAAATTACTTTTTCAGATAGACCTGTATGTATGTATGTACGTGTGTATGTATGTATGTACGTGTGTATGTATGTATGTATGTACGTGTGTATGTATGTATGTACGGCTGTGCGCGATCACGTCGCGACTGGCTGAACCGATTTTGATGCGGTTTTCAGAAAAGTGTTTGTTACACTTAGTAACACTTAGGTTTCTTTTTTAAACGTAGTTTAAAAAGGAATTATTCATATTGTATACTCATTATTATGAAGCTGCTCATTTTTTTTGTTTATCTGTTTGTTTGTTTGAACGCGCTAATCTCCAAAACTACTCGTTCGAATTAAATTTTTGCGCTGGATAGTAGTAGTTCATTTATCAAGAAAGTCTATAAAACATCACGTTACGATTAATAGGAGCCGAGCAGCGGTTGAAAGAGCGCGAGAGTCGCTAGTCTAAAATAAAATTATCAATAGTATGTTTAAATATATTTTTATAAATAACTATCGTGAGACATACTAAATTAACTAAAATCGCAGGTTACTCACTTGAATATACTAAGAAAAGCTCTACTAGTTTCGAACCACAGAGGGGTTCTTCCTCATGAGCAGCGTGCGCGGTCGCGGCGACGTCGCGCAGCTCACTCTTTAGAGCTTTTCTCAGTATATTCACGTGAGTAACCCGCGATTTGGATTAAATATACTCACGTGAACGTAGGACGTTCCCATTGCGTGGACCTCTCGATGTGGTTGACGTAATACGTTCTGCCATTGGCGTCCTGCCTCTCCTCCCACCCTGGCGGTAACGGATCGCCACCAATCGCCTGGAACAAACACATTCACTATCATTATGTGGTCCACGTTAGAATAAGATGTATGTAGCTTATTTCACACACATATCATCACGCATTTTATCCCCGAAAGTGTGGCAGAGATGCACATTACGGCACTTAACCCCTCGAGCGTCCTTATGAGCACCCGGTGAATCATAAGAAAAAATGCTCCATGCTGCTTTCTCTTTTATAAAATCTATTATTATTGTTTTGTTTTTATTTTGACTGTATTTGTTTTATTTCTATTGTAATGATCCTTGTTTTCGTGTGCCAATGGCCAAATAAATGTATTTTCTTGCATGCATAAGGATAAGGAAATGCATAAGGAACGCGGACGCTCGACAGGTTAATGCCACTGTACAATGTAGCTCTTTTCACTATTTTTATGTTATGAGTCCCATGTAGCTTATATCATTTCGACCAAAAACTCTTTTGCAATAAATTGTCTGTTTGTCATTCGGTAAATCTCTTAAGCATAGGTTTCTATAGAGAAGAGAAATTTATTCATCTATACATTGTGCCTCTTAGCCTTTCCCCTAACTATTTTTGATATCGACATAATTATAACCAGATTTATCTGAATATCAGTATTCTACATTGAATAGAATTAATAATAATACTTATGAACCCAAACGATGGTCTTCCTATTGTACGATGATACTACCAGGTGAATTTTATAAGGAAATTAAAAAAAATGTCTATTCTATCATATACATTTCAATTACCAATATGATAAAGCAAGCAAAAATAGACTTTAAGGCATGCACAATAAGCACCTCAATTGTAACAACTCAATAAGAGTCGAACCATAAAACAATACAAACGCAACAAAAATAACTTAAAAATCATCCACCCTGTATTAAGCAAAATAGGATGGGAAACAATATCAGCGAGTTATACAAACGACATAAATGTGCAAATTTAGTCGCTATGGCACTCGCTTTTAAGTTTATAATTAAATAAAAGAGACGTACAATGGCTAGCGGCGTGCGCTCGACAAGCTCCCAGTCGTCGCCGGTGAACGAAGGGACCGAGCTCGACACGACCTACCATGAGGCAAACTAAGCCTGAACGTACCATGCAATAACACCTTTATCTCATTACTCATTAAGTTTAATATAGCATGCAACGAACTTAAAAGAATTTTGCAAAAAAAAGAGAGTTTAACGGCTGTTTATTCATTTGGGGTTGTTAATGTTGAATGTATGGGTACAATTTTTACAATGAAATGAATATTCGATTCATGAATGTCTTCCAAAGTATGTTTAACAGAATACTCTTGTCTTGAATTTTCATTTATCATTTAATCTTTATCTCAACCTTATCATCAAAGCAATAAGGTACACTTAATAATGATGGTTTCAAACCTCTTGTTCTGGAACCTCTGGACCATTCAAGGTTTTTTGTAATCTATCTTCATAGTAACTAAATATATCGACAGTTATAAGTTAATAGCGAAGGTAATTAATACGAATAATAGCTTTTCCAACAGTAGGATTTTCCATAACCCCTATATAAATATTTAGTTTACAAACTCGACGACTACTCGACTCAAAACAATAAATTTTGGATCACATAAATATTCCATGCGGGAATTGAACCCAAACTGACCCTCTCTACTAATCTATTATTTTATACCCAATAACCAAGACCAGTTTATCATGACCTATGAACAAAGTACCAATTACTTACCGGTTGTACGACGCCCTGCTGCGGCGAGGGTTCCACGAGCTCCCAATCGTCTGAGGGCGCTGGCTCCTCGGCCCCGGCCTCACCCACACGACCTACTAATGCGTGGTACACCTCAATGTAGCCACGAACTCTGGACCTTGCACTGTACGAAGACATTAAAGATCACATCAGTAAAACAGAGAAGAATATTTTAAGTTGAAAATTCAGATTCTACCTAAGTCTACACATAGATGGCATGTGTGAATTTGTGGAAGGGTAAACATAAAATTGGGAATATAATAGTAATTGGTGTGTCTACAAAGGGTATAAATTCAAGATAGACAATCTACACACAATATTGACAAACATTGACTTTTTCTACTTTAATTAAAGCTGGTTGACATCTTCCTTTACATATCATACGGATTTCTGTATGTATATTATTTTACATATTTTGAAATCTCTTAAAAATTAGTGCATGGAAATACACGAAAACCGCATAACAGAAAAGTGACCTGTAACTACAAATTTTCACAAAAAAAGTTCACAAATGGACATTGAAAATACATTGCTGATATTGAACAGATAGAGATGCTTTGTAGAGCAACACCAAAGAATACAATGCCAACACCAAAAACACACATTATATTTCTACTACGATTAGGAAGTGAATTTCATTTCAGGATGCATGAACAACTCTGTGTATTGTCGTAGCCAACTAACTTAATCAGTCCTTAAACTAGCGGTCTAACCAACCGGTTCATGTGTAGCTCTTTGATTAACGCCCAAATACTGAAAGTCTACTTATTTCTAACTCGGGCTTAAGTATAGTTCTGTCACTACAAATTCTTTGTAAAATTTTGATGAATGACTTTTTTATGGAATAGGAGGCAAACGAGCAGACGGATCACCTGATGGTAAGCGATCAGCGCCGCCCATAAACACCCGCAACACCAGAGGAGTCACAGGTGCGTTGCCGGCCTTTTAAAAAGGAACTCTTTTCGGTTCGGAAATACCGCCGACGACAGATCTTTTCAAAGTTTTGTTGTGCGAGGCAGAAAGCTGCGTGATGGCACGATATTTAAGTACAACTTAAAATTGAGTAGTCTTTCATTATTCGGGCGTATATGGCTGAATATCTCATTCCGGCTATTAATTAAAGGATAAAAGGATTAAGACCGAATTGTTAACAGAATTTTGGATCCGGTTGAACAAGAAACACCGCCAAAACCATCACCATGGGAAACAAAATACTACCACCAGGATTTTTAAACCACAACATTTTTAAAACAGCAAGTGAATGGCTACTTAAGCTGGTTGGCTGCGAATTATACAGTACACACGATTTATAAAGGAGACAAAAAATAATCTACTTATATTAATTCGACACACAACACTTCGAGCACACCACAATAACACCAAGGGGTTACCAGAACTATAACAAGCTGTATTCAAACAGAATACCCACCTATGTAACATTTATTTTGTTCCAGATAGCAGATTTAATTGACTTTATAATATAATTAATTGCAATGTAAAAAAGTCGTGAAGATTATCAGTTAAATAATTAGTTTCAGTTAAAACTTGATTGGTACTTTTTATTTAGCAAATAAATCAAAAATATTTTTATAATCACCGAATCTATTGCGCAAAAGATGCGCAAATATTGCGCTTAATCCACAACCATTATTGTTATACCACATTTAATTAAATTTCCAAATTATAATAATATAGCAATACACACTCAAAACACACAAACACCCAAACTGTTATTAAGAAGTATTAAGAACACACAAAAATAAATAAAAATTGGAAAATATACCTTCCGAGTTAGAACGGGTAGCTAAATTCATTTAAGGATGATTCGTACTGCTAAGGGAATTATATTTAATGAAATATACATATTTTTTCTAAGATAAGATGAGCTGAAACTTATTACATAATTGCAGTGTACTTAACAAAAGTATAGCTGCCCTTTTCTATTACCGTATGAAAGAAAGAGACAGTAATACTTTTCAATTTTTGTTTAAAAGGCAAGAACTCATACTTGTATCTTATCAATAAAGTACACAATTCTTTGTACTGCAATCTTTAGTGCAATTTAAATATAAATCGAGGAACAAATACAGTATCGTACTGACTTGCTTTTTGTTATATTTATCCTTTTTACGTAACGATGATTATCTACTAATACTAATCATTTCACTTCGCAGAATGCTGAATGAAAGATAATAGACTTAGGTATCTAGTTATCTATAAAGATCTCTAGCACTTTTTTTAAAAATTAAAGGGAAATAAACTGTCAAAATTACTCTATATTTTAAGTTGCCAATACTAAATATGGCCAACAACCTTAACATGGACTGGACTAGGAGAGGTCCTTCATAAAAAACAGAATCAGGTGGTCATGAAGCTATTTGGTTTTATACGACCATCTTACTTTTCAAGTACAAATCATCCTTCATCTAAATAAATAAGGAGAAAAATCAAAAATACGAAGCTCACGGCATGCTTAGAGCATTACTTACACAGACCTGCGCGGACGCAACGGGTACTTAACGACGCTGGGGCGGGCGGAGGCAGCCGTCTCCGTGGGCACGGTGGAGAGGGGTACCTCCACCATGCCCAGGAAGTCATCCCTAGTGAGCCGGTTCTCATCGAACACTTGGATCAACAGCTTGTGCTCTGCCGGTTTTACCTGAAGGTGGAAAAGTGCGGATTAATTTTCCTAATAGGAATTTCCTGTCTGCAAAATTCCGCAGTCCAGGAGTTAATGATATCTTATCGTTAGCTGTATTCGAACGGAAACAAAGTTGAACATATCTCACATCTAAATTTTTTATAAAAAATGTTTGTTATTTTCCTTAAAAATCAGGATTAATGCAGTAATTTTCTCGTAAATCGGTTATATTTAACTGGAAAACTTAGAAAACTAAAATCAATAAGAACTCACCCTGAAGACAAACTCCTGATTCCATGTGGGGTTTAAAGTCTGGAACACAAACAATACACGTTAAATATGACGGTTTTTGTATCATATCAATTACCAACATCCATCAAACTTTGTTTTAATAGCTATAATATAAAAGTTAATTAGCCATTTCCTCCCACTAAGTTTGTGAGTGAGGGAAAAGTATATCACTTCGGCTTTCGGTTTGTTAAAAAATCTACTACCAACCAACAGTGGTGGGGAATCCCCCACCGCTGATAAGAAAGAGAAAACAAACATAACGCACCTTTTTCTTGGTTTTAGTGAGAAACGTATCAAGGGTGACATCACCATCGACCTTTTGCAACTCCACCCGCACATATGGGTCACTGGAACATATAAGTATACATATATAAATCATTATCTATCAGTAAAGAAGTTTCGCTTATAATTTAGTGATTAGGACCATAATTGGTGAGGATTACGCATTTGACTGCCAACAGAAAACTGTTGAAGGGAAATCCTCGGCTAATGCCGCCACGCCGGTCATTGAGTACCCATGCGGTGGATAACGTGTTAAGTTTTCTTAAAAGGAACACGAAACAGTTACATTGTGTAAATTGCTAGTATATAAATCACAAAATCATATTTAGATTTTTATATAATTGAACCCTTTTTAGGCACATTCTTCATTTGGGTGCGTTTATAAACACGTTAGGTACCATTTCTGTCACTAGGTCTATCTGCCGAGTTGTGTGTGCATTTACAAACACTACGAAGAATAACCTGAATTGGAAATACTTTAAACTTTGCTTCCTCAACAAATATGACATTCAATCATCATTCAACGCATAAGTAGTGTCCTATAACTAACTATTTCCGCACGGTTTCAACCGCTCTGCTCAGCGCCTATCGATCGTAGCGTGATGTTTTATAGCCTATAACCTTCCTTTCAAAGTACAAATTGATTTGCAATGGAGACACAGTATAGTTTAAAACACGTTTATTATAGTTTTTATGAATAATACCGAGTTTGTATGTAGTTATATTATTATAGGTACCTACTATACAATGTTTAACTGTAGTAGTGAGACAGTTATCGTTCATCTTTTGTATAAATATGGCTGGGGAATCACTTGCGCTTAGTTCAGTGTTATTGATAGTCATATAACCAAATGAGTATATTTTGCGGTTGATTATTCTTTACAACATGTGAAACTGCTGACTGATTCTGATGAAACTTCGCACACAGATAGATTTGGATTAATCACTATGTTACATTTACTTTGCTATTTAGATTTGTGAACTGACAAAATTAGTATTAAACAATTCTGTACGTGCATTTTCCTGATCTTCATGATTGATTGATATAAAAATTCAACTTCTTGACGTAGAATAGAATGCATATCACGTACAACTTGATTTCCGCGACTAAACGGTAGTTTGCGCAGTTGTGACGTCACAGTTTGGTGAATCTGTCAATAATTTTCATTGGATTTTCGACTTTATATCAAAACAGTAAAGTTGAAAAGAATTGACCAGCTGGTTTCTGTACTTCAGACAGGCATACTTTTGAATGAACTGAAATGTGACCAAGAAAGAAATGAATGTCAAAATAGTAAGCAATCTTATATTATTATATAAAGCTGAATAGTTTGTTTGTTCATCAAACTATGATCAATAGGAGCTGAGCAGAGCAGGTGAAACGCGCGGGGGTAGCTATTACATTACATCTTATATATAAATAAAAATGAATTTCCGTTCGTTAGTCTAGCTAAAACTCGAGAACGGCTGACCCGAATTGGCTAATTTTCGTCTAGAAATATTCGTGGAAGTCCAGGGAAGGTTCAATCAAACAGTGAGAAATACATTTTAGCTAATAATATATAGTATTAATAAAGTACAAAAAAAGTAAAGATTTGAAATATCTAGAAGAAGCAATTACAATAATAATTCCCCCGTATATCATCAGTCGATTGGTATTTATTTACGAGTGGTCTTATCTACAAGTATCTAATATGATGTTGCAGATTTTATGAATTTCGGACTCGTTAAATTGGACTAGATGTACCAGCTAAAGTACGTGATAAGGCATTTTTACAGAAGGCAAGTATTTATGTAAAAAGTGAACGGAAGTAACTTTTTTTGTTTGTTTTTAGAACTCAATTTGAATAGTAGGATTTTTGGACTGGGTTTAACTATGACCTTTTTGCTTCATACTTGAATAAAGGCAGTTATCACATAGAGAGAAATTGCGTTATTTTCCTCAAAAGAAACAATGTTTATTATACCATATTTTGACACGTTATATCTATGTTATTTTCATTCATAATAAGGAAATTGTGACGTAGTAGTTAATCATTAGTATATAAGAATATAAACTGTATCTCTGGAGAGGAGGAATGATTAATAAACAGAACGTGTAACGATTAACATCTTGTTTGATTTATCGAAGTCCCGTCCTTACAAAATAATTCTAAAAGAGACCCTCCATCTGAAAGAACGAACTCGAATGGCAGATTTTTTAACGAAAACCACTTTTCTTTTAGTTTAATTCTTATAATGTTGTACTCAAACCGGATACTTCCGGGTTCCGTAAAGATAATAAATATGATTATATTGGCATCATTAAGAAAATATGCACCCCAACGCCGCAAAGATAAGGGACCTGTTCAAAAACGTTAATCTTAGACTTCGCACCCATTTGGATCCGGTTGGACCGCTAGTGTACCGCGATACACAAAGGTTTAGTCTGATTACATCTATTCTGATAGATTAGCAAGCTATGCGGTGAATCAGCAGGCAACTATTTAGGGTGGGATTAGAGTTTGGTACCACTTTGCTTCCCTAAACTAGGCACTGTTTAAAATAATTAAAGTTATTTTAAGAGAAGACAAGTTAAAAAGGAACCATTAACATGCCAAATTACTTTTCTTTAAATCTATTGTTTCCTATACTGAAAAGAAATCATTATTTTATAATACTATGGAAGCTTGGGGCCCTGATCCATAGCAAATATCATAAGTTCATAACCTATGAAATCCTGCAATACCTAAGCACTGTCGCTAACGCCTTAGCAACGCATTACCTTTGAAAACTGTTACAGGTTACTGAACAGCGAAAGAGTGACTGAATAAATAAAGTCTTATTTTTACTGCAAAAATAGAACTTACAGGGGAAGAAATAAGGGTTTTATTTACTAACGAGATCTATACTAATACGAGTGGGCCAAGTAAGTAGAGTAATATACGTGTAGAAAGTCGTCAAACCCTAAGTAAGTGGATGATATGAGGTTTTAATACCCGCGGCACCCACGCCCGCGCGGCTAACATAATTCGGTGGACGGTCGACTCGTAATTAGTGTCGCGATGACCGTTATATATTCCATTCCTCTTTCACTAATTACTGGCTTTTCGTGGTTTGTTTTTGTCTTCAGTATGCGTCTATTCACCTTGTACATTTGTTATTGGTACTTTACGAAGCGTTATTTTTTTAATAACATTCTCTATCTACTCTACCTATTGCTGAAAGGGTGTGTCGCCTGAAGTTGTTATGTAATATTTTGACAAATCTGGAGGTCAGAACTAACTTAAAAGCCCTTGAAGTAACTCTGAAAATAAAGGCAACCAAGATTGGTATTTTGCAAAATATTGTTCATCTCATAGAAAAGACATTTTATCAACCCATTTACATCAACGAAAAACTATAATATTGCTGTAAATGTATTCTAACAGATATTTAAAACGTTTCCTTATAACTATCCCAGTGACTATCGAAATTGTTAGTCTAAACTCTAAAATCAGAATACCTATAGCCCATATGCAGTGGGCAATTGTATGACGGAATCAATATTAATAAAGTAATGAGTCACCGTGATCTCGGCGGCGTCCATCAATTCTGTGGCAATTGACAATCAAGGCGAGCTGGTACGTCTGCACCGAATCTCGGCGTTCTACAGATATGATCTGTACTACAGATCATATTGTATGTGATTTAAAAATTTAAATTGGAATAACACTTTTGTAAATTGTTGAGAATAATACATTTACTTTTACATTAGGTATAGGTGCTTAGATTTTCCCTGTAACACTGCTGTTTATGGAAGTCATTTAAAATATTGGTCCAAACTCCACAATTGTAGGCTGCCTTGTCGCAATCACCGAGCAAGGTCTAGAGTTCTCATTGAAAACGAAAGCTTAATAATAGTATGTTAGAGTCTGGAGTATGGCTACAAGCTCGCTCCTAGCTAGGCACACCGGAATCTATAATTGGCAAAAAATGGCTGTTACATCTAATAATTGTGCCCTCCGTCTATACTTCCGGGGTTATCACGATTATACGACAAAAGTAAATAAGACTAAATCCAAAGCCATGCCATATCACAATACTTCCGAGACCTTGCTAAATCGTACTAAACACGTACAATGTTTGCATAAAAATTATGATAAAACATACTAATGTCAGTACACAAACAAGCGCGAATCATTGAAACATGGTTCAACTCCGGAGAACGAGTGATAGTGGGCCTGGCCCGAAAGATTACTTATATGGTTAATTAAGTATTTCTATTTACTTTATCTCAAGTTATACGTCCGTTTTGGAAAGTGCTTGATTCATCATATCATCCACATGATATCCACTCCATCAATGACCATAATGCTCTTCGAATTACAACTTGATGGCTTATGATCTAATCACTTATAATTATATCAAACATGTACACCAATATGAGTAAACAAGGGGATCTGAGTTTAAGCTAAGGATACATTAGAGGGCAAATGTCCTGCGAGACATGTCGCCAGCGACGTCGGGTGAGGTAGCGCCATGTTGCCGGACTTTGGTCGACATGTCTGGCAACATTAACGTCACTGTGGACATAAGTTGTGCGTTGTCACCGTATATTTCAGGCGACATCGGCCGACTTCACTCGACATATCGCAGGACATTTGTCGCCTAGCGGTTTTAACCGGGCATAGTATACGAAAATGTGTCAGCATGGAGTCTGGAACTGAATTGGGAGCTAATCAATTGATTCACCCTCTATTATTAATCAAATGATACTCGAGACAGATGGGTTTTCCGTTTATTCAGGTTCTCCAATTTGGGATTCTCCGATTTTAGCCTATCTATTCTTGAATATCAGATCTTGTCATGAATCACCTATAGATTATTAGATTTACGACTTTCCTCAGAAACTAACGTGTTTATAATTTCCATTCACAATGACGAAATGACTGACGTCACAAAAACGAAAGACGTTTAATGAAATCTTGGAATTATTCAACTGTTTTATTCTGAGCGTCACATTTGTGTAATCGAGTTGTAACTATAAGCAGTCTGATTGATATATGATACTTTTCAAGCACCATTTAATTCTTTAACATGGAGACCACAGCTTACTACATGCCTTCGTACGACCATAATAAGAAACTCCTTCGTATTGGGAACTCGTTAACTTTTGGTTTCTAAAAACTCTGCAATACTCAATGACACCTAGGCTTAGGATATACCAATATTCCTCATTATTAACTAAAACTCGCGGGTTACTCACGTGTATATACTGAGAAAAGCTCTACTAGTTTCGAACCACAGAGGGGTTCTTCCTCATGAGCAGCGTGTGCGGTCGCGGCATATCTCACGATAGTTATTATAAAAACATTCCTCAATTTATTTAAAATCTAAATTATTTCACGCTCCTTCGTCCAAAAGAGAACAGTGAGCAGTATTGAACCTGTTTTAGGAGCAACAGAGCTCCTGGGCGCATGTAGGTACAGTCAGACAAATTATTTGGCAAAGACAGAAGTTGTTACTTATACTTTTTAAACAAATAATCGGTACCCATTAACTGTATAATTAATATCTCTATATCTCTACTAAATCAATCTTTAATTTTTGAACTCTATACCAAATAAATGTCGTGGTGGCCCGGAGCTTTAAGACGCCCGCTTCTCATGCATGAGGGTGCGGGTTCGAAAGCTACCAACGGCAAGTATCAATGTGAGTTTTTCCGAGTTGTATGTACTTTTTAAGATTATTCAGATAGGTACCACTGACAAACGGTGACGGAAAACATCGTGAGGAAACCTGGGCTTATAATTTCTAATTATAAGTTTGTAATCGCCAACACGCATTGAGCAAGCGTGGTGAATAATGCTTAAACCTTATCCGTGTGAGAATAGGCTTTGCTCAGCAGTGGGCATTTATAGGCTGTTGATGATACCAAATAACTTGTTGGCTTTACCAATAAGGAGAATATAAAGTTGCAAACTTACCTAGCACCAAATATATCCTTTTTAGCCAATGAGTAAGCTCCTACAATCCTTAAACGAAGTAGGAAGCTGTTCTCATCAGTCTGAAAATAAAAAACAGAAAGTTTTTTATCATATTTTTATACACAAGCAACGAGAGGTCGAGGTGTCGTAAGTACGACTGCCAAACAAGAGGTTAGATTCTAGGTTGAGCAAAAGATTATTGAGATTTTTCCGTTTGATTTTTGAATATCGTAATGTTAGTAACAGCAGAGAGATCGAAATAAATGACATGCGCATGCATTCGTCAAATGACGATAGGCTGATTTGTCGTTGCCGCTTTTTGGACAGTTTCCATTGTTCTTAATTTTTCAATTCGATTTCAAATTCAATTTCAAATCATTTATTGCGAATATAGGTCAAGTGTAGATAAGCAAGGTGGAAGGCATTTGTCATTTGTACTGTACATCGTGTCCCTTAGCCTTTACAATAGTTTCTTAATATCTATTTTCATAAAAGAAATAAAGGAAAATTCAAGTTAATTGGGCACAGCCACAAGTACCTGCCTACAAAACTATAACAAATAATAACAATATTTTAGGAACAACTAGAGACTACAAGGCCCTGCATTACCTAATTACATTATGTTAATAAAAACATAACACCTTGGGGATTTCAATTAAACATCAGACAAGTACAGTACCTCTCTACCTGTCAGTAGTATCTGTCAATATTTTTCATTGGATATTCAACTTTATATCAAAACAATAAAGTTGAAAATCTAATTATACAGAAAGGTGTAAGTTGCCCCGCTTTCTGTACAAATATTAGGCTAATTAAGGTACGCCTACGCAAAGGGTGATTTAGTTAGTCACAAGACAAAACGATAGAAAAAAGAATGAAAGCAAGCGTTCAAAAAGTTCTTATAAGTACAAAGTAAAGAAAACCCTTTACCTTTTGAGCGCCGATGTCACATATAAGTGACAAGTGAAAACTGTCCCTGGACGCCAACGACACAAATACATGACAGAAAAAGCGGAACCGGAAACACGAAATCAACAATTTGATTCCCTATTGGAATCCCTATTTCTTCCGTAGAAATTTGCGCGGAATTTGTGGCTTGGCGTTGAGGGCAGGTTCATGTGTTTTTGCTCTGGCGTTCAAAAGGTTAATAAAATATGTTAGCTATGGGAAATAGGCTTGTTATGTATGTCCTGTAAACGATTGAAATAAACTACAAACTAAAGGTGGTGATGACTTATCCACTCAAACAACCAAGTCTGACAGCTGTCATCCAACACCAATAACTTTTGGGTGACCAAAGTCACCCAGACCTTCGAGTAGTTAGATAAACTGTTAAGAGAACACTAAAACCAAACAGAACGTTAAATAAACCCGTATTAAGGCTAGTTCGAGTTCATTTTACGTTTAACCGCTTGAATGCCTGTATATGAGACACAATAGAAAATACATTGTGTCCCGTGTGGATCCACGTTTAGACACACGACGGGTTAAAGTAAAGTAATCGTAACGAGTACACGTTCGGCGCTATTATTGACTGGTTTATAGGAGCCAGCTTTCTGATCAAATCTAAACCCCATTAGCTTTTGTGTCCATCGTGCCACCGGTATATTACAAAAATTAACGTTTTCTATACTGAAAGGGGCATAGGTACAATGTGGTTCATATTCATAAAATAACAACATGAGTCTATACAAGTGCTTCTAAAAGGAAAAAATTCTAATTCAGTACCCAAAAATCCTTACCCTTACTAATATTATAAATCGGAAAGTGACTTTGTTTGTTTGTTCCGCTTTCACGCCTTAACTACTAAACCGGTAGCTTTAAATTTTTGCTGACGTAAAGTTAGAAGTCCGGATTAAATAATAGAGTACTTTTTATCCCGGAAAAATTTGATATTCCCGAGGGAAAACAAAAGTATTGGTATAGATGGCGCTGTGTGTATTGGTATATGTACATAGGCTACTTTTTATCCTTTTGTGACGCGAGCGAAGCCGCGGGTAAAAACCAGTTAGTGATAATTCTAGAAAAATTATAACTAAGTTCCGCATAACAAGTGCTAATGCACCTAACTATGACAGTATTATCTCTATCTCGTTAAATATTCATAATATATACATACAAACATAAACCAGAATTCAATGAGTCATCATACTAGTTAATTAGTATTGTGATGCATTCTTATATGAATTTAATTAATTCATTTTTATCCTGATGCACTATACATAAATGTATAGGAACTAGGAAGCTTAGTTTGTAAGTAGGATATTTCTGTTTATACTACTGGGAAAACTATTGTTTGATTTTATTATTTTATTTTATTTACACTTTAATGCACACAAAATAAGGTACATAAGGCGGACTTAATGCCATATGGCATTTTCTCCCAGTCAACCTTTGGGTTAAAAGTAAGCTCAGCAAAAATGGGCTTGTGTAATATGCAAAAGAAACAAAATAAATAACTAATTGTAATAATAAATACTGTATAACATAATGTATAAAAATATAATAAACACAAAATATGTACATAAATAACTTCATATATATAATTATAATATAATATAAATTGACGAAGACACGAACTCAGCATTGTAGCGCCTTTAAATATACCTCACGAACACTACGTTTAAAAGCCATTATTGGATAAGTTGGTAAACTAACCAGCTAGCCCATTTGTGCCAAATCATGGCTCTCCCAAACTTAAATTTGATTTAATTTCGAAAACTCGAATTGGTTCTCTTTAACCATGCAGGCAAAAACAGCAACAATATTTATTATTGTTTAAAATCATGTAAGTACCTACTCTTTTATTTCAAATTTACTCTAAACTCTGTTTCAAACATAGATAATATGTTGGATTGGATTTGATTGTAACGGTAATATTCATAGATATTATTAAAAAGTAATATAAGTTGGAAGACAAAACAAATATTAACTCGTCGAGTACCGGTTTTATAGACACAATTAAAGAACAATAGGCCGCGGTCACCGGTGACCGCTTGGTGTTTGACAGATTAATCCATTTATGAGCATAGAAGATGATTTTAGAAAATCATGCAATAGGACACTAGGAACATGTAATACTTAGAATAAGGAAATTGTAACAAGAAAATAGTGGTTTATTAATTATTAAGTACATTACACTTAGTTACCCATTTAACACTTTTTACCATTAACAATAAGGAAAACGAACTTAGTAATAAAAATTAACATTATTTACAAAGCAATAGCTATGGTATTTATTAGATAGACTACCATGACACCCCGTGTTTTGTATGAAAAAAAAACTGATCGGACACAATCTATGACTTATTCAATACCCACATGATTTTAGTAGGTACAAAGAAACAAATATTGGATTTATCATAAGAACATACATAGTATCATGTACTTTGTTCATTTTGATGGATTTTGTAATTGGGATGATAACAGGGTATGAAAATTAAAAATGTAATTAGTCCATCAGTTAAGTAATGATGATAAAATATTAGATACATATTTTTTTATTTTGTTGTATAATAAAACAATACTTAGATAAAAGAAATCAAAGTTTAGGAGTGGCGACTAAAACATCATTTCTACATATAAAATGTACATAGAAGTAAATTGAAAGTATTCATTTCAAAAAATATGTGAATAATCTACCAGACTAATCTAAAATAAAAATTAGACATCTACCCTATTGTATCTATTATTTTTTTAACTTTGTAAAATGTTGTACCTACCCACTAATGAAGGTAGATGTTAATTAGTATTTCAAATAGATTAAAGATAAACCTGTTCCTTAAATATTTGTATACAAACAAAACAATTACCTAATTATTCTACTTTTATAATTTAAGTCAAACATAATTGAACTGATAGTTCTTTAGCAATTCATTGACTTGGAAATCTGACAAGATTGTAGGAAATAGGTACTTCATTAAATATATCTTATTCTAAATTATGATGGGAATTGATATAGCCTTTGAACAGTGTTTGCTCAATTATAGAACATGTTAAATAGATGAGAATAACTAGTTAAGACTCTCATTACTAGACTAGACATATTCCATATCATTTTGAATATAATATGTATACAACTTTACGGGCATGTTCTATAAGCACCAGATACTGATTTATTAGTCTAAGATAAAAGGAAATAAAAAATTTGTTTCCAAAGTTTTGAAGATTCTGTGTGAAATATTTATCTTGCATTTCGTACAAGCTACCAAGGGGACATTGAACTGAACTAAATTATATCAATTATCTGTATTAAAACTCTTTACACATGCATTAGCCATTCACTAATTATGACAATGAATATAAGAGTGAAGTGATAACAAACTTAGAGTGCCAACAGAATGTGTTTCCTCAATACTAATAGATAAAGCTATAGCTGTTGAGAATGGAACTTTTTCTATTCATTTCAAGTAAATATGCATGTTGTTGACACTTGTTCTGTAGAAAGATCATGACTAACTGTCAACACTATAACATGAACAAGCCTAAAACATAGTCTCACAAAAAGAATAGCATGAACAGTAGTCGTGTTAGCTGCGCCATGCACGTAACATCAAGTTGAAGGGCAAATCTCATTAGGATAAGCCATACACCACCAATTCTATGACCAAACTTCATAACACAATATTGTCATACAAAAACGCAAATGAATAAATTAAACCACCTCGTTCCGCAAAATAAAACGCATTAAAATGTTAATCGTTCACAAGGACGTGTATGTATTACCGATAAATAACAAGAAGTCATAAGAAATACAAGTTTCTACTAATAAAGAAATTGTGTTTTTGCAACTTACAAGAGTGTCCGACTGCCAAGCCATCACCCATGTGAAAATATACTAATAATTAAATAAAATTAGACACGATTCACATTCCTATAGCGACGTATCGGTTGAAAACAACTGTTTGTAAAATAATAGTGACACGTTCCTTTAATTGTTATTCGCCAATATAATACAGGGTCTTCTACAGGCTATAACCATTAGTTACACTTGTTAAGGCGACAATATAAAAATCTAAACACCAAAACTGCAACAATTATCTAGAAATACGTGATACACAAATAAAAAAACTAAAATATCACGGGGGATAATAATTATTTTCTGTGACAGGCTGTGCATGACAGTTAGTCGTACGTTCCAGTTTATGTTTAATTTCAGAGCATTGAATATTTGTCATCTCCTTCTCTCTTTCAATAGCAACCGTTAGAGAGAACGGACTAACAAATGCTTAAAAATCCACACCTCCAAGTCTAGACAGAAGTAACCTGCATTTACAAATGAATCATTTGCGCAGTACGTTTCATTTCGCGCAGCAAAATAAAAGTTGAGATAAGACGGTAAGACAGTCTCAAAATCAAAATAAATTATTTGCTACAAAATATTCATTTGAAAAATAATATATATTTGAAAAACCTGTTAATTAGAATTTTATTTTTAATTGATTTCACAAAAAGTACTCAAATGGGCGCATGTTCTAAAAAAGGAACTAGATGAAGAAAATTCTAAGAAACTGATTTGAAAAACAGTAAGAATTTCACGACATAATCATCACTCTTGCTTATCATTTTTATTTAAATGGTGTCAAAGATTAGGCTTTCTAAATATTTATATCTTTTATCCTACTCAAACAACGAAATTATGGTTACCTGGTACTGTAATGAATATCTTGGTTCATGTCTTGAAAATCCGTTTTGCATGTACCGCAGGGACCAAGATGAAGATCTACTCCTCTGCGGCCTTTCTGCCCCGCTGGGCAAATCCAAGGGTCTTGCGTTTTGCATTGACATTATGGTTACGGAAGGAGGATGTATCATTTCGCACAAAAAACGACAATACACTGCACCATCACTGCTCTAGGTTTATTTTTTACATTATCACAATAAAACGTTACGTTGATTTACAATGCTCGCTGTCTGTAAGGTGTAGAGGTGGCGCTGTTGTGAGCCATATGACACTGTAATCTTATCAGGACAAGAAACTGGTAAGATAAAAAAGTGTGCGTTTACAATTAGCGTTTCTGTGATAACTTTATTCGGCCGAGTCATGTGAAACGCAACCGATTAATGAAGGATTTTTCACTCAAGTATTTGTTTGATAACGGTACCTATCAGTCATTATGTTCTAAATGAATGGTTTTGTTCTCAGCGTCTCCGACCCTATTGTTACGACGATGACGAGCTGTTTGTTACATGTGTTTGCTACTTGTTTACTTTGAATGTGTGCTACCTCTATGTGCTAAATAGCTGAGAGTAGGTCAAAAGAGACATGCGACGCGAGACGTTTGTACTTAGTTGTTAAGATTGATGTTGGTGAGTTTGATAAAAGAACCGGGTACGCGCATTTTATTTAAAAAATCTATACCAATTTTTTGCAACCAAGAAATCTTTCATTAATTACTTTTACACATACTTTCTCCGTCGTTTGTTATGGCCATAACTAGTAAAAGTATCTAAATTATGTAGGTAGGTAAGCCTTAAAAATACTAAGGCTGAAATTGAGCTAAAGAATAGGTACAATCACATTGGTAATTACAGAGATAAGCGCCTTTGACCAAACAAACAAATTAGTCAGCTCAGTAGATGTAAACCTATGTAATTCATTTTAATGTCAATTGAATTATTTTTCTTCGACTCAAGATCCCTGATGAAGTGATGTTTTATATTTCAACTCGTATTTCGAAATTAATAATGTTCTTATATTTCTAACCTAATAGGTACCTATCGTTAGTAAACCTTTTTATACATTCTAGGTCCTATGGGTAGTAATGAAGTTCGTTTAATAATGGGTGGTTACCGGTAGTCTGAATAGCTCACAGACATATTATATACGTCTCTGGAGTAGCTGCACCTGCAATACTAACCAGAGATATCACAAGTGCATTGCTGACCATGTAGATAACTGTTAAAAGTGCCATAATTTCCGGGGAGCCCTCTTTGAAAACAATGACGCAAGGACACGCTTGCGTTGTGTTTTGTCGTGTGAATGAGGTTACCGGAGCCCAATTACCCCCTCCCTAGTCTCCCGAATCCCCGAATCCTCCACAATCCTCAAATTCCCAATTCCCAAAAGCCGGTAACGCACTTGTAACGTCTTGGTGTTTTGGGTGTCCATGGGCGGCGCCGATTGCTTCCCATCAGGTGATCCGTCTGTACGTTTACCGGCTTGCTATTAATAAAAACACGATGACGTATGGACAACAATCAAACTTAAACTCAAAAGCATTTATTTCAATTAAACCATAATTAATTGGTACTTTTGATAACAAATATGAATTAAATAATAGTCTGTCAGTCTGTCCGTCAGTGAAGCTAGGCGCTCGTTCCAAAATGTCGATTCGAGTGGAGAAGAACGAGCAAGAAACTCCATTCGTTACTCTTTTAAAAAAAGTCTGTTTTACACTGCTCTGATACATAGTGACATGTATCAGATACGTAGCAACATTACTTTGTGTTTCAATCATTTATTGTTGTGAGAGGGTTCCCTATTTCATCCGGTCTACTTAAGTATTCATGTTGCATCAAGTGCATAGGTAGGTACATAACGATTATAGGTAGGTTTTATTAGGATTACCACCAGAAACTGTTATATTAAAGACCCCATGTCCTTGATATTGTAATTTGATATTAATTTAATGGAAATTAAAAAGACATTTCGAAAAATATATAGGTCTAGGCCAGACAACATGGTTGCGGTACAAAGGAACTGCAATTTTTGTTTAGAAGGCTATACGACAGATGAACAACAAGTCTCCTTTTATTGCTCAACGGTATCAGTTATCGCAATGAAAATATTTAGATCATTTGGTATGTAAACAGTGTCAAAAATGAGACATTAAGTACGTCTTCCTTTTATTTGTTTATTTCATCGTTTTATCTTGACCATATCGAACAAAAATAGATACCTAGTATCTTATGATATTTTCTGAAATAAAATTGTAGAAAAACGAATAAAAAAACCTAAAAACCCCTTCTTAGATGTTTACTTTTAAGGCCTCAACCTAGGGTAATTACTAATTAATCTGCTCTGTCTAAATTTTTTGTGTATATTTAAAGTGGACCTTCCGGATCCGGATATAAATATTTGTTTGGTATGTTTAAAAAATATTTAAATGTTTGCCAGTTAGACAAAAAACAATTTGTTTATATGATTGTGTCCGTATTCAATATTTACGACGTAGTTATTTGTGAATATTACAAATTATTCTTTGTTTATGAATATTTATATCCTTCAAGATAAGATAGTAATCAAAGCAAATCTGAAGTGCATCGTTGATAACATGTCTCAACATGCTAATATTAATAATAATTTATTGATCTAATTTCACAAAAAAAAAAATAGTTTAGAAACAAAGAGTTTCATTGGCTTTGTCAGATTTTAGGTCAATCTAGCCCTTAGAGTATTTAACCAATAGCCTAGCATAGTTACTTGTATTGTTATGGTATTTTTTCACGTATTGTACCACTCACTTTGTTGTTAAAATGAGCGTGTGTTATAAATAATTTTCTAATTTTATTTTACTCTGTCAAATGTAATCATTTTACATACTTACAGTCAAAAACAAAAAAATAATACTACATCAATTAAAGATTATGGCCACATTATGGCAAGGACGTTGTACAAAATATGATTTACAAAATGCCCACAAGTTCGTTAGACAATCAATAGACAAGTAAAAAAACAAATCGAATTGTCAACAAAAGTATTCTCTTCTCTTCTCTCTGACTGTTATCATTTTGTCAAAGCTGACGCTTGAGAGCTTGACGTTTGTATGTTTTCAAAATATTTTGCAGATAATCCAAATAAACAATTATAAAATCGTCACAAAATATCGAATATTTTGCTAAAATGTCGCAGCATTTAGTGAATGAAAACAGTAAATATATCTTGGAGTAAGTTATCTGTCGTATAATAACATAACCTCTTAATTTTTAAATACATTATTGTGTGATTATTTCCTTTTGTTTACAGCTTATTTTCAGAACAGACAGTAGACCAACAAACACTAGATTCGATATGTACCCAGGTCCAGAAGAAGTTCCCTAAATCGGATCATTTTAATTGTAAGTATCGTAGTAATAAAAACTTTTTATGTAATCACCATAAGGTTAACTTTCGTTAACGTAATAATAATAACATATATTCACACAATACCCTTTAAAAGTGTAACCATTTATTTGAATATTATTTTTCTGCAATATTAATTTGAACATTCTATTTTGGGCAATGACAGTGGTATTTATTTATTTTTTATTTACATAAATATTTTTTAATTTTTATTGCAGTATGTCTCCTCCTGTCATCGTTAGTAACAGGTGGGGATCTCTCCCTGCCTGGACAGCGAGTGGTGGCTCTGGCCATCATCTTTGATATCTACAAGTTGGACAATCCATTTGCTTCATTGTTCCTGCACCTGCTGGAAGGGAAGGCTGGTCTCCCTCCACTGTCTCCGCAGGAAAGACTACTGATTGGACAGCTGCATGGGTTCCTACCTGTTAATATTAAAGATGTAAGTATTAAGTAGCAAATTATCCTTTATACAATGCATCTTCTATTGTGTTTCAAGTCGCAGCATCTTGATAGATGTTAAAGAAAATTTAAGATACATGTGACGTGTGTAGGTAATAATAATACAATTTTTATTAAATTATTTCAGAAATAAAATATCTTAATGAAGTTACAAGGAGGCTCTACCTAATCTACACACTTTTTTAAATGTTATCCTAGCCTTTGCCAAATATATAACTTGAAGTTGGTACTAATGCTGGAATACTGAAACACCACTCAATTTTACAAGTTGTACTTAAGTATAGTTCAGACACGACAAATTGTTTGTAAAATGTCAAAGATAATATTTAAGTACAACTTAAATTAGTACAACTTAAAAAGTAGCTTTTCAGTAGTCACATGATTCTGATCTCTTGATATATTTTATACTAAACTCAATAAATCTATCTTTCCAGGTTATGAAGAAGTCTGCAAAACAGGTGATGCTGACAGAGGTGGCTCCGAAAGACCTGGAATTTGATTACTCATCATTACAGACCCTGGTTGCGGAGAGGGTTGCAGACATGAGCTCCATGGCGAGGGCGGCGGCGCCGGCGCTGATACCGCTTAGTGATGGGTTTGTTTATACACCATTTATAGAATCAATAAAGAAATAGTGGTAGCACTATGTTTTGTGTGATTGATGCATAACATACAGTTGTTGATTTAATATAGAATGCCTTCAGCATGTGGATATATTATTTGAGTAATAAACTAAGTTTCCCAAAAGCCTTGTAAAAATAAAAACAATTTTACTAATAACTTTTTTGCAAAATGTTCACCACAGGAGTCCACCAAACCGTATGGCGATGAAGGAACTGTTGGAGAACTTGATATCCAATGACTACATGCCCCTGCACCGTACACTGAAGGCATCAGGACCTATCCCACTGCCCACCTTCTTGATGGACACTGCCGAAATGACTGCTGATAAGGTATTCTTTATTTCTTTCTAGCTGATAAATGATCTTATAGTCAAAAACAGTTTCTATATATGTATATGTCATACCATTTTTGGATACAGGGGCAAACAAGCTTATCGGTTATCTGATAGTAAACAATCTGCAGCACCTAAGGATCCTTACAACTCGTAAGGAGTTAGAACTGTGGTTGCTGGCCTTTGGAGATTGGGCCTCCATTAACTTCACTCACAGTTAGCTGTATATTATGGGTGGTTTTATGTCACTTTCCTGTGGGCCATGACTCTCCCACGTAAATAAAACCATCTAAAAACTGACTGTTGCTACCGATCATCATCATCATCATCTTCTTCATCAACAGCAGCCCATAAGTTCCTACTGCTGACCAGAGACCTCTTCTAGCACGGGGAAGGTTTGAGGATTAATCACCACGTTTGCTCAATGCGGGTCAATTGGCAATTTCAAACTTATAATTGGAAATTATAAGCCCAGGTTACCTCATGATGTTTTTCTTCGCCGTTTGTCAGTGGTGTCTAAACAATCTTAGAAAGTCGAACTCGGAAACGTCACATTGGTACTTGCCGTTAGTAGGTTTTGAACCCCATCAAAACGGGCGTCTTAAACCTCCTGGCCACCACGACCGATAGTAGCATAAAGTGAAATAATGCTAACTTACAGGCGGTATGGAAGTGCCTGGTAAACCGTGGAGCGTACATCCCGCTGTACGACACGGACTACGAGGGACTCGTGGGGCTCCGGCCTGAGAAACTCGACAGGAGGCAACACACCACTCAGCCACATAAGCCTAAAGTAAGCTGCTAAACATACAGACAGGATACTAACTTAAGGGTATGATGAATCAATTGAACATTTTACACTTAAGTATAGGATAAGATTTTTGACACATTATTAATTTAGGTATTGTGTCATTCTTCTCAATATACAGTTGTATGTAGAGTTTCTTGCTCGGTTTTTGTACATTAAAATCTGAGATTTAACCTAGTCAAACAAACGGGGCAAGCTATTTTAAACTGTTTAATAAAAAGTAAATGGATTGATGCTACCAGGCGAGAGAATTGGTTCCCATTGATATAATTATAGTGAACATATACCTAATGTGGTTTAGGTAGTTCCCAGGTTCTTTACCTCGGTCGGTAATCTTATTTGTGTACTAGCTACTCCTGAGTGGTTTCACCCGCTCTGCTCGGCGCCTATTGGTCTTAGCGTGATGTTTTATAGCCTATAGCCTTCCTTGATAAATGTACTATGGAACACAAAAAGAATTTTTCAAATCGAACCGTCAGTTCCAGAGATTAACTTTCATATATAAGATTACTACTTTAGCACTAACCGGTAGTTTACTTCACCTAACACACCTTAAATAACTATATTAAAATAAATATTCTGTGACTACTCTAGCAAGAAGAGAAAAAAGAGAAACCAGAAGAAAAGAAAGTAGAAGAAAAAGAAGGAGTGAAGGCGGGAACAGAAGCCAAGGAGCTGACGGCGCTGGCACTGCGCGGCGCGCTCAGTGTGCCGCACCAACAGAGACTCCTCGCTCTCTTGGATCATGATCCTAATATCGTGTATGAAATTGGGATCACGCCTAACCAGGTAATATTTAGAAGCACTTTTCTTGATACTATATTGTATCGTTTTTCTTTTTTCTTATATTCTATAAAGTGTGGATATCTGAAACAAATTGAGCTCCATTGCATCGCGTAATTAAGTAAAACGCATTCTTCAAAGCTAAAATTGATTCAAGAGATGGAAAGCTTTGGATTCCAAGAATCGAAGCATAACTGGTGACCCAATTTCTGGGTTGTTTCGTGAGGTAACACAATCTCCATTTTAACTGCTGATTATTTCGAAAAGGCCTACTTACCCGATCCATAATCAAAATGGTTGTTTAATGCCCAAATACTGAAATGCTACTCAATTTAAAGTCGTACTTAAATATCTTACTATCTCTGTCATTTTACAAGCAATTTGTAGTGACAGTACTATTTTTAAGAGTCTTAAAAATTGAGTGATTTGAGTAACATAACATCACGCGTTTTATCCCCGAATGGGTAGGCAGAGGTGTATATTATGCCACTGTACAATGTAACACTCACTTTTTATTTTTTATGTTATGAGTCCCATGTAATAGGGGGGTGAGCCTATTGCCATATACCAGGAACAATTCCAGACTCCGTGCTATTACTGAGTTTTTTTTTAAACCCAATAATTAATACTTTTCCTAACCCAGAAATCGAACCCGAGACGGCAGTCGCACTTGCGACCACTCTGCCAACGAGGCATTCTGATGTGACTTGAGTATTTGAACATAAATGTCTCATAATGCAACAAGAAACTAACTTTTGCTTATAGTTACCAGAGCTGGTGGAGAACAACCCGATGGTGGCTATATCCGTGTTGCTGAAGCTGATCCACTCGCAACACATCACCGAGTACTTCAGTGTGCTCGTCAATATGGAGATGTCATTACACTCCATGGAGGTTGTAAACAGGTGAAGATACTATAAAATAAACATTACTGATAGATTCGGACATGTATAGATACAATTACCCATGAGGCAATTTGGACAAACAATTCTTCTACACTTCATTTAGTCTGTAAAATTTTATATGGTGGAATCCAACGATAATTGTTATACAATTATATACATTTTGCTTTTCCTATCTGATACTTTACTACTGGATGCAATAGTAGTATTTTATGTATAATAACGACTTCCAAACTTCAACTAACTACAATTCCTAAACCGGTAGTACCATAAACATCACTAGCGCCACCTAGAAAGCGCAAAAAATTTACAATTAATCTTCAATTCCATTTTAGACTGACGACATCAGTAGATCTGCCGGTGGAGTTCGTGCACCTTTATATAAGTAACTGTATTTCTACGTGCGAGACTATCAGGGACCGGTACATGCAGAACCGGCTCGTGAGACTCGTCTGCGTCTTCCTACAGTCTCTTATTAGGAACAAGATAATTAACGTAAAGGTATGTTTAGATTCTATTATCATTGTTTTGTAAACCTTAGTGATTGATCGTTGCACGGCTCTGTTTGTGGTGTTAACTTATTTCAAGACACGCTTGGAGCTCATAGCCATGATCTATTTTGCGCTACAACAGTCGTGGCGCGCATCTTACAACCGGAAAGACCAGGCAAAATGAATTTGCCGCAGAGGACTTAACGGGTTGCCGGGGCTCGAAGAGCAGGAGTAGGAATGTTGGTGTTAGAAGAGTCTGAGACTCCCTCTCGCCTCACCCGGGTGGGAGAAGTCATTGGATGACTTTCTCCCTATCTATTCTATTTCATCCTCATTAATATTATAAATCGGAAAGTGAGTTTGTTTGTTTGTTCCACTTTCGCGCCGTAACTACGAAACCGATTGCTTTGAATTTTTGCAGACGTGAAGTTAGAAGTCTGGATTAAATAATAGGGTACTTTTTATCCCGGAAAAAATTGATATTCTCGAGGGAAAACGAAATTATTGGTATAGATTGCGCTGTGTGTATGGGTATATGTCACATAGGTTACTTTTATCCTTTTGTGACGCGAGCAAAGCCGCGGGTAAAAGCTAGTTCAAAATAAAACAGTGGACATATTGTCACAATAAAAAATATTTTCCTTTTTCATGTAAATTCTAAATATAGATATTTAGAATTAATTTTAATTGGTCTCTATCGATAACATTGATGTATGTCTTATTTACAGGAGCTATTTATTGAAGTGGAAGCGTTCTGCGTAGAATTCTCTCGCATCAGGGAGGCTGCAGCTTTGTTCCGGCTGCTGAAGCAACTCGACTCGGGAGACGGACTGGCTCACAAGGAGGCCAAGGATAACTAGCATCCCACCATATAAGCGTATAATGCATACAAAGTAGATATAAAAATAAAAGTTTATAAACATTGTATAAGTAAACAAAATTATTGTTATAATAATGCTTCTGTACGAATACTGAAACGCTACTCGATTTTAAGTTGTACCTAAATATCATACGGCCACACATCAATCTATACAAAACCAGTTTATACTGGTGTCGCGTCGCATCATCTTTCCGCACATTTAACGTTCAGTTTATACTGGTTATGTAAAGCTCGATGTGTAGCCGTGTGTACAATTTTTTTTAAACGTTGCCCCACATTAAGATTTTCTTCTGTGTCGTGGGTGCGTTTAGAAACATACAAGTTAACATACACATCACACCTAGAACCGGAACAACAATTTGTTGATCACACAAAGAGTTGCTCCGTGCGGGAATAGAACCCGCGATACGTTGCGTGGCAGTCAGTTGCCCAGCCACCGCACTAACCGTGTTATCAAGAACAAAGAATTTGTAAAGACAGAAGTTACTTAAAATTGAGTAACGTTTGAGTGTTTCAAAGGCCTTAAGTACGAGTTTGCGGCACCAATGAACCAACCAATCGGAGCGACGAACGTGTACTCGTTTCGATTACTTTAAACGTAGATGTTGTCATGCATAGATGTCAAGCAGCTGTACCTAAATGCCATTTAGCGCTTGTCTACATGTAGAATAGAAAACTAAATTATATGGAACTAGCTGCTGCTAGCGGCTTTGCCCGCGTTCCCAAATAAAAGTAGCCTATGTGTTATTTTATAGTACAACTAGCTTTTATACGCGGCTTCGCTCGCGTCACAAAAGGATAAAAAGCCAATGTGACATATATCAATACACAGCGCCATCTATTCTAATACTTTTATTTTCCCTCGGGAATATCAAATTTTTCCGGGATAAAAAGTACCCTATTATTTAATCCGGACTTCTAACTATACATCTGCAAAAATTCAAAGCAATCGGTTTAGTAGTTACGGCGTTAAAGTGGAACAAACAAACAAACTCACTTTCCCACTTATAATATAAAGTAAGGAAAGTAAGGAAGTAAGGATTGACGTAAATTTTGGCACATGTCAGTGCCATCCACATACATTTAGTTTTCTACTCTCTCTGTAGACACGAGCTAAGGTGGCGTTTGGCTAAAGGCTAAGGTATTCTGTCTTTATTTACTAGTTTGTTTTTTATATTCGGCCTCTTTGGTGAAGTGATTGCAAGCGCGACTGCTCAATCGATCGTCATGAAGTCTGGTTTAGTTTTTAAGAAATTTATAGTTTTTTTTTATTCATTACTTGCCACTAAACTCTGGAATTGTCTCGTGTAGGATATAGATGATTTGTAACTCTATACAATAGTAAATTTGAAGATATTTGACAGAGTACGGTCTATAGATGTACCAGCATCTGTATAACTATGTTAGTAGACTTCCACAGTTGTTTATTACACTCTATAAAATATAACAATACTTTGCTAAGGATATTGACAACTAGTCAAAATCTATAACTATTTTTCTAAATATCATTCGAATTTTTATATCAAATTAGTAGTTTAAATCCACATTTTCTCACAAAGGTATTTAAATATTAATTACTTAATTAATGAAAGTAATATCAAAATAGTGTATAGTACGGTCGCTTTACCTATATTAAATGGAACGTATTTTAATAATAATTAATATTATATTTTCACATGTGCCTACCATTGAGGATTTAAGGCGTGATGTATTGTAAGGTATTATTATTAAACTAATGATAATAACTGATGCGGCTCTTATAAAAAGAACTCGAAAACTACAACGCTAAAGTAATTATAGGTCAACTTTGCTATGATAAGTATTGAAAATGTTAGTGAATTCATTAAATAAAAGATCCTTTAAAATCTACTATATATAAATAAGTCGCGTTTTCCTGCCTGACGCTATAACTCCAGAACGCACAAACCGATTTCCACGGTCTTTCTTTCGTTGGAAAGGTCTCGGGCTCCGTGAGGTTATAGCAAACAAAATTCACTTTTAATCACCAAACGAAATGTTACATAAAACGAAGCCATCTGGTGGCGAAACAAAGGTCGCCGGGTTAGCTAGTATTCTATAAGATACCTATTTTTAACCGTCTTCAAAAAAAGAAGGATGTTTGACCTGTATATATGTTATGTGCGCTATTATCTCGTGATTGGCCGAACAAAAAGAATTATACAAGATGATGTTTTAAAGCCGCGTCATTTTCTAGAAGGTAACTCGGCTATCGAATCTGAGTCTGAATAAAAAAAAATTGTAAGTAGGTAAAAATTTTTCATTTTTCTGTAATTAACGGAAATCTGTAAGTGCGAACTACACGCCGCCGTCTTGTAACTAGCTTTATAACGCGGCTTAACACACACAAACTCAAACACGTGATTGATATTATTCTTAATTCCATAAAACTCCAATAAGAAGAAACATTGCTGTCGCTTATTCTGAAATACTGTCGAACTTAAGCGATTTATTATAACCGTATTTTTAACTATTGGCCCGAAACTTCTGTGCCTCCGAGAAATGCCACGGTTTCAAAACTGCACCTTGTACAATTCGGACCAGTAGTTTCGAAGATTAACGCGTTTAAATAAACAAATTCTTCAGCTTTATATTTAGCAGGCAGTCGCCTCAAGTATATGTAGGTTTTGCATCAAAAGCAATAAGAGATGTTTGCGTATTTGAAATAGTAATAATATCTTTACCAGATGAAGATGGAAGGTACATACTTTATATTTGATTTTAAATGTAGTTTTAGACCGACTTCCCAAAAAGGAGGTTATAGGTACCTATAATATTTTACTAAAGCTGAATATATGACACCACAAAGTAAATATATTTACCTATTTTTGTATGTAAGTCATGTATTTGTGTTAGTTTAAATATTGTATTTTATTGCCTTGCTATGTTTCTTGACCAAATTAGGTGGCAATGTTTGTATTTTAAAGCTTCCCCTAAGTAATTTATGTCCCAAGCATTTTGTACGTTTATGTCAGTAGGTGTGATCAAACTTTAATTGCAAAATTACCTTTTGATGATTTAAAACAGTTTTTAATCAAATACATTTTTAAGTAATATAAAGAAAAGCATGTGTCCACGTTAGCAAGGTGAATTGAGTTCATATTTTGTATACTCATTGTCTACAAATATTATTCTAAAATGTATGTCTAAATTAATGGCAGCATATGATACAAGGGCCAAACTAAAAAGTATAATTTTAATATAGCAATTACGTGCGCCTATATAATAATATGTATTCGTATAGCGGGCCCATAGTAGTAATAATTAAGGGTTAGATCAATCGAAGTTGGGTGAAACGGAGGTGCCTGTTATGGGAAAATTTTAAATGAAAGTGGTAAATGGGATTTTAGTCAAGTGTCTTTGAGAATCCTATGAGAGTATAGTGATAATAGTGAATTAAATATTGATGAGGAGGTAATTATTTTGATTGAATTTTGATATCTGTGAAGGGGGTGAATGTATGTAGGTACTCCTTTTGATATTGGCACTGGATTAGTTATAAAGTCCTCTACACTTGTTTATTAGGGGCCATCCATAAATTACGTCACAACTTAAGGGGGAGGGAGGGGTCGACAAAGTGTGACAAGGGGGAAAGAGGGATCCAAAACTTTGTGATGTCACATTTGAAAAACTATTACAATCTGCGTATAAATGGGAAATATAATTTTATTAATGTTTTTTATTTTGTTGATTGAATTTGCATTAATATTTTTTAAAGTAATTTAAGTGGAAATAAAAATAACAATACTGTAATTCTGCAAAATGGCGTCACACTAGGGGAGGAGTCCCTCGAATGTGACTGTCTGTGACAAGGACGGGAGAAGGGGCAAAAAAAATCACTAAATCCGTGACGTTATTTATGGATTACCTCATAAATGATTTGCTATTTCAGTGGTTTTTGTGTGCATTGCTAGTACCATTATTTTATGTATATCGGCATTTTAAATAGCTATACCGTTTGTATCATAACTTTCGTGAGACTTGCTAAATTAATTATTATGTTTTTCGGCTTACGTAACCATTTGACTTATTTTTATTGCATTAGTAGCATGGCTTGAAACTAGTCGATTTCCACGTCAAATAAGATGAATAATGATGAAATAATTACGAGAATAAGTCGAAAAACATAATTATTAACCTATTAATTAGCAAAACTGCTAATAAATACAACATTACGTCTAATTCTTGAAAGGACTTACGCTAATATTTGTGTCAGTAGGTAAAATATGCAAGTGTGGCACTATTGTGAGTGAAGTGTATGCCTTTTATTTATAATTAACGTTTTTCTCATTTGTAAGGTATAGCTTATTAAATTAACTTTCAAGTTATGACTGATTTACTAGATTACTAATATGTAGGTTGATACTTCCGTTTTAATATTTTGTACATATTGAAGTAATTTGGCGTGAACAAACAAGAATGTGTAAGGTACCTACCTAGGATTGATATTCGCAATAGTAAAGGATCACAACACTTACAACACTATAAATATAAAACTTTTGAATAAGAGAAATGAAAGAAAGAATTTTTAATAAATGTGTGAAGCCTTATAATAATACTTCAATTGTATTAACTGTTATAGTGTGATGTCTAAGTTAGCAATAAAACAATATAAAATATTCTCAGATTTTATTATTATGAATAACTACAATAACCCAATGTTAATTCTAACTAAAACTTGCGCTCAGTCTAATGGCGGCATGAATGCATGAAATATATTTTCGGTTAAATAGAAAAGGCATTGCAATATTCATGCCACCAATGGACTGTAACTTAATCTACGTAGCACCTTCCAGAACTTTCCGTATGTCGTCATCAGAAGCCAAGTCTAGTGGAGTGCAGTCATCCTCATCCTTTAGCAGTGAAGCACCAGCTTTCAACAAAATAGTGGTTGACTCAATGTGGCCACAGGTTGCAGCATAATGTAGAGCTGTCTGACCACATTCATCCGCTGCATCCACTGGGCACCCTCCTTCCAAAGCAGCTTTTAATGCTTCAGTGGCATTTCTGTCAGCAGCCCAGTGCAATGCGGAGAGACCATCCTCGTCCGTTTCATGACGAAGTTCTGGATGTTTGGAGAGAAGTTCTCTGACCCGGTCAGCACAGTTCTCTCTAGCTGCATCTAATATGGACAATTCATTGTGTACCAGTTCAGGTTCTGGTGATTTGAGCATGGAAGATACAGCCACCCATGCTTCCTTTACTCCTAACTCATTGTCATTTGATAGGTCTGTCAGTTCTGGGGCATACTTCTGTACTAATGCTATATATTTCTGTTTAGCCTCATCTTGTGGCATGTCACGGAGAGAGTTCCATGCTTCCCACTTCTTGCGCCCCCTGCCATCCAACCAGCCAGGCTTAGGAATGTTACATTTACCTTCTGTGCCTTGTTTGTACAGACCATACAGCTCCAGCAGTTGGTTGTTATTTAGTACATTGGTTAGTTTTCTTACATGGTCAGATGCTTTGCTAAAAGATTTGTCTAACGGAGACTGTTCATCATCAGAGAAGTCTGAATCTGGGTATTCTGGAAGAGCTTCAGCCATTGTAAAAGCTAACTATGGTTTGACTTTAACTGTTTAACTATTTTGAACTTGAACAACTAAATTCAGTCCTTCTAATGTATGCACTTGCTTGTTAGTAGCATCTGCAGCAGCAGATGAGTTGGCAAACTCTATGAAACCGTATCCTTTACTAAGGCCTGTAGAACGGTCAAACACTACTCTAGCATTTTGTACTGGTCCAAACTGGGAAAAGTATTCTTTTAGTTGGCGATGACCAACAGTCCAGGACAGGTTGCCGACATAAAGGCGGGCTGCTCTTGCTGTGCTGGCCATAACCTTAGAGTGCCACAATTTCAAGTAAATGCAAAGATCTATCTGCTACCAATGCTCGGTAGTCAACACCTGAACTCTCACTGAGTGAGTCCAAGTCCAGCAATGCTCCCTTCAGGCCCCACTTCTTCAGAAGAGCCTCAATGGACCAGTCCGCGCTGCGTTCCTGGTAAGAACATAAAAATCGGGCGTCAGTGCCGTCTAGCAGATAAGCGACTGTCGATAGCACTTCTTCAAACTGGGAGGGCTCGTAAAAACAATCTGAAGCTAATATTAAGTCTACTGGTCTAAGTGCGTGAACTTCTGATAGGAATAGGCCCCAGGCAAGACCTAGGATCTTTACGTCGCGATTAACGACGAGACCATTGGCCTCACAACACGCAGACAGATGCCGCAAGGACCGCGGCAAAGCGACGCTGTCAGTGAGCGTAACACGGGCGCCACACTTCGCAGCTAAGATGCCTGGCAGGCCAGTTCCACAGCCAAGCTCTAATACGCGGAGTCCGCGTAAATGTCGCCTTTGAGTCCACAAATACCAAGCTAATAAGGGTGCCGACGGCCACGTGTAGAACGAATAGCCAGCCGTCAGAAGCTCCGGTATAACTATCTCCAAATATTCACCTCGAGTGTCGCCGTTACTTGATGACTTGCCACGAAACACGAACTTTTTCAGTTGGCCACTTACAGACCTACCATCGCTCATTGCATAAGCATTCCTTGCGATAAAGATAAATAAAGAAATTAATTTTTAGAAGCCAAGTACTCGTAAAGTCAGCCGTCAAATTTGTATTGCCAGTTAAAAAATAAATTCGAATATTTGATAGATACCTACTTGAACTTGCTTGAAAAATAAAAAAAATGATATTAAGGTATTCATTACCTCTAAACTTTTAGAGATCTTGAAACATCCTTCTATGATGTCGAATGATAGGGGAAAATTATATAGTGTACACAAAATGTATTATTTAACACCACAATAAACCAACTCATTTTATGATCTTGTCACCCTGATTCTTTTCGTTCAGTTATCAGTAAATCATTCAATTTGCGATGTCTTATCAGTCCATTCAATCGGTCTACAAAAGACAGCGTCTAATTAGTTCAATGTTCATTCAAAAGTTGTGAAGTGTGTGGTGGTGTGTGTGTTGCGGAGAGTTAATTATTTTTTTACGAAACATACCTTACTTATAACCAAAATGTCCGTAGCAGCTAAAGGTAAGCTATCGTATAAATCACAATAATGTTACAATACATAACTGATGTGATAATTCATTAAAATTAATACATTACTACGGAGGGGTCAAACTCCAAAGTTTTTACAAACAACTTTTCCATTCTAAATGGACATCAATATGAACTATTTTAATTAGTAGTCATTGTATTGTAAGTGGTTCTATTGGATTAACAACATAGGAACATATTCAGATTTCGACCTCAGATATTAGTATATTGTACCAACAAAATTCACACACAAACACCAGGAGTAAAACTGTATACGTAGCGGGAATTTACAAAATTGACAATACCTAGTTCAGATGAGAATATTTTTTAGCTAGCGTAGAACCGCCATGGAACCGTCCCAAGACGACCCACTGACCCATTTTACCTTCATCTTTTAACTTTAAACTAAAGGTGTGTACTTGTGTAGGTATAGTTAGATAAACATTACATATGTTTTGTGTCCATCTGGCATATATACGACATCTCCGGATCTCCCTCCTCCCTATTACACTAATAATAATATCCCTTCACTAATGATAAAGAAATAACTATTACGTACGGTCTTTTTTTTTTTTTTTTTTTTTTTAAGGGGGGAAAATCATCGAATGACTGCCCCCGCCTGGGTGAGGCGGGAGGGAGTGTCAGACTCTTACTGACTAAAAACCACCCCGTTCCTTCTCCTGCACGTCGAGCCGGAGCCCCGGTTACCCGTTAGGTTCTCCGCGACTTCGAATCGGCATCGGCCCTATTGGGCCCCATCTGTGGTGGTCTGATGGCTCTTTGAGGCGCGCGCGGAACGCGACGCGCCGCACGCTCGGGTCTGTTTCTGGTCGGACGGGGAGCCACCCATGCTCGCCGTCCGCAGGCCCGCGCTTACGGTGGCCGGAGATCGTCCCGCGATCCCCGACGCCCGGTGTGTCCTTCGCGATGGCTGGGTTGCGAGGAGGCAGCGCTTCGCTGCCTCACGCGTCCCGCCTCCTCCTTAGCTAGCATGACTGCTTCGCAAAAGGAGGAGACGGCATCCCAATCCCCCTCGCTCCGCATCATGGCCTGCACTAGGCCCGGACGCGAGAGGTCGCCATCGCCGATCACTTCCCTGAGGACACGGCGGTGCTCAGCCCACGAAGGGCATTCTCCCACCGTGTGTTCCACCGTGTCCTCAGGGCGGTCCTCGCAGTGATGACACCCGGGCGTTTCCTCCCGCCCCATCAGACACAGGTACCTCCCGAAACTGCCATGTCCGGTGAGGACCTGCGTCAGGCGGTAGGTGAGGACGCCGTAGCGTCTCTCAAGCCACTCCTCAAAGAGGGGACTTACCGCTGCGATGGCAGCGAGCCCAATTACGTACGGTCTAGTTCTTTACCAAGCGTACGGATCTGTGTTTGATTCCTGATTTGACACCTATTACATCAATATTCGTGAGAGTATCAGTAGTACCACGGAGTCTGGAATTGTGCCCGATATATGGCAATAGGCTTACCCCCTATTTCATGGGACTCATAACAAAAATAGTGAAAAGTGGGTGTTACATTGTACAGTGGCATAATGTGCAACTCTGCCTACCCCTTCGGGGGTAAAAGGCGTGATGTTATGTTATGTAGTATCTAATTATAGGAAAAACAATGCAATGCCATTAAACAATAGATTGGTTATGGACAGCCGTGCTCCATCTTGTAGGCCGCATCACCACGTACCACCAGGCGAGATAGTGGCCAAACGTCGGCCCATCATCACACTAGTATTATAAATGTGAAAGTTTCTTTGTTTGGATGTTTGTTCGTCACTCACACTGAAGCTACTGAACGGACTTTAATAAAATTTGGTATAGCTACAGGCAGGGTATGGGCTGACTTAGTGGTAGGATACTAAATACTCCCATGGGATAAAACAGGAATCATAAAACCGCGTAGAAACGCGGACGAAGTCGCGGGCAACAGCTAGTATTATATAAAACAAAAACATTAAATAACTATTGGTTCTTTTTTAATTATTTATTTATTAAATTAAATTAATTAAATCACACAGGTTGTCACCTATGTTATAATTTGTACTCTAGTTTTGCGATTACGATTTTTACATGTTTTATATGGTAATGGCAAAGTGCCTCTACTCCTTCCGAGGGTGGTATAAGAGCCGACTAAAGGACTTCCCGGTCTCTAAGGGCTTAGTACGAGCCTCATTCGTATTATAAATCAAAACGAGACCGCGTTAGGCGCTGTGGTTGGTTGATAAACCTGATCAGCTGATCTCCAATTAATCTCCTACTCGCTTGCTAGCTAGGCGTGTAAATTATAGCAAACCCACATAGCTCAGGTCCAGTACTTATGCTTATAGTTTGACTTTGGCTTGCGCAACTCTTTTTATTGTGTTTCTGTCAAAAACCTAGATCAATCTTATTAACAAATCTTAATCCAATCATTGAATTGGAATAGATTGAGCTTATTGTTAATAATGTCGTATGCCGTAGGTAAATTTCATAGGCACCAATGGAGAGAAATTACATCTCAGTTTCTCTGTAACCTGTATGGTACCACTTTCGAACTTACTCTTAACTTTTAATTTCTCAAACAGTATGCTAATCCTTCTTCTTCTTTTTTTCTTTTCTCCTGGTCTTTACTCAACTATCTTGTTTATGTAAGGTCAATGGGTTAATGCCAAAATTTTATTTATGCAACCTCTAGCTACAATTAAGTTCAGAAAGGCGATGGAAAATAGGGATCAGAATAGGTGGAAATCTTGTCTCATACGATTGTATTTTGCTTACACCTTAGCCTAAACCTAGTCATTAAATTACCCCGCGATGAGTAGCGACAAATTCATATACAAGAGATTGATAATATTAAAAATGTCTTTCATGCTTATTACACGACGGATACGTAATAGGTATGACAATAATTTAACCGTGACTGTCTTTTTATTAATGTTACGTATAAAAGAATCTTAGTGATAGTACCTTAACATGTATTTCTTATCAACGTCAGCAGTTTTTATAATCATTAACTCTGTAAACATATAAAAAGGTAAGATGAATCGACTCTTCTCTATCTATTGATACTGTAATCAATTTTCAGCTTTCTGTTAAAGCAATTTTTCATTTAATCCTTAACTTTTTGAGGTTTCATAACAATGTCTAAGTTGGTATGTAGTATTATTATTCTATTATCGTAAGCTACGTTACTTTAGTTGAGCATCGCGAAAGTCTATTAATACATAATTCCTTAGAATTTTTATAATTGAAATATTCACTTTTCGAGACACTTTTTAGTCTCGGTGTTCTAGGTCATTGACCGTCACATGTCATCTACAAGAGAACAAATTATTTATTAATTTAATGGATAAGGTACTTATATAAAAAAGAGTCATTGACATAGTCTCTAATACATTGTATTAAATCTGGTTATATAATCAAGGTCAACAGTCCAACAGTGTTCTCTATGCCAAGTTTAAAATGGAGGTCAAAGTCGACGCGGTAATTTTAGAGTACAAAATTATACCGACTTTACTTATCTTTAAAAGGATTTCTGTATCAGTTCGTCTATACGTTTATCAGCTGTTCGTTGCCCCCACTGTTAAAATAGTAGATATAAATAAAGAATTCTGAGGAAAATTTGTATTTTATAACTTCTTAAAATATACTTGATGTAACAATCATAGTCGTGTACTCGTATTTACTTTACACGATGCTGTGATCCCCAAATGGTAAAAGGCTGGAAGCCGCTAGAAGCTGTGATCAAAATACGGATTGAAGTATTTTATTTAATAATTTTAAGTATAGGAGTCATAGCTCCTGGCGCCCCGAAGTATGCTTCGGCACGAATGGGCCGGCTTGACTGGAGTGATACCACGGCCTCACAGAAAACCGACGTGAAACAACTTGTGTTGTGTTACATCGTGTGAGTAAAGGAGGCCCAATTACCCCCCCCCCCCCCCTAGTTCCCTAATCCCTGAATATCCAACAATCCTTAAATTCCTAATCCCAAAAGGCCGGTAACACACTTGCAAAGCCTCTGGTGTTCCAGATGTCTATGGGCGACGCCGATTGCTTACCATCAGGTGAACCGTCAGCTCGTTTACCGGCTTATACCATAAAAAAATAACAGTCACAACACACAATGTTTAAAAACAAATTACAGTAACTGGACTATACACTAGTTCAAAGGGACCAAGCTATGTGACGTTAAAAATTTATCGTCAATTAAATTCATTTAGCTCTTTCCAAGAATTATCCGTATTATGAATGATTTTCACGGTCCATGGTCTCAGTGAAGAGAGAGGAAGGAAACAATGGGGATGATGACAGGGTATGAAAATTAAAAATCTAATTAGTCCGTAAGTTAGGTAATTAAAAAATATAGGACACGTATTTTTTTATTTTGTCGTATAATAAAACAATACTTAGATAAAACGAATCAAAGTTTAGGAGTGGGGGCTAAAACGTCATTTCTCAGTATAAAATGTACTGAGAAGTGACGTCACGCGACATTTCAAATCAATATATCTTCGAAACTATTCGTTTCCGTAAGAAAATAAAAAATACGTGTCTAATGTTTTTAAATAATCTACCAGACGGACATTAAAATAAAAATTAGTCGTCTACCCTATTGAATAGGTACTTATAAGGTTATTTGTTTCAGAAATAACAAAAGTTTGACTTTGTGAATTTATGACGTAGATAGCGACTGCACCTGCGTACTCATTCGGATTAACCTTTTGAACGCCAGAGCAAAAACGCATGAACTTGCCCTCAACGCCAGGCCACAAATTCACCGCAAATACCTACGAAAAAAAATAGGGATTCCAAAACTTCATCGATAATAAATTTTATTTTCATTTTCGTCTTTAATTTCGAAATATAATGTCCTTATAACATTGAAATTTAATTCAACATTACATTTCTTCCTATTAAAGTAATAGTTATACACTATTTACAGACTTGTATAATACCGTAATAACAGATATGAGACTACAATATATTTAAATATAATAACTGTAGGTACAACACTATTCTTGATTTGCTGTCTTCATATTGTGACCATGGCGTGGACGGCCCGCCATTTTAATAACTACTTCGCTTCCGAAATAAGGATGTGGCAACGTAATATCTCGTTTATCGATGTTCTAGTACAATATTAATTTATAATAAATGAAACACGTTTTTTAAATCAGATTTATAATTCCGAATGTAACAGGTACTTAAAAATATATGATTGAAATAGGTTAAGAAGGTAAATAAAAACTATTTTAACTCGTCGAGTACCGGTTTTATAGACACAATTAAAGAACAATAGGTCGCGGTCACCGGTGACCGCTCGGTGTTTGACAGATTAATAAAATGTTATACAGTATGTACTATGTATACATGTTTTTAAATATTAAGTTCTATAAACCTGGCATAAAAAGTAACAAATTAAAACAATTAACGATTATATATAATTATCACAATTACCAATCAGTCTTATACTAATAAATCTTTTGAATAATAGAACAAAATTATACAAAATCTACAATGCAACCTGCATTCTGATCATCTAATTCGCTGGGTGCAAAGTGGGTGGTGGGGACAGTGAAATCGAGTATCGAGTAAGATTAATATTTGCTCAAAATTTTTAAAATAAAAGCAGATAAAAATAACTTACCTCTAAATCAAATTCGTCCAAAGATTCTGTTTCCGAAAATTCTTCGTCATCTGAGACTCCTTCTAATATGCGAAGAAGTTCTTCCGTAGTCATTAAATTCCCACTCATTATAATAGTCACTTAATATAAATCTTGAACTCGATATCACAAGTAAATTAATCATAAATATTATTCATTCACTTCATTAATTTCTGGTCGCCGCGCTTGTGACGTCACGATATTGTCGTCTAGTCGTGACCATGGCGTACAGGGTACTGATAATTCGGGTTGCGTTAGGGATGCGCTTGAGTTGGGATTAGTGAATATCGAAATTCGACCCAACCAAATTTTATTTTTGACTATGTAGCTTATTGAATGATTTTTAAGACTGGTTTTATAAAATTAATGCTGCTTTATTCTAGTACCAAATTATACCTAAAATAATATATTCCAGAGGAAAGTTTCGAATCGATCTTTGATTTGAAATAATGATATTATCCAACATGCGCTACATCACTAGCGGTCACGCAGTTATGACTCTGGCGTGTGAGGACATTCTTTTTTCAGAGTTTATTTCTTTCTTTTTAACGTAAAATTTCTCAATATTTATAATGGAATTTAATTAGTTTTATGGAAATAAATAAATTTTGGACCTTCTATTTGACAGGTATATAAATAAATAGGCATTAAAGTAATGTTTAAATAGTTTATTTCGTGTTTTAATGTACCGCTGTTTTTGTCACATATTTGTGTCGTTGGCGCTCAGGGACAGTTTTCGCTTGTCACGTATTTGTGACCCTGGCGCTCAAAAGGTTAAGTAAACCTGGAGGATTATGAACGAAAAAAAATAACCAGAGTAATCCTTGTTCTAACATTCACCGTAATCGCCTAATCGCTGCGTCTACAGATAAAAGATAGATCATAAATAAACTCTCTTAATTTCAAAATTTAACCACCTGTGCATGACTTGTAGAAATACGGATTCAGTTCATCTAATAATATAATCAGTAAAATGACACTAGCTAGAGAGGGGTCAGGTGCATTCAGAAGCAAGAGAGTAAAGTATCACCTAATCTTGACTAGTGCCTGTTTTAGGAACGTAATAAGCATTGGCTGACTCAGAGATTAAATCAAATCAGGAAGGTTTAACAACTAGACCATACTAGCCATTAGACAATCAATACAAACAACAAAAATATCTATATCTTTATATATATAATTCTTCTGTGAGTGTGTATGTCACTGAACTTCTTTCAAACGACTGGACCGATTTTGATGAAAATTTTTGTGTGTGTTCAAGGCGATCTGGGAATGGTTTAGATTCACAAATCAGCCCGGCAGATGGCGCTGCAGTCGACGTTTAGGTTATTTATCCTAAACAGCTGAACTAATTTGAATGAGGTTTTGTTTATACATTCAAGTGGATATGCAAGACAATGTCTGTCGGGTCCGCTAGTACCTATATAAAACTATAAAATCTATTAGACCTGTCTACGTTTCACTCATAGTTCTATGTTTAATTTGTTCAGGTATATTCATTGTGGGTGCCAAGCGCACAGCTTTCGGCACATTCGGTGGTGTGTTCCGCAACACAACCGCTACTGAGCTGCAGACTACAGCTACTATCGCGGCCCTGAAGGAGGCTGGCGTCGCCCCCGAGAAGGTCGACTCCATTGTCGTGGGCCAGGTTATGACGGTAAGTAGCAAAGAGGACCCTGGAGCTTGAGTGACTATCTTTAAAAATGTTAGTTTCAAAGAAATGGAGGGCTAAGATCAAAGTAAAGATGAATGCATTGTATGAGAAATTTTATTAAAGAAAACTGAGCGATGTTGTGATGCCTGTTAACACTAGAAAGGCCGCCATCCCAATTTTGTCCCATTTGCAAGTTTGATAATTCATATCTTTTTTATTTTTTAAGTTAGACTTTTATTTATTGTACTTAAATAACTATTATTTTTAACTAAGAATCGCGGGTTACTGACGTGAATATACCGACAAAAGCTCTACTAGGTTCGAACCATAGAGGGGTTCTTCCTCATGAGCAGTAACCCGCGATATTTAGTTTATTTAGTATGTCTCACGATAGTTATGGTAAAAACTATTATTGTTTTCAGTTGGAATAACATAATATTTAAAAAGTAAAGTAATGATTTACCTCGAACTGCCGCTAGGTCATTTCGATTCGATGTGTTAAGGGATAATGGGAAACGACGACATTTTCAGCGGTGGCGACGTTAATTTACTTTAGATAAGAGAGGAATATTGGGAAAATACTTAAATTATACAAAATGCACTATAGGAACAATTTTTAGTTGTTACGTTATAAAAGTCAAAGTCAAAAGTCAAAAATCATTTATATCAATTAGACCAGGAAGGCACTTTTGAACGTCAGCAATGGAAATTTAAAAATGAAGCTATTTGTATAATAACGTAATCATAGCTTAACCATGACAAAATAATTTGTACTGAATTACATTTAATTAAAATTCATTAGTAATTCTGAGATAATTATTTCCACTGTCATATCTTGCTACTTACATGACAGTCGATTTACATGATACCTATAAGTTGTTAAAAATTAATGATCATGTATTTATTTACGACACATCACACAAACTAGATATAAATGATATCAAGCATGCTGACTGCAAAAAATAACGACAACGTAACGAAGACACGTAACACATAATTAATAACTGTAACTAATAGTCTAAGATCCGGCTGCAGAATCAGTGTACCCATCGAGTGTTTGCTGAAAACCAAATTTTTACACATATTCATGATTAGGAGAATTTATATCCACCAGGTTGCCTATCAAAATGTGGCCGCTAGTATTTTTAATTAAATTATTAATAATTCATAATCCGTAAGAAATTTCACTGACTTTTTTTTTCAATGAAATGTCGTCTACTTCACGGCAACATCTATAAAGACTCTGAAAAATTATGGTTGCCGTTGCGCACCTGGCCGCACCTCTTCGCAGCCAGGTATACACAGGTATGAATTTGTTACATTTATACACCCACAACGTACATTTATAATTTATATATCAAATTAAAGCAAATTTTTTTCTGTATATTATTATATACGGTTGCTTAATTAAATCTGGCCGCCAATAAGGGTTGCTGGCTAATAAATATAGTAAATATTAAAAGTAGAGTGAAAGAGAGCTAGCGCGTAACACCACTAGTCAGACGAGGATAGCGATTGCCAGCTGTCAGACGGTTTAAAGCCATTGCGCATGCGTCAGATGTTAGTGTTGTCAACGGATCAAAAAAAAATTGCTGTTTTATTTGTGCATCGAAAATTTATCAATCTCATTTAAGTGAAATAAAATTTAGGCTGCGAAGAGGTGCGGCCAGGTGCGCAACGGCAACCATAATTTTTCAGAGTCTTTATAGATGTTGCCGTGAAGTAGACGACATTTCATTGAAAAAAAAAGTCAGTGAAATTTCTTACGGATTATGAATTATTAATAATTTAATTAAAAATACTAGCGGCCACATTTTGATAGGCAACCTGGTGGATATAAATTCTCCTAATCATGAATATGTGTAAAAATTTGGTTTTCAGCAAACACTCGATGGGTACACTGATTCTGCAGCCGGATCTCGTACTATAAGCTCTAGTAGCTATTAGGATAGATGCCTAATTTTTATTTTAATGTCCGTCTGGTAGATTATTTTAAATCAATTAGACACGTATTTTTTATTTTCTTACAAAAACTAATACTTTCGACGATATATTGATTTGAAATGTCGCGTCACGTCACTTCTATGTACATTTTATACGTAGAAATGACGTTTTAGCCCCCACTCCTAAACTTTGATTCGTTTTATCTAAGTATTGTTTTATTATACGACAAAATAAAAAAATACGTGTCTAATATTTTTTCATTACCTAACTTACGGACTAATTAGATTTTTAATTTTCATACTCTGGCATCATCCCAATTGTAATAAGGATCTTGAAAATGATGTGTGACTGGAACAGCGACATTTTATTTTACGCAGGCATCTCAAACAGACGGTATCTTCATTCCCCGCCACGTTATGCTGAAGGCAGGCATCCCTCAGGACAAGCCAGCGCTTGGCGTCAACAGGCTCTGTGGTTCTGGTTTCCAATCAGTCGTCAACAGCGCACAGGTATACCTAACATACTTAATACATTTTCAACTTTATTGGAAAGAGTAAATTGGAAAATTCATAAAAGAATATTGATCTTGACGTGTTTGCGAATGTAGACGTAAAGGAACCCCACGTCCCTTGCACTTTGGCGTGACACGGTAGCTTTACTTTAACTTTGATTTTGGATTCATTTTCTTCCTTTAAACGTGTAGTAAGTGTCAAAAATAACAAAAAATATATGTTTATAATTATCCTTTCATCCTATAGGACATCTTAACCGGTTCTGCCAAGATCTCCATCGCTGGTGGAGTAGAGAACATGTCTCAAGCTCCCTTCGCAGTTAGGAACGTGAGATTCGGAACAGCTTTAGGTTCATCGTATGCTTTCGAAGACACATTATGGGCTGGTCTCACTGACTCTTACTGCGGTCTTCCCATGGGTATGACTGCTGAGAAGCTCGGAGCACAGTTCGGTATCACTAGGGATGAGGTTGATAACTTCGCGCTGAGGTCCCAGCAGAGATGGAAGGCCGGTAAGTTCTTTCACATTTCACCTTTTTTTAGTTATATAGTTTCACGATCATTTATGTATTTTTTATCCAGAATATGCAAAAGATTTTTCTTTAAATGAATTTTTTGGTTTGATAATGATATTTTAATAAAAATGTCATCATTCCCTAACCAGCCCAAGACGCGGGTGTCTTCAAGGCTGAGATTACCCCAGTGACCCTGACTGTGAAGAGGAAGGAGGTCAAGGTTGAAGTGGACGAACACCCTCGTCCTCAGACCACCATTGAAGGTCTTAAGAAACTGCCTCCTGTATTCAAGAAAGAGGGTCTGGTCACCGCTGGTACTGCGTCTGTAAGTATCTCACCATTAAGAAATTTTAGAAGAAAATAATACTCGTCATAATAAGTGAATGAAAATAACTAAAAATCGCGGGTTACTCGCGTGAAAATACTGAGAAAAGCTCTACTAGTTTCGAACCACAGGGGGGTTTTTCCTCATGAGCAGCGTGTGCAGTCGCGGCGATGTCGCGCAGCGTATCCGCGATTTTTAGTTAATTTAGTATGTCTCACGATAGTTATTATGAAAACATGAATAAAACTACATAAACAAAATAATAAATCAGTAATAATAATAAAAAAAGAAGACTGCTATGATAGATCAATAGACCAATGCATTTATTGACTTTTTTCGTTTGATTTTTTTTATGAGTTGATACAAAAGACAGTTAGGATCTAGGTACATTTCATTATATCACTACCACTGGTGACATTATCAAAGACCAGAAAATAGCCGTATACTTCTAATCGCCATCACCCCTCTAGGGTATCAGTGACGGTGCCGGAGCCATAGTCTTGGCTGGTGAGGAAGCTGCCAAGGGTCTGAAGCCCCTCGCCCGACTAGTGGGCTGGTCCTACGTTGGTGTAGACCCCAGCATCATGGGCGTCGGTCCAGTGCCAGCTATCGAGAACCTGCTCAAGGTCACCAAGATGTCCCTCAATGATATCGACCTGATTGAGGTGAGTGCACTGTTTCTTAAGTAAAAATTACTTACAAGTGTAAGTCGTTTTTACTTTCCGTGTGTTCAGAATTCTAGAGAACTTCCTAAGGAACTTTATTGACGCTATATCTTATATTTTCTCCAAACAGATCAACGAAGCCTTCTGCGCTCAGACCCTGGCCTGCGCCAAGGCTCTGAAGCTTGACATGGAGAAACTGAACGTGAACGGAGGTGCCACTGCTCTAGGACACCCTCTCGGAGCCTCTGGATCCCGTATCACCGCACACTTGGTGCATGAACTCAGGTAATGGAAACCAAGATATTGTAGACTTAAACACCTGTGTTGAAGAGTTTTGTTGTCTAATTGCATAGACACAAAAGCCCGTGTCTCATAGTCTCTCCCCTTTCGTGATCATCTGAATTTTTTGCCTGTATCCCCATTTACATCTTTGTTCTTACGCCAAAATGGAAAACAATGTGTTATCTAATCCAATACTGATAAAAAGATAATATGTAACAAACTACATACAATACAAGCAATGAAATATTTATTTTGTTATTATATGGAAAGCATAGGGAGGACATAACATGAGAATGGTACTACTATGATGATGGTGGTGGATTTGAGTGTATTATTAAATCATTTGTATTTTTTTTCTGTAGACGTCGTGGTCTGAAGCGTGGTATTGGCTCCGCGTGCATCGGAGGAGGCCAGGGCATCGCGCTCATGGTGGAGACCGTTTAAACACCGCATAACTTAAGTGAATGAGTGAATGAATGGAACGAATGAACGATTGAATATAAGAAGCAAATACAATATTATTCGTTTGAAAAATGCGAACCTAAGTTTTTTACTAAAATCAATATTATTATACTCTATCATGAAATTATATTTTAAACATTTCTGTGTGTAATATATTCTTGTCATTTGTTATTATATGGCTACTGCCAAGAATGTAAATAAATGATATTTATCTCGTCCATAAAGACGCTGTTTCTATGCTAAGTCAATAATATTTTGATAGCGTTTATTATAAGAAGTATTAACTTTTGGAGGTTATTTAATTATATGTTATAAAAATATTTCTGCATTTTTATTTTTAAAATTACCCTAACTCTTATATTAACATTATAATAAAAGGGATCATGGTACCTAATTAAACAACAACAACATAATATCACGCATTTCTTCCCCGAATGGGTACGCAGAGGTGCACATTACGGCACTTAATGCCACTGCACAATGTAACACCCACTTTTCACTAATTATACGAATTTGTATTATGCTTAAGGTATTCGAAACGAGCGTAAAATATCTGTGTCTGGTCGTAAATGTTCTGTGTCGGCCTTTATATGATGAAACAATCGAAACCGCTAAATATAAACATTGAGACAATACATGATTGTTTATATCCTTAAAAGCGCTGCAAACGGCGCTGTTAAGAATCGACTTGGAAAATTATTTTTTAAATTAGATTTCGATCGTTAGCTAGTTTTATGCCCATAAACTTGCAGATTTTTGAGCTAGGAGAATCGCTTAGTCGATTTCTTTCGAAGCAGCATTTTCCCAGCACCTAATTTACATAGGTAGTGGTAACCCATTTTTCTTACATTGAAGATGAATATTGAAGATTTCTAAGGGTGTTACCATGTCATTCGATCGATAAGTCGACGTCAACCGATATTTTCTACCAGACCAATAGACCGATGGTAGAATGGATAAGTCAACATCGGTCGAACTGATTGGGCTCCCCATGGTCACCCAGCGCCTGTCCGATTAATGTCGACTGATGCCATCGACCGGCAACCAATCGATTAGATAGTCAATCGGAATCCGTCGTTAAATTAATGCTACTACAACAATCGATAAGTGGAAGGAAATTAGGTACCTATAAAGATAATTCAGGAATGAAGTGTTACCATAAGAAGAAAAACACCAATCGATTAACATCAATCGATCGATTAGTGTTGTGACACCTTATTCTTATCCTGTGGAATACACGTGCGCGTACACGTGATGAGTCACGTGGCCAAAATGAGGAGTAAGCGGTTACTTAATGATTTAGATGTCCTCCGAAACAATTTTAAGCACACAACGGCATTTTTAGAATACATGCAGTCAGTAGAAGGTGGTATTGAGAAAAACTAAAAAGGTCTCCAATTCCCAAAGGCATTTTGTATCAGAGTTGACAGGATTTATTTCCTGAATACTTAGTAGACCAGGTATATGAGTACCTGGTCTACGCAAGAAGAAAAAGGTATTATGTACGTACTGAGAAAATGCATTTAAAATTGCAGTGTTACACATTCTAGATAGGTTCCTGTTGTAATTACAAACACTTGCATACTCAATGTCGTGGTAGGTTTTTTTGGACTTAACCTTTTTGCAACTAATTTAATGAGGATTAAATACCATTAAAATTCATCACTTTCAAATAACTTATTTTGCAGTCAGATTATTAAAATGCTAAAATGTACACAAATTAGATATTATAATTAATCTTATTTATACTTATATACTTTTCCTAAGCTTACGGGTACAGATGCCTATAAATTATGCTTCATACGGAGAAGACCTTTAGTTGCGGTTAAAGTTACCAGACAGCAAGATCAAAACTGATTCTATTAATTAGCAGCGATTGGAATGTTTTACAATGGCGGTAGTAGCGAAAAAAGGTAAGAACAGTGATTGAATTTATCAAAATTGTTTATAAATAGAATTTGAAACAAGGTGTTCTGATAGAGAACAAAAGTAATGGATATGGACATAGCCCAAAGCATTAGAAAGAAGAAAGAAAGAAAGAAAGAAGCAGAAAACTCCAAAAACATTCCCGCTACTTGAGATGGTCTGGTGGCGATAATGATGATAATGATCTCAAACTTATTGTTTTTAGGAGTTTACATAGTAGCTGGTAAACGTACTCCTTTCGGGATGTACGGAGGTATGCTGCGTGATGTTCTCGCTGAAGACCTATTAGCCACCTCAGCTGTAGCAGCACTGAAGGCCAGTGGCATGGCTGCAGATCTTGTTGACACAGTCAACATTGGCCAGGTAAATATATGAACCAATTTCTTTAACTGACAAAGACTACCATTTTGTTGCCGGTCTATTTATACTTTGTAGCGAATCTAATATCTGTTGACCATATCAGTCTGGATATACTATGACACTTTGCTTCTCAGGCAGTTTCGGTAGCACAATCTGGATATTCTGGCCGACACGCAGCCTTAAAAACCGGCATTCCTGCAGAACGACCAGTTCTCACCGTACACAAGCTGTCTGGATCTGGATTTGCCGGGATAATTTGCAGTGCACAAGTACGTCTAAGTTTGTATTGTAGGTAAATTATACAACACATTGGAAAACTTTAACACAAGTAATCTTTACAGGAAATCTTGATAGGGTCAGCTAATATATCCTTAGCTGGTGGCATGGAGTCTTTGTCCTCTATTCCTTACCTAATCCGAGACTTGCGTTTTGGAACACATAAGGGAAAGACCATACAATTTGAAGACTATTATCAGAAGTGTCTTTTTGATACCACTTGCAATATGCATTTGATACAAATTGCTGATGTTGTTGTGGCCAAGTACGGAGTGACTAGAAGAGAGGCAGATGAATTTGCTTTGAGGTCGTACCAGAAGTGGAGAGATGGTGAGAATTTGAATTTATATTATTGAATTTGTAAATTGATTAAATTGCTGAAATATTGGAATAATTTCTGAAGTTAAAACCTTACTTCCAGCGGATGCCAAAGGTATTTTCAATGAAGAGCTAACACCCGTATCAATAAAGGTGAAGGACCGTGAGGTTCTCATGACAAGAGATGAAATTCCGCAACGTTCTGTAACATTAGAGAAATTTAGCAGTTTGCCAACCTCATTCAAAGGTGGCGTCACCACTTCTGGTAATTGCTGTGTGAGTAGCTTAAAACAAAAAAGCTAAATCTAGCTTAAGACAAATTGCTTCTTATTTGTTTTTTTTTCTATCACAGGGCAATGCTGATGGTGCTGGAGCAGTGATCTTAACCAATGAAGAATCTCTAAAGCTTCATGAGCTAAAGCCACTGGCTCGGTTGGTGGGCTGGTCGTATATAGCATTAGATCCAGTTATGACGGGCATGGCACCGGTAGTGGCTGTGCAGTCACTACTCAAGAGTACAGGGTTAACGATTAACAATATGGACTTGGTCGATGTAAATAATTATTTACCTCTAGTTAAATAGGATGATTTAATTGAATAAACCTAAACCGCACTGCAAACGACAGTATGACATACAAATATTTAAAAAACACACTTAAGATGAACATCAAATTAATTTACAGCTGCACGAAACCTTTGCAGTAGCAACAGTGGCATGTGCCAGAGAGCTGGAGGTAGATGATGAAAAATTGAATGTTAATGGAGGAGCCATCGCTCTTGGACATCCACCAGGCGCCACTGGTACCAGGATCGTGTCAAACCTCACGTATGAACTTAGGTAGGATACAGCGATCAAACATAACGAAGTGAACAATTCAAATACATTAAAAGTTTTAGATTGTAAACTTTGATTTCTTGCACTTTGGTAATATTAGTAGGTATACCAAATATTACACAATTATTTCTTGTTTCAGGCGACGCGGTTTAAAAAGAGCTATAACAGCAGCATCCATAGCTGCTGGACAAGGCGTAGCCATGATTATTGAAACTGTTTGAACCTTGGGTTACATAACTTTTGATGTAATGACGATACATTTATACGACGAGTTTCGTTTAGTTAATGATATTATTATATTAAATATATTTTTTTATAAGAAACAAAGTGGTTTAAGTAGTGTTTTCCTGTTGAAATCGGAAAAGGAGAATAGCTTTCTAATGAATAGATGCCTAATGCCAAATGTATGAGATGTGCAATGTTGTGATTTACTCTCTTATTATTCATTATTATCAACTTCGTCCGTCGATAATAGTTTCATTTTTGGGGTGTATTTTTGATATGAACGTGGCACTGAATTTTATTCACAATTATATACGAGAACGTGTGGCAAAAACCTGACCTTGAAAAAAGTAAAGGACTTGGGGTACTTGTAAATTTTATTATATGAGGATATTCGTACTAAAGAAAGTCTTTAGTTCTTTTTTGTTTACTTACTTTTAATCATCATCAACACAGACGCGATGCGAAGAAAATTATCTCATTTTCAATTTAAGTAAATATGTAAGCATCTGCTTATTCATTTAAATCGCAAATCAAAAACAAACAAGTATACTCATATTAATTTATGATGACTGATTACGTCTATTATAATAATTCATTATAGAAACACCAGACACAATGTTATAGGTAATAAATAGCCAGCCATATTTACAATCATTATTTTTATTAAATGTCTCTATAAATGCTACCTCACGACTATCAGCTTCGCAGTCACGCCAGGCTAGGCTTATAGGAAAGAAGAAAACGGTAAGTTTATTATATATAGGTAGTTCAAAATTACTAAAACTAAGTCTGACATTTTAGGTCATAAAATACTGCCCTGTGGCATACCTTGCTTTTTAAGAATGGAAGTGGCTGTTCTAACGATGAACTCATTACATGTTTCTAGAAATAATGTGCTTTTGATTGGAATGGGATGGAAACAAAATGGCAGTGCATTTAAAGAAAGGTAAGTTCTTGTCGCTCCCTCCTTTTTTTAATTATTTTCATTTTATATAGTAAATAACAAATAGAGAAAAATATAATACAGACATTTTAAAATTATTGTATAAAATAGTTTAAAATTATATATTTTGTTTCTAGGTATTTACGTAGTGGCCGGTAAAAGGACGCCTTTTGGAAAAAATGGAGGATTACTCCGTGATGTTTTGGCTGAAGATCTGTTCGCTACTGCGGCTGCCGCAGCCCTCAAGGCCAGCCATATAGCACCTGATCTCATAGACACCGTCAACATCGGGCAGGTTAGAAAACTACTTCAATTAGAAAACAAATATGAATGATAAGGTTCAAACTAAATCGTTTTAAAAGGTTAATATTTATGACTGTTATGGCAATGTATATCCACAGGTAATATTTTATTCTAGATAAGTTCATTATCACAACATGGAATATCTGGTCGACATGCAGCTCTAAAAGCAGGCATCCCCGCAGACCGACCTGTTCTCAGTCTAAACCAGATGTCTGGATCAGCCTTCAGTGGTATAATCTGCAGTGCACAGGTAAAAAATTTATTAAGCTATTTCAAACCGGACGTAGGTTAGTATCTAAAATCAACTGTTGTGGTTCTTTCCTCAAAAGGCCACTACAGAAATAACTTGCACGGTTCTCACACATAATCTTTTATATATATTTGTCTGGACTTTAAAAGAGACGGACCTCTGAGTTTGTTTCGGCATTTCTTCTCAGAGTAGTCAGTTAAGAAATGTCGACCTCATCGTTCGCCCTCACCCTCATTCGCTTGATAAAATTGACGTGTAAAAGTGCTGCCTTGTAGCCTATTTGCAGAAATAAATTCACTTGTTTCACAATTTCATTTGTTTCACTTGTTTCAGTAGTCATGTTTATTTTTTGTAACAGGAAATACTTCTAGGAGCAGCTGAAATATCTCTTTGCGGTGGCATGGAAACATTATCTTCAATTCCTTTCCTGGTCCGCGACATACGTTATGGTGTACCATCGGGAACGACCCCTCAATTCGAAGATAAACTCCGCATGAGTTTCTTAGATTCTTACTGCAATATGTACCTAATTGAAACTGTTGATGTCGTTGCTAAAATGTATGGGGTGACCAGAGAAGAGGCGGATAACTATGCTCTGAGATCGCAAAAGAGATGGAAAGATGGTAAGTAAGTAAAGTAAATATTAAATAGTGAATGCTCTAAAGATAAAAAGGGCCAGGAGGTTGATGATAATGGATCATTGTCTAGGGATGTCACTTAACTTCTAGCGGACTCAAAAGGCATCTTTAATAAAGAGCTAACTCCAGTTGTAATAAAGGAGAAGGGTCGTGAAATCATTATGACGAAGGATGAGCACCCACAGCCCGATATCACATTTGACGAGCTCAGTCAACTGCCACCTTTGTTTAAAGATGGTCTCGTTACATCTGGTAATTGCACCGTAAGTACGATTGGGTATAAAATGGTTTTTGGCTTGAACCTACTAATTCTTTAGTTTTATAGTCTCTCTTAGACAATAATTATGTTTTTTGCAGGGAGCAAATGATGGCGCTGCAGCAGTGGTTTTAGCCAATGAAGTAGCTTTAACAACCCATAACTTAAAGCCGTTGGCACGATTAGTGGGTTGGTCAACTGTAGGAATAGATCCAGTGATGATGGGAATTGCGTCTATTCCAGCTATACAGTCACTTCTCAAGACTACAGGACTTTCTATTGATGACATGGATTTATTTGAGGTACATAATTAACTATAGCAAAATAACATATGTATAATAGAGAGATCCGAAAAGTGAATACTAAGTGAAATAATTGATCAATCATTGCAGATACATGAAACATACGCCGCGGCAGCATTGATTATTGCCAGGGAACTCGGCGTTGATCACAACAAACTGAATCTCAACGGTGGAGCACTCTCCATCGGTCACCCGTCAGGGGCATCGGGGGGAAGATTGTTAACGCATCTCACGAATGAGTTAAGGTAAAACAGGCAGAAAGAATCATGTCTCATAATCAATTTAAAGGAATTTTTGGACATGTTCGATTAAGCATAAATTCAAAGTCTTCTCCAGGAAAACCAGTTCACTTCTTTTGTTCCAGGCGACGAAACTTAAAGAGGGGAGTAACAGCAATGTCTATAGCTGGTGGGCAAGGCATAGCCATGATCATCGAGGCTGTTTAAATCGCAGATACAAATATAAAATAACAAAAATCCTATGTGCTAAACAAAAATTGTTGCCTAAACGATTATATCTATTAAATATATGAAAATCATTTGAAAAAGACACTAGATTTTATTTCTCACCTAGGTATAAAGGATTAGGATAAACCTACATGTATGATTAATGAGTTGTAAGGAACAATAATTATAATTGAAAAATAAAGAAAAAAGAAATCTGTTTGCTACTCACAACTATTATACATATACATATCACTAACAACTGGGAAAATATTTAGTTTATATTCCGCTGAAGGAATGAATTTGCAGCATGCAGTATGGGGGGTATTCAGATATAAGAGAAGATAAAAAGATCAAATGCACTCGCATACATAAGAATGTACAAATTTGTCCTATTTTAATCCTAATTGGATTACGGGTATTTGTTCACAAATAGTACCTACTTAGCTTTGAACCGCTGAGATCGTTGTAAGTTCCGTGGCGCCACCGTCACCGTTCGTTTCTGCTCCGTGTATAAAAATATTAAATAAATAGTTATAGGAATAATTTCGATAAAATAATAGTTTTAAAGTGTAAATCTACAAGCAATAAAGTAGTGTGATTGTGGACAGCAAAAAAAAAATTCAGTAAAAACTCAAATATTTCAAGAAAACGAAGTGTCTGTGTGAAAATATTTATAAACATAGAAATAAACATATAACTTCTAACAAGTGATGTTCGACGCCAACAATAGTGTTTTGAAACAATTAATAGTGTTAATAGTGCACAAAGTAATACGTAATTGAAATAACAAAAGTATTATAAAAAACTAAAATCAGTTTTCTAAATTTCAAACTACCGCGTCCTAACGTACAAAAAATATCGTCAACCATAATAAGAACTACTATTTTGCCACAAACATTACTGTACAAATAGCCTAGTCACTATGAACGCCCCCTGAGAACGACGAGTCACGAGTTCAAACCTAGGCGGCACAATCGACTCTTTTTGTGAATGTTAGTACCAATTTATCCAAACATTATTTCAAAAACTATTTAAGTGTGGTATATAGTTAAGAATACAAGCCAAAATGAATTTTCTAGAAAATATTACTTTCCGAAACAACCGCAAGAGGGCTTGCTCGGAAACAGTGCTTAATGACAGCGATATAATATCTGACACATTTGAATCTACTGTCAATAGTGCACCAGAATTATCTCAAGATAAAAATGAACAGCTTAATTTACTAAAACCTAAGCTACTGGATTTGGAACCCCAATTATTGCAAAGTTCACACTGCGATATTGAATTGTCGTCAGCAGAGAATTCACAATTACGAACAACTACTCCTAACAAATCATCTAGTAGTATGGGTGGGACGGTCACTGGATACAAAGTAAATGTCAATACGGAGAATTCATTTAATTTTGACTATCTTTCGGATAGGGAGGAGGATCTTTCGTTTATTTCTACCAGAACTACACGATTTAATAGAAGTTGTTCTGACATTCGAACCACAGATACAGAAACTGTTGAGGAGTTAAATGCGTTAATAGTTTTACTTCAAGGAAAATTAGCAACAGCGGAAAACCAAATAGAAAATATCTCGATCGAAAATGCTTCACTGAAGAAAATTATACTTGATAACGAGAAAACCATTGATAACTTAAAGAGAATGTGTACACCAAGTCCTAAAACAAATAAATCGAAAAATAATGCGAATAAAACCCTAGTTACGGAATGTCAAAAAGAAAAAGCTAATAACAACAACAATATTATAAACAATTCCTCAACACCAACAAAATATGAGTCGAGAACAGTTAGCCTAGGTACAGGATTGACTTTTGATAAATTGCCAAGCATCGATATGAGATCCATGGAGCACTTACAAGCTGACGAACCTCAAATTGCATTACGGTTGAATGAGGCACAACAACAACAAAAACCTACACTCCATCCGCAAAACACGGAACAACACATCAAAAATATTGTTATTCTTGGCGGTATGCAATGCAGGGACTTATCATCGCAATTAATTCGATCCAGAATAAATAACAAATATGAGAAATACAACATAGTAGGACATATATATCCTGGAGCACCAATAGAGAAGCTATCTAACATCAGCGAGACTCTCCATCTCAGTCACGAAGATAAATTGATCCTCTGTATAGGGGAAGAAGATACGGATCCACAAAAAGTAGGCCATGAGCTATATCATATAATCAAAAACACAAAAGCATCGGTCATAACACTTTCAGTGAGTAAAAGTAGACATCTTAACGAAGTAATGCTTAACACTTTAATTCGCAGTGTGTCCAATAAGTTTCGGAAATGCCAATTTATAAATTCAGATATGTATAGCAATAATTTTAACCATGTAATGAACATTTGTTATAGGATAAATCTTGTCATAGATTCGGTTGATTATAGCGCTAGGTTTATTCCGCCAAAAAAGTCAATTTCTTCTGGTATATATGGTGCATCTGGTACATATTGTTATAATAACAGCAATCGTGAACCTAACCCTAGATATATAAAAACCAAAAGAATTATACAAAAAACCATACCTGAATACTTCTCTAAAGCAAAAAACTCAAACAGAAGAAATAATACTTCTGAATTATCCATAGATACAAAATTTGAAACTCATAAAAAATTTTTTCGTTTATAATAGTATCTACATAATGCACCAAAACATAGCGGGTCTAATTAGTAAATCCGATATGTTAACCGTGCAACTAAATGAGCTTGATGATTCAAATAAACCAGTTGATGTTATATGTATCTCGGAACATAATATGATATTTGATGACCAAAACCTGCTTACGCTCCCCAACTATAAATTAGCCGATTGTTTCTATAGGGACAAAAGAAAGGGTGGTACGTGTATAATAGTTAAAAATATTCATGATTATGAAAAATTAAATGAAGTCAAACAATTTTCAAAACCAAATATATTCGAATTTTGCGGTATAAAATTAATACAACATGACGTGATTGTAGTTTGTGTGTACAGGGTCCCTAAGAACCAACATAAACTTCTCTATTTAGAACTTTTCTTTGAAGCGCTGGATAACTTATTATATCATATTAATAGCGGGAAAAAGATCAAAACTACGATACTTTGCGGAGACTACAACATAAACCTATTAAATAATGATCTGAGTACTAAAAAATTCTTAAATATAATTGCAGGATATAATTTAAAGGTACTAGTGAAGTCACCCACTCGCCTATCTAGCGGCACATGTATTGATAATATATTCCATAATGATCGTGGTAATATTGGTGAAGTAATAGAAACTGCTCTTTCAGATCATACCGCACAAATACTAAGATGTAATGTAAACAAAACGTGTGTTATACATTCTTGGAAAACAACAGTAAGGGATTATTCATCGGACTTGATAGCGAAATTTGTAGAGTGCATAAAGAGCCTTACATTTAGTGATGTTTACGAACAAAATGATCCGAACCTAGCATACGAAGCCTTGCTAAATTTGTTCAAGCTATTTTATGATCTTTGTTTTCCCACCAAACTTATAAATAAGACCTTAAATAAAAAACAAAAGTGGTTATCTCGTGGTATCAAAGCCTGTAGCAAAATGAAAAGAAAACTGTTGTGGGAACACCGTAAAGCAAAAAACACCGCAAGCAAGGCTAGGTACGTTGCATATGCAGCTCGATACAAAAAAATTATACATCTTACAAAGCTTGCGCAAAATAATTATTTTATTCATAATGCTAAAAGTAAAAGTAAAGCCACTTGGTCCGTTATCAATAACAATAAAGTAGAATTTCCTCGTGAACCAATAACTAAAGTTATTCATAATGGTGTAGAAATAACGGACACCATAAATATTTGCAACGTGTTCAACGATTTTTATATAGACCGTCTTAGTATAGGTAATAAAGGGCAAGCCCCACCAATTGAACGTATTTACGATACACTTTTTCTTAATCCAAGTACGCCAAATGAAGTCGCAATTATTATACAATCCCTAAAGAATACTAAAAGTACAGGAAATGACGGCCTGGCAACAAACATAATTAAAAAAGTTCACAAATATATCAGTTATCCATTATCATACATAATAAATTTAGGTTTTGAAACAGGAACCTTCCCGGATAAACTGAAAACTTCAATTATAAAACCATTGTATAAAAAAGGAGATAAAGAAGAAGTCAAAAACTATCGTCCGGTAGCATTGATACCAATTTTTTCCAAAATCATTGAAAAATCCATTCATTCGCGACTATATAATTTCTTCGAAAAGAAGAACATATTGGTAGATGAGCAAAAAGGTTTCAGGAAGAACAAATCTATCAATCTGGCCATATATGATTTTCTCAAAATAATTATGAATTGTGTTGACAATAAAATACCTATTTGCGCTCTATATATGGACATGACCAGGGCATTTGATTATGTCGATCATAATATATTAATAGATAAATTGGAAAGGTACGGGGTACGCGGAAAGGGGTTGGAACTATTGGCATCTTACTTAAATAACCGGCAACAATACACTGAAATAGTACATATTGACATAAAAGCCAAAAAAGAAATTAAATACTGTTCTCAGTCAAGAAAGATTAAGTACGGGGTTCCGCAAGGAAGTGTACTAGGGCCCTTGTTATTTTTAATTTACATTAATGACCTTCCAAAACATCTTAGTCACCCAACTGTACTGTTTGCTGATGATAGCACGATAATTATTAAGTCAGATAAATCTTACAATTATGAACAAGAAGTAAACAATATTCTAAAACAGACAATAACGTGGTTAGAATCTAATAATTTACATATAAATCTAGGAAAAACATATTTAATGCATTTCTATCAGCGTCAATTACCACCACAACTAAATATTAATTACAATGGCTCGACGATTACAGAAGTGAATACTACCAGATTCTTGGGTTTAGTGATCGATAGCAATTTAACTTGGAAACCGCATATCGAATCGGTGTGTAAGAAAATAAACAGTTTTGCATATGCTCTTTATAAATTATCACGTTCAGCTAACCAGGAGACAGTGATCACCGCTTATCATAGTTACGTGGAATCTATACTGAGGTATGGGCTGATTTTTTGGGGTAACTCCACCGATAAAAATGACATATTCATAGCACAAAAAAGATGTGTACGCGCTATACGTGGCCTACGTCCTAGGGACAGTTGTAAGCCACACTTTCAAGACTTAAAACTGTTAACGTTTCCATGTTTATTTATTTACGAAGTAGCCACCTTTGTTAAATGTAACAGATGTCTATTTGAATTAAAGCCCCCACGCGATTCCAGGCTGAGGCAAAAGGATACTGGTGACCTTCAAGTAGTACACGGTAATACAGCGCTTTTTAGTAAGAGTATTTTCAGGGTTGCTGCACAAATATATAATAGATTACCTAAGGAAATCAAAGCACTAGACTTACCTCTTTTCAAAAAAAAACTAAGGCAGTTTTTAATAACTAAATGTTATTATAATTTAACCGAATTTATGACTGATGACAGAGGAAATTTATAATGTTAACAATGAAGATTTTTATTGTTTCCTTAAGTTAATGTAATTATTTGGTTACTTAAATGTTATTATAGTTTAATTGAGTATACGGCTGATAGAGTAAATTTTCAACACAAATAATAGTTTTATTAAAACTTGATGTTAATATTAATTTAGTTTGTAATTAGGTGTATTATGTTCCATAATGTAGACAGAGAAGATTATTGTCTGTAAACACACTAGATTAAGAACATACTATAAAAATTTTGTATGTCTGTACAGACACAATGTGGCGCACTACCATAATATTATCTACCATCTATTGTAACATACCTACATTGACGAAATAAACAATATTTGTATTTGTATTTGTATTTGTATAAGATAAAATTGGACAAATACTACTTCTACTATTAAATAAGCAGTCCCGTATTGTACCTTTGTATCTCGACGACTGTGGTTGGTCTCCGCCAACACAATTTAAAAAAATGGCAGTTGCATTAAAAAGTGGTGAGAATATTCAGATTCTATTTGATTAATTAAGATTCAATAGTAATCACTTGATTAATGAAAATGCGGTGCTTAAATGAACAAGTAGATGAAGATTTGTATGATGTCAACGACCAATAAAAGACTACCGAAGTACCTATTAAAGAAGAAGAAGTCGTTTATATTTGACATGCTATATATTTAATATTAAGTCGTTTGCAATATGATCATTAAAACATATGCAAAAAAAACAACTAAGTACATAAAATTTTTAATTTGGTTCTATGCATTACGGCAGTATAAATATTCGATTAATGGTTCTATGTTTTCTTTAGGCATATACATAGTAGCAGCAAAACGCACGCCATTCGCAAAAATGGGGAGAGAGTTTAAAGACATTCATCCTTCAGAACAATTCGCAATTGCAGCAAGAGAGGCTTTTAAATCATGCCGTCTATCACCTGATCTAATTGACACTGTTAATGTGGGACAAGTTTATACGGTAAGTACTTTTCTATTCTTATCTTAGTGTCTTTCTTCTAAACTCCTTAACTTTACAAATTGATTTCAGATAAGTGGTTCATCAGACGGCATCCTAACTCCTAGATATTCTAGCCTAAGGTCCGGGGTACCATATGACAGACCAACTCTTGGAGTCAACCGATTATGTGGATCAGGCTTTGAAGCTATCGTAAATAGTGCACGAGTAAGTTACCTATCTATCTATTCACAAGTAAGCCTTGGGAGACCAAGAGGAGAGATCCTGAGGTTAATCTTTCGCTTTGTACAGGATATACTCTATGGACCCGCCCAAATCTCTCTAGCAGGAGGAACAGAGAACATGTCAGCAATACCGTTCTTAGTCAGAGACTTCCGTTTTGGCACACAGCTCGGCAAACCTATGGATTTTGAGGATTATTTAAAGGCAGGCTCTGTGGATTCTTATTGTAACTTCAGTATGGCACAGACATCAGAAAACCTGGCAGATATGTATAAGCTGAAGAGAGAACAGGTGGACGAATATGCTTTGAAATCACAAATGAAGTGGAAAGCAGGTACAAAACGTACTAACAATAATACCTCTATTATAAGATGATTTGCTTAGGATCTAGAAGACTATATGCTAATCTTTTGTAGGTTTCAATGATGGTGCTTTTGAAGCAGAAATCGTACCAGTAACAGTGGTGGTAAATAGTAAACAAGTGGTGGTGGATACAGATCAACACCCACGGCCAAATACCACAATGGAAGCTCTCAGTAAACTACCAGCATTGTTCCGGGAAGGAGGAGTTGGCACGGTTGGCAACTCTACAGTAAGTTATATGATTAAAACATTTACTAGGTGCTTACATTTTTAACTAAAATTTAAAGACCCATCTTTTTTGAGAACAAACTATAATGTTCCTATATCCACTGTAGAAAAGAAACCACAAGAAAGGAGGGCATAACTCCAACCTAGACGTAAATAATTATACACTATTCTGTTTTAAAGGGTGTCAACGATGGTGCAGGAGTTCTTATAGTTGCAAGTGAAGAAGCAATCAAACGACAGAACTTGACTCCACTGGTGAGATTGGCTGCTTGGTCTCATGCTGGAGTAGAACCGAGGATCATGGGATTGGGACCTGTTCCCGCTATAAAACAGTTACTGAAAGCTACTGGCTTTACGATGGATGATATAGATATGATCGAGGTTAATATTTTTTATTAAAGTTTATAAAATAACAACCTGAGTATTTTATACAAAAAGACTTCTGAGTTACAGTTAGAGAGTACTCCAAAATGCTAGAAATAGATGATCTTAAAAAAATAATTTCTAATTTCCAGATTAATGAGCAGTTCGCAGCCCAGGCTTTGGCCAATGTAATAGAGATGGACCTCGACCAGACCAAGCTGAACATGAACGGAGGTGCCATCGCTTTAGGACACCCTGCTGCTGCTTCTGGAGCTCGGATAGCTGCCCATCTTGCACATGAGCTTAGGTTTTTGAATTCTTTTCCTCAGCTATCTTTTTTTTTATACCATAAGCCAGTAAACTAGCAGACGGATCAACTAATGGTAAGCAATCGGCGCCGCCCATGGACACTCAAAACACCAAGGCGTTACAAGTGCGTTACCGGCCTTTTGGGAATTGGAAATTTGGGATTTGAGGATTGTGGAGGATTCGGGGATTCGGGAGACGGGGACTAGGGAAGGGAGTAATTGGGCCTCCGGTAACCTCACTCACACGACGAAACACAACGCAAGCGTTGTTTCACATCGCCGGTTTTCTGTGAGGCCGTGGTATCACTCCGGTCGAGACGACCTATTCGTAAAATAGTTTGCAGATCTTGGCATATTTTAATCTCCATTTAATCTTGTGAATGATGGTTAATTTTATTTTACTATTTCGCAGTCTTGTCATATAGTTCTAAACAATGCGAACTATCACGTACCTACTTAAGTAGGTACTTTAGGTCCTAAATTCCTTCCTCATTTTTTTCCAGACGTAGGGGTTTAAAGCGAGGTATCGGTGCTACGTGTATTGGAGGTGGTCAGGGCATCGCTGTGCTACTCGAGACATTGTGAAAGATAGGAAATTGAATAAAATCTTATACTATGTAAATACGCTAGGATCCGATTAACTTTTTGTCAATATAATTTAATACTAAGTTATGCATTTTAATAGTGATCATTTATACATATATTTATTTAAAATTCTCTACAAATTACATTTTTAAATACTACTTATAAAATAAAAAATAATATTTAAAAATATAAAAAATAGGAGCCGACCAGTAGCGGGAGCATGGTCCAAGCTACCAGTGGTTATAGGGCTCCAGAGACAGAAACCTCCTCACGATACGTGCCGTTTCTAGAAGAACTGCCTTCTGTATCAGGCTCTTGATCCATATTGATGATAATATGGATGTCGAGGCTTTTAGGGATTAACCCATTGGCTGACACGACTATCGGCACAATGATAACCGAATTCACACTCCACATGTCGACAACCTCGTGAGCTAAGTCTAGATATTTTATTTGTTTATCTTTCTCAGCTTTCACGATTTTCACGGTTCTCGTCATGGGGAATGGTGACATCGATTATCATCGTCCGGCGTTCTTGTCGGTCTATCATCTTATAGTGATCATTTATTATTAATTAAGTAGTATTTTTGTACCATAAAAAACTCAAGTTATCTTTGCTGTTTTATGATTCACGTAACGTGTATCTTATTTTTTATTGTTGAAGGGTTAAATAAGCAATCGGCGCCGCCCATGGACACCTAGAACACCAAGGCGTTACAAGTGCGTTACCGGCCTTTTGGGAATTGGGAATTTGAGGATTGTAAAGGGTTCGGGGATTGGAGAGACTGGGGAGGGGAGATAATTGGGCTTCCGGCAACCTCACTCATACGACAAACCACAATGCAAGCGTTGTTTCACGTCGCCGGTTATCTGTGAGGCCGTGGTATCACTCCGGTCGAGCCGACCCATTCGTACCGAAACATGGCTCTCCCACTCTAATAGCAACTTAAGTAGTTCAATAAATACGTACACGCAGTTCCCGCTTTCTCTTCAATGAAGCGAGCCATTTACGAATACCTAGCCACCTAAGCTATTACATAAATGTTATCAAACTTGTTTTTATACCGAGCACGGACTTTACACTCAAAGATTACTCCGTTATCAACATTTATTGGGACTGGTCGTACGAACTAAAACCGTAATCGTAAACATTAATCCTTCAATACCAAGTGAATAGATACGAAAAAGAAGCTAATCATTCGTTCTTTGGAACGTAAAAATATCATAATATGTTCCACATTTCCACAACCGGCGAGGTTTTGTTCTGTGTTGACGTGTGTGTGTGCTAAACAAAAATGGCCGTCGTTATCAATAAAGGTTAGTAACTAACATTATTTATTTATTGAACATATATATGTTGTTTATGTATTTCTAGGGATTGTATTGGTTCATTGAACTGTATGAGTGGACTATTTATTTATAGGTATATCCTTAGCATGAATTATGAGGAAATATTGTTCCGATTAGCCAAAAGTTGGGTGTCAAAATCGTAGTGTTTAGATAAAGTTACAACTTTGATTGTTATATGAAAGATAATAAATTCAAAATTAATAAACCAATCAAAATTTGTACTTTAAAGCCGTTAAAGTACACTAATACTCACAGTTTATTCGAATCCCATCATTGTTTACAAATTAGCTAAACAAGTTTTGGTGATGTAGCGATATAATTCCATCCTTATCTGTTATAACACAAGGTGCAAATAACATTGGACGGACTTTCGTTACGGGTCAATGTCCATATGACAATTTGATGAACAAGGTCATTTCACACCTCTGTTGACTATTCAGACTTTAGAATTCTTATCGAAAAAGTAGATTATCTGTAATGTTCCCATAGAATAACCCAAGAAGAGATTACTAAAGGGGAAAAAGAATTTCTTGTTTTATGTGAGGAGATGCCAGTCTAATTTAATCACGTATCTTAACTTTCTATAAAGTTTAATGCAATTTTGACTATCAGAAAAGACAAAGATTGCGGCAACGAAATGACCTACTAATATTAACTTTGAATCTCCAGGTATTTTCATAGTGGCTGCTAAACGCACGCCATTCGGCAGATTCGGAGGAGCCTTCAAAGAAGTATACCCCTCTGATCTTCTGGCTGTAGCTGCTAAAGATGCTCTCAAAGCCGGCAGCGTCGCACCAGAGGTCATCGACACCGTCAACATTGGACAAGTCTATGGAGTTAGTATGACCTTTTGTAAAATGATATATATACATACCAGCTAGGCACCAATTAAATTGTATTTTGATTTTGAGTCAATAATGCTTTATGGACAATAACAGTAGTTGGTCAAGACCTATTTCTGTTTTAATAGTTCTTACTTATTTGATTGTTTACTTCGCAGCTTAGTGGATCATCAGACGGCGGTTTGTCTCCTCGTCATGCAGCACTCAAGGCTGGAATTCCTCAAGAGAAGCCAGCTCTTGGTATTAGCAGACTCTGTGGGTCTGGTTTCCAAGCTGTAGTGAACAGTGCCCAGGTAAGACCACATTTAGTTGGGTAATTACGATTCCATCTAGTGAAGTTGTAATCATCATCAGTTAGATTTAGAGTTCTTTATTACCAAACTGCATAAGTTTTAAATGTTTCACTATTTCCAGGACATTATCACAGGAGCTGCCCAAACATCTTTGGCTGGAGGCACAGAAAACATGTCAACTGTTCCCTTCGTAGTCAGAAACACGCGTTTTGGAGTTGGCTTAGGTGTGAAGATGCCGTTCGAAGATCTTCTCACCACATCATCATTAGACACATCCTGCAACTTTACCATGCCACAAACAGCTGAGAACCTTGCTGAGAAATATGGCTTGCAAAGGATGGAGGTCGATCAGTTCGCATTGCAATCACAGCAGAGGTGGAAAGCAGGTAAATGAAATACCTACTTCCAAATGAATCATTTATTCTGCTCAGTCAGTTGTTAATTATTCAAATACAATTGTTCCCATTTAGCACATGAGCAAGGCGTATTCAAAGCGGAGATGGCCCCAGTAACAGTGAGGGTCAAGAAGCAAGATAAGGTGGTGGAAGTGGACGAGCACCCTCGCCCCGAAACCACAACTGAAATGCTCAGTAGACTGCCAGTGTTGTTCAGAAAAGGAGGCGTTGTTACCGCTGGCAATTCTTCTGTAAGTTTCTCATTAAACACTAGATCATGACTTTAAAGGCACCGCGTTACAAGAGATAATATTATTCAATTCACTCTATATACCTAGGCTTGCGTCCTAGACATCGAGTATTAAAGTTCTTCGAGTAAATTATTCCCTAATTACTATCTACAGGGCGTAAACGATGGTGCCGGTGCGATAGTCCTGGCAAGCGAGGAGTCTGTAAAGCAGAACGGATTCACACCACTAGTACGACTGCTGGCATGGTCTGCGGTAGGTGTGGACCCTTCCATCATGGGCATTGGACCTGTCCCCGCCATACAAAACATATTATCTGCCACAGGATTGAAGCTGGATGACATCGATTTGATTGAGGTATGTAATAAATAACATACATTTTACAAGTTTTCGATTTATTTTGCTCTGTGAAGGAGTATAAGGACTTGACTTCTTCAAAACATTTGGTATTGGTTTCTTTGTTTCCTTATGCACGCTGTAATTGTGCATTTACGGAAACTTTATTTAACAGCAAACTTTGGAGTTCAATAGCTGAATTTTCCTCAACAGATCAACGAAGCCTTTGCAGCTCAGACTTTGGCATGCGCCAAGGAGTTGGGTCTGGACCAGAGCAAATTGAACGTCAATGGAGGTGCTATTGCTATGGGACACCCGGTAGGAGCATCAGGCGCTAGGATTACAGCACATCTTGCTCATGAGCTCAGGTAAGCAGAATTGTAGATATGACATGAGGCTTATACTTTAGAGAATAAAGTACAAAACGGGTCTATTTGTATTTTGCTCCTATTCTACAAGAATGTTTATGTGAGACCTGTTAATGACGCAGTAACTGAGCTACCGACCGACGGCTGTGCACGGTGTCGCAAATATGATTTCCCCACGGAAAAGTTTTTGTGTTATTAACAAATAGTTGTTCTGATTGAGTGTAGACTTGAGTTTATAAACGTCACAATACGGGACAAATTCTAGTATGTTAGGCAAAAGAAAAATAAACGGCTATTTTTCTTCCAGACGCCGAGGACTCAAGAGGGGTATCGGGTCAGCTTGCATTGGCGGAGGCCAGGGAATTGCACTACTTCTTGAGACTGTTTAATTTACTTATTACAAAATAGATTTTATTTTCAATTTCTGTCCAATTATTGTTGTTTTTATTGTCATTTTGAGAACAAAATGTTATGAATATGAAATACAAATTGTAAATAATGAAAAATATATGACGTATTTTTTTTAATCTGTGTTGTTTTTATTCGTAAAGCGATAGGCCTTCTACTATAAGTATTTTTACTCATTATAGAGATATACTTAGGAACAGACTATTCTGATTCTCTAAACTTTATTACAGCCATTTTCCTTATGTGTGTAGGTAGGTACCTAGTACCCGGCATAATATAAGAACATCATACAAGTAAATAAAATACTCATATCTTATCGCACCACTGCAGGAGATATTTATTATTTAAAAACATGTCTATCTTGACACAAAATGGATGTTGATCCTCGCTGTATCTTACTTATTTAATATATTTATATCAACACTTGGTACGTTAATGTTGATAACGCACCTATCAACTGTTTTAGTGTACGAATACGTGTTTCCTTCAAAACACGTTTCTTTTCATTCGTTCGCATTTGTTTTTCATTACCAACAACATTTCAAGATGGCGGCCAGTACCAAAGGTTAGTTTTTCGAATTTACATTATCAATTTTTATTATTATCGCTAAGTTGTCAATAAATTATAGTACTGCTATATGTAACGCATTCTGCATGGGAATATGAGCTTTATTGTACAGTTCTAGATTTTACTTCTCTTTAACAATTTGGTTATCAGTTGCTGTTGCTATGTTTATTTTGCCAATTTGTTTATTATTGTGAGTACTTATGAGGTTTTAAATTCGATTTAGACTTTGAGCTGACGTGAAGGAAGTATCAGACAATAGATATACAATTACTTAATTTAATTATCACCTCGTATTTATTCAAATCACTTGTAATCTTGTAAACAATCACATTAGCTTAAGAATATATGAAAATAAACTTATGAATTCTTTAATTAAAAATTATACAATCATTTAAGGTAGTCAAATATGATTTTATTCAGTAGTTTTAAAAGTAAAGTTATCGAACTCTTTCAGGTATTTTCATTATTGGCGCCAAACGGACGCCATTTTGCAGTTATGGCGGGCCTTTACGAGAATCGCCAGCTTCCCATGTGTTTGCAGCTGCGGCAAAGGAAGCCATCAGTTCGGCCAATGTAGACCCTTCTCTTATTGACAACACCATTGTTGGAAATGTTAATTTTGTACGTTTTTTTTTAATTTCTGACTAATTATTGTTTCAGTATTTAAATTGGGATAGATAAATATATTTAATACTTAAGTGGTTACAGTTTACAGTGCTTACTATTCAATTACGTATAATGATGCAGAATCAATGAAAACACATACGAAATGGGCGAAATCAAAATAAATATTTTTTTTCAGTTGAGTCAATGTGATGGCGGTAAAACTCCTAGGTATTGCGGTATATATTCTGGCGTACCTATTAGCAGTCCCGCTTTGGGCGTCAGTAAGGCGTGTGGTACCGGTTTGCAGGCTATCATTCAGAGTGCTTTGGTAAGAGAAATGACATACATAATTTATACTAATCCCAACAACACCCTAAATAAACTGCTCCTACAATTTCATTCAAGTATCAAAATTCTGCTTCAAAGATTTCGTGAAAACAACCAAATTACATAGAAAATAACTTCCATCACATTAAAGTCCTACAATATACAGTATCGTTCTATAATGAACTAAATCTTTTCAGGATATAACAATAGGAAATTCCAAGATCACTTTAGCAGGAGGCACAGATCTAATGTCTTCACTACCGATGCTGGTGAGAAATGTTCGTTTTGGAACGGCCTTGGGTGCCTCCTACAAACTTGAAGACCACATACAGAAGCAAATACCAGATACATACATCGGAATGACGATGCAGAAGATGGTAGACAATCTGGCCATAAAGTTCAAAGTTAAAAGGGAAGAAGTCGATGAGTTCGCTCTGCAGAGCCATTTAAAATGGAAAAAAGGTGGGTAACGGATATTTTAATGCTGACCAATCAATACTGATGTCTGCAAACACATTGCATGGGAGAGGTCTAATTTCGCTAGTGGATATCTTTATGATGAAGTAAATTGCCCATTGCTATATTTTTTACACGCTTTAGAATCTAGCGCTAAGTACATTGGCCTAAGGCTGGCTGGTGTAACAGGGAGATACTTATTACAATCTTTTTCAGCCGACGAACTTAAAGTGTTTGACCGGGAGCTAGCCAGTATAGTACCAACAATTAAAAAGAAGCAAATACTAGTGGACAGAGACCAACTTCCACAGCCATCAATACAGGCTGAGAATCTCAGACAACTACCAGCTTTAATAGAAGATGGAGAAGTGCTGTCTTCTGGTAATACTTCCGTGAGTTCAGTTTACATTTTTATTGTACTTTAAATGGTTTGAATAAAAGATTAAGTATAACATTTTCATAATATAGTAGCAGGTATGAATCTAACTATTCGATAATATCACGATGTTTTGCTAAACCAGGCACCAGCAGACGGAGCAGCAGCTCTCCTCATAGCTCACGAAGAAGCAGTGAGAGGACACGACCTTCGACCATTAGCAAGGATAGTGGGGTGGACGTGTGTAGGAGTAGATCCTTTGGAAGCTGGAATAGGAGGAGCTCGTGCTGTCCAGAAACTTCTAGAACGACAGAATTTGACAGCGGATGATGTTGATCTTTTTGAGGTTAGGGTAATATATTTTTTTAATCGATAAGCCTGTAAATGAGCGGACGGATCACCTGATGGCAAGTTATCGGCGTCGCCCATGGACATCCGGAACACCAGAGGCGTTACAAGTGCGTTACCGGGATTTAGGGGATAATAATAACGGCGAACTAGAATATTGAAATAGCTGTCCAAAACGATTATATAAAATATTAATAATAGGGTGGAAATAATTGAAAAATTGAAAATTTTACAGATTAATGAAAACTTTGCGTCTCAAGCTGTAATTGCTATCAAAGAACTGAAGGTGGACCCTAGTAAAGTGAATGTGAGTGGCGGTGCGATTGCCTTAGGGGATCCCATCTCTGCGACGGGAGCTAGAATGGCAACACATCTTGTGCACGAACTCAGGTAATTTAAGAAATCCTAGGCACTAGGCAGTCAGTAAACCAATGATATATACAATATTATTCTAAATATTTAGCCAATTTTTAAGCAAGTAGAATATTCGGAAATCTAATATATCTTCCGTTTTTAAATTAAATACAATTTATGCTGTACATTTATTGAAATTAAACTAAACTTTATCTAAACTCTATAATTTATTTCAGCCGTCGCAACTTGAAAAGAGGGATTGCCGCATCCAGTTGTGGAGGGGGTCAAGGCGTTGCAATATTATTGGAGAAAATGTAACCTAAATATCTGCCTTCCTTATCAAGTTCATAATGAAGAAAAGAGACCAAGATACAGTTCAACATGGTTTTAAAATAAATACAAGTTTTATAACTAAAAAGTAGGTATATTGAATCACCATTATTTTGATATACATATTAAATTACTCAAAGCAGTCAAACAGAGAATACTTACTAAATTGAGGCAGTGGTACTTTGCGCAACATTATACTAATGTAATGACAATCTACATACATTGACAGATTATAAAAAAGTATCCAATAGTCTGAAGATCTACAGTAAATTGATAATATTATGAATATACTTAAAGATATTTATATTTATCTAATCTATTATAATACTACACTATAAACAAGCATTTAATTATAAATAGGTACTTATAATAATAAAAAAATTGGAATCATATAAATCTCATAAAATTTAAACTTAAAATACTATATATAATTACTTATGGTATTCAGATTATGTCAGTGTTTCACCTTTAGTTACCTGAAAAGAAAATAAAAATAGTAAAAATAAATTAAAATTGTTTTTTTATGTGATAAAGTATGTATGAGACAGGCTAGAGAATGAATTAAGTGTGATGTAAGAAAGGAAGATCTTACTTAGATAGAAAAGGAAAAATGTAAACGAATTAGTTGATTTTCATCATAGCTATAAAACTTTGTAATTGTCACGAATGTTAGAAACAAAGTTTTCAAAGACCCATTCTTTCCTTTTTTTACTTTTTTTTTTATAAAATGTTGCCCCACTTTAGGATTTTCTCCCGTGTGCGTGTTCAAACATACATGTCATTTACACATGAGACCCACACCCGGAACAACAATCTGTGGATCACACACAGTTGAACCTGCGACACGTTGTGGGGTGGCCAGTTGCCCAGCCAACTTGCCAACAGTTTTGATTTTGCATTCTGTGCTTAGTCCTATTTATATACTGTCTCTAGTACCAGAAATAATCATATAGATACCATCTCCTTCTTTAAAACCCTCTTTACTCTCTCGCTAGTCTTATTCATACTTTATTAAAGAAAATAAAAGGAATATTGTATGTAATAATAATTTACAAATTTTCACTAATTTAATTATTGCTTAAAATTAAGACTAAGTTTATAATTCTACTGGTTTTGATCCATCCACAAGTTTCAGCTCCTGGGTTTGAATTCCAGGTTGGCATTTCTGTTAAAAATGTTATTCTGTTCAATTTTTTGTGTTAATTAAAACTTTTTTAAAAGTAATTGTGTTAGGTAATTTGGAAAAAGGTTGGTGCATGGACAAGACCTTAGGTGATGGTGAAGACGGGAAATGAATAGTTTTCAAAGCTTTTAGTATTCATAGTCCATTGCATTAAGAAAATCAGTAGGCTAAATTTTGTTTCTTTCTAACCCACCACTTTCCTAAAACAGGGGGTGAAAGTTTGTATGGAGCACTTCGTAACTTTCAAGAAAACTAAAATTGGTATTATAATTGTGACTTTTTATGGTAAATATGGTAATACAAGAAAACAGATTTATGATAACTGAGTAATCATTGAGATAATTTTCTTGATGCAAATAGACTAAATAAAGTCAAGTAAAATTGTCAAATGATATGAAGCATAATTTGTCTTATGTTATGATCCAAACTGAAGGCTGAAGCAACAAGAATGTAGATCTTATTTGAACATTGATTAGATCTAAATAGCAACTTCTACTCAAACTTCTTACTGGTGAAACCTTTTAAACAAAAATTTCAGATACTTACACAAGCCTCCAGATAATCAATCTTTCGTTCCAATGATGTTAGCTTTTCATTCAAAGTAGCAAGGCGAGATCTGCAGGACATGTCTGCAAACAAAGGCATATAGAGCATATTAATTAACTCCTTAACACCATATCATAGGAGAGTAAAGGAAGCTAACAGGAAACCCCTTCACAACTGACGATTACTAATGAAATGTTTTAAAACAACATTATGAATCATCAGTTTCAAAAATTTCATTTTCATCGTGATTAAGTATGCGTATCTTTCAGCTAAAAGCAGTTTTCATCAAGTTAACGTGTTTAAAAATACAAATATTATGAGCATACATACCGAATGAGTTCAAGAAGTCTGTGATCTTCTTTATGCTCCCCGTGATTACTTCGATGTACTCCCTGTTCGCCCAGTCCTGTTGGATTTGTTTCTGAATAGTTTCTCTCGGAGGTGTAGACATTTTTACAATTAGTTTTGTGTTTTTGTTATTTTCAATAAAAATTTAGATCTCGCCAAGCCCAATTCGCGAATAAGATTTGCGTTCTGTTACCGAATCTCGAATGAAGTTGGTACTTCGCGCATTAGGAACACTAATTTACCCAGTATTATAAGAAAGCTATGCTTTGAAATTGAAACTAAATTGTCATTGGAAATGGGATATGAAACGCGCCTTTTGACATTTCATTTCCACGCAAAGTTGCCAGGAAACAATATAAAACTTGTAAAGCTAAAAAAGCAAACATAGATTTCTCGTAAACAAAGTCAAATAATTTGTTGTAAGTATTAATTTTACTACTGATACAATCTACAATAAAACGAAAATATTTTTTTGGCAATAATGATAATTTGCTCTCTGAACTGTCATTAGTGTCATGTCAGCAAAAATAAGTTCTCATGTCAACGCCAGCTGTTTCAGTGACTGTGCCGGTGATTTTGTAATTTTATTATCGAAATTTGTCAACGAAATAATTGAAAAATGGATGAAATTGAATACAAATTGAACACTAACAACAGTGTTTTGATAGTCAATGCAATCGACAAGCTGATATCTACTATAAAATCGAAATATAAGCCAATAGAAAGACAGCGGTTTGTGAACGAAAATGAAGAGCTGAAGTTGTTGAGAGAAAAGTGTTCTTCAAAGGATGCTAAAGTTAGTCTGACGGCGTGCCAGGGTCTACTGGCGTTGGTGGAACTCGGGGTCTTGGAGATAGCCCACACCATGTCCACTGTTGTAACTCTACTGCCCAGCACACAGTAAGTTGTATCTTGTATATCTATAAACTTTGGAAGATGATGATAAAGTGGTTTTATGTCTGGTCTTTGCAATCTCTTCTGGTCTGAGCAAGAAAGCTCAGAATTAAGTGAAAATGTTTATGTTTGATTCCCTATTCAATTAATTATTTGCTTGTTAACATTGTTATTTATTTACTATTTTTTGCCAAACCAAATAAAAAATCAAGTTTAGAAATTAATAAATAACACCAACTCTAATGTTAGTTTACGATTTAGCAATAAATTCTTTGCAGCAACTACTCAGCCATAATATCCACAATGGCTGGTCTATTGATTTTGGATCTGAAGGCTCGCCTGGTGCCAGGCCACCAGTACAAATGTCAGTTCAGTCTGAAGTCTCCGCAACATCCCTTTATCACTGTGCTGGATAAGAACAAAGATGCCGAGAGTGATGTACTTGCTCAGATGCATGCGTTGTGCACACATCCTGATTATACGTAAGTTTATTACGATTGTGCATGTAAGTGAATTATTCCAATAACCTTGGAAATTCTTATTTGCAGGATAAAATTAGTGTTCCATGTGAGTTATTGTTTTTCCGTTCAATAATTTAATGCAAACCCAAAACAAAAAACTTTTAGAAATAACTATGTTATATTTCATTTACATTATGAATTGTTATCCTTCCAGGGTATCATCAAATAGCTTAGAGCTGCTGAGACCAGTGTTCTTCTGGCTGACCTGTCATCCACAGAGAGAAGGTAGCATCAGACCCTGGCAACTGTTGCTCAGTCTACCACAGACAACTGCACAATCCTCCCTTTTACTCGCCTGTCTTAGTTGCCAACAGGTAAGAACTCAAGAAGAAGGAGATGTTTCTAGCTAGATGAACTGAGAATAACTGCAAAGTGGTTAGAAGTAGTTGAAACTGAGGAGCACAAGTTTGAGTTTAGCCGTGTACTATGTACTATGTACTTAGACGCATGTAATGCCCCAAGTGTTGCAGGCATACATACGCCACAGTAACCGCTTACCATCAGGTGGGCCATGTGCTTTTTTGCCACCGGCATGGTATAAAAAAAAAACTGTAATAGAGAGGCTGAAAAGTAGTGAAAATCCTTTTAACCTTTAGAAAGTCATTGCTTAGCATCACACCTTTTGGTTCCATGTAAAAATATATGATGTCCATGTGAATTAAGATGCTTGTGCGTGTTAATGCAGAATCATTAATGTGATAAAAAAATTCAATTATATTAACTACCGTGCATATTTAATGATTACTGAAACTATTCCGTAGTAATGGTTTTATTCCCAAAACAATTGCTAAGAAGTGGTTCAACTTACCATTAAATATCTCGGAGTATGGCGGTAAGACTGCCTACGAGACTTAAAACTACAGTGATACAATCTGCTATACAAATCTTGATTGTCAACAGATCTACAACCCGACTCTAATAGAAGGTTCGTACGCGGCATACAGGGCCGTGACAGAGGCCGCAGTGTTCCAGCAACATACAGAACACGTCATGGCGCTACTCCCAATGCTTGCTAGAGTTTCCTATCAACTTATCAAGTTAGAGTAAGTATCGGATTACGGTTAGAATTGGATACTTGCCAACTAGTCAAATTCAATACTTTTTTCGAACTGTCAAAAACGACAGTTTTCTATGAATTTGTACGATATTGTAAATGAAAAATACTAAAATTGTGTTGATAATAAAAGTGTGATTATTTTTTAATTTATAATTGTATTAAACAGTCGAAATAATGTATTTTTGATTAAGGGAAGTACCCAATTTAACAGATCCTGATTCAAAATATCGGTATTGATCTGGTTTTCGACTGATTCAATAGAAGTATTGAATCTGTTATTTTTAATTCTGTATTTATTTATTTTTATTATTTATCTATTTCGACCGTAACTTTGTACCAATGAATAGATATCAATCTTAGGCGTACTTTAAACGTTACATGCCCGTAAAAATGCACAAATGCAAGATCTAATGGTAGCCTGAAACTTTCTCAGTGTTTCTCGTGCCTTTCACTGAATATTTGATCTCATCTATAAGATGGGTAGTTGTGCATCTAATCCAAAATATCATGTGCGACAAAATAGACTATATAATTTCTCTTTACTTCTCCTATCAGACGAGACCCTCGGTCATGCTACAACCTGATAGAGCGGTGCTTCGCCCTCGACGCCCCGGAGCTAAGGACTGTCGCCGGCATCACGCTCATGTTGCTGGCTGAGAATCTCGCTGATACATCCGCTTTGTATCTTCATGAATTGTTCAATTTGTGTGAGTATTTTAAGAATTTTCGTAAGATGTCCATGGGCAGTACTGATTGCTTACCAATTTCCCGGTGATCAATTTCCCAGTTGCCGCAAGTCATCTGAGTTTGAGTGTCGATTCGAGATTTTTTTGATCCTACCAATACATTTTTGTCAACTTGTAATTTAATCATATTATTGTCTTCCACAGGTATAAATATAATCAGCAAATACGAGTATTCATCAATTTCCCTCAGCGTGTTTGTGGCTCTCTCACTACAATGGCTGAATCTCCCATCCTACCTCACCGCATCAGCTCTCAAAGTAGCTTCAAAGATCCTGGACATGTACCAGGATAAGGATAAAGACGACACAAGACTTCACACACCGAATCTCAAAGCCAATAAAACATTCCAATCTTTATTATACACAGATAGCCATCTTTCAATTGTCTTCAAATTAAACCAAAATTGGGAGCGAATGAGAGATAATCCGGAAAAATTGAAGAGCTGGCTCGATTCCTTAGCCACAGTGAATAATGAAATCAAATTAGAATTGTTACCATTTTTACTGGGAATGGTTTTAGAGAAACGTAAGGAAGCGTGGTATGAAGAGGTTGTTGTTAAAGTCATTAGGATTGTGGTAAATCTGGTAGGTTATAAGAAGGAGATTTCTGTACAATTACTGCCGCTGTTAATGTATAAGATAGCTAATGATAGATGTCCTGTCGTGAGGTTGGAGTGTTTAAGAGCTCTGCCTTTGATGGCGAAGACTAAGGTGAGTTTTTACATTTGCTGTGAATTATGTATTTGGACAAATTGAAAATCTTTTCTCATCAAATTTAAATTTAATTTTTTTAGGAAAATGTGCCAACTATAGTGTCTGTATTGAATAAGTTGAAGGCTAATAAAGGTGTACCGACCTCATTCCTCATCATGTTATACACCAGCTTAGCAGAAACACAGGTATGGATAGCTTCCTATTTATTGGACCAAGTATAGCACCTTGTGGAACCCCATTTAGTTAGTGCTTGTAAAGTCTTCGTAATAATGAAAGTTTTTGTTTTAAGCAAGTCATATGACAATTATACACTAAATAAATAGTACTCCATTTTTCTAATTAGTGTGTTTATCATTGAAACAGTTATAAAACCTGTAGTTTATTCTATCACTAGCTTTAGTTAGTTCTCAGAATACATAAAGAGACAACATTACATTACGAAGTCGAAGAATTTAAACATTTCATTAGATACATAATTTAAATTAGACTATACCATGGTATTATACTTAATACTCTTATAAACTATCCTACAAGGTGCGATGTTTTCCATACCTACAAGAAATGCTCGTGGATCCGGGTGTGGGTAAACAGGATGACTTGAAGTGGGAGCTTGACATTGCTAAGGCGATTGCTGTTGATAGGATATGTGAGATACGGTCAGTACCTACGATAGTTAAAACAATTTTATTTAGACGGAATTTGTTTGTGCGATTATGATAAATAAATTAGATTTGTACATGTATTGTTTGTAATTGTTAACTCAGTCAAATAATCTTCTTTAACTTTAACGCTTTGAGATTAAATTAGACATTCATGGTCATTATTATTCGCATTTAAAACCGAGTCGGTCACATGTAAATTGTAAAACGTAGCTACAGTTAATTGTTTGAAATGACAGCCCGGTTGGCGCAGTGGCTGGGCAACCGGCTGCCACGCAACGTGTAGCGGGTCCGATTCCTGCACGAAGCTACTCTTTGTGTGATCCACTTTACCAGGGTTTTCGCAAAGGTTGGCTAAATTGATAATAGTTTTAATTTGACTAAATTTGTACAGTCCGACAAGCCACGGCCTGGAGTTGGTGTCAGTGATATCGTCACTGCTGAACCGCTGCAGCGAGCGCAGCGGCGGCGTCGCCACCAGCACCTGCCTCGCCGCGCTGCGCCGCCTGTGGCGCGCCGCCGCGCTCGCGCCGCACTCCACCTGGGCCGCGCTACAGCCCAAGCTGGCGCGGGACACCAGGCCGGCTGTACAGATCAGGTATTGTAAACTATATCATTAACACTTGACTCTCATCCTCTCCATAGGTCTTCTTTTAAAGCTAGTTTAATTCTCTTTATGTCACTGTACAATGTAACACCCACTTTTCACTATTTATGTTATGAGTTCCATGTAATAGGGAGTGAGCCTATTGCCATATACCGGGCACGATTCCAGCCTCCGTGCTACATCTAAACTCGCGTCTCGTTTGACACTTCTATTTTCATCAGCTCATTTTGTTTATGAAACATAAATGAAAAAATATGAAAATATTTATGTGAAAACATAGCTTTTAGCCCAAAGTGAACAACAACGACACTTCATATTGCACCTCCCATGTCCCACAGTATCTGCAAGTTACTGAGCGAGGTCCCGTCCCTGCGGGCCGCGACCCCCGAGTGGGAGCGCCTGTCCCGCGAGGCGGCGCGGCGCCTGTGGCAGTGGGTGGCCGACTGCAACGTGCCCGACGTGGTGGAGGCCGCCTGCGACGCGCTCGCCAACTATAAACTCGATGATTATAAGCTTTGTGATGTACCTGAGGTGAGAGCCAAAGACATTTTATATCGTGTGACATACTAATTTCATTAAATTATACGAGAAAGCGGGAGGAAAGCTCTACTAGTTTCGAGTCATATCGGGGCTCTTATTCAACACATATTTCAATCAAAAGACTTCAAAAAGGAGGACGTTCTCAGTTAATCTGAATAAATGCACATATGTTCTTGCAAGTGAAATTAATATCCGTTCTCAATCTATAATTTTTAACTGACTTAAGTTTGATATAATTTTCGATAATACGACATTAGTTATAGAAATATTACACAAGTAACTGTATTTCCTTATTACTTTAGATATACAGGAAGACAGTGAAATTACCAGCCTCGTACTGCAAGACTCCTGCAGACGCAGCCAGGAAACCTGAAGAAGTACTAGATTATATACCATGTAAGTATTGTAAATTAGTCGACCTCTCTTTAGCGTTACTTTACTGATGGGGTATTTACTACATATACTCAAAAATGAACTGATGATGATACGGCAAAACATAGAGGACCATCTTTATATGTAAGACCTTATAATGTAAACTGTTATGTTAACAAATAAATGATTCTGAATCTAATTCTGATGATGATGTCTATATATATAAAAGAAAATCGTGTTAGTTACAATATTTATCACTCTAGCAGCTGAACAGATGTTGCTGAAAATTGGAGGGGAGATAGCTTAAAACCAGGAGACGGGCATAGGATACTATTTTTCTAAGGATTTTCCCAAAACTCCTACAGAACCGGGAAAACAAACAGAGTACCTACGCATATGAAATCGCGGGTAGAAGCTAGTTATTTATAACATTTTAGGTTACGATCCAAATGTATCTTATTATTAATATTTCTTTTTTGATCACTTTGACTGGATTTTAGTGTTACATTGTTCTCGCACAATCCAAACAGCAAAACTATGTAACTAGTAAATTGTATTGTGAACCTGATTGAAAAAGAGTAACCTATGGAGTTTCTTGCTCGTTCTTCTCCATAGGAATCTACGCCTTGGAATGAGCAAATAGCTTCACTTTAAATTTTTGTTTTTGTTGACGTTCAAAAGTGCCATTCTGGCCTAATTGAAATAAATGATTTTGACTTTGACTTTGACTTTGACTTTGTAGGGATAATATAAGCTTAAATCTATGGAAAAATAAAACTAAAAATAAATGTCTGCATTGTGTCAAAAAATCATCCGCATCGATATCAACAGAGGGAAAGGTAGCTGCTAGCATGGCAAGCTGGTAGTGTTTGCAATTCTTAACTCTTGTCTGAAGAACAGATCAGATACATAAAGAACAGAACACTGCATCACAAGATTTTTTTAATATACATATTTTTTTAATGTTACCCCACATTAGGTTTTTCTCTTGTGTCGTGTGTGCACGGAATATAGAATACAATGGAAGTAGCTTGAAACAATATTTATGCCAGAACCGGTGTCGCCAAACTAATACATTTATAATTTACTCATACTATAAATCGGAAGTTATGATTGGTTAGAAAAAAAATGGGCGTAAACGAAATGCAAAAAAAATATCATACGATATGCAACTTTAAAATCAATGCACTATAAATCAAAATAAAAAAGTATATTTTGGACTACCAAGTACCGCCATTCGTCGCTAGATGGCGTTTAACAATGCCATCTAGCGACGGAAAGTGGTACTTGGTTTGAACTTTAACGTCATAAGAATAAAGGTGATATTTGAATGGCTTATCACTGGCTCGAATGCGGGTCTCTACTCAGATAGTGATGTAGCCTAATTCGATAAAAATAATATCGATAATATGACTGCGATAGTGTGACTGCTATAGTAAAATAATAAAATTAATATGTCGTTGATAACTTTTTAAACGTAACAAAAAAGGGTAAGTATTTATTTGCATGTAAATTAAAAATCATTTTGTTCGTATTTTTTATTAGTTTCTTTTTCAAAAAAACATTTTTTTATTTCACATAGGCAATATATGTAACAACTATTACATACATTTTTACAAACTTTATATGGATAATGTGATAAATGAGAGGGATGGCGATAAGGATGACGGTGCTGATCTGCTCCGTGAAGTGAAGGTTGCTTCCAATCACGTCGGGGTCACCACTAAAATAATAATAAAAAAATAATCTAAATAAATGTTACATTACACTTGCATCGATATCAATCGATAAATTCAATATGTGATTTGACTACATCACTATTTGAGTAGCGTAGAACTGGCGAGAATGTTCTATTGAATGGAATAAATCCAAAATAAACTTTATCTTGAAGGCGTAAGGTTGATTTTGACTAACCGTTTTAGTAAATAATATTATTTTAATAACCGTTTTTGTAAATTGAAATAAAATAAGATTTCTACATGAAAACAATGAAAATTCTACTTACCGATGATACGAAACACCTCTATTTTTACGATTTTTCGGCTGCTATCAATTTTACACGCCAAAACGGAACAAAACGGCATAGTTGAGGAAATATGTATTTGTCACGAGACTAGAAACTCGACGTCATATTCGAACGAGACTGAACTCGAATTTGCCTCGAGTCGCGTGCCACGCCTACTTGCTACTTCCATTGTATTCTATATTCCGTGCGTGTGTGCGTCTACGAACATACAAGTTCACATACACAAAGAGTTGTTCCGTGCGTGAATCGACCCCGAGATACGTTGCGCGGCGTCCAGTTGCCCTGCTACCGCGCCAACCGTGCAGTCTAAATATAATATTGAATTTCCATTGCAGGTGAAATCTGGCCAGAAGTATTTAAATACACGAACCAAGCCGCGTTACCGGGCGTGCAGCGACTGGCGGGGCGCCACATAGAGCGCGAACTGCGCGCGTACCGCAGCGGCCAGTACCAGCACGACCCGCGCCGGGAGCCCGCCGCGCTGCTGCAGCTGCCGCCCGCCAGCGTCGCGCGGGGACTCGTCCACTGCTTCAGGAAACAGGTTGGTTGTACCAGTACCAGCACGACCCGCGCCGGGAGCCCGCCGCGCTGCTGCAGCTGCCGCCCGCCAGCGTCGCGCGGGGACTCGTCCACTGCTTCAGGAAACAGGTTGGTTGTACCAGTACCAGCACGACCCGCGCCGGGAGCCCGCCGCGCTGCTGCAGCTGCCGCCCGCCAGCGTCGCGCGGGGACTCGTCCACTGCTTCAGGAAACAGGTTGGTTGTACCAGTACCAGCACGACCCGCGCCGGGAGCCCGCCGCGCTGCTGCAGCTGCCGCCCGCCAGCGTCGCGCGGGGACTCGTCCACTGCTTCAGGAAACAGGTTGGTTGTACCAGTACCAGCACGACCCGCGCCGGGAGCCCGCCGCGCTGCTGCAGCTGCCGCCCGCCAGCGTCGCGCGGGGACTCGTCCACTGCTTCAGGAAACAGGTTGGTTGTACCAGTACCAGCACGACCCGCGCCGGGAGCCCGCCGCGCTGCTGCAGCTGCCGCCCGCCAGCGTCGCGCGGGGACTCGTCCACTGCTTCAGGAAACAGGTTGGTTGTACCAGTACCAGCACGACCCGCGCCGGGAGCCCGCCGCGCTGCTGCAGCTGCCGCCCGCCAGCGTCGCGCGGGGACTCGTCCACTGCTTCAGGAAACAGGTTGGTTGTACCAGTACCAGCACGACCCGCGCCGGGAGCCCGCCGCGCTGCTGCAGCTGCCGCCCGCCAGCGTCGCGCGGGGACTCGTCCACTGCTTCAGGAAACAGGTTGGCTTGTACCAGGATTCATGTCTCTGTATTTTGCTCAACAGGTGGCGCTAATATATATTTTATCCAATAGGAAATTATCTAGTGTCACGCCATTGGACGTTCATTGTTTGACAGCTGCTGTGATTGGACAAGAAATTTATTGCTACATTTGCGCTATCTATTGTACAAAATGTGGTAGCGCCCAACGATAAACATTTTTGTGTCGTTTTTGGAAACTTCAGGATTGTTTTACTAAAGTCAAAGTCAAAGCATTTATTTCAATTAAACTATAATTTAGTACCATTGAAACGTCAACAAATACAAAATAAATAAAGTCTGTCAGTCAATTCATCAGTGAATCTAGGTGCTCATTCCAATATGTAGATTCGAATAGAGAAGAGCGAGTAAGAAACTCCATTCGTTATTCTTTTTAAAAAAAGTATGTTCTACAATGTCTCAACAGCCACCTGTTAGCCAGCGCTAGTGATTGAGTGAAAACCCGATTTTTAAACAATAGGAAATTAGCTATTGTCACACGATTGGACGTTCAATATTTGATAGCTGCAGTGATTGTACAAAAAAGTTCTTGCTACATTTGCGCTATCTGTTGTCCAACACGTGGTAGCCAACAACGATAAACATTTTTGTGTCGTTTTCAGATATTTCGAGATTTTTTTACTAAAATCAAAGACAAAGCATTTATTTCAATTAAACCATAATTTGGTACTTTTGAAACGTCAACAAATACAAAATAAATAATAGTCTGTCAGTCAGTCCGTCAGTGAAGCTAGGTGAAGCTAGGTGGTCATTCTAAAATGTACATAATAATAATGTCTAAATATGTTGCTTAGTACACGCCCTAATAAAATTTTCTCGCGATTTTGATCTTGTTATTAACGTAGGTTGAATGTTAGAAGGTAATGTGATTAGTTAATAGCAGTAATTTGTTATAACATATCAATGAAATTTATCCGAATGTAATAAGAAATCAATGCCAACTTAAACCTTGAAATACCGACAAAAAATGACAGCCTTCTGCGTCTTCTGAAATCCTTTTTATACCAAACACATAGTAGATACATACACAACAGTTCCACTCTGAAAACCTTATCCTTACTATATAATATAATATTATAAATCGGAAATCGGATTTCACGCCGTAACTACTAAACCGATTGCTTTGAATTTTTGCAGACGTAAAGTTAGAAGTCTGGATTAAATAATAGGGTACTTTTTATCCCGGAAAAAATTGATATTCCCGAGGGAAAACAAAAGGATTGGTATATGTCACATAGGCTACTTTTTATCCTTTTGTGATGCGAGCGAAGCCGCGGGTAAAAGCTAGTTGATAATAATTTATAGGTCTAATTCCTCATTCTCCAGGCTATATCTCCCTCATACGAGTTCCCAGACATAGTGCTACTGTCGATGTTGCGTGCGCTGACCATGGAATACCCGAAGCCACTGCCACCCTTCGACGTCTGCTTCCTGCCAGAGGTAAATCATATAATTTGTAATTTTGCACGCCCTTGTAAAGTAACTTGTTAACTTTATTATGGAAGAGAGCGACAAACGAGCAGACGTATCACCTGATGGTAAGCAATTGTGGCTGCTTAAGGATACCCCACAACACTAGAAAAATTACAAATGCGTTGCCGGTCTTTTGGAGATTAGGAATGAGAGGATTGCGGGCCTCCAGTGACATCATTCACTAGTGATACATGTTATCACTCCAGTCGAGCCGACCCAGCAGTGCCGAAGCACATAAGGCTCTTCCAAAGTTTTGGTGTGCCCGATAGGGTCCATAATTGTGTCCTGGCTTTAAGCCCACTACGATCTCCGGCCACCGTAAGCGCGGGCCTGCGGAGGGTGACTCGCCGTCCGATCAGAACCAGACCCAAGCGTACGGCACGTCGCATTCCGCGCGCGCCTCAAGGAGCCATCAGACCACCACGGATGGGGCCCAACGGGGCTGATGCCGATACGGAGCCGCAGAAGACTTAACGGGTTGCCGGGGCTCCGGCTCGAAGTGTAGTAGTAGGAACGGGGTGATTTTTAGTCAGTAAGAGTGACACTCACCCGGGCGGGAGAAGTCATTGGATGATTTTCCTCCCTCAAAAAAAAACTTTAAGCCCACTATGGAACATCTTGTGAAACATTGTAGTATGCAAATAAAGATATGAATAATAACGTGTTAAAAAATGTATTTGTATTGAAGGTATTCCACCGCGGCAGTGACTGGCGACGTGGCTGCGTTACGTTGGCGGCGAGACAGGCGCAAGTGTCGCAGTCTGCCAGGAGGATACTTGAGAATTATCTACAAGGTGTCGCCGCTGGAACTGCTGAGGTACGTGTGTGTTCGTACTTTGTATTCATTATTTTAATTAAATTATGCAGGTTCAACTATATAGCGGTATATGGTAATAGGCTCACCCCCTATTACATGGGACTCATAAATAGTGAGTGGGTGTTACATTGTACAATGGCATTAAGTGCCGTAATGTGTGCACGTTACGGCACCGTCTCTGCCTACACCTTCGGGGATAAAAGGCGTGAGCGTGATGTTATGTTATGTCAACTATTCTCCAAATAGTTTTAAACCAAACTGGGGACCCACAATTGAATAAACTACATTTAAGAAAGGAAAACTTAAAAAACGAGAGGTTTGTATGCGTTACCCAGACCAGATGTTGTTCAATACTTACAGGATACTAATGAAACTTCACATACATTTGAAGGCAGTTACGAGCGTTTAAAGTAAGTCTTTAGAGCTCTTATTGAGAGTGCTGGGACCAATTGAAATGTTTTTCTATTTAATGAAATAACCTTTAAGCTATGTATTATTTTGGTTTTTTTATTGCACAACAAATTTAAACTATTTCCTAAGAAGCCATGTACAAAATATGATAAGAATCCGCTTAACCATTTCAAAGATCTTGCAAAATTAAAAACGTTACCCCAGCAAAATCTCGAATAACTTCGCAACCGATGAAAGAACAAATACAAAACAAGGCACAACATTTACTTCATCTAGACAACTAATTTTATAGCTAGTAATTATTTAAATATTACCATTAGAAAAAAAAAGTTTTGGCTGGGGTAACGTTACCCCAGCAGGAAATGTGTTAGTGAAAGAATTAAAAAACTATAAGCGCAAAAACTTTCAAAATGTGCGCATCAATTACAGACTCCGCGCAACTAATTATCTATAAGATTCAAATGACCATTTTCGACAACATCTGGCCTGGGTAACGCACACGTTTGACCTCTCGTTTTTAAAGTCGCATAATAAAAATTATTTGATTTTATTTTAAACTTGATTTTGATATAAAAATTACTTTAGCCCTTATTGTCCCCCAGAAATTGAAATTAAACTTTCTGACAAACAGTTTAAAGAGTATAAAATCAAACTACATTAACCCCTTGCCTCCATAGGAAACAGACGTGCTCCTAATCTTCGAGATCCTACCCATCTTATGTCGAGGGATGCCACCGAATGCTCTCCGACCTCCTCTAGAAAGATGTCTAGCTGACTCTTTTGCAGAAATATCTCATGTCAAGGCGAAATCTAAAGGAGAAGAGAAAGAATACTTGTTTATAAAGCAGATGGAGTGCATCCGTCAATGCTTGGACTGTGACAAGATACACGATGCCAATAGAACGCTGCTGTCTCAAATCGTCGAGCATTACTTCTCGGAAATGAATGATGATAATGTTGTAAGTATTGTTTTTAAATTTTCTTTTTATGCGATAAGTCAGTAAATGACCAGGTGTCCATAGGCCTTGTCAATTGTCGTCAAATACCAGAGGTGTGACAAGTGCGTTACCGGTCTATTGATTGTTGGGGATTTGGGGATTGGCGAGATTAGGGGGGTAATTGTGCCTCCGGTAACTTCACTCATACGACGAAACACAACGCAAGCGTTGTCATCGGTTTTCTGCTCGTGGGTGGTATCACTCCGGTCGAGCCGGCCCATGCCGAAGCATGACTTTCCTACATTTGCAGTTATTCAGGTTTAGTTTATTTGTTCAAGTTTAGTGTAGTGGGATGTTAGTCATTCAATAAACCTATGAAGTCATCAGACATAATTATTTTGACATGATACATCTGAAGTTATTTAAAAAGCAGTCGGATAAAAAATCCAAAGTTTGCAAACTATTTCTGAAATAAGTATATTAAATATCTCCAGACCAGCTTACTGAACCTAGAATTTTTTAATAAGTATATCTACAGTGATTGATACTGACCATTGTGCAAAAGCGCAAACTCCATTTTGTGATCTATCTACATGTACTAATTCTTCCTTAAAAAACATCCCCAGGCCTGGCCAACCTACATATCGACATGTTGCGCTCTATCCAGTAAGTACCTGGAGCGTATGTCGTCCCCCAGTGGGTGGTGGGAACTGTCTCCCAGCCTGCTACGTAAGGCGGCGTCACTAAGGGCCGCCCTGGCCACTATGAAGGACTGTGAGGCGCCCCTCAACTGGCTCAATGAGATCATTGATGCACAGGCTATGGAAATCACGTAAGTTGATCTTTGTTTCTCCTGGTTATAACTTGGATGTGGATGTGTGAACCGGCGTCTTTATTGTTTATGTTTGTTGTTGTTAGAGCGACTTTTTTATTTCAGTTAAAAGCCACAAAGCAAGATACCCTAAATCTAAATACCGGGCCAGCTTTAACCAAATAATGTTGTATTTGATAAAATATCTAAAATCGATTGCAGCGACATTCACTAAGGATAGATAACGCCAAAGTAACAATATAACTCCTGGCTGAATGGATGTGGTCAAACTAAGTCGAATGTTATCATTATCACTTGGTCAAATAAGTCTTATCCATAAAATTCATTAAAATGAACTCAACTCAACTCGAGCAACTTTTAGTTAAAGTTTATATTATCATTGTAAAGCAAACAAAGATCGTACAGGTATCTTTATTTCGTCAGAAAGAATAACCTTAACAATGGTGTGCGTTACCTAGGCCAGATGTTGTCGAAAATGGTCATTTGAATCTTATAGATAATTAGTTGTAAGGCTTCTATAATTGTTGCGCACATTTTTAAATATTTCACAAAAACATTTCCTGCTGGGATAACGTTACCCCATCCAGACCTTTAAGACCAGAAATTTAAAAATGTGCGCAACAATTACATAATCCGCACAACTAATTATCTATAAGATTCAAATGACCGATAACATCTGGCCTGGGTAACGTACACTAACAATGAACCTTTGATTAATTACATTTCACGGTTTACTCATGTAATTGTTTGACGAGTTAAGTCGACTAGTTTCAAGCCGCCCAAGCGCGGCTTATTGTCGTAAACAACCTCTTTCCTTGTAAAGACAACGTCAATGAAAGCATTGACCTATTTTGGTATAATAAACCTTGGTATTGCAGCGAGCAGGAGTTCTCCTTGGGCTGCCTGGTCCCCGCGCTGCAGGCGGCCGACCCTGACTCCGGCCACTGCGCGGACTGGATGCTGCAGCTCATGGGCCGCACGCAGGTCGCCTTCAATGAGTCAGTGCCCCTCTTGTATATTACTTTTTTCTTTTATTATTTTTGCAGTTTTGTGTAGAATTACATTTTTAGATCATGGTTTGACTAGCAAGGGTACCTCGCCGTCTAATCAGAACAAGATCCATGCGTACATACTCAAAGAACCATCAGATCACTACTGACGGGGCACAATTGGGCTGATACCTCACCCGGAGCTGCGGATAACTTAACGGGTTGCCGGGGCTCGAATTTGAAGCAGGAGTAGAAACGGGTGGTTTTTACTCAGTGAGAGTTTGACACTCATCTTGACGAGAGGGAGTGTCTAGAGACATTCGATAATATTCCTCTCTTAGAAAAAAATGCACAAACTTAGGTACCTACATAGTCGAATTTGATGCTTTCGGCATTAAATCCTTGTGGTGGTATAGACATAGGTCATATCAAGAGTATTTTACGTTTTTATTTCCAGGACGGAAGACAAGTCAGCGAAGCAGTACCTGTGCGACGTGTTCATGGTGTGCGTGATAGTATTCAGCGGCGTGTGGAGCGTGGCGGGCGACGCCGTGGCGGGCCGCCCCGCGCGACAAGCGCTGCTGCCGCCCGCCGTCGCCAGCTTACTGGCCAGGCCGGCCTGGCAGCCCTGCGCGCTACAGGTCATAATAATTATAATTCGCTTTTTTCAATGTTGCTCTTTTGCTAACTAGAATGTACAATATGGGTGTGACAAAGTGTCTAATTGAACTATTGTTCTTTAGAAGAGTTTAAGCTATCGAGCATATTATGATAACAAGAACGATTAATTTGTTTTCGATAGACCATACAAACGAACCATTCTAGCTACTAACGTCAACTTTCCTTTTAGCAACAGTTAATTCGCCAATCGCAACAATATCTAAACTAACGCCCGAGTCGCGGAGAACCTAATGGGTAACCGGGGCTCCGGCAGGAGAAGGAACGGGGTGGTTTTTAGTCAGTAAGAGTCTGACACTCCCTCCCGCCTCACCCAGGCGGGAGCAGACATTCGATGATTTTCCCCCCTTAAAAAAAAAACTAACGCCCGAATACAGTAAACAATTTTAAGTTGTACTTAAATATCGTGACATTTTTGTCATTTTATAAAGAATTTGTAGTGACAGAATTTGTAGGCAACTCTTATGTTAAAACCTCCTTTGTAGCGCGATAAGAAAAATTGTGGTAACGTAGTGAATTCACGTTCGCGCTAAAATTTAAAATTCGAAGATCACGCCTCGCTTTAGCGGGCCCCACGCTCGCGCCATCAGTCGCCGCCGAAACGTTGAGTGAGTGAGCGTGTTCGAAGACGCTCCGCGTTCTCGCCAATTTTCTCTGTTTTTGAATTCGTTGTGGAAACATCCAGCCCTAATCTGTTACAGAACTATACTTCAGCGCGACTTAAAATTGAGTAGCGTTTCAGTATTCGGGTATAAGCTTGCAAATAAACAGTTCAGATTTGTAATTATGTCTTTATCCATATCAAAGTAGCCGCAGAGAACCTAACAAGTTACCGAGGCTTTAGCTCGAAGTGCAGGAGAAGGAACGGGATGGTTTTTAGTCAGTAAGAGTCTCACACTCCCTCCCGCCTCCGCGCCACCGCCAGGCGGGTGTAGTCATTCGATGATTTTCCCCCCTTCAAAAAATCCATATCATAGTATTTAGAGAATGTAATACGACGACTCAAAAGTTAATTCCGTTGGTTATACTAATATAAAAAGTGTTGTTTTTCACCTCACATTTTCAATTGATATTAAATAATGAGTTGAATTCGTAATGTAATATGATTGTACAGTTACTGGAGTGGCTGTGCCACTCGCGCGCGGGCTGCGACAGCGGCGCGGCGGCGGCCTGCCAGCGCGGCCTGCTGGCGGCCCGCCACGCCGCGCCCTTCGCCACGCACCATATATGGACTCGACTGTACGTTGCACTCCATCACATACATACATAACCTCACGCCTGTGTCCCATAGGGGTAGGCAGAGACTATGGAACGCCAATAGGGTAGATGACTAATTTTTATTTTAATGTCCGTCTGGCAGATTATTTAAAATCATTAGACATGTATTTTTTATTTTTTTACAGAAACGAATACTTTCGACGATGTATTGATTTGAAATGTCACGTAACGTCACTTCTACGTACATTTTATTCGTTGAAATGCCGTTTTAGCCCCCACTCCTAAACTCTGATTTGTTTTATCTAAATATTATTTTATTATACTGTTGTATAATAATAGATATAAAATATAAAAAAATACATGTCTAATATATTTTCATTACCTAACTTACGGACAATTAGATTTTTAATTTTCATACCCTGTCATCATCCCTATTGATACGATTCCTAATTCAATCTTTCGCTTCATCAATAATCATCAGTCTTTCTATCTTTACATAAAATTGCAAACCATACCTTCAAATAGATAAAGAAATAAAATGCATTCATCATATTGTATTACCTCATTTGGAATTATAACTCTCGTGAGACATATTCAATTAACTATGTTTGACGGGATACTCACGTGGCTGGTTGACAAGGTGTCTCTACTAGTTTCGGATTACTCTAGGAGCTCATATTTATGAGCAACCAGGTGTAAACCCGATGGTGACCACGTCGTGTGTCGCGGCACTATTTGTATCAATATCAAAATATAACATCGTATGAATTCATTAGAACCTATTCAGTTACTGATTCTGAATATAAAATCTTCTAAATTTTTTTATATAAACTGTTTTGTTTCAGGGAAAGTCACTTCGGCCGAGACATTATTATAGACGAATAAACATCAAACATTATGCATGTACATAATACGCGCCATATTACATAATCGACTGAATAACATATAAACATTTATGTTGACGAAGTATAATATGATTATAATCTAGTCAAATAAACCTGAATTCTTAAATGTATGACTGTATGTATAATTATATTGTATATGTTAAACTTCTTTGTCTTGAACCGGTTATCCCTAATCTTTAAGAACCATGCTATGAATGGCTCATCCGGGGTGATACCACGGGCACGGCCTTACAGAAAACCGACGTGAAACAACGTTACGTTTAGCGAGGCCGCTATATAACTTGACATAAGGGGAATATAGACGGGATAGGAGTCGTCTATAGAGGTTCTTCATACTGGTCTTAAACTTCCCGCTTCACTTCGGCCCATGTCATACCGATGCCCGTCGCTCCTGCCATCAGGTGTGCGTTACCCAGGCTAGATGTTGTCGAAAATGGTCATTTGAATCTTATAGATAATTTGTTGTGCGGCTTCTGTAATTGTTGCGCACATTATTAAATTTGTTGCGTTTATAGTTTTTTTATTATTTTACAAAAACATTTCCTGCTGGGGTAACGTTACCCCAGCCAGACCATTTTCTTGCTAATGGGAATATTTAAATAATTACTACTTATAAAATTAGTTGTCTAGATGAAGTAAATGTTGTTCCTTATTTTGTATTTGTTCTTTCATCGGTTGTTCAAAATTCTGTTAGGGTAACGTTTTTAATTTTGCTAGATCTATGATATGGTTAATCGGATTCTAATCATATTTTGTACATGGCTTCTTAGGAATTACTATAAATTTGTGGTGCAATAAAAATCCAAAATAATACATAGCTTAAAGCTTATTTCATTAAATAAAAAAACACTTCAATTGGTCCCAGCACTCTCAATAAGAGCTGTAAAGATTTACCTTAAACGTTATTTTAAAGCTTGTATGTGCCTTCAAATGTATGTGAAGTTTCATTAGTATCCTGTAAGTATTTAACAAGTTATGATGATATTGAGTTCTTCACGAGCACGGTCTTGATGCGCGCGGTGTTATTTGGCCACTGGATTGGATAATTGAACTGAATGTTATGTCAATAATTAGTTGTTTAGTTCAGTTGTATATCAGTAAAATTTCAGCTCAGTACATTGGATAATTAATGAGATAATACGATTAAAGTCATCAGGAAGAGAATGATCGTGGTGACCCGACCAAGTTTAGGTGGTTGCGAAAAAGCGAACTGACGGACAGACTATTATTTATTTTATGTTTTTTTCAAAAGTACAAAATTATGGTTTAATTGAAGTAAATGCTTTTGAGTTGAGTTTGACGTTCAATATTTGACAGCTTGATGTAATTGGACAATCCTCTTGCTACAATAGTGCCACGGTGGGCAAAAAAATCTCTAGCCCCCATTCATCCTCACTTATGGCGACCCCAAGGGCCGCTTGTTAAAACAAATAACACGTAATAAGACCTTCAAACCTAAATAAAGATTCTATGTAAAACTACTTACGTCATACATTTTAGAATTTGGGTTAAATTAATGTATTTTTATTTTTATAAAAATGTTAACTGTGAAACTGCGTAACTTGTATTAATATAAGATTTATTTGTAATAATAACGCTTGAAGCAAAGGTATTGTGTTTCATTTGAATCGAATCCACCGTTGTTATCATGTTGTGTCATATTAATGTTAATTATAAGTTTTTATATTAAGTGACTACATTATCGCGTAGGGTGTAATCTGTTAGGATGTGTTGATTTTAATTAATAAAATAAATATTTAAAATTATCCCTAAAATTATAATGTTTATTCATTCTTGTGTAAAAGAAACCTAAAAGAGCAGTAAAGTAATATTTTGTTTTTATATTATAACTTTTGTGAGGCATACTAAATTATTTATTTGTTTTTCGGCTTACTCACGCAGCTGTTTTAAGAGAGGCACTCGACTAGTTATTTTGAAAACTACGCAAAATCGTAAAACATACATGGGGGTGATTTGAATACTCCTCATCATAAAGTATCTAAATTTTACGCTTGGACGTCAACTGCCCGGCCACCTTGTATAAGTTTGCTATAAATGTCCTAGCCATTTCGTGTTATTTCAATTTGTATCTCGATGGGCGTATATTGTTCCCCCAATATTATATATGTCGTAGGATAATTTGATACTTCGAATCTTCGCGGAAATCCTAGGGGTTTTGCGAAAACGCGGATAATTAGACATAGGCGAAAAATTATCAAATCTTACTGGACAAAGTCAGGATTTTTGCGAAAATACTCATTACTATAGTAAGATTGCGAAACGAAACGCTGGCTGTTATGAAATAAGAACGCTGATTGGTCGGTCAGCGCGTTCAATAAGAGATCGTCTCTGATTGGTTGACGTCTTAAATGTTTTTTCGTCGTCTTAAACGACCAGTTTCATCCAATTTATGGATTACACCCTAAAATTGGATCATTTTTTTTACTACGACTGAGATCTCCTATTGTCTGTAGAAAACAACATACATACTAAAATTTTCAATAAAAAGTTAATAAAAATCAATTTAGTGATTTTCCTTTTTCACCTATCCTAAACCTTCATAACTCTATGATACAATACTTGAAGTTAATCATCGGCAAACTAGGAACCAATTAGAAGTCAGCCAGCAAAATTGTAGCCAATCAGTGTTGAGCACATCAAATCTTACTATAGTAACGAGTATTTTCGCAAAAATCCTGACTTTGTCCAGTAAGATTTGATAATTTTTCGCCTATGTCTAATTATCCGCGTTTTCGCAAAACCCCTAGGATTTCCGCGAAGATTCGAAGTATCAAATTATCCTACGACATATATACCGCTTATAATATACCCCTGTTCTTTTCCATAGAAAATTGTACGGACAGTACAAATCTGGCCAGAAATCTCATAAGTAACCATTGCGTTGTGCGACGATATACAAAAATTATAATATAGGTATTGAAAGTTAAAATGTTACAGATAAAGTAATAATTGTATGTTGATAATAATGATGTTTTGTCTCAAAAGTATCTACGTTTTATTAAAATAACAGTTTAAACTAGTGCTAATCCTTAAATACGTACTTAGTTATCATAAGCCATCATAAATAATTTTATATAATAAAGACACTTTTTCTATATGCTCTATCGTGGACCGCATCATCGCTTACCACCAGGCGAGATCGTGGTCAAACGTCGGTTCATCAAATATTTATATAAAAAAAAGTATGCGGCATATTTTTCTTATGTTTAAATCTATAATTAAATATATTCCATGCAATTAAGCGTTAATTGAACCGTGCGTGGTAGAGGCTCATTATTCTTTTAATGTTTTTCCTATCACTGCCTCATCACCATAAACCAATTTCAAGGCGACGCGAGGCCTACACAGACTTATACGGCCCGGGTCAAAGTTAATAAATTAAAAGAAATTTATCAAGCCTATGGACAACGATAAATATGTGCATTGGGTTTCCCAGATAGCAGTGTACTAGTGTGTTTGGACACATAAAAACATACGGTAATACTCAACTTTATTTATACTAAGTTTTTCGTAGCAGTGTACACAAGCGTTTGTGGACACAAACAATCTTGCAATAATTTATTTTGCTCTAGTTTTTTCCTTTTCCTCTTTTAGCTGCTACAAAAATGGCTTCTCTGCTTCGTAAATTGTCCTACAACAGTTACACCCAATGTCGGTCGTTGCATAAAGTAGCAGTGGGCCACACAGTGCCTCTGACGTTCAACCAGTATGAACATCAGCAGAGGTTCCGTGAAGCTCAGGCTGAGATCGTTGGCTCGTTAATGTCCAGCCCTAAGTTCAAAGACCAGCTGGGCGATGTTGAAGCCTGGATGACTAAGGTAAGTGTTGGTTGGTCATTCTTCAAGCAGTTTTATCGTCTTTTATAAAGTTCTATGTAAAATGCCAGACTTGCTCTTGACTGGATTTTGATGTTACACTATTCTCACATACCTAATTGAACCAACAAAACAATGTAAGTAACTATTTTTTGTTAACGTTAAAAGTGCTTTTCTGGTCTAATTGAAATAAATTATTTTTGACTTTGAATTTTATTGATCAAATATATTTAGGCATTTAGGGATAAGCAAACATGACTACAACACGAGGTCGCAAGTTTAATGTGGTGTAAAATTTTACGGAGGATTTCGTTGTCCAATGACTGTGTTGCGACCAAAAGTACTTGTAACGGGTTCGATTTCGCGGCATTCGAGGTCCAATTATTATTAAAAAACTGTTTTATTGCAGTTGTTAGATTATGCTCTGGGCGGAGGGAAAAGGGGCAGAGGTCTGGCGGTGCCCTTTGCATACCGAATGATGGAGGATCCAGAGCACTTTACAGAGGACAAACATCATAAAGCACGGATCATGGGATGGGTTCTAGAAATGGTAAGTACCTGAAGTTTTACGTAACAGTTTGAGAAAAAATCTCGGTTTAATTTCTTTTATATGACTGTTTCGATCGATGGTTGACCTAGAGTTGGGCGGTTCATTTCTCGCGGCATTTCCCAAAATAATTTGAAGTCGAAACTGGATAAGACTCAGTACCAAACTGGATTCGGTTTCAGCTCAATAAAGTAAAAACTCAAGCGGAAATCTCTCTTCAAGTTCAGTTGAAAAAGGACGCAAATACCTACAATCAACACGAGATATGCGAGTCCCTTTCCAACTATGTTCGAGTAGAGGCCCCTTGAGTATCCTTCTAATACTATAAATGCGGAAGTTTGTATGTCTGTTTGTGATTGCTTCACATCAAAGCAGCTGAAGAGATCGGAGTAAAATTTGGAATAGGCGTAGATTATGGTCTAGATCAGGGCTGTCCGCGGCTTGTTTTCGTGTGGGCCGCGACACACGTTTTAATATCAACATCTTCATCTTATGAGCAACAACAATAATAAAAATCTACACTGAATTCTAATGTCTACAAGTTTTGTCTGTGAGTAAAGAATATAATGTTAAACCTCATTATACAACTGAAAACATTTTTCTGGCCCTCCAGCTTTTGTTAGAAATTTAATTAGCCTGCGAGGGTATATAGTTAGGACAGCCCTAATCTAGATTAATATATTGGCTACTTTTATCGCACAGAACGCGGGCTGAGCCGCTGGCAAAAGCTAGTAGTTCTATAATATCGACCTTAATGTTATGTATGTGTATCTACTCTCATTTCTACTTTATGCCACTTACTAATATAGTATTTTTAACCGGCAGTTCCACTCCTACCTATTCACAATAGATGATATAATGGATGCCTCGAAGACTCGCCGCGGCCAGCAGTGTTGGTACCTACGTGACGATGTAGGTTTGGGCGCGCTGAACGACAGCGGACTTATATTCAGCAGCGCATACGAAGTCTTGGAGCAACACTTCGGAGATGATCCTATTTATGCAGAACTTGTTAGGATTTGCAATGGGGTATGTTGTTTTCTGTATGTTTATTTTTTTACTTGATTTCATTAATATATAAGGTCGTTGTACAACTGACGCTGGTGTCACTTTAATGAAACAAATATTTGGTGCTTGGGAGGAAGCACAAGATGCTATTGGTGTCTTTTGTGACCTCTCAAAAGCGTTCGATTGCGTTGACCACGAGACACTTTTGCTGAAATTAGATCACTACGGGATCAAAAACACTGCACTCTGTCTAATAATGTCTTATTTAGAGGAAAGGCAATTAAAGGTTCATGTTAACGGTATTAACTCGCAGGGCTCTAGGATGAATATGGGCGTTCCACAGGGTTCAATATTGGGTCCCTTTCTCTTTTTAGTCTATATAAATGATTTGTCATTATATTCAAGAATGAACCAAGAATGGTGCTTTTTGCAGATGATACTTCATTAATTTTTAAAATAGATGGACGTGCTAATAATCTTGACGACGTTAACAGCTCCATTATTCGAGTGCAAAATTGGTTCACCATTAATAATCTAGCGCTTAATGAGAAAAAAACCAAATGTATTAAATTTAGTTTACCAAACGTCCGAAGTGATGATTGTGATGTTGTTTTGAACGGCCAAAAGTTAGAATTTGTCGACGAGACGGTATTTTTAGGCATTACATTAGACAATAGGCTACAATGGGGCCCGCATACAAAGGCGCTTTCGGGGAGATTAAGCTCAGCTGCTTTTGCAGTTAGACAGATTAGACAGCTCACGGACGTAGAGCATAGTTCGAAAAAAAAAAGCGATAGACACAATCTTAATAATACTAGAGGCAAGAATAAGTTAGCTGTACTGCAATTCAGACTGTCCAAGGTACAGAAATCCTTCATGGGGTTATGCGTTAAATGTTATAATAAAATACCAAGTAGCATACTAGATCTTAATGAAAGCAAATTTAAAACATATATCAAGCGCGAATTGTGTAAACAAGCTTACTACAGAGTGATTGATTATCTTGAGGATACGAATGCTTAAATATAACAAATAGAGAAAAAAATAAAACAAAAACTATTAACTTTCAACCCTTCTTTCCGCAGGCAATGATGCACACATGCATAGGTCAGCACCTGGACTTCGCATCAAACTATACGCGGGAGAAAAACAACCTGGACACGTTCACAGTGGAACGGTTTGACGCCATCGCCTTACAGAAGACCGCAGTGTACTCCTTCTCATTTCCTATGAATTTAGCTATGACTTTAGTTAAGGGAAAAAATCAGAATTTGCACCATACTGAAGAAGTACATTCCATCTGCTGGGACATGGGCAAACTACTACAATTAGTTGTAAGTACAAATTGATTACTTACATACATTACCTCACGCCTATCTCACGTGCGGGTAGGCAGAGACCATGGAGACTTAAATTCAAATTCTTAATTCATATTAACGCTAATTGGTAATCAAAACCAATAAACTAAATCTTCATTATTATTAAAGGACTTAAAATAATTCTTATAAATAAACTTTTTTAGTCGGTTAATTGGTATGTTAAAACCTTCTCCTGAGTCTAACAAGTTTTGGAAACCACATTAAAATAGGTTGAGCCTATTGCGAGATAATCGCTCACAAACAGGTACATACATAAGAACCTCTTTTTTTGAAGTCGGTTAATGAGAAGGTGCTCAGTTTGACCTATAAGTTTTTATTGTAAAAATTATGATGCAGTTTCGACAAGAGTTAGATACCAACCGATTTAAAAAAACAGGTTGCAGTCGGTTTTTTAATATCACCCTATTATTTAAAATCGAACCCGAGAGCGCTTGCTCGGTAGTCGTACTTGCACCATTTGACCAACGAGGCTCACTGTTAACTGTCAAACACCGCGAAGACACCGGTGACCGCAACCTATTGTTCTTTAATTGTGTCTATAACGACGGTACTCAAAGGGTACTGTGTAGTCTTCTGTATTACAATTGGAAAAACATCTATATCCAGTTGCATCCAAATACGTTCAGCCATTTTGGTATAATTGACTGACATCACACAACACTAGTAAACTTTCCTATGTATAAGAGAAATGATTCTGTTTGTTCATGGTGAAAGTTGTTCATTGCTTAGATTCCTATAATGGCCCTTGACCTATTAACTGACCTTTGCATAAGCTGCTTAGGAAGTAAGTAGGTACTTAGAAATACGGTCAGCTAAACCTAGTTACTAGACAGTCCGAGTAAAAGACAGTCAATTTCTCTATTACATTTTCAACTTTATTGTTTTCAGATAAAGTCTAAAATCTAATTTATTAATCTGAATATATTTTTTTTGTCTCAGAACGACTATAAAGACATATACTTCGACGAAATCAGAACAGGGAAGGCCGGCACAGACATACAGGAAGGCAAGTTGACGTGGCTCGCGGTGACAGCCCTGGAGCGATGCACTGACGCACAACGAAAATTCTTCGCCGAAAACTACGGCATCGACAACCCTGAGAATGTACAACGAATCAAAGACTTATTCGCAGAGTTGGACATTGAAAATATTTATAAAAATCATGAAAAAGCTGTGTATGAAGATCTAGTGAGAAGAATCCGCGCTTTACCCGCCAAAGGACAGACGCGGTTCTATTCTGAAGTTCTAGAAGCGTGTTGTAAACAGTTATACTGATGTCTAGAAGTCGCGTGGTGAAGACATTTGTTACTGCTCCTCCTCTTGCCGCGGGTATCGTAAGACTAAGGAACATCTAAGGGTCTATCTATACCTGTAACAGCACTATAGACCTGCCGCGCGGATACTAAGAGGCTACTCGATTTTAAGTTGGACTTAAATATCATACCATCTTTGTCATGGTATAGATGATGTTCATACTGATTTATAGGCCTATAATTTATTTGTTTTTCTAATGGACGCATTACGCATTATTGCATTATTGTGTACATTTACTTAATGTAAGTGATCAATCAGTTATAAGTGACTTAAGTGGTACCTACCTGCGTAACATAATGTGTATCTCATTAAATTACTACTTTTACAATCGAATGTTTTTTCATACCTATTATATGTTTTTTTTAATCGAATAGGAGGCAAACGAGCATACGGATCACTTGATGGGAAGCGATCAGCGCCGTCGCGACCTAACGGGTAACCGGGGCTCCGGCTCGCTGGAGAAGGAACGGGGTAGTTTTTAGTCAGTAAGAGCCTGACACTCCCTCCCGCCTCACCCAGGCGGGAGCAGTCATTCGATGATTTTCCCCGCTTAAAAAAAAATAATGGGGTGGGTTGTAGAAATAGTAAGTATGTACATGCCGTAGTGATTTTAGATGTAGGTATAAGTGTCTTTTTACTCTATTATTTTTTACGTAACAGTTTGATGAAGTAACACACCAATTTTTTAAATTGTTTTCATCGATAGTTGAGCGTTTGCTTTCTTGTGGCTTCTTCCCCAATTAATTTTAAGTCTTAATCAGTTATCGCTAAATGTCAATTAACTATAAGCTATTAGCGAAGACATCTATAAGCTATGAGCTACGACCGAAGAACAGAGTCTGCTTGAGTATCGTTCTATAGAGGGTGTAAAAGGAGGTTTTGTTTTCACAAAAGTAAGGAATTCAATGTTACTTTTATGTAGGTAATATTACTTGTAAACAACTACTCAAGGCTGATGTTGCATGGTTAACATGGCGGCAATGATGTTTATTTACGACATCACATTAAAAACCTCTAAATTGTGATCGATTTACACAAGAAACACTGATGTGTTTCTCTACTATATTATGCACGTAGTATACACAGACAAACCTTCCTTAAGAATCACTATATGTATTTATTAAAGAAAACTGCATCAAAATCCGTTGTGTAGACTTCTAACCTCAGTAGGTGGGTAACCCCCTATACTTATTATACTCTTTAGGGTAACTCATCAGTACTAATGATAGTTATATTTTTCTTTTTAGTTTTGACTTTTTGTTTTTGGTTTTTTGAAGTTGGTTTTTAAACGCAGTTTTTATTTTATTATTTTATCATTTTCAGTGTTAAGCTTCATAGATCCGTTTTGTCACTTATAATCTGCATAGGTGCAAAGTTCTATTCAATACAAATTATACAAGTCCAAACACAAGGTAGTTACTGTATACCGTTGAGGAGTTCCCTTAACAATTACACTTCTTTATCATCAGGCCCTTAATGACAGCCCCAATTTATCTAGGTGTAAAGTCCTCATCAATACAAATTAATCAAGCCCAAACACAAGGTAGTTAATATAAACCGCTGAGGAGTTCTCTCGACTGTCTGTCGGCTCCATCATCAGGTCGACTCCAGTTCCTTATCAAATTGTAGTGTTTAAAAATTCTAATTGAAAAACATAATAGACGCATTACTCGACCCTAGAGTAAACCCTTTCAAACAAAACAAGAATTTTGGAAACCAGTTCACAAGTGGCGGATTAGTGCAAAAAAAAAGAAAAGACAATCAGCCGAACATAGTACCTCCTCCTTTTTTTGAAGTCGGTAGTTGACGGGTGAAGCGGTGACTAGGCAATCGGCTGCCGCGCAACGTGTAGCGAGTTTGATTCCCACACGGAGCAATTCCACAAATTGTTGTTCCGGGTCTAGGTATCATGAGTAAGTGAACTTGTATGTTTGTAAACGCACCCACGACACAGAAGAAAACCAAAGGGTGGGGCAAATTAAAAAAAAAAATATGTTACAATGACGCAAAAAACATTGTAAAAACCATTAGTGTTTGTATACTGAGAAAAGCTCTACTAGTTTCGAACCACAGGGAATTCTTTTACAACAGCGGCTGCGCTCCCTCTCCTTCAAAGTGCACCTCTCAAATATTCGAGGTCAGCACTCTAATCTCAATGCTGTCCATCACCATCTCGAGACCGAGAAACCTACAGTCTTGTTTCTCTCGGAGACCCAGGTCAGGGGCCCGTCGGACGTATCCTACCTGAACTATCCTGGTTTTTCCCTGGAGCACAATTTTGTTCAGCATGCAGGTGTTTGCGTATACGTCCGAGACAGAATATGTTACCGGTGTCTTAGAAACCTTGAGGACCTCAGTTTTTCTGTCCTATGGATACTGGTAGACATAGGCATGCAGAAAATTCTTTATGCCTGTGTCTATCACAGCGGTGATTTGAAGGCGACCAGATTAGCGCAATACCTCGCTGAAGCGGCGGATGCGGCTCGACAGGCGTACCCTTCGGCCAAGTTGGTGTTACTGGGGGACTTTAACGCTCATCACCAAGAGTGGTTATTCCCATATCAGTGCACCGATCATGCCGGAAGGGAAATGCGTAAGCTTGCGCTTTCGCAAGCGAGCCAGCTAAACTAAGCTAAGCTAAAAAAGCAACAAGGGTGCCCGATGTCGATACGCACACTGCCAATTGCTTAGACCTGCTGCTGACAACTGATCCAGACCACTACTCGGTGACAGTCTCATCACCTCTAGGTAGCTCTGACCACAGTCTGGTGAAATCTGTATCCACACACTCCCCACCAGATCCGAGTCCCAGAGGACCTCGGCGGATGTGGCGATACAAATCAGCGGATTGGGATGGGATGCGATCTTCTTTCGAATCCTATCATTGGCGGCCCGTCTGCTTCTCTTCTGATGACCTGTCAGTTTGTGCGGAAAACGTAACGGGATGAGACCACCATGAGATCAGATGCTGCTTTGAGAAGATGCAGTACTGCTCGGCGGCATTCCTGGACGTACAACAGGCCTCCGAAAAAGTTTAGCACAAAGGGTTAAGTCTACCGGGCATTGAAAATTGGCAGAAAAAATGTACAAATAAACCCAAAACGAAATAATTAGAGCTGGAAACTTATGAGAATTCGACGATTTTCCCGTTTCTCCGATATTCTTTTTTTGATGGCCATATGCGTTTTTGTTTTGTTTCATATTTTTTATGGATGGGACATTAGTCAAGCTACATCCCATAGCAGTTTGATTCACTATTTCTGCGACACCCGTGTAGTGTGTACACAAAACATAAATACTGTAAAGAGAGTATGTTTGATTGTTTGTCTATTATTGTACGATTACAATGATAGTTTAAGACCAAGCATGGTAAAGTCATGCTTCGGTACGAATGGGCCGGGTCGACCGGACTGATACTACGGCCTCACAGAAAACCGACGTGAAACAACACTTGCCTTGTGTTTCGTCATGTGAGTGAGGTTACCGGAGGCCCAATTACTCCCCTACCCAATTCCCGAATGCCCAACCATCTTCAACATCCCATTCCCCAAAAGGCCGGTAACGCACTTGTAACACCACTTGTGATTCGCGTGTCCATCCATGGGCGGCGGCTATCGCTTAATATCAGCTGATCAGTCTGCTCGTTTACCGGCTTATTCTGCAAATAAAAAAAATTCAAGGCGACGCGACGCCAGCGCATACGTATACTCAGGTCATAGTTAATAAACCTAAAAGAAATTTATCAAGCTTATGTACAACAATAAATATCTGTGCATTGAGTTTCCCAGATGACAGTGCATTAGCGTGTCTGGACACAGACATACGGATACGGTGATTCTTAACGTATTGTATTATTTATACTTCCTTTTTTTCATAGGTAGCAGTGTTCACAACCATTCGTGGACACATAGAATCTTAAAATAGTTTGTTTTGCCCAGTTGTGCCTTTTCCTCTTTTAGCTGCTACAAAAATGTCTTCTCTGCTTCGTAAATTGTCTTACAACAGTTACACCCAATGTCGGACGTTGCATAAAGTAGCAGTGGGCCACACAGTGCCTCTGACGTTCAACCAGTATGAACATCAGCAGAGGTTCCGTGAAGCTCAGGCTGAGATCGTTGGCTCGTTAATGTCCAGCCCTAAGTTCAAAAACCAGCTGGGCGATGTTGAAGTCTGGATGACTAAGGTAAGTGTTTATTGGTCTGTTTTATCGTCATTTTATAAAGATGTTCTATGTAATATGCTAGACTTGCCTTGCCCTGACTTGATTGTGGTGTTACATTGTTCCCGCACAATTCAGCCAACGAAATTATCTAACTAAAAATTTAATTTTGAACTTGATTGAAAAGATGTGTACCTAATATAATTATGGAGTTTGTTGCTCGTTCTTCTTCATAGGAATCTACACGTTGGACCGAGCAAATAGCTTCACTTTAAGATTTTTTAAAGTCTTTCGTGTCTTATTGAAATAAATTATATTGGCTTTGCCTTTGTTCATAGATAAAAACTCGCAAACAGGCACTTAGGTAACATGTTTGTTTTTGGAATATGTTGTCTAACGACTGTATTGCGCCCAAAATGCTTGTAACAGGTTCGATTCCGCATTATTCATCAAACCATTTAATTTTAGGTTGAATAAATACTAAAGAGCATAGGCATAATCATCTAAGTAGGTAGGACTAATTACTATTAAAAATATTTTATTGCAGTTGTTAGATTATGTTCTGAACGGAGGGAAAAGGGGTAGAAGTCTGGCGGTGCCCTTTGCATACCGAATGATGGAGGATCCAGAGTACTTTACAGAGGACAATCACCATAAAGCACGGATCATGGGATGGGTTCTGGAAATTGTAAGTACCTGAAGTATTACGTAACAGTTTGAAGAAATAACTCGTCTAATTTTTATCTGACTGTTTTGACCGATGCACAGTGTGGTATTTGTACGATCTGGGAGGCAAAAATTATTTTGGCGGCCAAAGAGGTTGTAACTATGATATTATGTTAGCATGTAGTATTGTTTTTTATTACAAAGTAAATAATAATGAAAAACGTAATATTTTTGAAAAAAAAATTAAAATATTTAATTAAAATTAAAAAATTCTCAATATTTAATCTACAAAAATATTTTAAACAGAAATAATTGCATTTTCCTTAAATGTTTTGACAGATCAGTCAGAAAATGAAAATTTATCTTCTTGACACAACTCAGAATCATCAGCAGTTCCCTCACTATCCGACTCTGATGCCTCATTGCCACCGTAAGATTCTGCATAAGATTCCATCGGAAGCAACAAGAAAGAAAGAAGGGTTTCTTTTAAGAATGGTTTACTCTTCTTTCTTGAAATATTCCTCATTCCTGTTATTACAGGATCGGAAGTCAGCAGTAACCTGTTGAGCACATCTTGATTGCAAGACACCCTTGAGAATTTTCTCGAAAAGTTTTGACGAAATAAATGAAAGTGTCTATTACTTGCCTCCGCAGCCTCTTCTGACAGTTGCCCGATTGGAAGTAAAGCGTGCTTAATTACATCAGGACTATGAATCAATAATTTATGCATTGTTGAGGTCATAGGACACCATGAGTAAAGTCTTGCCAGAAGCTGACACTTGTATCTGAGCAGCATGAGTCAGCACATTCAATTCTACAGAACTTCTTAATTCCTCAGTTTTTTGCCTTTTGCTTCTTTCACCTGATTCTTCGAATAATTTTTTCGGACGCCCCGGCCGGCTAGTTAATTTTGGAATCGTAAATGTACCTCTCAACCAATCTTGATTCCTTTTAATGAAAATTTGCTCTTTATTATATGCCGCAGCCCATCTAGATTTCATTTCGGACTTGAAGCGTGAGTAATTTTGCTTAATATCCTTAATTTGGTCAGCAGTGTAATCATCATAACCAATGAGATAATTTTCGATGAAATCCAATTTTTCATTGATATTCGACAAATTTTGTCGCTGCATCAACTCATATAACTCCAATCGAGTCATGATTTTGACATTGGACGGCCCTACAATAAATAAATTTTCTAAAGATACAAAAAATAAAATGTATGAAATAAATAACATTTTCACATTAAAAAGTTTGGACACCCTGTTTTCCAAAAATCAAGTGATTCCGTGACCGTTTTAAACGAAATCTTATACGTCAATGATCAAAGTTTGTTGTACATTCTTTTATTTTGCCGGGAAACCCCGGGAAGTATTACTTACTATCCTCGATATTTCAAAATATATGCAAATTATGATATTGTAAAAGGGTTACGTAAATAATATTGTCCAACAGTCATAAAGTAATCGACCCTGTTAAAAATATTTGTTAAGTGTAGACACTACCCTGCCATAACATAATCCATATCACTTCACTTGAAATTATAATCCAAAACAAAATAATTGACTATTATAAGTAAACGATTTTTTTAAATAAAACACAAGAAAAATATTTCTTAAATGACAACGAAATTCCGACTGACCACACAAGTAAATTTTTGCAACTAAAATGAAAATAATGATAGTTTGAGGTGCATTGGTAAGTAAACATTTACGAGATACTGTAAACTTCTACCCACATTAAGTTTTGTAAAATGGACTTATTGCCTCCCAGATCGTTCAAATACCACACTGTGCGATGGTTGATCGAGAGTTGAGTGGTTCATTTCTTGCGGCCTTTCCCTCAATTAATTTTAAGCCCAAACTGGATGAGATATGTATAACTGTATCCCTCAGAACGCGGGCGGAGCCGCTGGCAGAAGCTAGTAGTTCTATAATATCGACATTAATGTTATGTGTGTGTACTCTAATTTTTACTTTATATCATTAACTAATATAGCATTTTAAACCGGCAGCTCCACTCCTACCTATTCATAATAGATGATATAATGGATGCCTCGAAGACTCGCCGCGGCAAGCAGTGTTGGCACTTACGTGATGATGTAGGTTTGGGCGCGCTGAACGACAGCGGACTTATATTCACCAGCGCATACGAAGTCTTGGAGCAACACTTCGGAGATGATCCTATTTATGCAGAACTTGTTAAGATTTGCAATGGGGTATGTTGTTTCCTGTCTGTATCTTTTATTAACTTGATTTCATTAATAAATGCGTTTTCAATTTTCGACGTTATTAGAGAGCAATAAAGTCGGTCATCGATTGTTAGAGTTCACGTAGAAGTAGGTTAATATGTAATTTTAAGTAAAATTCAATACTTCAACACTAAAAAGTTTATTCTAAACGGATTCTTATTAGAACACAGCGTGATGCTCGTCAAACTTCCCACCAGAATCGCGCGTCACTACTTTTGCGCGGGAATCTTTTCTAATCTGTCATATTTGATAGATGACATCGTCAACATGACAGCTAGAGCTATCGATAATACAGATTAAATTATTGACGTTCTTTTAGTTGATTTTCGTCATCTAACATTCGGCCATCCTGAATCTCCTTAGTCCTCGAAGGATCTTCTATTGAGTTCCGGCAGCAGGTCCCTGTACCGAAGACTCGTAGCCTGATGACCAGCTGGCTGTTGCAGTTATTTAACCCTTAGAGCGCCACGTCAGTCACCGGTGCCTGACGCTAGTGGAGGTTTGACTTTCACCATTTTAAACTTGGCAGTTAAAGTATTAACCTGAAAGTTAATTATAAGGATAAGCCTCTTACGGCGAGTATGAAATTGAGCCCATTAGAGCAATTACAGTTTAAGCAGCTTATGGCAAATATGAATACAAGTCTTTTACGGCATTTATGGATACAAGCCCCTTTTGCGGCAAATATGAATTCAAGTCCTTTACGGAATTTATGGATTGCCCTTTACGGCAAATATGAGTTTCAGTCCTTTACAGAATTTATGGATATAAGCCGCTTATGGCATCCATTAGTACAAGCCCCCTACGATATACATGGATATACGCAACTCACGGCATCCATTTGTACACGCCCCAGACGGCAAACATGGATATAAAGCCCCTCTCGGTATTCATTTATACAGACCCCTAAAGGCATTCATGGATATACGCCCCTTACGGCAACCATTCGAACAATTTTTTTTTGGATTTATTATTTACAGTAAATGTTAATCTTCGTTATCAGGTGAACTTACACATCTATTATGCCATAGTTTTAATTTCGTCACAACATTTTTATATTTCATTTTGTTCCTATCGGCTGAAGTGACCTCATAGCGGTTGTTTGTTAAAGCCGCAGTCACCTTATAAGGTCCAGCAAATCGTGGTACAAGTTTTCCACTTGTCAAACCTGGTCTCAATATCTTCCTCTCTAGCATTACTAGAAACCCAACAGCAATTTGGTTTGGCCAACCTACACCCTCTATCAAAACGGCATTTCTTTTTAAAGGCATTTACCTATCTTATCAGCTGCCTCAGTCCTCAATTGAGCCAACTCCGTTGTGTATCTAGGACCAAGGAGTTTACCAGCCAGACATGGCCTCAAACCACATAATAGTTCTAATGGTGATTTGCCAGTCCCATTACTAATTGCTGAGTTAATACCCGATTGCAACTTTGGGAGATATGCATGCAAGATATGTGCTGCCATATCAGACTTATCATTGGTGTCATCCTGAAAAAGATAGGCTCTTGCAATACACTCGTTGGTATTCAGTTGAATAGCTTATTAATCAGTTCAATTATTGCTATTCATCAGTTCAATTATTGCCAAGCCATCTGCACTTTCCACTTCATTACCTTGTTATTTGATGGATCTATTTATGTTAGGCTTGTTAACTTCCCGAGGTTTATTTCCACTATTGTCATTTGTATTCATGAAACTTGCTAACTTGCTAACTTCAGTAATGAAGTTGTATCATGACAACCAGCTGATAACGCACTACCACTTATAGTTACTAAATATTAATTTAAAGTTAGTGAATATCAGTTCTATCTAAGATAAGTACAAAATGATGATTGACTTTCATTAAAAGCAAAATTTAAAAATACATCCTTTCGTACTTGTACAGCTGCCAAACTTTATTAATGTAATCACTTATCACTGCACATAAGTCTTATACCGCTTCTGAAACTTTTAGGTAAAAGTCAATTTTTCAATACTAAAGAGTTTATTCTATATAAATGGATTCTTCTAAGAACAGAACACAGCGTGATGCTCGTCAAACCTCCCAGTTCCAACCAGATACGCGCGCTTTTTGCTTTAGCGCGGGAATCTTTTCTAATCTGTCACATTTGAGAGATGACATCGTCAACATGACGGCTAAAGCTGTCGATAAAACAGATTAAATTAGTGACGTTCTTTTAGTTGATTTTCGTCGTCTAACAGTAAATACTGAATTTTTTTTCGAAAAGTTTAAAACTTACTGCAAAGTAATAATTCATATACTTACCCATACAGGGTAAAATTCTATTGCGCAAAATAACACTAGTATCACCTAGCCTTTCCGGCCGGAGGACACGGTGAAGTCATTGAATGATTTTCCACCCTCAAAAAAAAAGTACCTACCACCTAGCCTTAAAATAAAACAAAAACAATTAACTTTCCGTCTCTCTTTCCGCAGGCAATGATGCACACATGCATAGGTCAGCACCTGGACTTCGCATCAAACTATACGCGGGAGAAAAACAACCTGGACACGTTCACAGTGGAACGGTTTGACGCCATCGCCTTACAGAAGGCCGCAATCTATTCTTTCAAATGGCCTATGAATTTAGCTATGACTTTAGTTAAGGGTAAGAATCAGAATTTGCACCGTACAGAAGAAGTACATTCCATCTGCTGGGACATGGGCAAACTTGTACAATTAATTGTAAGTTCAAATTGATTACATACATAGATTACTTCACGCTTATCTCACATTCGGGTAGGCAGAGACTATGGAAACGCAAACTCAAATTCTTAATTTATATTAACGCTAATTGGTAATCAAATCCAACAAATTAATTCTTCATTATTATAAAAGTACTTAATATAATTATTTTATAAATGTAACTACGTTTGTAAAACTAAAGCCGAAAAACTAATTATCTTTATGGTTCAAATGACCAATTTCGACCACATTTGGCCTGGGTAACGCACACGTAATTAATTACTTTGGATATATTTTTCTGTCTCAGAACGACTACAAAGACATATACTTCGACGAAATCAGTTCAGGGAAGGCCGGCACCGACATACAGGAAGGCAAGTTGACGTGGCTCGCGGTGACAGCCCTGGAGCGATGCACAGACGCACAACGAAAATTCTTCGCCGAAAACTACGGCATCGACAACCCTGAGAATGTACAACGAATCAAAGACCTATACGCTGAGTTGGACATGGAAAATATTTACAAAAATCATGAAAAAGCTGTGTATGAAGATCTGGTGAGAAGAATCCGCGCTTTACCCGCCAAAGGACAGACGCGGTTCTATTCTGAAGTTCTAGAAGCCTGTTGTAAAAAGTTATACTGATGTCTAGAAGTTGCGTGGTGTAGGCAGAGTAGACACCTATGTTACCAACCCTACTCTTCCCGGGGGTATTGTAAGATCCGACTAAGCAACATTTAACAGCACTCAGACCTGCCGCGCGGATAGTGAAAAGCTACTCAATTTTTACTTGGACTTGAATATCGTACCATCTCTGTCATTTGACAAAGAATTTGAAGTGATAGAACTATACCTTTGTATAAGTTATGTATTTTACAGTTGTTAAGGGATTATGTGTAAGTAATAATTAATATCGATGAAGATTATAGTACTTATTAAGTTTACTTATAATGTGTTACTGCATTTATTGTATTAGGTGTGCCTGTGATGATAAATATAATGTTTAAATATAAATACATAATTAAATATAATGAATAAAATACTTATCGGGACTTAGATTTTTTTAACGTTGCCCCACTTTAAGATTTTCTCCTGTGTTGTGGGTGCGTTTACAAACATACAAGTTCACATACACAATGACACCCAGACCTCTAGATGAAGTAGATGTTGTGTCTTATTTTGTATTTGTTCTTTCATCGGTTGCGAAGTTATTCGAGATTTTGCTGAGGTAACGTTTTTGGTTTTGCTAGATCTTTGAAATGGTTAAGCGGATTCTTATCATATTTTGTACATGGCTTCTTAGGAATTACTCTAAATTTGTGGTGCAATAAAACAACCAAAATAATACATAGCTCAAAGGTTATTTCATTAAATAGAAAAACACTTCAATTAGTCCCAGCACTCTCAATAAGAGCTCTAAAGACTTACTTTAAACGTTAAAGCTTGTAAGTGCCTTCAAATGTATGCGAAGTTTCATTAGTATCCTGTAAGTATTTAACAAGTTATGATGATATTGAGTTCTTCACGAGCACGGTCTTGATGCGCGCGGTGTTATTTGGCCACTGGATTGGATATATGAACTAGAAGACATAAAGAAGAATTCGCGGCGAGAACTAAACTTAATTCCGGCAGCAGCGTTTAAAAAATGGTTTGATGAATGGATTATTCGTTGGCACAAGTGTATCGTTTCTAAAAGAGCATACTTTGAAGGTGATAAAATAAATTTTGATAAATGAATAACAGACATTTTGTGTATTATTGATCTTTTCCCGGTAATTTCTTGACAGAGTAGTTTTTTTTTTTAAAAAACGTTGCCCCACATTAGGATTTTTTCCTGTGTCGTGGGTGCGTTTACAAACATACAAGTTCACATACACAATGACACCCAGACCCGAAACAACAATTTGTGGATCACACAAAGTGTTGTTCCGTGCGGGAATCGAACCCGCGACACGTTGCGCGGCAGCTGGTTGCCCAGCCACCGCGCCAACCGTGCAGTCAAACTTTAAAATGGCACTGTTTTAGAGTAAAGTTACATAATAGCATGGGTAACTCAAAAAGGCGTCATTAGATTACATGCTGTCACAGAATGCGTATTAGAAATAAAGATTCACAGCTCACTCACAGCAGCACAGCCCATAGGTAATATGTAGCCTATACATTGAGTCGACTTGTTAGTACCTACTATTCATGCAAAATCTGGAGTAAATCCATGTAGTGCTTTTTGAATTCATCCCGGATCAAACCATGTGTTTGGCTTCGGTATTGATTGTAGACCACGGTCCAAGTATTCTTTTGAAAAATATTCAATGTACACTTTTGACTTTTCCACGATTGTTTATATGCACCTAAACAGATGCTTGTGTAGTATGTAGCTCGATCGTTCATTATTCGATTTATTCAATGTTTGTTACGTATTAATTTTATCTTTACCCTCATTTTTATTGACACTTATTTATCGAATTAATACGTACACCGTCACTAAAATAATATTAAATACCTATGTGTGCATGATGGACGAATGTTTATACACATTGATGTTAAATTACCTACTAATTAGTAATCAACATTGCCGCGCGTTTATTAATAAATAGGTATCCGTGCATTGGGTCCCTCAGAAGGCAGTGTAGGTACTAGCGTGTTTGGACACAGACATACTGTGATATTTAATACTTTGTTTTATTTATACTTGCTTTTTTCTTATTGGTAGCAGTGTTCACAACCATTTGTGGACACAAAGAATTTTGTAGTAGGTATACTTTGTACCTCTATAATAGTTTGTTTTGTTCTAGTTCTACCTTTTCCCTATTAGCTCACTCTATGGCTGTGCTTTACCTGCTACAAAAATGGCTTCTCTGCTTCGTAAATTGTCTTACAACAGTTACACCCAATGTCGGTCGTTGCATAAAGTAGCAGTGGGCCACACAGTGCCTCTGACGTTCAACCAGTATGAACATCAGCAGAGGTTCCGTGAAGCTCAGGCTGAGATCGTTGGCTCGTTAATGTCCAGCCCTAAGTTCAAAGACCGGCTGGGCGATGTTGAAGTCTGGATGACTAAGGTAAGTGCTAGATTACAGGCATCGCGTGTTGTAGAATGCAGTTGCTCATTGATCAAAAAGTCGCGATGATAAGTAAATACGACTTCGTGAGGTCGCAGGTTTGATGTATAAAATGTTACGGAGGATTTCGTTTTCTAAATATTGTACTCACCACTCAATTTTAAATTGAATAAATAATTAATCTCTTTAAATATTAATCCAACTTCAAATTGAATGGCTATAAGTATAATTATCTATTCAAGTACTTGTTCAATGAGTAACATAACTATTTCGTTCCAGTTGTTAGATTATGTTCTGGCCGGAGGGAAGAGGGGCAGAGGTCTGGCGGTGCCCTTTGCATACCGAATGATGGAGGATCCAGAGCACTTCACAGAGGACAATCATCATAAAGCACGGATCATGGGATGGGTTGTGGAAATGGTAAGTACCTACATGCCTTAGTGATTTGGTGAAGTAACACATCAATTTTTTTTATTGTTTTCATCGATAGTTGAGCGTTAGCTTTCTTGTGGTTTCTTCTCCAATTAATTTTAAGTCTTAATCAGTTATCGCTAAATTTATAAGCTATAAGCTACGATCGAAGAACAGAGTCTCTGCTTGAGTATCCTTCTATAGAGGATGTAAACGGAAGTTTTATTTTCACAAACCGGCTTCTTGAGGATTAGTAGTTTGAGGATCGTTGGGGATTCAGGAATTGGGGAGATTGGGGAACAGGAGGGTAATTGGGCCTCCGGTAACCTCACTCACACGACGAATTCAATGTTTCTTTTATGTAATAATAGTTGTAGACAACTGCTCAAGCCTAATGTTGCATGGTTAATATGACAGCAAAAACGATTGAAATTGTAAAAAAAAACATTTTGTCATCGTTTCGGGAGCGTTCCATTTACTATCTTATATCTTATACTATTATAGAGGTATAAAGCGGAAGATTTTGTTTTTTTGTTTGTTTGCTTGAAGGCGCTAATCTCCGTAACTACAAGTCTGATTTGAATAATTATTTTTGTGTTGGATAGCGCATTTATCGAGGATGGCTATAGGCTATAAAACATCACGCTACGACTAATAGGAGCTGAGCAAAGCGTGTGAAACCGCGCGGAAGTAGCTAGTTAAGTATATGCGTGGAGGTCCTCTAAGACACATAAGGCCATTTCTGCGTTTAATATGTTTGTCTATTTATTATTAGGTAATATTACTTTTTAACCCACAGTGCCACTCCTATTTACTCTTAATAGATGATATAATGGATGCCTCAAAGACTCGCCGCGGCCAGCAGTGTTGGCACTTACGTGATGATGTAGGTTTGGGCGCGCTGAACGACAGCGGACTTATATTTACCAGCGCATACGAAGTCTTGGAGCAACACTTCGGAGATGATCCTATTTATGGAGAACTTGTTAAGATTTGCAATGGGGTAACTATGTTGTTTTCTGTCGTTTATACTATACTAGCTTTTACCTGCGGCTTCGCTCGCGTCACAAAAGGATAAAAAGTAGCCTATGTGACATATACCAATACACACAGCGCCATCTATACCAATAATTTCGTTTTCCCTCGAGAATATCAAATTTTCCGGGATAAAAAGTACCCAATTATTTAATCCAGACTTCTAACTTCACATCTGCAAAAATTCAAAGCAATCGGTTTAGTAGTTACGGCGTAAAAGTGAAACAAACAAACAAACAAACAAACTCACTTTCCGATTTATAATATTAGAAGTATAAGTGCGTTTTCAATTTTCGACGTTTCTACAGAGCAATAAAGTCGATCATCGATTGTAAGAGTTCACGTTGAAGTAAGTTAATATGTAGAATTGTAGAGGTAGATGCTGAAATAATTGTAAAACTTACTGCAAAGTAATAAAATGTATAAGTAGGTACCTACCTAATCGCTCTACTAAAGAGACTGGGTAAACGACCATGCAATATGTCGCGGGTTCGATTCCCGCACAGAACGACTCCTTGTACCTATTAGGTAAACACGAATTGTTGATCCGAGTTTGAATGTGACGCGTATGTGAACTCGATACAGAGAAAAAAAGAAAAACCATTATCACGCCACGGCACACATGCAGACAACAATGCAGGATAAAGAATAAAATTCAAAATAACACTAGTAGGTACCATACCACCACCTAGCCTGAAAATAAAACGAAAGTCATTAACTTTCAATCCTTCTTTCCGCAGGCAATGATGCACACATGCATAGGTCAGCACCTGGACTTCGCATCAAACTATACGCGGGAGAAGAACAACCTGGACACGTTCACAGTGGAACGGTTTGACGCCATCGCCTTACAGAAGGCTGCAATCTATTCTTTCAAATGGCCTATGAATTTAGCTATGACATTAGTTAAGGGAAAGAATCAGAATTTGCACCGTACTGAAGAAGTACATTCCATCTGCTGGGACATGGGCAAACTTCTGCAATTAATTGTAAGTACAAAATAACTACAGACATAATTATGTCGCAGGCGTATTGTATAGTCCACCGTATTACATTACGGTTTGCCGTTTAGCAAACCAGGGACGTTTTGTAATGCAACGGCTGAACAGTTAACCGAATTGAATACGGCTAAGTCAAAATCAGCCAGATAGTTTTCGGGGCTATGCGTATTATTCAATATATTATATATAATTTATATTATAAACTCTAAAATCTGAAAATTCATATAGTAAAATTTATACTTTTCTGTCTCAGAACGACTACAGCGACGTATACTTCGACGAAATCAGAACAGGGAAGGCCGGCACGGACATACAGGAAGGCAAGTTGACGTGGCTCGCGGTGACAGCCCTGGAGCGATGCACTGACGCACAACGAAAATTCTTCGCCGAAAACTACGGCATCAACAACCCTCAGAATGTACAACGAATTAAAGACTTATTCGCAGAGTTGGACATTGAGCATATTTATAAAAAGCATGAAAAAGCTGTGTATGAAGATCTGGTGAGAAGAATCCGCGCTTTACCCGCCAAAGGACAGACGCGGTTCTATTCTGAAGTTCTAGAAGCGTGTTGTAAAAAGTCATACTGATGTCTAGAAGTCGCGTGGTGAAGACATTTGTTACTGCTCCTCCTCTTGCCGCGGGTATAGTAAGACGCCCGACTAAGGGACTTCTAACAGAGATCGGGTAATAGCATTCTTATAGATCTGATCTCCAACCAGCCCGCCAAGAGATTATAGCAAGCAAGAGATTATAGGGTCCAGTGCCTCAACAATCTTCTTTGTTGAGGCACTGGACCCTCATGGTATTGACGATGTTTATTTTGACGGTTATTCTGTGATACATACTACTACCACATAGCCAATATAACAAAAATATATGTCGTGGGTATAATGCCCGCCAATTCAATTATGTTTCTGCGGTGGGTAGCGTGATGCTACTATCCTAGCTTTCTGGCGAGAGTACCCGGACAACCAGAAAGCGCGCTGCTGATGAAAAAGACTCGGAGGTGGTGGAGTCGAGGTGGTGATGTGCGTGCTCCTGTGACATGACGTCAGCGTCGATCCAAAGGCGTTAAGACCGGACTTTGGAACCTGGAACCACGTTCTACACAACCGGTCCAGTTCCTCGTCTCCTGACCGTAATCACCGCGCAAGCAGGAAGCGGAATGTGTGCGTGCTTACGAACAGAATCAAAGTTGACAAAATTAAGAAGAAAAATAAAAAGAACAAGGGAACACTTTAACAGACAAAACAAACCTAAATTACTAATAATAAATACTAAATTATGTATGAATGATGTAATAAAAAATTTAATTTGAAATTGAATTTAAATACAAAGAAACTGCAAGTCACATAAACCTAAATGACCGTGAATATTACCAAGTTATTAATACAGTTAGCCATAGCGAATTTTCCCCCCTTAAAAAAAAGGTAGTAAGCAAATAAAATTTATTTTAATGACCATCTGGTCCATTAATTTAAAACATTAGACACATATTTTTTCTTTTCTCACATAATTAAATACTTTCGACTATAATATATTAATTTGAAATATCGTGTGACGTCACAGCTTTCCACATTTTATAGCACGTTATGACGTAACTACCTCACACTCCTAAACTTAGCGCCATTTTATATTTTAATACAAGAAAATAAAAAATACGTGTCTTATATTTTTTCAGTATCTAACTGACTAATTAGATTTTTAATTTTGATACCCTGGAAGCTACCCAATTATAACTATAAAAAAATCACAGCTGCAGATGGCACGGCCGAGTTACACTGATAGGCCATAGAGACCGATGTGACGTGCCAACACTTTAACCCGTAGCTTGAGAATGATCATCCTGCCCCCACCCCAGTAGGTCGACGGTCGGATCGGTCGACGGGCGATCTAGAATTTTCGATGAACGCTCATTTACTTATCGAAATCGTTCATGTACTTACATCATTGGTACTTGGGTGTAGTTAATGATAATAACTAGGTACACCTAAGTGCTTAGCAGGCAGATTTGTAAATTATTATTATTTAATGATAATTTGTACAATTATTGCTGATTTCAAAATTTTAAATTATTATTACTTAATAGCTGATTTAGACTATGTTTATTATTTCTAAATAAAACGATTATAACAAAGGTTGCAGTGTTTTCAGCCGACTTCAAAAAAAAGGAGGAGGTTCTCATTAATCACTAAGTACCTATTTGTGTAAACGCCAGATAAATTCTTCTGTTTGATAAGTACCCGAGAGCCAGTACAAAATGACTTTGAAGAATTGATTACCTCCCGTTCAGCTGATTTCTTTAAGAAGGGCATCAATAAGCTGCCACTGCGTTGGCAAAGATGCATTGATTGCATGGGTGATTACTTCAATGAATACAAATAAAAAATACATGAAAAAATCGTTTAATTTTTTTCATACAAAACGACAATTTCATAGATAAAGACCTACCTATTATTTTACATTTAAAGATTGGAAATATCAAAATAACTATCACTATTAATAAATATTTACAGACAAATAATGATGAATCGATAACATCTAAAGAGACGACACTATATAAAACTTTGTATGTAACAATAAAGTAACAATAAATGGTATGGAATATTCTTTAATTAAAAACCTAAACTGTCTATGATGTTCAACCTTGCCCCTTCGCAATAAAGTTGAAAATCAGTGTGCGTTACCCAGGCCAGATGTTGTCGAAAATGGTCATTTGAATCTTATAGATAATTAGTTGTGGGCCTTCTGTAATTGTTGCGCACATTTTTAAATTTGTTGCGCATTTAGTTTTTTAATTATTTCACAAAAACATTTCCTGCTGGGGTAACGTTACCCCAGCCAGACCTTTCAGTACATTGGATAATTAATGAGATAATACGATTAAAGTCATTAGGAAGTGAATGACCGTGGTAACCCGACCAAGTTTAGTGCCCATAGCACTTACAAGCTTTAAAATAACGTTTAAATTTTTAAAGTAAGTCTTTAGAGCTCTTATTAAGAGTGCGAAGTGTTTTGTCTATTTAATGAAATAACCTTTAATCTATGTATTATTTTTAGATTTTTATTATTTTTTATTTTTTCTATGTATTAGATCTCAATATCATCATAACTTGTTAAATACTTACAGGATACTAATGAAACGTCACATACATTTGAAGGCACTTAAAAGCTTTAAAATAACGTTTAAAATAAGTCTTCAGAGCCCAATTGAAGTGTTTTCCTATTTAATGAAATAACCTTTGAGCTATGTATTCTTTTAGTTGTTTTATTGCAGAACAAATTTAAACTAATTCCTAAGAAGCCATGTACAAAATATGATAAGAACCCGTTTAACCATTTCAAAGATCTCGCAAAACCAAAAACGTTACCCCAGCATCTCGAATAACTTCGCAACCGATGAAAGAACAAATACAAAATAAGGCACAACATTTGCTTCATCTAGACAACTAATTATATAGCTAGTAATTATTTAAATATTCCCATTAGAAAGAAAAAGGTCTGGCTGGGGTAACGTTATCCCAGCAGAAAATGATTTTGTGAAATAATTAAAAAACTATAAGCGCAACAAATTTAAAAATGTGCGCAACAATTACAGAAGCCGCACAACTAATTATCTATAACTTTCAAATGAAAATTTTAGACAAAATCTGGCCTGGGTAACGCACACTGAAAATCCATTGAGTATAGAATGTATAAAGTTTACTTCTTGTCTACATAAGTCACTATGATTTCTATTTTCTATGTACAAAAATCTATCTTTACCAATATTTACACTTTCTTCATCAAGTATCATCATTGTTCTACTGGTTTGATATAAATATGAATATTTACATTTTTTTTATGGTATAAGTCGGTAAACGAGCACGGCTCACCTGATGGTAAGCAATCGGCGTCGCCCATGGACACCTGGAACACCAGAAGCGTTACACAAGTGCGTTACCGACCTTATGGGGATTAGGAATCTGAGATGATGGATGGATTCATAGATTGGGTAGATTGGGGGAGGATAAAGCGGGGGGGTTGCTACACACTAAATATTAACGGCCATAAACAACTAGATTAACAAATACCACTGCCACTAGGTCCCACCAAGTTCATAGAGCTCGAGTAGATTGGATGCGTATGCGCAGACGTATAAATATGCACGTATCGCTTAATATAAAGCTGAATAGTTTGTTTGTTTGAACGCGCTAATCTCGGAAACTACTAAATAAAACTTTATTTTCTGATACCTATCTAACACTTAACTATTTAAAAGTCCCCGATATATGTATAAATGAAATATTTACACTCAAACATAAAAATTAAAATACCAGTATACGACTTTGTCTTGCACATTCGGAACTGGTTACCATAACCTTTGGCATATACTCCTGACCAAACCACATGAATATTACAAGTTCATTGTGTTGAAAATATTCATTTTCCATCACCACTTTATGAGTATTTTCACTGCAAAACACTTCCAGTTTCACTATCTTTGAATTCGCAACGTTCACCCCACTCTAAAGCGTTTGAGCGGGGTGTCGCTGCAGCCTTGCTCACACAGCCGTCTCGTCCGCCGGAGCCTTCACCAGCGGCTCCGTAGGGCTCTTTACAGGGACCCGGATCACTTCCTCTTCTAACTTGGAGTCTATTGGCATGTTCTGTGAATAATGAATGAACGATGAAGAATGGTTATGGTGGACTGATACAAAGCTGGACAAAAAAGCAATGTTCCAACTCCATCCCCCAATGAACACAAAGCTAAACCAACCTCAAGCGCTGTGTAATGTTTATGTAACGCGGCAGGCAACTTATTGTGTCTCGGCAACGCTGCCAGAGCGGAGGGCCGCAGCCTGGCCGCGTCCAGCAGCCGCGCGCGCCGCACCGGGGACCCGCGCCCTGAGACCACCACGCATGTACCCACACTCTTCAACAGACGGGCTCTGAAGTCATATAACAAGATGTTTCAATAGTTGGGCAACTGTTGCGCGACTGTAGCGCTATTGTTGTGCCACTGTCACGCTGCAATCGCGCAACTGCGGTGCTGTACGACGCCGGTACTTGCAACTGAAATTATAAAAAGGTTTAATTGGAAAAAGTGATACATTTTGTGCAAAGATTTTTAATAATACTCATTCCTAAATCTGTGCAAATATTGCTTTTACTGATAAACATGTCCTAAAATTTGTATAAAGTACAAGCACTTACGCATCTAATAACTTCAAGAGTAGCCGACTGTAAGCTGTATATTCATCTTCTCCGAACTCTCCGGGATGATGTCTGGCAAACTCATAGGTGTCACAGAACTGGTGCACCAGTTTCTGGCCACGCCCGTCCAGCGGGGCGGCTAGGGAGGACAGGAGGAAGGCTCTGAGAGACTCCCTAGGGTGTCGTCGCAACCCTGGGTCTTGACGAGCTATCTCTTCCTCTGAAACATTATCGTTATTAAGATTAGGTTTAAAGTAATAGTAAGCATCTGAAAAAGAGATTATGGTTTTATGTTATTTAACTTAGATTTCAAACAAAAGTTTAAAAGGGCTATTATCATCAGACTTTTTTTTTTAAGAGAGAAAATCATAAAATAACTTCTCTCACTTTTGGTGAGGCGTGAGGGAGTGCCAGACTCTTACTGATTAAAAACCACCCTACTGATTAAAAACCACTCTACTGATTATAGTCCTCTGTATCAGGCATCAGCCTTACTGGGCCCCATTTGTGATGGTGTGATAGCTCTTTGAGGCGCGGAACGCGACGCGCCGTACGCTCGGGTCTGGTTCTGATCGGGCGGCAGTCAAATCAAGTTAAATAAATTTATTAACTCGTCGAGTACCGTATTTATAGACACAATTAAAGAACAATAGGTTGCGGTCACCGGTGACCGCTTGGTGTTTGACAGTTTAATACAGGTAATAATAATGTACAAGATGTGATCCTGCTCGGAGGGGTAAAAAACTACTCGTAAGTCGCGTGTGGGCCAGGGATGCAGGAAGCTTCGGCTGGAGCAGATGATCTGAGTAGAAAGCGGTGGTAGTTTCTCAACCCTTCAGCCACGCACATTCCCGTTGTCCCTATGTTGCTATACCTAGCAACCATGTCCGGGGCCCGGTCAGTGCGTTGGCGAGTCTCCGCCTGCCATTTTTAAGTTTTCTAAAGGGCCTCTGCGCAGTTGGTTTCAGCCCCTTGTACACCTCCCAAATGACTGGGACCCTGTGGTCCCGTGAATGGTAAAGATGTACAAGATATGTATAAGTCCACTGATAGCCAATAGGCCTCCTCTCCATTAGTCGGGTTTGCCATTGCCTTGTAAATTAGAATATTAATTTTTAAATTACAAACTCATACCTAGAGTCTTCACATCATCAACAGCTCGGAATCTGTAGTGGTAGGGCTGCTGTGGTTCCAGGATGTAGTGTGATGGCTCTGTGCTCAGTAGCCGAGGCTCATGCATTATGCGTGGCACCGCCTCGATACGACGTTCCAGCTCTTTCTTCAGGCACTGTAAAAAAAGAATGAAAACAAGATAAGAATCCACTTAATTATGAATATATATAGATACTAGCTGTTACCCGCGACTTCGTCCGCGTGAAATAACGACTTCTGTATAAATTGGGTTTTTTAAATTAGTCTTTGTCAAGGTATATTCTACGGCTGTACAACTGGAACAAATATCATCACAATCGATTCAGTACCTAGGTTATATTTATTGAGAAATGAATTTATTTTCGTGGTTTCTAAAATAAACAATCCCATAGAGGTTTTACCCGTACAGTGCCCGTCTCGTGAGGTTTCACTATTCTATGTTTGCAAATCAATGTTGTATCACATTTCAATCAAATAGATATAGTGATTTTAACAGCACAGTTCCCGGTTTCGTGGGTTTTTCGGGTTAAAAACTTTTAGATGTCCTTTCCCGGGTCTCAAACTATCGCTGTACCGAATTTCACCAAATTGGTTCAATGGTTTAAAAGGTAAGAGCCCCTCTTTATTTCAACGTCCTTGGTCCTGGTTTTTTAGCGCATAAGTAGTTTCCGTCATTTTGGGATTTCCTCTCTCCTATAATGTGACCTGATATGTACCGGTGCGACGTGCGTTACTATCGCAAACATTTAAATGAAAAAATAGGTATTCTGATATTAGGTTAGTTACATAGGATACATGTACTTTAATGTTGATATTAATGTCCTCTATAAGACTTAATACATCCCTTGGCTCTATTGTCCATAATTTCCACAGCGTAATCAATACCAATAATATAAGGAGTTTTTTTGGTAGTTTTTCACACATCGGGTTGTCATTACCTAAAGGAGATTTTTTTTGAGGTCGGAAAATCATCCAATCACTTCTCCCGCCTTGGGTTAGGTGAGAGGGAGTGACAGATTCTTACTGACTAAAATCCACTCCGTTCCTACTCCTGCTCGTCGAGCTGGAGCCCCGTCAATTCGTTAGGTCTCCCGCGGCACCGTATCGAGCATCAGCCCTACTGGGCTCCATCTATGATGGTGTCATGGCTCTGTAAGGCGCGCGCCGTATGCACGGGACTGGTTCTGGTCGGGTGGCGAGCTACCCTTGCTCTTCGTCTACAGACCCGCACTTACGGTGGCCGTGGCCGGCCGATCTCCGACGCCCAGAGTGTCTCCCGCGACGGCTGGGCGTGAGGAAGTTCATTCCCTCACGCGCTCCGCTTTCTCCTTGGCAAGCATAACTGCTTCGCAGAAGGATGCGACTGCATCCCAATCCCCCTCGCTCCATGGCCTGAACCAGAGCCGAACGCGAGAGGTCACCGTTTCCTACATCCCTGAGAACACGGCGGTGCTCAGCCCATGCAAGGTACACCGCCACGGTATGCTCCACCGTGTTCTCCGGGCGGTCCTTGCATTGATGGCCTCTCTAAAGCCACTTTTAAAGAGGGGACTTTCCGCTGCTATGACAGCGAGCCCAGCCCTCGGTTACCTAAAGGAGTGTTTCGCTGTGTAAGTGAGGTTACCGGAGGCCCAATTACCCCTCCCCAAGCCCCCCCAATCCCTGACAATCCTCAAATTACCAATTCTCAAAAGACCGGTAACGCACTTCTAGCACTTCTGGTGTTACAGGTGTCCATGGGCGGCGCAGATTGCTTACCATCAGGTGATCCGTCTGCTCGTTTAATGGCTTATGCCTTAAACAAACAGCAAACTATCATAGTGAATTTGGCCTTGACGGTCTAAAATGAAAAGGACTAATATTATTTTTTAGCTATGTGCATTTAGCTAGTTTTTTTGATATACATATAAAAAATACGAATTCAAGTAAACTGTAAATATTTTATTCGTTGTTTTATCTCCTTAGACTGCTGTCAACCTCTTTGCATACCTTAATATTAATACCATAGTATAAAAAAAATCTATGACACATTGACTTTGTAAACTCACTTGTCACACAAATGTCAGATGACTTAAGAAATGTATACTAATAATTTAAATTTGTATGTGCTTGTTTGTTTGTTTGTCCGTATTTCACGACAGAACGGAGTCTTTTTGATTTGAGATAGTTGAAAAGATGGAGAGTATCATAGGCTACTTTTTGTCTTTTTCTAATCCCCTTCCACTTCCGTGAAACAGAGGTGAAAGTTTGTATAGGGTATTTTGCAATTTTCAATGTGGAAAGCTAACAATTGGTATGCGGGTTATTTGTGACCAGCATAGAATCGTGCATCATTTCATTTTTTATTGTAAATCCTTCCCTCACCCCATTAAAAGAACGCGAGAGAAGCCGCAGACAGAGGCTCGTCTATGAATAAATTGTATTCAGTCAATTGAATTCGTATTTTGTCTTTAAAATCCCTGATCCCTGACGATAAAAAGTAGCCTATGTTTTATCTCGGGGTCTAGAATATCTGTATACCAAATTTCATTCAAATCCGTTCAGTAGTTTTGGCGTGAAAGAGTAGCAGACAGACAGACAGACAGAGTTACTTTCGCATTTATAATATTAGTTAGGATGAATAGAATATATATAAGTATATAGAATATGAAGCTGATAGATATTCAGTTTTTCTGAAGATTATAAAATAATCATTATGCATAGTTTTTGTGGTTCCCTCAGCTCTATTTAAACATACCTATTGTTACATGAACTAAATTCTGAAGATAGTTAAATAAACTAAATTCTAAAGATACTTAAATGAACTAAATCCTTAAGATAAAACTAATCACTACAAATGTTTATAAAAAATAAACATGTTTATGTTTTTAAATAGTGTGTTCGAATTAACCATTATCATTTCTAATTAGTTGTTAGCTAGACAACCATGAGATCATGGCAAACATGTAAGAAAAATGATTTAAAAACGGAGGTGCCGTTAGATACTAGTTGTAATATACTTACTTTTTTCGCATCAGTTCCTATAGGAACGTGAGGGCCTCTCCTAGATCTTAAAGCGAACCTTGTAATCTGTCTCTTCGCAAAGATGAACAGTATCACGAATGTTAACACTCCACCACTTATAATAAATATAATGTTCAATATACTCGTGAAATCTTGCATTTTGTTACCTAAAAGCTTTATTCTTGTAGAGAAATAATATTATCGTTCAATAGGGCTGAGAAATCGAAACCCTTTATTTTACTTTCAAGTTATACATTTTGGTCAATGAGATTACATGATATGAAATCACATTATCACATCATTCATGTGACTGAAAGAGACAGATGATATTACATGCTACAGAGTAGCACTTAGTAGGCTGTGGAGTAATGGAACGCACCAATGACAGATTTTGACATACTAGTGACATTGGTTTGAACGTTCAGTACTTAATTTGCAGATTTGTATTGTAAAATTGCTAACAATTCGTTCCTAAACGAATGTAAAAAAATAAGGGTACTTGAAGAATAGGTATGAGAATATTCATGAACAATTCGTGTGAATCGTTACGAACCACGACTATTTTATTGTTTTTTTAGATCCAATTTACGATCTTAGCTGTATAAACTACAAATTGCTAGTTTATTGTTAATTTACGTAAAATAGATATTTAGCTTGTTAGTTTCTGGCTGCCGTGACTTGAACATTAGAAGAAGAATACATTGCATATTATAAAATAAATGTGTAAAGCCAACCAGTCTTGCAGTAAAACCCGATCAGGTATCTGTCGTCGTACCTAGAAACGCTTATTATTTATTCATCGTTTATCATACGCTGTCGCGTACACAAACCGAACATAAATTCCTTCATCATGATTCTTTCTATTGAGGAGTTGGGCGCGGCACGAATGTCTTTGGCGGGAGACGCGGTTCGCATACTAATATAAGAATGGCGGCGACGTGCGATGACCAATAGACGTTGTTCAATTATGGAAAACGAATGTCGATTGTCAATCGACTGCCCTCCGTGGCTACAATGGGTTTCTTTACAAATTTGGTGTCGTTATATTCCTTGCTATGCAATTTCGATTCAACACACATGGTTGCATTACTTAAATAGGTATGCTCATAGAAATATTGTCTTCCTACCATCGTTAATGTGTAATGGAAATATCGTGATTGTCTGCTTGATAGCTAAAATTAACCTGAATAAGGCGGAGGCCCTTCGTTAATTTTATTCTGAATGAGTATTGGAGTCGGTAGAAGCAATAAATCCGGCAATAAATGCTTGGGTACCTGTACCTGGGAGACTAATAGTAAGAATGTTTTGTAATGTTGAATCATACGTGTTACCTATGCATACTTATGCAATCAGGTAACTAACGAAGTCAAAGCCATAATATGAATGATTGACATAGACTATCGGTTGCTCGAAATCTTTTTGTTAATCGGATCCCGCAAGGAACAAAATGCTTAAAATATCCTGAAGCCTTTTTTTGAGGGGGGAAAATCAACTAATCGCCTCCCAAGCCGGGAGACCGCCTGTTACTGAATAAAATCTTCCCCGTTCCTTCTCCTTCTTGTAACTGTAGGATAGTTAGTTCTTCTTCATCTCCTGATTATCCTGAATCCTACACATTTGATTATACTTTTGCGCCTGATCTATACCAATATTATAAAGCTGAAGAGTTTGTTTTTTTGTTTGTTTATTTGAACGCGCTGATCTCCGAAACTACAGGTCCGATTTGAAAAATCTTTCCATGTTGGATAGTGCATTTATCGAGGAAGTCTATAGGCTATACAATATCCCGCTACGATTAATAGCCGCCGAGCAGAGCGAGTGAAACCGCGCGGAAGTAGCTAGTCAAAGATAGATACTTATAAGTTTGTGAGTGCATTATCGTGCGAGTACATACATGTAGGTAGCTAATTCGAGATTTTTATTTAAAGCCTAAAGTTTCTGAGCACGCTCGATCTTCAGTCGTGACCTTACACTTAGCAGGAGTTCCGTCCCATTGACAAGAGGCTGCTAAAATCTCCAACCTTGAATATGAGGTGAACGTTACGAACCAGATAATACAGTTTTGTGGATAGTCATACATCATGCAATTAATTATCTTTGATCTCAAATATCGATATCTAGACTTGATTTTTTTATGGCATAAACCAGTACGAGCAGACGAAACACCAAGGCGTTACAAGTTCGTTATCGGCCTTTTGGGAATTGGGAATTTGAGGATTCGGGGATTGGGGAGACTGGGGAGGGGGGTAATTGGGCCTCCGTTAACCGCAAACGACGAAACAAAACGCAAGTGTTGTTTCACGTCGCGTTTTCTGTGAGGCCGTGGTATCACTCCGGTCGAAGCATAGCTCTCCCACACTTAAATGATACGGGCATTTTGCACCAAAGCCCGTATCTAGTGAGAGTGAGACTTGAGTGAGACCTTTTAGAATTTTCACAAACCGTAACTATAGCAACTGTCAAAGAACAGGGATGGTTTTCTCGTAAGCAGCTACCCTACGCATAATTCCAAAAAGAATTATATCTACTATATATCTAATAACAGTACATAGGTACTGATACTTATTTTTACGTACTGATTTTTTTGTAAATTCGTTTAATATTATACTTAAACACTTACCAACTTTATACAGGGCATAGGCAGAACACTTCAATGTGTTGTATTCCTATACCGTATAGGGTATACGGGTTAAGCCCAATGATTTACATTTTTTTTTTATTTGATGAGCCGACGACGTTTGACCACTATCTCGCCTGGTGGTAAGCGATGATGCGGTCTACGACGGAGCACGTCGACCATAAGCAACCTATGATGGTGATAGGCCACACCAATGACAAAAAATGACTACCTAATAAGAAACTGTCATATAATTATACTTTTGCAAAAAAGTGTCGCTTGTGTCGCGTTGGGTGGTCATCGGAAGTTGAGAGTAGAATTATGGTTTTATGTGAAATACGTGCTTATATTCTGCAATACGATGAAATCATAGTTTGGAAGCAGACTACAAACACCTGTTAATACTTATTCATTTAACAAGTAGTTACATAAACTGTGTCTTCGTCCTGTGGGGTTGTAGGACTATAAAGCGCCACCGTAGTACTTAATATGATTCTTAAGTACATACATAGGTACTGAGAGTTTTTATTATTGATTTCATCGTGAATCATTGAATCATCATGTATTTATATCTATCTATGTATGTTTGTTGGTAAATAAACTATTTTTATTATTATGTATGTCGTTACCATTCACGGGACCACAGGGTTCCGGTCATTTGAGAGGCGTACGAGGGGCGGAAGCCAACTGCGCAGAGGCTCTTTAGACAAATTTAATCTTAATGTAATGGACACACAAACCGTTGACTATCCCTGTATGCATTTTGGAAATGCACTCAACGACAGTCCCCGGTTAGTGTAGAACTATTGTGGATAATGGAAAAAAAGGGTAGGGCTATGGATGGGTTGCTGTGGACCGATAAATTGGAAACTATGGATGACTTATCATTATTATTTAATACTAGCTGTGCCCACGACTTCGTTCGCGTCGAATAGTGACTATGAGCAGCGTTTTTTTTTTAAATATGTATATACTCACGACGTGATTCTTTAATTTGACATAAATTTTTTATTTATGAACCGATTGACATGAAACAAACACTAAAGCATAACTGAAGCATACCACAATATATTCGTGAAAACCGCATCCAACTCGGATCAGCCGTTTCTGAGATTAGCGTGAACAGACAAACAGACAAACAGACAAAAAAAAAGTTAATTACATTTTTGGGTTCGACATTGACATAACAATAACCCATGCTATTTTTTTTATTTTTATTTTCAATGTACAGACAGCACTTTTCTACAATTTTATTATATGTATAGATGTATAGATATAGAAGATATAGATAGATATAGATAGTGTACCAACAGCTTTATGAGTTCGCCAACGTAGTAAGTAAGTTCTAGGAGGTTACAAATTTCGTCAAAATACTGTAGTTATAACTTTTTTATGAAATAGAAAGTGAAGTGCCTGTTTTCAGAATCTACATCCTTAACTTTCATTGGTTTAACACAGTCGACACGGGGAAGTGTTATGGAAAAGAAAGGAATAATAAATAAAATAACACTTTCTTAATTTCGCGAAGGAGAGTGCTCTGAATGAAAATGCTACGGTTTTGTTTTCGCAACGATGGCAACGCAACAACGGTAGCTGTGTGTACCTCACGTGGGGTGAGTTTTTGATGAAAACATACGGAATGAAAGTTGAGGAAGAGAAGCGAAAACAACATTGACTTACTTGATGTTAGACGCTTGATAACTTTACGTGGAGTGGCCCCTCACGGCGTCAATCAGAAGCAATTATGTAACCAAATATTCCATATCAGTTAGAGTAGGGTAAACAGGAGTGTTATTGCCCACCGACAGTTATTGCCCATTTTTAGATTTTTTAAAATAAAAAGACAATTATTGACTTTTTATTTTGAGAAGTATTCACTAGAGGGCACTGTTATTAATTTATGGTAGATTTTAAATCAAACTATTGCAACACTGGAAGAAAAAAAGTCAGTAATGGCGGATTTGTAAAAACAAGTGAACGTGTTACTCAATCAGGTAAGCATTTTATCAATTTTCTTAAGGAATTACTTGCTAAAAAACATTTTTTAGGACATTTGAATGGTACCTATTCGACTGTTCTTACATAATTACGATAAAATTGTGATTAACTTTAGTATTGAATGTAAATCTAATTTGAATATTAAATTCTAACGGTTATTTTAGAGGTGGGCAATCACTGTATCGATTTTTTATTGTTTTCAGTTATTGCCCATCATTTTTTTAGTAATTGCCATAGGTTAATATTTATAGTTATTGCCCGGGCAATTAATGTCATACTTATATTTTGAGTTAAGTAGTATTGCCAATATGACATGAATAGTGTTACATTTCGCAATTTCTTTACATAAACAGGTGCTAATTATATTTCATTACTTTCAGAATGCCAAAGACACCCAAAGTTCAGTATAGTAAAGAAAATTTACAAAAAGCAATTGATACAGTTCAAGATGTTAACAATAAGCTATCTACGAGGCAAATCGCCGAAAAATACGGCGTTCCGAGGTCCAGTCTTCGGTACTATATTAAACATCCGGGCCACAAAACCAGCTTAGGGCCATCACCTGTACTAACTATTTCAGAAGAAAATAGTTTAGAAGACTGGATAATCATTTCAGCAAGAAAGGGATTTCCGCGTAACAAAGAGGACATATTGGATACCGTCCAAAAGTTTCTAATAGAAAACCCGCGTCCAAACTCATTTTTGAATAATAGGCCAGGTGACGGTTGGTGGAAGGCCTTTTTAAAACGACATCCTAGATTGGCAACCAGAACTTCAGAAGGTGTGACAAAGGCCAGTGCATGTGTTTCGGAAAAGATATAAGAGGGTGGTTTACTGAAATCCAAAATTATGCTACTGAAAAAGACTTGGCTTCTGTTTTAAATGACCCACATCGAGTATTTAATGCAGATGAGACAAATTTTCAAATTTGCGTTAAAACTGGTCAAGTATTAGCAGAAAAAGGTTCAAAAAATGTCTATAATGTTGAACAATCTCAAGCTAAAGAGTCTATTACAGTTTTGTTCACTTTTTCGGCTGCAGGGGATATCTGTTGTCCATTCATTGTTTATCCTTATCAAAGGTTACCTGAAAAAATTGCTGATTCTGTACCTGATGGATGGGGGCTTGGCAAGTCTGACACAGGATGGATGACAACGGAAGTTTTCTATGAATACATTGCTAATGTATTTTATCCATATCTCGTCAGCAAAAACGTCGAATTCCCAGTCATTCTCTATGTAGACGGTCATAAGACTCATTTAAATTTCCATTTAAGCCAGCTTTGTACTCATCTTCAGATCGAATTAATTGCACTCTACCCAAACGCAACAAGAATCCTTCAGCCAGCCGATGTAGCTGCTTTTAGACCTCTCAAAGTAGGATGGAGAAAATCTTTAAGGAAATGGCAAAATGAACACAATAATCAAAGTCTCACAAAATTAAATTTTGCACCTGTACTTAATGATGCCGTTATGACGAGTCTAAGACCTGAAATATTAGTTAATGGCTTTAAAGCGTGTGGTCTATGTCCATTTAATCCGGATGCCATTGACTATGGAAAATGCCTTGGTGCTGCAAGCAATAAGTTGTCTGTACAAAATACAAAACCTATTCCAGATTTAGCAACGATAACCTATTCTACTTTTTCAAAGATCGTTGGACCATCTATTGTTAAGGATTTCGAAAATAGACGTCACAAACTGCCGCATCAAAAAGTTACTGAACACTTGGATATGTTATTTAAGTTATGGGAATCATTTAAGCATGCTGAAATTGAATCTAATACTAACGAAGTAGTAGATTGCTCAGTTATCACACAAGAAAACAATGAAGATTCAATTGAAAACATTGTCGATTTACACTCACTTACAGAAGAAACATCTGAGGGAATAGAAAGTCTTTCAACGTGTGATCTTTTCTCCTCAGTGCCTGAGTATACCAAATATAAACCTACAACAGCTTCGACAACTCTACAAAAACAATATACCCCAGAAATATCTTCTGAAGAGCCACGAGCAAGTACTTCATTTGCAGTAGCGGCGGCAAACTCTACGCCTCAGTTACCAAGTCCTAAAATTATAAAAAGAAAATATTCACTGGGAGAGTATCTAGCTTACCCGGAAACGCCCATAAGGAAAGGAAAAAGACAAACAGAAAGACAACCATACGCTATAAGTTCTCAAAATTTTAAAGAAGCTTTACATGTAAAAGTAGTAGAAAAGCAAAATTTATTAAAAATCAAGGAAGAAAAGAAGTTGATTAGAGACAAGAAAAAAGCTGAAAAAAGTAAGAACACCATAAAAATAACCAAGAAACCTAACAATGAAAATTCTGCAGTAAATATCAATAGTGAAGTTGATTCAGAGGAAATTGATACAATCAAGGGAAATAACGACAACGAGACTGAAACTTTTAAGCACCATCTCCAATGTACACCAAAGACGAAAGAATTAAATATAAGCCATAAGGAAAATAAACAGGTAGCAACAGGTGGAAAGATAACTATTTTAAGCGACATTATAATCAAGCCTACTATTTGTGTAGTTTGTCATTTCAGCATAATGAAAAATCCGTTGACCTGCAGTGCTTGTTCAAAAACCTATCACATGCGTTGTATTCCTCAAAAACATAAAGAACATATCCCCGACGACGCCGACTTAAGGTTATTTTTGTGCCATCGTTGTTTTATTGTAAAAGATTCTGACTCAGGTGATTCTGACTCATCATTGTCAGCAAGAGAATTATTTGGTGTGATTAATAAAGCTAAGCGTAATCTATTTTGAGACTGATAACCTAAGAAAGTTAAGAGTTTTGTTAAAAATTTATAGTTTTGTTTCTTTAAACTGTGTTTTTTTATAAAATTAAGTTTAATTTTTTTTTGTTTCGAATAATTATTTATGTTTAAAGTCAATTTAGGCCTTAATCTAGCATTTGAGATCATGGGCAATTACTGTGCTCTTATGATGGTAATTACTATATTGCGTGGGCAATGACTGTATTTTTTGATAATTTTTTTTTCTTCATATTATTTCTAAGATATGTTAACTTTTTAACTAAATAATTTCGATTATCTGTTACAGACTTTTGTAGTTTATAAGAAAATTGTAATAAAAATTTGCCAGCTCTAATACGGTTTTTTTTTTTTAAGTTAACCTGTTTGAAGTCGTTAAGTGGGCAATAGCTATACGGTTTACCCTACTTTATTTAGTTTTGATTTGGGCCAGTCCAGCGTTTTGTTAACTTATTACCTTAATTAATCTTAGATGACTTTAGAAAAATATTTTTACTGGCTAATCGCCTTAAATTTTAAACGAACCCGTTCAAAAAGGAGTCCCGTATGTCATCTAACAACACTAAAGCGCATGAGCATTCAAATCGCGTAGCACAGCCACCACAATGGCGACGGCACGCGAAAATATGCGCACGCGACGAAGTTAGGGCATGATAATTTAACAGTGGCGAAATATTGTTTCGTAAAATGCATTGAAACGTTGATAGATCTCTGTCTACTACACTGTATTATATTGATAGCTCTTAGTTACTTATATTACGTATGGTATTGCCTGATCGTAGCTAGGTTCAACTGCTGGGAACATCGGACATCAGTTTTCCTGTTGACAAATTCTTGGAAATCATTTAGATTGGTTCTTCAATGGATTGAATGTATATTGTTACAATGTAGGTTGCATGTAAACTAAAGAAAGCCTGGCAATGCTTACCTACTTACAATCTACAGATTTTATTAATTTGTCGTTTGGCTTTGTTTTAAAATCCATTTTATAAAAATGTGTGTGTGACCTATTTACCGGGTGCTATGTCGTACTTTTAGGCGAAGTTAATCCAATTATTTTCCTGTAAAGAAATGGCGGATTATTTCCTATTAACTATATTCTATTTCCTTCCCATCACTGTTGTTAATCATTGTAGGTATTAGGTACTCTATAATGATAGACACAATAACTAATGAATCCGCGGTTCATTTCTTTAATCGAAGAGTGACAAGTCATATATAGTCCTTGTGCGTACTGCTAAAGAGTGGAATTCTTTGCCAGAGTCTGTATTTCCTGAAGGGTAAAATATGGGAGTCTTCAAGGCCCGAGTGAATAGTTTGCTTATGGGATGACATGCTCCAACGTAGACCGCATCATCGCTTACCACCAGGCGAGATAGTTGTCAAACGCAACCACATCAAATATTTAAAAAAAAAGTTTCGTTATTTTTACTTTAAAATACCGTTTATTATTAATAAAGAGGTTAACATTCTAGTCTAAAAGAAATTAATCAAATGAACTTTTTGATTAGTGACTGCAACAATGCAAGGTTTCTTGTCAACTTCCAGAATGGTTATATCAACTATCGGCTCTGTATCAACCTGAATTTTCTTTGATTGCTTTATCCTCTTTTTCAACTTCCTTACATGGCCATAGTGAGGAATATGAAGCAAATGAATGGACCCATCTTCCAGACCAAACATCAGAATTTGAGCGTGTAATGCTATTGACTTGACACTGGATCCAAAGTAGTGTTCCAACTTGTACTCGTGCCAAACATCTTCATAGTAATTAGTCGACCCAATACAGTTTTCACCAATTGCAAAAAAGAATATAGCTGTTGGCATCGTCAACCTTTGTAATGAAGCACCTAAACTTTTCGGCAATCGATTCCAATCTTTGACCTGGATCCATTGGAACTTGATCAACTTTCCGCCCTGAATCACTCCTTCGTACAGAAACTGCACAGTACCACCTTCCTCCCATGCTATTGCTGTCATATACTTTCCGTCAATAACATGCGCAATGAGATGTTGGTTCTCTCTGAGGTGTAAGTCTAGTGTAGTCCCAGGTATTACATGGTTATCAACTCTCTCATACGAGGTCAGGATTCCTCCCATATCGGTTATGCAGAAATGTCGGCATTCACCAGAGCTGATGCTGTTGGCGAAATAACCATCACTAGATACCTCATTTCTATTCTGAAGATCCCAAAATTTTAAGCAACAGTCCTCACCAAGAGATACAACCATAACATTGCCGTCAGAATACCAAAATTCGACCTGCATTATTTCAATGCCATGGTTTGCTACGTAAAATGGCTTACTTAGGTCATCAATAGTGTAATTCGCAATCAAACCGTTATCAAAAGCAATTGCTATGTACTTATCGAAGGTACACATACACGAAATATCCCCGAAACTAGCCATTGCGTCGATTGTGTCCGTTTTGTACGAATTGACTAAAACTTTCTGCCATTTTTTATAAGATAAATATGTCCCTCGCCACAGCACGGGATCGTGGATATCCATCCAATGGGACACCAGCTCGTAGGGATATGCCCGCTGCATTGTCATTTCTAGGCATTCGTATAATATCGTATCCATAGTTAATTCTATCCACGCCGGGTCTCTGTTCAAGAGGTGTTCTATCAGGTCATAGAAGTGATGACATACCAATCTTAGCTCCATTAACTTCGGTCTGTCGATGTTTTTGAATATTTCCAACCATATTTCGTTCGGAAAGATCATTTCGTCCATAATGAAACCTAAACAAAAACCATGTGTTTAATTTCAAAGTAGGTTACTGACAATAGAATTTTGATTACTGCATTTAGCATTTTATTATTTACTATTCTAAAGATATATTTTCACAAGATAAGAAGTTCCTTATTTTGCGGTACCTTTTGGCCTTTTGTGGTTGAAATATTTGATTTTAACCTCAAATACCTTGAAAGTTTGGATCATTTCAAATGAGTAGTTCAAATAAGACACCTAAAGCGATTGGGCCACTTGTTAAGCTAACAATAAACGTTGTTTTAAATTCATTAATAATTTAAACATAATTTAAGCACACTTACCCGAGTATATGTGTATCACTGCTATCAGTGGTAAGTTGGTAACTACTAATGGTCAATGACGTCATCCGAATCGTCCCGAACAAAACACGACTCTAAGCGGAAACGTCCGAATTCTGTTGATCTAAATAATACCTTTACAACCATATCACAGGATTGCTTATTTCATAAAATGATAGCACATTTGAATATTATAGATGAACCTAAACTAATTAATGTAAATAAAAACAAAGCATTATAATAAAGTTTGCTTTATTCAAAGATAGATATTAATACTCGTTATCGTACCTAAGTAATTTATGGACCCGTTTGACAGCGTCTGATTAAGTTTCCGTTAGTAAAACGGACAGACAATTTGACAAATTTTCCACTCAAGAAGGGCGAGTAGTCCAACCCAAAAGCTAGGTAGCGCACTAACTCTCTGGTGTGTATAGGCGGCGCTAATTGCCATTATTGATCTATCAGCTTGTTAGCCCCTTATTACATAAAAAAGCAAATGTATCTTTAGTCTAACAACAATTTAAGAAGATATTATTGCACAAGGGGCCCTAAAATCCCTAAATATATAACTCGTGGGCCCTCTAAGCCCCCATTTAGCTAGTTTGACAAAGGCCGTACAGTGCAACATGGCGGTCCGGCCCTGAATGAAAGTATCCACAAACTCCGTAGGCGGATGATGAATGGGCTAGTGACGTAACCAATGATGACTCACTGAACATATAATTAGGCTCTCTAAACGATTGTAATGAGCACCAGTGACTTACCCATTCATGCTAGACGAAGCGGTACTAGTACATAGATACCTACGCTGTGTGTTTGTTAAACAATTTGTTTCTAGGTAGGTACTAAAAACCTTTTATCCCCGAAGAGGTTGGCAGAGGTTCACATAATACAATGTAACACCCACTTTTCAATATTTGTGTTATGAGTCCCATGCAATAGGGGGTGAACCTATTGCCATATACCGGGCACGTTTTCAGACTCCGTGCTACTACTGAGATTTAAAAAAAAACCAGTAGTTCTTTGCTCGACCTGGCAATCAAACCCGAGACCCCTTGCCCGGCAGTCGCACTTGCGAACACTCGGCCAAAGAGGTAACTAATTCTGAGTAAAAACCTTTCACTGAAATCAAAGAGTTATTTTACTGATATTAAGTTTTGTGCCTTATTATTCAAAATATACGCGAAATGTAGTGGGATTCAAACCCACGACACGTTGTACTGGGGCGGCTCTACACCATACACTCAGTGGGAGAATAGTCCTTCAATAAGCACTTACCTACGTGAGAAACTAGGTGTTTGTTTTTTCTTGTCGTATTGGACGATTTTTTAGTATGATTTTTATGTAGGGATAGTTAGATTGGAGTGATTTTAGTGAAATTAGGCTACTCTTTCCTTTGAGTGTGATGAATGCGAAGCTGCACATCAGTCAATGTCGTAAGTATATAAATATGCTGTTAAAGCTTCAACAAATAAGTAGCAACTTCGTAAATGAAACAATCCAACAACATCAAAATAGAATCAGCATTACTATTCAAGATCAGTTCCCAAACTTAATTAATTGAACAAAACACAGTTCCTAGTCAAAAACATTCGATAAATCTTCCACCTCGGTTTCTGTGTTTAGTTTACCAAACATCTATTGTACAAGAAACCTTCCTACCGATGTAGGGCCAACATATTTTTTTAATTCGACAGTTAAACCATTATTCCAATATGTATTCATGTCACATGCATCCCCTCCCATACAACAATGGGTAGGTAGCGTACCATTTCGTTGCAGGAAACGACGTACGCGCATGTTTTTCAAAATGGCCGCTGGTACCCACCGAACACCGCCCAGGTAAGGCGTTATAAGTGCGTCTGGATGCTAAGGAGACAGCATACCATAAATAAAAAGGATATCCTGGCTGGTTTCCGTTTGATAGTTTATATTTCTTAACGCGTATCCTGCGCGTGATTCACATTTAAGTTTTGTTGTTCTTCCTTCCGTGTGAAAGGTGATAAAACGATGTCGCCCCTTTTTCACATATTTTGGTTAACACAGGCAGGTAGATTTTTTGGAAGATATAGAAACATTTTATCATAAGGAACATTGAATGATTTGATTGACATCGTTTGAGTTAGATAATTGTCTAACAATAAGTACCCGGCTCCGTAGACAACAGAAAAACTAGATTATCTAGGTACTTGGTAGAAATCCTAACTGCTTAGGTGCCAACTTGGATAATAGAAATACCTTTAATTTGGTAAAGCAACCAAAACAGACGTAGGTAGGTGTTTTAGCAGGAGTAGCATTAACTACTTATAAGTAAATAATAAGTATGCTATTACTAGCTATTGCTGTAAATTACTTATGTCCTAAAACCCCGCTAAAACTGTATACCAAATAGGAAGAAAACCTCTTTGAATATTGTTACATCAAAGAAGGTTTGGACATTTATTATCTCGTAATTTTTACTAACCAGTGATTTATACCGCGTTGTGTTTAGAATAAATACTCTTTGGTGAAGTATCTAATGATCCGTCACTCGTAAGCGTAAGCATTGTAAATGAGGCAATCTCGGAGCAAATATCTCGAGAAAAAGGCTTTTTAGGGCTACAAAATACGAAGTTACTTTGGGACAAGTAGTTTATCAACCTTTTTTTATATGTATTTCATGGGCCGACGTTTGACCACTATCTCGCCTAGTGGTAAGCGATGATGTGGTCTACGATGGAGCACGTCATCCCATAAGCAACCTATTCACTCGGGCCTTGAAGACACCCAAGTTTCCTTCAGGAACTTGTTCTCACCTACGTCATAACTTTTCATTTAAGTAACAATTAAGATTGTTGCTGGTGTTACCAGTCCCCTTCAACTAGGCTGTCATTAAATATTTACAAAAAACTGTACAGAGTCTACAAAACGATAGTAAACCCACAAAGTTAATAAATAAAAAAGCGTCTGTTTGCAAACTGTATTCACCTGCATGTTCATAGATAAAGTTGTGTTTACTTTGAACCGAGATTTCCTAAGATTAGCTCCTTACACGGTGCGGGGTGACTCATAGCATTGTTGTTCTAAAGGTTATTGTATTTTTGGGGTATACGGTTTTGTTGTGATCCAATATAGATGTTACTGTAAAAGCTCGAACTACGGTAAATCTTAAGATTTCAGTGTAAGTCTTAGGATTTACCGACATGAGTTGGTAAATGTAAGTATTTCTGAAGATACGACGATTTTTTCGAGCTTTTACCATTCGAACTCAGTATATGCTAGGTTTTACCACTGTCACCTGGTAGATGTTGGTTTTAGGAATAAAACAATGAGTAGGCATAGTATTTTAAAGATATAATAATGATAGTGACAAGTGTCCTTGTTCTTCCACCGTGTCCAACAGCAAAATGCGTTTCTTCGAGAATGTTAAATAAATCGTCATAACAAACATAATATTTGATTTCATCATTATCTTCCTTCATCGGGGCATTTAGCTTTTCTTCGCCGCCTATAGTCAAAATATCATAGCGTTTTATACGCCTGTAATGAACAGCTTCCTTCTTTTTAATGTTCTTTGCAGTTTTTACTTCCTCTAAACACTTAGCGTATTTGTCTTTATCAAGATAAAAGTTATTATCTTTCTTGTTTGCCACAAACTCGTCCATTATTTCATAAAATCTTTGCTTCATACTCATTCTGATTCACAAATAACTTTTAAACACCAAAAATATAATTAGAAATAAATTTATCGTGCGAGTTCAAACGTGTCAAACGAGCGACTGAGGCGAGTGGAGCGGCGGAGACGGTGCGCGGGTAGCGGTAACGGCGAGCTACAAGTCAATGCGCTGAGTACGTTATGACATGTTTTGTTTTTCAACATTTACCATGCCAATAATGTAAATCCTAAGATTTACCAACGGAATGGTGGTAAAAGTTCGAATCGCAAATCTTTTTGGACATTTACCATTAGGAATTGGTAGATCTTAGGTTTTACTGGAATATCTTAGGATTTACTGCAGTTCGAGCTTTTACAGTAATATAGATACTTCTAGTTCTTACTGCTGGCGGTGCTGCAAGTCTTCTTGCTAGAAGCTTTAGACTTGCAATAAAAAATCTTTATTACATACGCTTATTGAGTTTTCTAGAAGTTTAAATTTTAAAACTCTGTGATAAGGAAAAATGGAATGTAGAGTAACTAGGTGTGTGTCCACTGAAGGTGCTTCACATAACAACACCAATTATGTAGCCGGTAGCCAAGTAGAACCATTCGGCATCCATTCATATTGATTTTATGAATGTAAATTCAACAAACTGCATGTACATATAACTTACGTTTTCCGCAATACAGTTAAAATATATTATGTAGGCAGTTACGTTACCTACTTTATGACTGGGATACTTTGACCCGATACGACATCGGCTGTCGCTGTGGTGACGCACTCGGTCACAAAATATTTAAAAAAACAAGAGCCACACGTGGCAAACATCAGGAACATTACAGCCCTTCAAACATTCAAATTTTTTCCTCAGGCCGGCCCGTCTAAACGGTAAGTACCTACACATATTGTCTAATTAGTATTCATCTGGGCGCGTGTAGTCCTCATCGCGGTGGGGACGGGTTATTAGCCGGCGCCGCCTCCGCGCCCAGGCATATTGTTCCGAGTTCTGCCCACCGAGCGCCGCGCTCGCCTGGCAAGCGTTAATTCACTCTGTCAATATTTGAACTGCAATGCCGTACAGTCGACTTGGACGCCAGAGGAAGCCGAGCCGGTGGCTGGGAAGGCAAGAAGTCGGCATAGCTGTTTGATGTTAGTATACGGCTGTGTCACTTCGAGCCAGCTCAATCCACCGGCTTTCTGCAAATGAAGATTTCTGGACAGAAGAAGAATTATTGCGGACGCTCCCGTAACGAAAGAAAATTCGGATCGCTCCCGTAACGTTTTCGCCGGGAGAGGGCGCGTCTGACAGCTGTCACTGCGCGCTTTCTTCACGGGCGGGACGTGTGGGACGAAAATCTTTATTTATATCACACACGACGATGTTCCCGTAGAGTGCGACTGGCTGTGTACGTGCGTGACGAAACGATACGAAAACACGACGACAAAATGCCGAACGAGGAGGTGTTGGGTCCGCGGAAGACGATGTTTGTACTTGTGATTGTTGTTGGGTGTTTTGCTGTGTTGTGGCCTAGGATCCTGTCGCCGCTGATCACAGGCCCCAGTGGGGAGCAGCTCAAGCCGAACAAGTTCGACCGGGATGCAGGTAATGTCGGTATTTTTAACACAAGCTCAATGTCAATATCGCTGGACGCTGTGACGAAAGCGAGCGTTTTAGCTCACTCTGTGATGATTATAATCTAATTATACGCCGGTTACAGCTGGAAAATTATCATTGTAACACGTTTGGTTACAGTCGATGTAATATTTTGGATTACATAAATGTTTAATACAAATTTTAGCGGGTGAAATCGTGCGTTGAAATGGGTATATTTGCAGTTCACAAGAACGAGGTATTGGTGTGCAAATACGTCGCGGTCCAGCTATTGACTCTGCGCATTTAATATTTACGAAAGATCTGATTGGAATGTGGCATGTACACAAGAATAATTACATAAAATACTGCATACTCAATTATGGCAAATATAATTTTCCATTACTTAGCCACAATTATAGAACAGTTAAATGTATGGGCAACATCTCCACAATAATACTTAAATTATCTACAGGATTACCACAGTAATACAGCACATAATCATTACAAATAGGTATTTTGTAATTTGCTACTTGTCATAACTTAATCTAACAGACCTGGTGAAGGATATTCATACAAGTAAAGATTCCTTGTGCCATTCTTATTCTAAAAGGTATTAAAAATGAGGAAATGGCTGTCTAAATAATTATTTTCTATAATTTCATTCAGCCTTGAATGTCAGGCATTAGGCAAACAAAATGTTCAAAGATTAAAAATGTATTTTATTTTTTAAATATAAAAATAACATATTGTTGTATTTGTAATGATAATGTAGGAAAAGAATAATGCAAGTATTTACCCATATTTTATACCTGAATGTATAAAATACCTAAGATATAATGAATACTACGAAACTATAAAAGGAATACCTGCTAAACTATAGTCTATTAGAAATAATTTGCAACTAGATAAGTTCTTAATTCTTGTCATCACACGGTATTTTTATATGATAGCGTAATGTTTTGAAATACCAAGCATTGTAGAGAAAGAAGTAAGAATGTACTTGCTTACATCACATAAACAATAATACATAGATAGTCAGGTGTTATTGATAGTTTATGCTTCATCCTGACACTCATAAAACACATAAACAGCCATATTAGATGTTTAAACTGCAGTGTATGAGCTAAATAGAAAAATTACACAAGTCTATCTTAAACCCATTCAGTGTTTACCCTTGTATAATTTAATCTGCTACGTACATCTTATTTATTTTGTATCTATACTATACCTGATTATCTATAAGCCCATAACTCCAGTTTTATTATATGAACCTGGATAATTATAATTTTATTTTTTTTAGTGCAAATATTACTTACATAAAAGATATGTATTTGTTTTTAATCTGAAATTTTTGTATAAAATATTTTTTTTTAATTGTGCCTCTATGAACACCATGTTTCCTACTAATGATACCAACAGGATGCTGCGAGGTACTATTCGAAAACGATATGGCTGTTCTGGAGCTTATCAATGAAGTCTGCAGTTCAGCAGTTCAAGTTCACGGGAAGCTCAGTCCTCATGCAGCCGCTGAATGTCGGAAAGCAGTCAATGAGACCTGTGGAGTGGATTTAGCTGCATTCCTTAAACGGAATGAAAATGTTGGGAAAACATCTAAAGCATTAATAGAGACTATGAAGAACAGCAACAGCTCTTGTCTGAAGGAGCACTTCGGAGTCCCTGTCTTGAGTCTCGGTGTCCATATCTCACAGAACTCTTGGACTCTGCAAGACAGTTAGTTTTCTAGAATATTCCAGAGTGTTCCAGAGTGTTCCATATTTGTTTGGCCCTCACTTCAGAGAATAAGTTCCAAGATTTAAGATTAATGAATTTTGCAAGCCAAAGTGCAGTTGAGACGAAATTAGATTGTACTTGGTTTAATCAGAGAAAGGTTGATGACTTCATTTATATTTTAAGTGTCAAAAAATTTTGTTTGAATTGCTGACATAGATTTTGTGATGATATTGTTCATCAATTGTTAGTGGTGACAGAAATATATTCTGAATTGATGCCAAACAAATAGTGTTATGTTTTAACAGATACTAATAAGCATGGTGTGCTATAAATTTATGAATGAACACTAACTAATTTAAACTGTCAAACACCAAGTGGTCACCGGTGACCGCAACCTATTTCTTTAACCGCAACCTATTTCTTAGTTCTTTAATTGTGTCTGTAATGACGGTACTCAACGAGTTAATGTTATGTAAGTTAATACATAAGAACTAAGTAAATAATACAAATTTTGTGTACAGTATCTTAGGTTTTTTTAAAATTATTTTTTTATACAAATAGAAACTCTACTGTTAGCAGAATAGAGTCTGAGAATTATGTTCAGAATATTTTTAAAACATATGAATGCAGGTAAGTTATGAAGCAAACATTCTGTTATTAGTTTTGATTCTACCTAGTAGGTAGGTATTTAATTTGTGTATATAACTCATGATCAATGATCACTTCAAATGAATGTAACTAGGAATTAACTGTTGAATTAATAATCCTATTGGATTTAGTTAGAAACATACATGTATTATTAGGGCCGATTTTTCAATAAACAGTTAAATCTAAAACTTTGGAATGAAATTGACATAGAACTGTTTTTTGTATAGAAGATTATTGTCAAATATTCAAGCTTATTCCTGCGATACAATTTAGTTATCTGACGTTTAAAAAATCGGCCTATAATGTCCTTTTACATGGGACCATAATTATAATTGGCAAAGTGTAACTGGTGTATCATCCAACACGGTACTTTTGCCCTGTCGGGAACTAAAAGGCGTACTGTGACATGCACATGATACGCCTAACACATGAGGTTCTCTAACCTTATCCTCATTAATTCAAACAGGCGTAGGTTTGCTTCCAGTCTGTAGAAATGATAATCCTACGCTATTATCACAGGGTCTTGTTGCATAAGCTCGTATTTAATTATATTCTTCGTCCTACGAAGTTCGCCAATTTTTAGGGCACCTTTTGAACCCTCGTTATAATTAAACCCGCGAAGTTTAGTGTTTTATCATTTTTTTTGTTTGCTTCTCACTAGACTAACACAGAAGTTCACATACACATGACACCCACACCCAGAATAATAGTCTGTGGACCACACAAAGATGACTATATTTCTGCGACCAAAAGGACCAACAATATTGTGACCACTAGTTGCAATAGGCTCCTGCTAGTTCTGCATTTTTTGTACCTCTGGCTTTGTCTCCTGCAAAGAAACTGAGGAAAGTGGAAACTATTCCTAGTCCTCCACCTCCAATTTGATCATTCTTCCCTATAGCGGATCCCCATCTTTGTAATAAATATTGTCTTGTCTATCTCTATTAAAAGTACCTCTTCCGATTTCGGAAAGCCTTCAAGGCTTGTTGCATCAACATTTTAAATAAATGAATTTATATTATAAATATCGACGCGTTTTAAATCATAAATAGCCATCAAAGATGTTTCTGTTGGGGTGGCCAGTCACATGGCTGTATGCGTAACGTTGAAGTTTACGTAGCCGAATTATATTTAGTCTGTGTTGATAGCGGGCGTTGCTTTGCATTTTCGCACATTGGATTATGCAAGCTCTGTGTAAACATACTTTATGGCAAGCTGGATGGGTTAGGAAAGGTTCAGAAGCATTACAATGTAGTAAAGACTTTATGATAGATTTTAGGTCTCTTCTGTACGCACGATTGGACATCAAATGCAACCGAAGTATTCCGAATCTCATTTTACGACTCTTTTTTATCTTGATTTATGACTTTTCGCCGCTGAAACTAATAAGATCAATATTAAATTATTATGTTTTCGGCTTACCTCGACGGCGACCTCTAGTATGGGTTGAAACTGGTCGAGTTCCTCGTCAAATTATTACGTGAGTGAGCCGAAAACATAATAATTTATTTAGTATGTCTCACGAAATTTACAATACAAAGATCAATATTGTTTAAAAACTACGCAAAATGGAAACAGGAACTAACTAAAACTTTCGTAATAATAACATAGCATTTAAAAGCCATCAATATGAACCATCCCTAAAATCACCTAATAATAACAATAATATTTTGATACTAAACTTGAAACGATGATGATTTAACATTGAAATTATGAATATTAGTTACTAGTGCTAATGTTTCCGATGCTACGCAGAATTAAGGAACACATGGTACCATTTAATGATTGTTTAGAGAAACGTTCTTCTTCCCACGATGTTCTGAACAAAATGTTTCAAAGTAATTACAACTGCCGTTTATAGCAACCATTGTATAGTTTACATTATTCTAGTTTATTTTCCTTGAAGAAGCTGATAATTTCGGTATGTGAGTTTTAATACAGGAAGCCTGATAACAACGATTTGTGACCAAGTTGATCAATTTCGTATATTTAGTATTAGTTGCATGGATTCCGTGGTTTCCAGCCATCAAGTACCAGTTTCACTAATGTTTAGATAATGGTCTTCTCACGGCATCCGTTAGCGGTCCAGTAAAACATTTTGTACATAAGATTAGACTTCATATAAAAATACCGTCAACATTTCCTCCAAACCTTGACAAGTCAGTACGTATTTATCGACACCGCATGAAAATTTCAACAATCATTTCGCTCACAAATGTAAATACAAGACGTTAGCTTTCACAATGCTATGTCGCTCCATAGCATTTCAAGTAATACTCGTTTAGTGGCCTCTGCGACAAGAACAAAAGTTTTAACGTCACATTGTCACATTACTAAGGTCATATGAGTAACGGTGAAGCTAGCGTGACTTCTTGTTAGAATAGAAAATTAGAACCATTCCGATTTGCCTCTCCAGTGTATTGGAATTTGAATTCATGTTAGAAACGTCAGACTCGTCTTTTGACCTCGAATTTGGTCTTTAGAGCGAGGTGAATTGGTCCTTTTATCTCTATTTTTTAATGTAGTTTTTTGTCTTTGTTTTCATTCTCTTATTAAACGTTTTACAGTCAAATGATTGATGACTTCTTTGGGCGTACAAAGTGCGTGTATTCTTTTGTTTTAGATACTTGCATGGTCCCTATTCCGGTTAGTTTTGTACAGGGCCAAAAATTGACACCATCGGCATAGTTAACAATGAAATACCGGAAATAACATATTAAGAAGAATTTGTTGAAAGCATTTTTGTGTTTGTTCCAGTTAAACTGTCAAACACCAAGCGGTCACCGGTGACCGCGACCTATTGTTCTTTAATTGTGTCTATGTTACGGTAAATCTGATTAATTGAAAATTATTAATATTTTTACAAAATTATTAATAATAACCACATGTTTTGGTAAATGTGAATAAACGATTGAAATTTATTACTTTTAGTAGTAATTATTAATAATTCACGACACATATTGGTAAAAGTTATAAAATAAATAAAAACCCAATGTTTTTTGACCAGCAGCTATTTATTTATAATATTAAACACAGTCTTACAATTATATTAATTAGAGATCACACAAACACTTGTACTTGCAAACTAAGCAAACAACAAAGCAAGAAAGTCTTTCGTGGTACATAAAACTGTAACAAAAATAAAATGAAACAATTATTGTTTCATTAACAAAATCAACACGAATCCTAAAAGCAATCATTAACAATCATATTTGGTTTGCCTGTAAATCTTCTGTAGCACTTATAAATGCAACAATTTAATTTTTAAAAGTATTATCATTGAATTTAACAAATATTTGTTGTGTAAGTACTACTCTTAATGGGCCTTACTACCAACCCCTTTTTAGGAATATTCATTTTCTTTTCGCATGATTGACACAAGTTCAAATAAATAGTTATAAGTTCGAGTGTAATATTCTTATATTTATTTTTAAGCTCTTTAACCATTCTGGTGCGCCCTCCGTGACCAATAGAAATACTCACACACCGCCCCGCCCCGCAACCCTTGGCCACTTATTACATTTATCACTACTAGGGTTAAATTATTAATAAAAACTGACAAATGTGATTAATTTATCACTTTAACCTCGACTTTCGGTAATTATTAATAATAATAGATAATTATTAATAATCTTCAATTATTCACTCTTACCGTAACATCTATAAAACCTGTACTCGACGAGTTAATTACTGTTTAGAAATACGATAGGACCTATTTTAAAGTTTAAATTATTGTACGTATGAAAATATTTGTAGAAGACACAGAAAAAATTGTGCGCATCTCCAAAATAAGTGTTTGTATATGACTCACATTAAAACTATGTTTTTTTCCGTTGTTGACATATTTGTTGCTTGATAGAGAATTTGTAACAGGACCAAGATTAGGTGACTAGACTGTCTAGGTATTTTCCAGCATAAAATTAAGATACCAATTAGTTTGCGAGACTTTATCGAGATCTGTACAGATAAACTTGGGAGATAAATTTGGTACATTTAATTCTATTACAAAATTTCATTGTAGATGATGTATGAATTGCATCTACTTATTATATTTTCGCTGGCGTATCACCACACTGTGACCCGAAGTTGTCATCATCATCATGATCTCTGTCTATTCTGCCAAATAACTTAAACTTCATTCATTATATCTATGATACGCCAAAGGTCCATGCAGTATTCTAGATTTATGATTCGGAGTTTTTTTTTGATGTAATTTGTTCAGAGCTTGTTCGTTTCGACCATATGACTACCTAACATGACATGTGCACGATCAAATGTTTGTATAAGTTACATAATGTGTCGTTAGCATGACGATCTGGTTAGCACCGAGGAACCTTGGAGACCCATATGGTTTTTTTTTTTAAACAAATTAGGTAACGTGCCAATTGAAAATCCGGGTCAAATTGATACCATGTGCGTGATACCGCTCAAGTTTGGTCATACATCACGCATGGCTTAGCTTTTGTAAGAATCTTAGAATGTTTTTAATATTATACGAAAAATATTAGTATTAAAATATTCTCTTCATTTTCTGAAAATAAGTCTTATTTTTGTTGTAGGTACGTTAAATAGACAACCAAATAAGTTTGTGGACTGAAAGACCAATTTTCTACACTAACATTTTTAACCTCTAAAAATATCTCTGTTAAACTGTCAAACACCAAGCGGTCACCGGTGACCGCAACCTATTGTTCTTTAATTGTGTCTATAAATACGGTACTCGTTAATAGTGTTAACAGGGAAATTGCACAAATTAGTAAAGCTATACTTACATTTCCTTAACCATCAACAAATATTTCCTTTTCAATGTTCATAAAAATAGAAACATTTACGTTTATCAACCGACGGGTTCTGACCTAATCCTGTCAATCACGAGCCGACATTCAGTGACTCACGCGCACCCTATGCGGTGAATTATTAGGATGTGGCTGGTTACTACAAATAGGTTATAATTAATCTCGTGTTTTATGTACATGGACGCCCAGGATGAAATAGCACGGTATAAAGAGTAAAACAATTAAAAGTATTACTTTTAATTGTTTTACTCTTTTAAAAAAACTTAGGTTCACTTTAAGAAGGAAATGATGATGGTAACAGAGCTTACTAAAATTTTTAGAATCTAACAATTGAAATAGGTACCAACTACGTATTTTCGTAAATATCTTCAGAAGGTTGGAGAAGATGGAAAGGTCTGATGATGACGAAGAAGTAGCTCCCAATACTTTGTGTAATATAACACACGATGCTGGTCGCTGGTTCTTTGCTTGAACTTGATTTGACACGCTGCCGTGTCTCCAGATTGTGTCTGCATCTTAAAATAAAAGGGTTATGTAACATTTGAAGCTTCGTTGCAACTTCAGTGCAACGTGGTCCTTTGGTCATCTTCAGTGTTTTATTTAGTGCAGGTAATTTGCCATTGGAACTGCTTTAGAGTCTGTTTTTTTATAGTTTTTTTTAAGGGGGAAAAATCATCGGATGCCTCTCCCGCCTGGGTGAGGCGGGAGGGAGTGTCAGAGTCTTACTCACTAAAAACCACCCCGTTCCTACTCCTGCACTTCGAGCCGCAGCCCCGGTATCCGTTACGTTCTCCGCGGCTCTTTTTTGTAGATAGGACCACAGGAGTAGAGTACGATCATTATTTTGAGTCTATATTTTATATTTATCTATTCTTCTTATCCATGTCATCTGGGATCACAACTGTCACATTCCGTTAGTTTATTTCCTCCAATAAATCAGCTAATAAGATCTTTATCTTGTTAATGGAATTTTGAGGTAATTAATTTGATCTCCTAGGTTTTATTGATTGTTATTAGATTATCTGGATAATAATTATTATTTAGGTTTCTTGATTTATTGATAGTTCTGTCTTTATTTAATAGGAATATAATAAATAGCGTAGAATTCAATAATTGTGTGTTTATGATTAGCTCTGATTCATGGTATAGTTTGCGGTTATTGTAAATGACTAAATATTTGTTTATTGATTTGTTTGTAACTTAATGAATAATACTTCATAAATAATATTCAGATACTCAGGCTTTAAAAATCATTAGGCTCATTTATGTTGCCCCCTATGCCTGTTGTAGTGAAATGAATGGAATTGAACAAACCCGTCAAAAGTCACTCTCCTTTGAAGTCCAGAAAAATTAAACTTGCGTTTATGGCGAACTGTCTAATTGGTTATTAAAGTACAACCTTATTAGTCCTGTATAAGTTTCGTGTTTTTTTAGTTATCTATGGAATTATCAAATTTGTAGAAGTGTGGTTTACAATAGAAGTGGTCGTTTCAACTATTTGCAATGAAATAAACACTTAGCTACTTAATCATTAAATATAAGCGATTAACATGTAAATATGTGAGTTTTCTGTATTACTAACAACCTAATAAATATTACTTAACAAAGCTTTATTTACTGGATGTTTCATTTTAACGTAGTTATTTTTTTAATTTTGTATTGTTTTTGTATCTGTGTGCGTGCCTACTGTCAAATAAATGCTTCTTTTTCTTCTTTCTAGGTACCATTATTTATTTCTTTATTACCTATCAATGCACGAGACACAATAAAAAAGAAATAAGTACCTTCTTACATTGTATCTTGCTCTACCTTTGTACTGGCAAACCACACGTTAACTGATTTATTAACTCTGAACTTGACGTTCAATATAAAATACAGATACTTACATACGAAATTACACTAACAATTTTCGTAAAAGATTTTCAACCTTTCTTTTTTACCATTAAAGCTTAAAATTGAAAAATATCCAACAAATTGGGTTTGCTGATATTTGTATGTTCTCTCTTTTAAGTAGAGAAATTCAAATCAAGTGTCACAGTCGTGACGAAGTTTAACACTTTAAACATACTTCACGCCTTGGTATTAAGTACCTACATACATACATACGTAATGTAGACACGGTTACCTATCAAGGTATACAAATCCAGTATATCGTGGTCTCGCTTCGTATGATTTTACCGCACGTTCGACGGTCAGTTTTTACTGGTTTTCTATGGAAAACCTTGCTTTATACATGTACATACTACACGCGCATTCAAAGTTAATGTAGAACCACTTATCTAAATTCAGTTCCGGATTCTAATAGACTTTATATTGTAGTATACCGTTCCCTTGTAAAATTACACTAAGGTTTTTCAGTCTCTGAATAGATCTTTATGTTTCTGATAAATAAAATAGAACCAATAGATATTGTTTAAATAAGGACAATAATTTCTAATGTCTGAAAAGTATCTTACAGTACCTACTCGGGGATAAATAAGTAGGTATTTGAGAGTATTGGGAACACACAATTGGGCAACTCACCGCGTATACTATCTCATGCCTATGTGACTCTAAAACTAGTCGAAAAAGAATCTAATTCGAATCATGAAAAGAAAAAGTTTTGTACAAATAAATGATACCTACCTATATCACACAAATTGTCTCTCTGCAAAAACCGATTTGCAATAATATTTATCGTTTGGTACTTTATACTTCGAACAGTTAAGATGTTACGAATTGATCGTCACAAACACTTCCATTCCCTTCACCTATAAAATGTTTGATTTCCACCTGATTGTTCTACTGTCTGTCGATGCATGTCATAAAGCAGATGGCACACTAAGCACCCTTGTTGCGTAACCAGTTGTTAGCCAATGCGACGGCCATTACCGGTCCGTATTAGCCAATTAGACGTGACTACGGCGCATCACGGTTACTGCAACCACTGTGTGTCATACATTACATGTCGATGTACTTCTTATTGTGTTTTAATATGAGTGGACTAATTTATTTGACTAACCCTGTGTATTTATAAATAATGAGATTTGATAAGGATATACGAAGTCCTTTAACCTTTTGTGGTACATCATTGTATGACAAGTGCACGGACCACGAGTCCATAGAAAACTAATATTGAATATTTAGAAAAATACCTCTTTTGGTAGACGCTTACAGAAATAACAACTGAAAGAATATGTTTATTTAATAATCTGATTAATAAGCATGGCAATTTTCATATCTTTCGTGTAACATAACTAATTAAAATATGCCCCCTAATCAACATTGCTAATCTGGTCCTTTTTCCCCCAGCTATCAAACAAGAGCGTCCTTTGATCCGCGGCGCAGGACCTCACCCGGCTCTGCGCGAAAGAGGACGGGCGATACCTCCAGGTGTTCCCTCGTCACCAACGAAGAGTTCCGTGGCAATGCCTCCTCACGTCAGGGTACGATCCTCACCGCTATCCGTGTATTATGATCTGGATATCAAGGTCAGTTCAGGAGGGAGAGTGCTTGTAAGGCTTCGCAAGGTAGGTGGGTAGTTCCTGGTGGTTTATTGCTGGACCAAATGTTTCAATACGACCTTGGGAGATCTATTACCCATTAACTACTAACTAATGGTAATAGTGGAATGTCTGATGTTAGATGCATCTCTGAAAGCAATGGGGCTCATGTCAATGTTATGATAACAATATAATAGTTACAATATTTATTGTGGTTACAGGATCCTGGCACAAAAATGATCTATTGTCTACCACAGTACTATTACAATAATGACTTCGGTTTTACTGTACTCTAACCTTAAACTGATAGAGAATGCGTCATAGTAAAAAGTGAACCAGATATTACGTTTTAATTGAGTTTAAAATTATTATAAGTTTAGAAGTCTTGATTGCTTTTATACTTTGGAATAGCAACACACAAAATTATTGGGAACTATTCTTATATGTACTAATACTATAGAGCGGCTTCGCCTGTGGTCAGCAGTTCTAATACTGGTAAGTATGCATAGAAGCGCTATAACATTATGTAAGCTTTATAAAGCTTCATAGTACTGCTATATTCAGAGATATGTAAATAATATTATGTTGGCAATAAGCAGGAATGTATCAACCCGTCGAGCGTCCGCGTTTCTTATGATCCAACGGGTGCACACGTGACATTTGGAGCATTTTTTCTTATGATCCACTGGGTGCTCATAAGGACGCTCGAGGGGTTAATGGTATGGAAGGAATGAAAAAATAAAAGAATGGCTAAGACTGGTATTTAATGGTATGGTTATATGGTTCAGCAGCAACATCTTTTATTCATATTCCGAAAGACCGATTACACCGGACTAATTAATCCCGTTTAATTCAGATATTTCGTAATGAAGGTGCAAACAAACGCAATATTCGAGTAAACAAGATTAAACGTTTATTGTCTTTGTATAAACATTAGTTTGTGTTGTAACTCGCAGTTTTGTTTTATGTTTGGTGTAAGTATTGAGAATTCAGGCAAAATTTTCTATTTTCTGACCTACCGACGGATTAAATTGAAATTGAATATTAGTCTGTAGTAGTAAAGTACTAGCCAAGTCTTGATGGAGCCGCTTGTTCATCTCTGAAGAGTAATGAAATCTGACTGCCTCGTTGGTTTCGGGTTCGATTCCCGGGTCGGGCAAAGTATTACTGAGTTTTTAAAAGAAATCTCAGTAGTAGCACGAAGTCTGGAAATGTGGCCGATATATGGCAACAGGCTCACGCCCTATTACATGGGACCTCTGGCTAGTAAAAGGCGTGATTTTATGTTGTGTTAAGTAATGAAATCTAGACAAAGTCGTGCCAAGTCTAAGGTTCCTTATTGTGATTTCTTTATTATAATAGTTAATGTTGTGTGACTTGGCCATTGAACGGCTACCCATTGAAGATGTCAAATTGCCAAAAAATTGATTAAATAAACAACGGTGTTGGCGACAGATTAGTGCAATGGTGCCTTGCACCAGGTTTTGTACCCTTGTGTACCCCTTCAACAGCGGCTGCATCGATACTTGGTTTCTGACCTCCCGACGGATAAAAGTGATATTGAATATTAATTTTCTACTAGTTTTCTATTTAGCAAGTACAACTTCGTTCGTATCAAGTAATCATTGTATGATAATGTTCGTTTTGAACTTTATCCTTTCAAGCACTTGGTAAAAACAAAGTAGCGTCTAATTATCGTGCCAAAATATAATAGTCTACATACTCCGAATGCTCTTAAATTCATGTTTATAAATAAATACCATAAATCCAACAAACATTTGAAAAACCTTTTAGAATATTTAAAGAAGGTGCAGGTACCAATACCTATATTTTCATTAACCGCCAATCGTTTATTAATTAGTCTGAGTGCGGATAGAAAGACCGTGAGTACCTAAACTCTGTATGATGTCATCATTATTATTTTTGGTGCTTATGGCTTCAGACGCACATGCTGGCCACACCATCATCTATAGAATATTCTTAGTCTAATTAAAACGATGATAAAACTATCGTAACAACGGGCACTAAAATAGAGATGCGTGGGAATGTATTTTATGGTAGAATGCATGATCTAACTTTAGATAGCATTCTTATTAAAGTTTAGATAGGGTTTGTTACATGTTTTTATCTATGATAGATGATAGACAAAGGTGTTATGCAAGAACCGTATTTTACTAGACAGGTAGGTAGGTGCTTTTACAGGAATAGAACAACAACTATACAACAGTCGCAAAACAGTATTAGACAACACTTTCACCAACCTAATCGATTTTAATAGCTTCTTATAGCCAAGGATACACTAGGGTTAAATGTCCTGGGACACGTGTCACCAGGGACGTTGGCTGAAGTAGTGCGACGTTGCCGGACTGTGGTCGACACGCCTGGCAACATCAACGTCACAGTGGACGTAAGTTGTTGCCTTTATGGTAGGCGAAATCGGCCGACTTCGTTTGACAAGTTGCCGATACGTGTTGTCCGACTATGGGTAATGTATCCTTGGCTTTAAGCTTATTTAAGATACAAGAATAATATTCCGCACCGTAAAGGAACTTTCAAAGGATTAAAACCCAATTAGTTTGATTGGACTTTGGACAACTTCTGTCGAAGAGGAAACAATGGTATGACACAGTTTACTAGCACTTGGCACGATATCAAACTGATGAAATACGAGTGGCTGTTAATATTGGGGCTGGTTATAATCTCATTATGAATTACCATTGACAAATTACAGCAACAGGAATGACCTATTGTCTAAAAGGTCATTAGTATGGTAGAATTCAAAACTAAAATAAAAAAAATCGACGTAAGAAGACAACTGTTTAGTTCATAGTAAATTATTAGTAATGTTTTATCGTCAGAGAGGAATATTAACTGTAACTGGTAAGTAGATGAAATTGCAAAACCCAAAATACGCATTTTTGTTCTGGAAATAGAACTTGTAGATATTTGGTTGCACTTTTACACTCATACAGAAGCATAACATAATCAATGAAGCAGATTTCAACTTTAGACACACACACACACACAGATAACAGATCTTTGAATAAATTTAAGAGAGGGTGTAAATGTGGATCAAAAGACGTCTCAATCCTAATAGTCAACGACAGATTAAACTTAGACAGCGCCTTAGGCAGGGATATGCGTCCCTAATTTTTTTTGGCGCCACCGCCACGGCGGTGCATCCTGTAGCGCCCCTCCGCAACTTGCCTAGTTTGCCTTCGGAATTATACGGCTCTACTAATAGTCCTGAACAAACAGGATCCAAATAATTAATAGCAGAACGGAACTAAATCTCTGTTAAAATCTACGCTCGCTGCCAAGTCGGCGAAGAGTGCTATGTGTCCCGGAATGTCAATGCGAGCCAGTCAAGGTCGGTTGCGTCAACGTCAGCTCTTGAAGTTGCACGGACAGGGACGCTTGATGGTTTTCGTCTGTTTAATTTGGTTCTATATTAAGTGGTTCAGAAAATGATTTGTAAGTCGCTTTTGAAAGGTCTTAATGATAAACGGATTATGCGCTTAAGGCGTTAAAAGTCCTTAAAGTTTAGGTCTTTTGGTTTATTAGGCTTGTCATGTTAGAGGCTATATGTAGCCTGTAACAATTTATTCTGATTCAATTTCATTAAACAACCTGAATGCTCAGGATCGTGTTCTAAGTTGCTACTGCAACGTACCTCATTTATTCTAAAACTTCGACGTTGATGAATAATTATGATTCGTCTGAAGAGGATATTAGAAGCCTAAAGTATGCCAATATTTAACGTAAAATTATGAAGCTTAAATGAATATGGAAGGTAATGTGCCTTTGAATATTAAAGTAATTGAAATTGGATCGCATCGATGCTTCCAATATTCGTGCAATAATTTTAATGGATGAGCACATGGCTCTGAAAAATTCGCTGAGGCAATTTCGAACGGCCTCGTTTAATATAGTGTTCTGCAGTCTTATAGCGCTATTTTTTCGATGTCTGACATTATTATGATGTAACTAATGCATCTCTATTTCTTCGTGTAAAGAAAGTAGTTAAAGACAGGCAAACGACCCTACTTCATATAAGTTGTTGTGTAGTTGAAAGGGACGTGTCATAATAGTTACCGCTTTTTAAACCGTTTAGTGATTACATTTTACGATCTGACCACCGAGTTAATGATAAAATGCATCAAAATGAAATAAAGGACTAGTCAAATTATTTGAAACATTTTTAGAAGCCTACATAGATTTTCAACTCACGGTAAATTTGGTACAAGACGGTAAAACAATTAACACTAAACCGCCAAGGAATACAATTACCCTTGAAACTGGGCTAGTTTATTTACCAGTTACAACGACTCTGTCAAAGAGGCCAATAGACAGTTATCTTCAAGTCAGAATTTAACATAATGCCTTTGAAAAATCAACATTTGCATGATAGTGAGGCGAGAATTTCAGTTTTTTGTTTTGTGTTTTAAATAAGAAGCTTTATGTACGAGTGGACGTTTGTTGATGAGTTAATTATGATGAACAGTTTACGTCAATGGCTGGGTTGTGTGGAACAAAATGTGAGTTCATGTGGATCGGTTCGGTTTCCCTGTGTAATTGACCATTTTAGTCGATTCATTTTCTTTTGACTGTAGCTAAACACTAATGGTTATGATCTCTGGCAGTTCATAAGTGATAGATTGTGTTGTTATAGGTGCTGTGGAGTGCTGGATGTATTAGATAATTTAAAGTAGATGTGTGTCATTTTTAGTTATTGTCAGCCCAAAAATTAAGTCAACAACAATAGAAAAAGGAAAATAGCAACTTCCATATTTATCGAGGCCCATTATAACTGATTTACATAATACTTAAGTAAATGAAGAGGCTCTCATGGTCTCATTGTCAAACGTAGTTACTTCGAGGCAGTGCTCAAGCGGCTCTTTCGCTTTCTTAGAACTAGGCAGATAAATAAACAAATGTGTGGCTGGCATTGGTCGGAGCGACCCACATGCGTGGCCTAGACACAGTGCGCAGAAATAACCCACAGTGACACTCCCGCGCATCGCGCATCGTCCGCGACGCCCGCGACCGTCGCTACACTGATCTAATGATTTATGGACTTTCTTTTTAGCTACTGTCCACTTTATTGTGTGGGTTTTCTTGTACGAGAATGGGTCTATGTAAATGGCATTCTTGAAAAGAGAAAAATAGGCACTTCGTTTTTCGTCATGAGCAACTAGACTTACAAAAGGACCAAAACAACGTACAAATGATTTAAACCATATGCATTTGTAATTCTTTGAGTTTTAAGGATATGTATGTAGTGCAATTTCAATCTAAATGATAGGTGTGCCTAATATCCTAATATGCCTAATTTCCGAAACAAAGAAAAAATGAACTCAATATGTGCGAAAAATTTGGTCCTTCGATACGAAATAATGTTTTGGTATCTTGGAATACTAGCGCTATCATAGTTGCGTATGTAAGTAGAAGGCCTTAACATATAAAGGTAGCTTGCCCCTAGTGATACCACAGTGGAACATCAAACAATTTGTCAATATTAGGCTCGGCCGTAAGACAATAATCTCGTTTAGAGGCCGCCTACACACAACTAGTAACATTGCTCACAGATTAAAAATACAGATACGACACATTTTATGACTTTATTTTTACCTTAAAACTAGAATATTTCAAACGCAATACGGTTATTACAACATGACTTTTAAGTTAACTAATCCGTACCTTCATTAATTGCATTCAGTTTATGACAACTTTCAAACAATGACCAGTTCGTGTTGTGGCATATAAATGAAATGTTCTAAACGCAGTTTAATGGTTGGGAAAGAAGGCGCCATGCATTTTTGCTATAGCTTTCACTTGGGTGACTGAAATATGTAAAAAAAGTTGTTATTTAGAGTAGTGATTGATAAAAGCAATCAAGTTGACATATGGAGTGGGTTTGTATCTATGTCAATATTCTAAAAATTCGTATTTTTTATTTATTTAAGGGGGGAAAATCTTTAATATGAAAAAAATTATATAACAGTTTCATTTTTGTTTAATAATTTCAAGAGTTGCTTTCTGTTTTTCGATATTTTTAATGTATGTCTTGAGAATCTTCAAAGTTAAACTTAAATATAAGGGAAGTCAATAAATTGTTGTAATACTTTTATTTGAAAACATTTTATTTGGTCCTTTTGCACTGTAATTTGTACACGACAGAAGTTTGTCAGTCTTGTAAAATACTAGTTGAACAGCTGACGATCTTAGGTGTGGTAGACAGTGTTGCGGTTACGAGGTCGCCTACATGCAGCCCAAACATTTGATCATAGATTAGGTGACTTTAGGCAGATGGGTAGGCGTTCATGACTACTTTATGCCTAATAGTTAAATGCATTCACTAAGGAAGCAAACGACAGGCAGAATTTTGATTATCTGATTTTCAAAGGTAGTTTTAGTCCATTTGAATTAATGACTTGATCTTGCACTTAAATGCTAAGCGCAAACATAAGACTTGAAAATCTTCGTCAAAGGAGGCTTAAAGATGTAGGACGCCTTTTCTGTAGGATTTTAATTACGCACCAAATATAAAATGGTTTGGTTCAGATAAATTGTGTTGGCATTCCACTAGCAAAGCTAGAAAGCTCATATTTTGACAACGAAGCAATGATTACCATTTTGAGTATACTTTATGACAGTTCAGTACCTTTATTTAACTTTGACAATGAGTAACACCGAACAATGTTCTAAAATAATGAGTCAAGATCAACCAAACGTTAGGCACAAAATAATCGTACATTTGAAATGCAGTCTGTGTGAGTATGCTTGATCTATGACCCAAGATCGAATGTAGGATGTTTTCCCTTTCTAGTTTCATCTAAGTACGAGTAAAGGTATTTTAAATTACGTTTATCATTAAACGGAGATTGGCATTGAACCCACGTCATATTAAATATTAGTCAATTCAATACCTTTGTGAGAATTCGCGTAAAATAATAGCGATTTGTCAGTATTGGTTGTGTCCACCTACACAATTAGGGAACAAATCTATCATGTCTATATTATATTTACTGAGAACAAAAGCTTATCTAAAGAAGAGGCGGAATTTTTATTGTACGAATTTCTCTATTTCTATCTACTGCTCTTTTCTAATTGATGTTAAGTTAGGGTACCATCTTAATCAGACTGAGATTTTTCTAAAGAATAGCAAGATTGTTTTACTATTTTGTAAAGATTGTATAAAAGAATCATCAAAATCTTATTCTATTTGAACTAGACACACTTAATACATAAGGAAAAATGACATAACCTGCAGCTGTTTTTATTTTAATGTCAAGTTTAAGAAAAATGATTAAAATTACGGATGATATTTACTCATCGTCTATACGCGACATGGTAATAAATAATTATGAGCATTTTACCACCGGAATGTAATCGTAAACTCTATTTTGAAAATATTATTTATCAGTTTTACGCTGAGCAGTAATAATAACACGGAATATTTTAAACATAGTTAACATTTTCTGGGCGGGGTCTCAATTTCTGTGGAAATTACGTAGCTACGCTGCGAAAATCTGTTTTCCTAGTTTTATGGTAATGTGGTTTTTACGCAACTGTTTGCTGTTTTTTCAGTGGAGTTTTCGTAACAGGAACTCGGATATTTCTAACTGCGTACTTCTTTGTATATCTAGTGAAATACCTAAATACAGCGACTATTAATCGTTTTAGATTTACTATGGAGTCCAATTTTCAATTAAAAACCTAAAATGTTCTTAAGTAGACCATTATAGGTCCAGTTACGTGATCCTTTTGACAAAAAACCGTCAACAGTAAACACAAAGACATTGGTCCTAAGTTCCGAAAAACAAACATGCAACGTCCTCTGGACCTCGACTCTAAACACGAAGGAATTTCTTAGACACAACACATTACCGACACGTCCGTCATGGAAAAATCGCAAACACAGATTGTCTAAAAGCTGGTAAATACAGGAAACCATTACGGCATGTCGTAAACCAGAGCGGACAGTACACATTTGATTCGGCGAATCAGCACGTCAGTATCGTCTCCAGGCGTCCGTAACGATAATCGTGTCATTTATAATTGAAGCTGCTTTCAATCGTTATATTCGGTTTATTTTTAAATCTAAAAATCTTTAGTGGAAGTGATTGATATTAAAAACTATGCAGGATTTGCCTCAACCCAAGCAGGTACCTACATTAAAGTTTTAAGTGATATTATGTGTAGCCTTAATATCCTAGTCCTGGTTTTTAATTATTCAGTTCTCGGAATAGATTTTATTTTGTCATGGCGTATTTCGTTCAGACAGGATTTTCACATTCTCTGAAGTGTCAATTCAGATTTAGGTCATTATTCAGCAGTTACGCTCCAATACTTATTAGAATAACATCAATTTTCTATGGCACGGAAATGGGAGCGTTTGTTGATCTGAAATAAATTATTTGTAGGTAATATGTATTAGATTGGTCTCGTCATCTCTTGGACTTCTTTGAGTACTGAATTAAAAAAAAATCCGGCGTATGAGATATTAATTGGAGGTATCTTAATTACTTGTTGCGAGTTGATGTGGTAAAGGATAGTACCCAAAGTGTTCCAAAGAATGCAGCATTTTTCCGTAGAATATGGTTTTTCAATGAGAATTCATTAGCTCTCACTTATTGCGTGAATTTCCAGTCTCGTATTCTGATATTCTTTTACTGTATTTCCAGAGTAAATATCTACATTGTAATAAGTAAGTTTAGAACAACAATTTTTACTAGAAAACGAAAAATCAGCGTTATCGTTGTCATATTTTAGGACATCTATTTCTGTGAATGCTATCATACGTTCAATAACAAGAATATTTTTTGCATTACGCCAGATATTGACGCGTATGTGCGAAGAAAGTGAAATTCTATCTGAATATCTATTAGTTTTTACTATTCATTAATTGTCTGTGTTTAAAATTGTAATTGTTGCCAATTTGGCGGCCGATCAAAATTTGTTGCTGTTTAACTGAACGCTTTCAACTAACTTATAATAAAAGTATTAATGTAAATAACCCACTTGACTAAACTAACTTTCGTTTGAAAATAATTCTAACTTTCTTTTAATTTTATAAGAAGTTTTGTTTTTTGTAACTGGTATGTTTTATTAACTTAAAATAATATTAATGATAATTATGACAATAAGGGCAGTAATAGAACCTGATTTTAATCTTATTTATCACACAATAAGGTGTATGATACCAACACCTGGTGTTTACCTATCTTTCTAAAAATCTGGAGAAGTGACTATCTAGATACTCCTTTTCTTCCTCTTCTGTAATAATATTAAACTAGCAAGGGTAAAAAGCAATTATTGTTTGATTGATAAGGCCGGTGTTAGATAGTCGTAAGGTAACAAAATCCGATAATTGTAGCATTAGTACCTTAGGGTCAAATGATACAATGTCGGTATTTCAGGTACTATATCAAAATATTTGTCAGTTAAGCTAATAGCAAACTTATCAAATCATTATGAAACACGCCTAAAAGTAGTATAATGCAAGTGTTAATACCTTTTACCAAAATCTAATAAACCATCTTTACAAATTCTAGCCTCCACCAATCCCCGGAATGCGTCCACCGCTGGGATCTCCTGGTGGTCCAGTACCCACACCCAAGTCTTCCATGGGCTTCGTGATGCCAATCTACACAATCTGCATCATCGTCTTCTTTGTCTACACTATAAGCAAGGTATGTTATATGCAGTAGATTCATTACCAGGTAACTGTTTGACAAGGTGACTCGACTATTTTCAAGCTATGCTAGGACCTACAATTATGGGCTTGTTCGAGAAGGCCGCAAAATGTCATTTTTATCATGATTTTTAAATAGGCAAACGTCTAAAACTTTGTCTCTCGTAGTCAAATTATTATATCGGTTAGATAAAATCCCATGAAAATTCATTTAATAGTTTTCGAGCTTATTGTAAATAGAGTATAAGGAAATGATGTTATTGACTACTTCATTAGTTTGTGACTCGATTGCTTGGTTGATTAAGGCTTTCACTCCCAATAGAAAACTTTTGAAGAGAAATCCTCCGCCAACGTCGGTCATCGGGACCCCCATACCGTTTAATGCGTTAGACAGTGTTACCAGAATTTCCCTGTATCCAATAACTCTTACCAGTAAATATAGAGTGTGTTTCCAATGGGCAGCAATAGCAGTAGTCGTACCTCTTATTTACATGTGACTCATATTAACATTACAGGGCTAAAAGTAGGCGTTAATGTGGGTGCTTTTAATATGAATTTAATCACCAACCAAGCTCATTAAACGAATCTTATTATAGCAAAGCAAGATGCTTATTATTACATGAAGTCCTATGCAATTCTTTGTTCTATAGCCCATATGCCAAACGTGGGGATCTGGAGATTATGTCAAATCAGTCTTTTGAAAAGGAGACCCATAGTCCAGTTGTTTTCTCTCTGCTGTTGGTAATTATTAAATTATAATTCTACAGATTCTGTTCAGGCGGACCGCAAGCTCATCGCCCTACGAGACCCTACCACCAGACCCTCAGTTCAGGAGGCGAGTGTTCAGGGATGATTCCAGGAGTACACCTGACAAACTAGGTAAGGTCCCAAAGTAATTAACATTAGCCATTGTTATAATAATGTTAGAAATGATCAGTTATTGATGCCCTACAATTTTTATTTAACCACTAGGACAACCTAGGCTGCATAAAAGTCCACTAAATTTTTAATAGGAATGTAGAATGTCTGATTTTCAAACAATATTATTCTACTTTAAGGAAATAATAACATTGTTTTTGAGCACAGATCTGCTAATGCTCTGGTCAAAATGTGCAGTTAAAATTAACATTAAAAAACCGCATTGGACAACATTATATTTACTTGAAATTGCTTTTAATAATTAGTATGTTAGGTCGTCTTCTTATGTTAAGCCTAAGTTTAATTGATTTGTGTATTCATTACACGGACGTGCAATGTTTGTTTACAACTGTCTAGAATATTACTTATAGAGCATTTCTAATAAAAAACTCTTGCGCATGCAGGACCTAAAGAGCGGGACACAAGTAAGTAATATGTTGTTTTACGTACATTTCTGTGTATACAGGAAAATGTCGATACTATCGGTGGCAGTTAATTAGTGAAATAATAATACTACGGTAATGATAAAAAAGGTCGCCACGATAACAGAACTCAAGCTTGTAGAACATGAATTAGTTGGACACCAAAACTGAATTTACCAATTGGCTTAAATATGTACAGTTTATGATCATTGAACACGGAACACTTGCAAATGTTTATGAATTAGATGCAACGGATTGGCACGCAGCACTTAGAGAATTCATACCAAAATTTCGCTCATCCGTCAAGCAAATACGTGTTTTGAAAGAAATCACTTATGTGTTATGTAGTGTACCTACACATAAAGAGGTGCTAATGGGTTGGCATCACCACGGGGCGTTACGTAGATAGAAGTACAAACACAGCAAATATAAACGAATTGCGTATTTGAAATGATCCGTCAATTAGGTCGTGTTTAACACTTAGTATAGTGGTTATTTGTTAACATCATGTGTTATGTGTAATCTATAAAAATGGTCCTTTTTTGCCAAGAATTCTATAATGGCTATTAGCCACAAATCATCCCAACTTCATAAAATATGAGAAATTAATATCTTTCATAAGTGTAAAGGGTTGAACAAAAAGACCAGATTGTGACTCAAAGGACCAACTTTCTCTAAATGCGCGTTTGACCAATACAAATGACCTGATGCTTAGGGGACGTCGAGTTGGAAGCGCTGAGGGCTCGCCTGGCTGAGACAGAGCGCGCGATGCAAAGGATCGTCAGCCAGCTGGCTCAGCGCGACGCGGTATTAAAGGCGGACTGGTGGACTGGCTTCAGGACCGTTTTGAGCATTGTTTGAGACATTTTACATTTAGATTGACTATAAGGACCAATAATGAATACTTGTCTGTCAGTAGATTTGGTTATTATTAGAGATAGAATCAAACACTTGAAAGACTTCACATAAATAGTGTGAAAATTCTATTTCTACCTAAACCTACCGACAGACGGTGCTACATGAATGAATGAGACAACGAAATGTTTGGTTTTCCATAACCAAAATATCGCCCAAATAATCCAGTTTTTAGAAATATGGTCCTTAATAAGCCAGTTTATCAAATCCGTCGTGTTTCTTCGTTATAAACCGTATTATTTAGATGTGTACCTAGCAGCTTGCGGCATGGTGACGGTTGAGCCCTTTTATAGTTGTTCGGGTTGTAATTTTAACTTGCAAACACGACTGCGATGCATCCAAACGATTGTGGAATCTAATATCTTAGGTATAGAGTTAGAATTTAGTTTATAGAGTGGATTTTTGGTAGTAGATATTTTTTTAATGTATCCCGTTTTAACATGGTAAACGTCTATGGGTCCCATAACAGTAACGTGTGTTTTATATTAAATGTTATATTGTAATGGTTCCATTTTGTAATCATTTGTGTCTGTCTGTCTACCTGTGTTTATTGTTAAAGATATAATGTGAATTGAATGACATTATGATTTTAAAAATGGCTGTTCCCAAAGAAGCTTTTACACTCTGATTATTTACCAATTCTGATTTACTTAAGCACAAAATAAAAAGGAATTGAAAAGGTGCGGTGCATAATTTTATACAATATTTTAAGTCAGTCGAATCTGGTTAACTCTGTGCCACCCCAAATCCATAAGAACCAAATGACCAAGGATCCAAATGAACTAAATGAGGGATTAAGGCCAAGAAGATAAAAATTAATATATTTTTGCTCTTTATTGTCGAAGAAAGTTCGGTTGTCAAAAATTCACTTTATAAATCCGTTGGAACGGAGAAGTTTTACCTCCCGAGATAGTTAAGTGTGAGTTGGCCCACGTCCAGCAGTGGGGAGCATGCCCAATCGTCTGATGCATCCCGTTTATTTTCGTCAGCGTCCTTCGTTGTTTGTTTTTATGTCTATTTTTGTATTTACGTTCATAATATCAGATTTATGCTAAAATTATTTGATATACCCATTCATGAATTTCAAGACGATAATTTAATTCGAAGTTATAAACCGTATTTGATACGGCTTGCTTTTGTGAGATTTTGATGAGATTTTTGCTTTACGTAAATATTTTTACACTTATCTATGTCTCGCCGTAGGGAATATAAACCAAGTCATATAAAAATTATACAAATTATAAAATTACTTACATTTAAAGAAATTCTAAAAAGGCTAGACTGTACTATACGAATACAAGTCTAGCCAAATAAATTCTGAATACTAAACTAATATGAATGTTGTCGGGGACAGTTGTTACCGCCATATCAGGGCTGGTAGCCGAGGTTCAGGAGCAGATGGAGGCGAGCTACGCGCAGAATCAGCAACGACAGGTCAATGCATGCAGCCCTGCTGCCTAACAATGTCATTTGTACGATAGAACGGGTTAAAAGTCTATGGTGGATGTGGAACTGAGGTGATTGAAATTCTAACTTATCTCCCTAAAAGTAATGGCATTGATAATTAAATAATAAAATGGTTACGGCTACGAAGAATGGTCATATCAATATTACATATTTGCTCGAAATGAAACTGTCAAATGACGTCACACCCTTGCATGAACTGTGGCGTAGCAAACGCCCCCACTCCTTGAATTTAAACTACTTAGTATTTATAATACTCGCCAAATATGTTTTGTTTTGTCTATGTAATGGAGAGTTTTTCTACTCCCTCATCATCGTCATTCTCTTTGAAAAGTTTGTCGACTTCGGTAATAAATTACTATTAACGACAGTCCACATTCCCACTTCATAGACTTTTAAAAAATGTTGCTATTGTAACAAATGTCCTTGTTCTGGCTTTCTGGTCCTATAGTCCTAGATTCCACTTAGGTTAGACAAGGTACACTTGTCTAGTCTAGCTACTTTTTATTTTTAACCTTGCAACCCTTTTTTCCAATGTCCTGTCTTGCTATCTGTCGATTTTTTTATGTTGGTTTTTTCTTGTTTACCTTTGTTTTTTTTTTCATCATGCCATAAAAATGATATCCAAAGTATTTTATAGTTTAGACAAGTCGATAGAACTTTTGCTTAAAAAATAATAATCCAGTTCAGTTAATCCCCTTCGGAGCTACAAACCCATATTTAACAAATAAGTAGGCGTATTTTTGCGGTAAATAAGGTTTTTAACAACAATTAAAAATGAAACTAAATATTTTGAAAATTACAAACCAGTTCATTTGACCAAGGGACGAATGCACAACAGATATGTCTTTAGGTACACTTGGCAATATAAATTGCATAAGCTTGGAATGTAGGGCGCCCCGTCTTCATTGAAATAATATTTCATGGCAATAACATCTGATTTACTATCGCTTTTCTGCAGTTTATAATCGGCTTGCAAACTTTGCAATACTTAATTATTTTTTTTTGATGTTCTATATTGTGGAAAGACTGTTTCAGTGGAGTTTGTTGCTTTAAAAACTTAATCTGATGTATTTTTAAGAATTATTATGTTAACTTATTTGCATTTTTTAAATAAGTCTATTTTTTCTATTGTAATGAAGAGCAAATATGATTAGAAAAAATAGAAACGCAAATTTAAAAAAAAAGAACAATTGTTACAGAAGCTGCTGAATCCTCCTTTGTGGTCTTTAGGTACGAAATCCTAAATTAATAAATTTTGATAAGTTGAGCTGAATTTTTGAAAAATATTAAGCAATAGAATCACTTAGAAATTAACTATAATAATTATGTACTGTGTACTGACAAAATCCAGTAATAATAATAAGTACCGAGATTGTATTCTTATAAACACATAATTTATCAATTTCATCCTCGGGCATTATTTCTAAAATATTATTAACGCGTTATTTATATCTGTGTTTGTTATAACGAGATCTTAGTTATGGCTCTGGCCAGTATTGCCAGCTCGTGCCAAAGTATTGCCATTTATACAAACTTGGCACATTCACACACATAAATGATATTTAAACTGTAATCATTCAGAGCAATTTTCTCGAAAATTATCTTTTTAGAATTACTAGTACTAGGTTGTCTGTTTACACTAATAAGATTCAATATGGTGTAATTAAGAAAGACATCTTTCGCTCTTATGGAAATCGCTTACCATGCCACCTTTTTGATCGAAAAGTTGAACTATAAATTTTATTAATTTATCTTTAAATAATTAAGCTCAATCTGTCTACCCACTATTTATAAATAGTCTACACTTTTCATTATTATTTTAAAACAGACACTTAGTTATTTCTTTAAAACATTAATTAGTAACATCACTTTCCTATAAACACAACCACAAAGTGAATGTAGTTACACCTCTTTACCCCCTTTTGGGGACGTTTTTCCATTCATTCATTCATTCTTTCTTTCTACCCCTTTCCCATCTTTTTTCTTTATTGGCCTATAAGCATGTTTAAAGAGTTGTATGTGTTGTCTATGTCTGGTATCGCCTTTGTCTGCTTGCACCAGTTGTCCGATGACTAACAGAATAATAAAATCAATAAAACATCACATGATAATTTTCAATAATAATAATTATATTTTTAACTAATTGTAGTTTCTGTGTTAGGTCGTATTAAGTACACATTGTAGGTATATTAGTATGTGTTAGGAAGTCAAATATGCACTTTCCAAAGGGATTTTCTTTTGTGTTTTCGCTTTTTAGATAGTTTTAAATATGCCGGTGAAATCGATGATGCGTTTATGAAAGGAAGATTAAAAATGTTATTGAAACATAATGTAAATAGTAATGTGTTCTAAATGTCTAACTATACATCGAATTTCATTGGTATAAGACTGTAGACTACATAATATACATTTTTGTTCTCCAATTATACGATTGGCCAACCCAGTCGATAAAGGTTATTATAAAAAGACCTGGCATACAATTCCAACTTATGTAACTCTGCTCACTTTGTTTTTAAAAATCTTTTTGCAACAGAACAAATCCTGTAGTCTACGGTCACGTATGTACGGTCAAAGGTAAAAAGTCCACTGCCACCGTAAGACTACTATCGGTTGCGCTGCAGCGCTTATACACTCATGCACACGCATATTTGTATCCGTGTGCGTACGCGTGCGGGTGTTTATGCGTACGCACGCGTTTTTATGCACATTAATATGAAATTACTTACGCATTGCCGTGTGAACATCACTCACGGTGGCAGTAGACTTTTGACCTTTGACTGTACAATGATGTTCTTAGTCATTGCGCCTGAAATAGACGTGTAAATCAATCGTGTACATGAATAAATATTTATAGATTTTTTTTTATAAACTGTATTTAATTTTAACTGTTTTTATTTTCTCTTGGCGTGTTGTAGTTCTGTGTTCTTGCTAAATACGCTAGAAAGAGCACAGCTTGTTTTTTTATTATTGTTTTTTTCCGAGCTTCTGTCTATACGCAAGGCTTACTCCTAGATATAGACGCGCATGATTTACTGTAGAGAGTTAATTAGTGTTTTAATTGAATGAACGAAGACAGAAGAAACTTATAATGTATTCAAATATTACAGGATGCACAGGATAACAACGCTCGCCCATACACGAATGGGACAATTCTACATAACAGTGGCCCTGTACACATAGTCGCTAGCGAGTACAAGGAGCCCACTAAAGAGAGCTTGGAAAAGAAAGAACCATCTCCTGCACCAGAGGAACCTAAACCAGTACCTGAACAAACCCAAGAAGATAAAGAGCCCTCTCCCGAACCAGAAACCCAAAAACCTGTAGAAAAGGAACAAGAAGTCGAAAAAGAACAAGAACCGAAAGACCAAGAACCGGCTAAAGAAGAATCTGCACCTCAAAAAGAACAAACACCAGAGAAAGACACTCAAGTAAAAGAACTAACTCCTGAACCAAAAGAATCTACACCAGAAGTCGAAGACCAAAAAGAAGAAGAAAGAGAAGTAAAGGAAGAAAGTCCAGAAAAAGTAATAGAACAAACAAATGACACTGATAAATTGATTAAACTGGTTGATGATGTGAAAGTGGAGAGGAATGGAGATGTAAGACACACAGAAGAGTTTATTAAAGAGGAAGCAAAGTCTTCTGAGGCGCAGAAGGAGAAACAGTCGACACCTGAACTTCTAGAAGAAGCTATCAAAGATGATGATGAACAGGAGAATGCTAGCGTTAAGGTGAGTTTTGTGACTTCTTATTTTGTTGATAGGTCCTAATTTTTCTGTGGTTGGTCTTTGAGGAATTGAGTACAAAATATTTTTTTTCTCTAATAAATTTGACATGACACAACCAAGATACCCAAGTCAACTTCAGATAATAAAATCGGTGAAAATAATAATAAAAAAACAGCAAAATTATTGCATTAAAAATACTTTATAAGATATGAATTAATACTCTAATTAATACGAAATTACCTCACCGTGGTTGGTAGTAAAATGTTTATGCCATTTTATGAATGTTGGCAGTATAGGGCACAAGGGAAGCATGGACAAATGCTTTTGTGTTTAATGCATTCTGAGCTCAATATTAAGCACTTACGTTAACACAAACATCACATTTGTAGCCCACACTTTCAATAATTCTGAGATACGTGGATTTTGATACAACCCATAATTTAAAGACAAACTTAAAAATACCAAAGCAACAGATTCAAATATACAAGCACTTTTCACAAATGCGACGTGTTATCAGTCTTATTACCAAGCAGTATAAGGTTTCTTTTACCTCAATCTAAAATCCACAGATCTCCCACACTTAACACGTACATTAGAGCACGCATATCATGTCCCCTCGTCCCTTAGGTGGTAGGCATGGAGGTGCGGGCGCACCCGGCGGACGGTGGAGCGTGGAGGGCGAAGCGCCCCACGGAGACTCCGCCTCCGATTCCAGTCGTCGCCCCCGTCCCGCAGCGAGCGGTGAGGCCGCATGTTACCGTTCATATTGTTCAAACCATTTATGATTCTGACTAGTGGTGGAGTTCTTGGAACAGTTAAATTGATCTTGTAGCTTTCTGCTTTAAATGTTTTTGATGGTATATGGAAAAAGGGATATTAGGTTTGCGTCTAATACGGTATCCGGCAACTAGTCAAATTCAATACTTTTTTTCGAACTGTCATAACGACAGTTTTCTATGAATTTCGTACGTGATTGTGAATTGTGACGTCACGTTTTTTAGCGTCAAACAGCTACTTATTTCTTGAAAATTTGCTGGATAAATACTAAAATTAAGTTGGTCATAAAATCAATTAATGAAAGTGTAATTATTTACTTAATATTTCATTGTATTGAACAGTCGAAATAATTTATTTTTGATTAGGAAAGTACCCAATTTCTTTTTATAGTCTCAATCTTTATGGATGAATTTCAGTCTAAAGTTGAAGAGTGTTAAATGTATCTCTTTGATAAGGACCTGTTTGGTTTGTCTAAAAGGGCACTTTGTTCTTCTATCATCACTTACTGGTGCAATCCTTAAGATTATCGTCTGTTAAACTAACTTATAAATCCCCTTATTATAATTGTTATGACCAGTTGTAGTCAGTTTAGACACATGAAGAAACTCCACCACTATCCCTTCGCTACCTATATTTATTGCATATTTAGTTTATTTATTATATGTTGTAATGAATATAATATATTATATTATATTATGTATCTTGTTGTTCGTCCCGTAATTAGTGTATGGTAGATAGTCTGTTGCATCACATTCCAGCTTAGCGTTATTGTTTGCTCAATTATTGTTTGCTCAAAATACTTAATTATAATTTTGTGGGTGTCAGTTTTTTCTAGCAGATTTTGCGCTATACGTACTTAGATGAATATCTTATATTTGGACCAACTTTTTATTTAGATGGACCTTATTTTAATTACTTGACGGGTCGAGAAAGGTGGTATTAGCTCCAAGTAAAATATAAAGTAATTGGTTTTAATTAGTTTAGTACACATAGTTCAATAACAAAACCGATGCCCATAAATTGTTTAGATAGAATAAAACTGCTTGCATTTGCTTTTTATATTTTGTTACATTTTTCTATTTTTTAAATAAATCTTTTACTTTATACGAAAAGCAGTTTTATTTTAACGTTCTTTTCACTAATATTTTGATTATATTGGTAAGTATCTATTCGTTACTCATTATTATATAGGAATATTTCTTATAATTTCGATGTATTTTAATTATTTTTATGATATTTCTATGACTCACCAATGGTCATCGCCTTTACATCACACGTTGCTACATTTTTTTTAAATCATTACACCACTTAGTACCTACACTTTAAATGAAACTGAAGAACCACCTTTGAACTAGCAATTTTGACATTTTAAACTTTATAATTTTTTAACTAAAGTCGAAAGTCTACTAGCTATATTTTCACACATACTCCACCTTACAAAACTCGCATAGCAACACAGCATGACGTCTGTTCGCAGCACGAGGCTGAGCAGGTGCAGTCGATATACTTGGAGACGGAGATACCGCAGCAGTCGCGCGTACTCGTCACCGACTTCGCGGAGAAGACGACTGACAGGCCTGCTCCTACTAAACATTCACCGGTAAATCTTTACTTCACTACATAGTATGAAACAAAGTCGCTATCCTCTGTCTGTCTGTCTCTATGTATGCTTAGATCTTTAAAACTACGCATCGGATTTTGATGCGGTTTTTTTAATAGATAGAGTGATTCTTAAGGAAGGTTTATATGTATAAGACATGCATATTGCACCCGTGCGAAGCCAGCGCGGGTCGCTAGTATTATATATAGCTGAACAGTTGGTTTGTTTGAACGCGCTAATCTCAGGAACTACTGGTCCGATTGGAACAACTGTTTTTGTGTTGGATAGTCCATTTATCGAGGAAGGCTACAGGCTATAAAACATCACGCTACGAACAATACATCAGGGTGCTTACTCATGAAACCAATCTCGATGTCAATGCAATTGCAATCCAATGAAAACTTAATAGTTATTCAATGTCAAAACTATACAATACAACCCCTATTGTAGCTGTTAAAACTGCATTCAGAGTACGGAATATAAAGCTAAACTCAATACCAGTTAGTTCATTAAATACCCACGCAATACAGCTGCAATGGGCACTAGTGTTGAAACTGAAGAGTACGATATTACACAATATCAATGTTGATCGATTGGAATTGGATTCAAGAGTTAGTAACAACTGAGCGGGTGAAACCGCGAAGGTGTAACTAGTATTAAATACTTCACAACAACATACGACAGTCCTCTTCTGACGACTATTTTACGTTCACGTGATCGACAAGTTTATGACGTTCTGATTGGCTTGCTCTAATTAGCCAGCCAATCAGAGGGCTAAACACGACAACGTTGCGATCGCGTTAATTTAATCAACTCTCACTAGACCCACCTTTATTTAAGAGGGGTTTGGTATACCTACCTACTCTTCACGACTTGCAGGCGGGTTGGAGATACAGTTTAAAATATACTTATAGGTTTGAGAAAGCGCTACTGCACGATCTTTGATAAGTGTGCTGAGATGATGTTTCTAATTCAGCTCTTATGACAACCAATATAGTCGCGGAGAACCTAACGGGTAACCGGGGCTCCGGCTGGACGTGCGGGAGAAGGAACGGGGGGTTTTTAGTCAGTAAGAGTCTGACACTCCCTCCCTCCCCAGCCGGGAGCAGTAATTCGATGATTTTCCCCCCTTAAAAAAAAAAATGTTAACCAATATATGATTTATTTTAGTATGTTTCACAAAAGTTCTGCATATAATACGGGACTATTATAATCCACAGATGGTGGTGAGTGGTAAGATGACGCTCTCCCTGATTCAAGACGCGCCGCGGGACACACCTGAGAGGGACCAAGGTACAATTATAATACAACTACATACTGACAACACGGTTAGTGCGGTGGCTGGGCGACCGCACGGAGCAACTGTTTGTGTGATCCACAAATTGTTGTTCTGGGTCTGGGTGTCATTGTGTATGTGAACTTGTATGTTTGTAAACGCACCCACGACACCGGAGCAAATCCAAGGGCAACGTTATAAAAAATATGGTGGACATTCCACCTATTCGCTCGAAGCGTTTCGCGTCAAGCTTCCTTGTGCAACAGCTAAGGAATGGACCTCCTTGCCAGAATCTGTGTTTTCCGACAAATATATATCTTGGGTGTCTTCAAGTCCCGAGTGAATCAGATGAGATGGTGGCCAAACGCCGACTAAGATTCAATTATCTCTAAAATATTCAATTATTTTTTATACTTGGTAGAATCTTATACTATTATATAAAGCGGAAGAGTTTGTTCTTTTGTTTGTTTGTTTGAACGCGTTAATCTCCGTAACTACAAGTCTGATTTGAATAATTCTTTTGTGTTGGATAGCGCATTTATCGAGGATGGTTATAGGCTATAAAACATCACGCTACGACCAATAGGAGCTGAGCAGAGCGTGTGAAACCGCGCGGAAGTAGCTAGTATAATATAAAAATAGAAGAATTTATAGAAGTATAAAAAAAGAATTCAATCTTTAGAGATTCCAAACATCTCTTTTATAACAGTTCTAGTGTAGTATAGAGTATTAATAATTTACCTAATTTAATTTCAGAGTCGACAGTCGACGACTTCACAACGGCTAGTGCCGTCACGCAGAACGCTGAGGTAATGTAGCAGTTTTATAATTTACACTTTTTACCGTTGTGCGTTTTTACGGTTCACTTTTGCATTTATATGGGTCAGAGTTGTTATTATTTATTCATTATTTACCTAGTATTAACTAGAAAATCAAAATGTCGTGGTGGCCCGCAGGTTTAAGACGCCCACTTCTCATGCATGAGGGTGCGGGTTCGAAACCTACCAACAGCAAATACCAATGTGACATTTTCCGAGTTATATGTACTTTCTAAGATTATTTAGACACCACTGGCAAACGGTGAAGGAAAAACATCGCGAGGAAACCTGGACTTATAATTTCTAATTATAAGTTTGAAATCGCCAACCCGCATTGAGCAAGCGTGGTGATTAATGCTCAAACCTTCTCCGTGTGAGAAGAGGCTTTGCTCAGCAGTGGGCATTTATAGGCTGTTGATGATGAACTAGAAAATCTCAGTAGCAGCACGGAGTCTGGAATTGTGCCCGGTATATGGCAATAGGCTCACCCCCTATTACATGGGACTCATAACATAAGCAGTGAAAAGTGGGTGTTACACTGTACAGTGGCATTAGGTGCCGTAATGTGCACCTCTGTCTACCACTTCGCGGATAAGAGGCGTGATGTTATGTTATGTATTACCTAGAAATCGAAGAATTAAAAAACACCAATCGTAACTTATCTTTTTTATAAAATTACAGAAAGAAGACGAATCAGAAGAAGAGATCGAGGAAGAGATTGAAATAGAAGAGATAGAAGAAGAAGTTGAAGAGGAAGAGGAGGAAGAAGAAGAACAAGAAAAAGCGGGAGAAGTAGACCACAAGGACAAGAAGACAGAGTGAAGTACTGATAGATATACATTGATTTAATATAACTACTCGTACTTAAAGTTATGTTTTGTGATCTTGTATAAACCATTTTTAACCTTACGCTAGTGAAATTAAGGTTTATTATTGATTATATGTACATGGAAAAGAGCTTGTAAGTTGATATTCTGGGTTTAAAAGATAACTAAAGCAATGGAATTGCGTTAAATGTGTCTGATATAGGTCACAAAATATAACATGTTAAAAAAGTATAACTATTTTGTTTATGGTATGCAATTAATTATCTGTGTACTTATTGTCTATGCTTCTCTTCCTAGTCTGTTGTTGAGGATGTACATTTTGTTCTGTTGATCTGTTACCGCATTGTTTTATGCTTTCTATGTTTTATTACTGTTATTCTGTATAATAGTTTTTAACAGTGTGATTAGAATTACCTACTGAGGATTAGATCCGAGTTTATTCTAAAATCCTATAGTCTATAAACTATAAATGATCGATGAATAGCTTAGAATGTATTTCTATTATGATTTTTCAATAAGTTGTAATAGTACTTATATTAAATCTGATTTGTCATTGCATAGTTAAATTGACAGTAATTTAATTTACATACTTTTTTCCTATAATTATGTTATCAGTAGAAAACAAAACCCTCTGCTAGGGTTTACACTATAAGAAAATTATTGGTGTTACCAGCTTAAAAAAACCTCAAATATCAAGCAACTATTTTAGAGGAGTCTAATCACGCTAATGTTATCATCGTTTATGATTATAAATAATACGAATTTATAAATTAATATAATTGAGTGTTCAATGATTTGTGCCAAATATTCCTTCAAGCTTCTTCCAATTTACTTGACGTCTCAATACGTTCGTTATATCCTTCCAAGTCTGTATATTAGCCAAATTTTAATTCAAATCTTTAGATTAAATATAAATACGTATTAAATATACTACTCTTTATAAATTACACAACCATGCAAAAAAACTGCATCAAGTCGTAACTAAATTCTAGCCAAATTTCTTTATTAGAGTATTGATTGTAGACAAAACGATGACATTAATTTTTAAGTTTTTATTTTTTGAAATTAATTGATGTCCTATTGGCTCAATGATTGTTTAGTGTGATAATGAAATTTTAATATCGAAGCTCAATCTACTGTGCAGTTTTTTTGCCAGTTAGTTTACTAGTGAAGCCCCAATTAATCTCGATGTCTCCTAGTATTGGGTGATTAGTATAATAGAATAAATAAATAAATAAAATATGTATTAAATAATAAAAATTTTGCACCAGTGTGAACATTATGCTAGATATAATTATGCATTTAAGATACATTGTGACAGTTTTCTTTTTATTTTTTTATTGAAACTTTTTTTTGTTTATTTGAAATGAGAATAGAATTTGTGGACAATAGTAAGAGTTTACGAGATAGTACAGGCATTGAAATTAACAATTTAAATACTTGAACAAAGGAGGTTTAATATATTTCACATAGGTGGCAAGTAAAAATGCACTTTATCAAGGACATTGAAAAAAAATGGACAACATCACTTAGAAATGATTGAAGCACTAAAATTTCAAATGGTGTTTTATGTGTGTGCATGTTTAATGGGTTACTATGTTACCAGACTTAGTCCTGTCCTTCATGTCGCGGAGAACCTAACGGGTAACCGGGCTCAACGTGCAGGAGAAGGAACGGGGTGGTTTTTAGTCAGTAAGAGTCTGTTACTCCCGCCTCATCCAGGCGGGAGCAGTCATTCGATGATATTTCCCCCTTAAAAAAAAAGGCCTGTCCTTCATGTAAATGAGTTTATGTTCTGCGTATAAGTCTACAGTAGCCAGACGCCACTGTTGTTTCAAGATACTGTCTCCATTTTTTTCAATGACCTTGCACTTTATGTGTAATATGTTAGGCCGCCATTACTCATTTCAGTATTACAATCAGTACTATATTTTAACATTTAATGTAGCATTTTGTTATGTTATTGCTTAAACTGTTTTTTAGTTTGTAAGCAAGGATGTAGCTGGGAGGGTAAATTATCTAATAAGTAGTTATTGAATCTGCAGCTGACCTGTATTGAAGCCAACATACATGGTGATATGAAAATAGTATAATGTATTACCATCTAATCAATAAAATGAGAGTCAACGAAATATTAAAACTTCCCCTTTTGGTTACACCCCTGGTTGTAAGATAATAAAAATAACTCAAAAAATGTTTTGGTTTTATTGTGTTTCTTAAATCTCCTTCTTACCTTTAAAAATTACCTACTTCCTTTTACTAACTGTATTACCAGTGTCCCAGAATGAGTTTATAGCCATGTACAAAAAATAAAAGTATATCTTTATAATCTTAAAAATCAAAATAGAATACGAGTATTTGAAAATCACCGCCGCGATTATCGCTCTCGGTTCACGGCATTTTAGTTGAGCACTTGCCTTTTTTGCGCCGCGCACACTTTTACCATTTATTGTTGTAACTATTCTTCTTGTTTTAATTTTTTACAGTGCAAATAAACAATATATGATGTAAACAACAAATACGACAAACAGATCAAACCTATATAAATAATAACTTATTGTGAATGATAGATGCAAAGGTAGAAAAAAGTACTACAGATATGTATGTATACATAACTTCACACCTGTCTCCAATAGGGGTAGGCAGAGACTAACGCCAATTGCTACGATTCCTACATACCTCATTACATCATCTGTCAATCCACCTCTCTAATAACACTATTTTTCATTCAATCACTCTATTTTACTTCACGCATACTTCTCAGTGCTCTCATTTCCACTGCATTAATCCTACTTTCATGCTTCTTCTGCCACTTCAATACATAGTTATATCTCAAGAATACACTTTACAAGTAATAGCTTTATTAGTTTGCCCCTTACCCCTATAAAATAATTACATCAATACACAAAGTAATCAAATAAAAAAGTAACATTTATAACACCTCAATTACCGTGAAACGGGATGAATAGATACAGGAATGGGGTGAATAAATGTTAGAATATTTTCTCAACATTTAATTACCCCTCTTCTGTATCTATTCACCCCGTTTTACTGTACTGAACTGATTTCGATGAAATTGATACAATAGATATTATTTATTTTGTTGCTTGACTTGGCTGGAGGCACTACTGTGCTCCCTGAGTTACCAAAATAACTATTGAATACAGGCAAGCGAGTTTTGTCTTATACTTTTTAAGGGGGGAAAATCATCGAATGACTGCTCCCGCCTATGTGAGGCGGAAGGGAGTGTCAGACTCTTACTGACTAAAAACCACCCCGTTCCTTCTCCGAATCGGCATCGGCCCTATTGGGCCCCATCTGTGGTGGTCTGATGGCTCTTTGAGGCGCGCTCGGAACGCGACGCGCCGTACGCTCGGGTTTATCTTATACTAGGTACTATGTAAAGCCGAAGAGTTTGTTAGTTTGAATGCGCAAATCTCAGGAACTACTGGTCCGATTTAAATGATTCTTTTTCTGATAGACAGTGAATTTATTGACGAAGGCTTTAGGCTATAAAACATCACGCTACTATTAATAGGCGCCGAGCAGAGCGGGTGAAACCGTACGAGAGTACTTAGTTATTTAAGTAATTCAGTACTTACTTAAAATCAAGAAGTAAAAAGAAGAGTATATTCACCAGTTTTATTGTTGTTCTTAAATAATTAAATAACAAATATATTGATTGTATTTACATTCTACTATCTTGAAGCTGACTTGAGATGGTTGGATCTTTAGTTGGAGCCTGAAATTAAATAATAACAGTTATTTTTATTTATATAAGGTTGGGTAATGATTTTAAGATTAATTCATGATTTTTTTTTAAAGAGTAACATTTGGATGTTCTTTTCCCATTCTTCCCCATTTGAATCTACATTTTGGAATGAGCACCTAGTTTCACTGACGGAGTCTGACATATTATTTATTTTGTATTTGTTGACATTTAAAAAATACCAAATTATGGTTTATTTGAAATAAACAGTCGCAAGTACGACTACCCGGGAATCGAACCCGAGACACCTTGCGCCGGGCAAACTATTACTGGGTTATTAAAACAAAATCTCTGGAATTGTGCCCGGTATATGGCAATAGGCTCACCCCCTATTACATGGGACTCATAACATAAATAGTGAGAAGTAGGTGTTACATTGTACAGTGGCACTAAATGCCGCAATGTGCACCTCTGCCTACCCCTTCGGGGATAAAAAGGTGTGATGTTATGTTATGTTATGAAATAAATGCTTTGATTTGAAAAAATAAACATGCATCTAAAAATGTAATAAGCCAGGCAGTTATAATACAAACTATTTTATAACATGAGTAAAGTATTTGAAACAAACTACCTCATTGGTTGAGAACAAACCCAACTACCTAAGTGACTAGCAAGGGGAGTCCTGTTTGATTAGGTTACATAGTGATTTGGTATTTGTGTTTTCAACAATTTGAGCTTTACCAGACTATGAAGCTTAACTTCTATAACTACTTAACTAACAATAAAGATTTGACTGTTGCTATTTATCTTGGCAGTCAGTACTATGTTAAAACCAAAGAAACACAGTTTTAATTCAATTCTATAATAAATATCAATATTAAGTACCTGCAGTAAAGTTCTTAAGTTCATCTATATCTTTGACCATGGTCCAGTCATATTTGACTGATCTTGCTGACTGAGTAGCATGTGGTACAGATGGGAAGAATGACCAGCCTTCTTCAATTGAAGTTTTCTTTACTACAGCCGCGGCACCCAGGATCACGGCGGCAGGCACGGCGATGACACCAGCTCTCATCCATGCAGTGAAAATACTGCCTGAGACTACTCCACCCAAGAAATAGTTCAATTTATCGTTCTTTCCTCTTATGTTCTGAACTGTGTTCGCAGTCACGGCGAATCCAGCAGCCATTCCCACCATTGGACCTAAAAACCAAGCAAACCTGCCTGCCGTAGCCGCAAAACCCTTGGGATGAGAATACATCAGGACATCCATTGATGCCAAAGCCGTGCCAGCCAGTGCTGCGTATTTAGAGATAGCAAATGTCTTCATAAAGATATCCTGCCCCTCGGGCGTGTCGTAGTATTCGTATTTTAGTAGCTGGCTCATCTTTACAACTTTTAATGCTTAACGCAAAGTAGTTACACAACACAGTGTGTAAAGTGTCAAAGTCAAATAAAGAATTAAAGACTAGAGTAGAGTAGAGACTAGGGATGTACCTAATGCGACAGAATTTAAATTGCTAGGGTTTGTTTGTTTTACGAATGATTTTAGTCGGTTTAAGAATTTCAAACGAAAGTATTGTTCATTGTTGTATAAAAGATAAATATAACATAACAACATATCAATATATTTAAATACTTGAAATCATTGTCATTGGTCTGAACTGAACAAGATCTGAATTAAACTTTATTGTTAATTTTGTTCATATTAACCTATATTGAATAAATAATTAGGTATGTTTTGATTTTATCTCAGCTAAAAATAAATTGTATTTTTGTTAGTAAAATGCAATAACAAGCAAATGTTTTGAACGCATCCAATGCGATAACTCTTGCATATCCGACAATCCGTCATTAGTGTCAAAAGTATCAAAAATGGCGGCGGACGGTGACGAAGTGATTAGTGATCAAGAAAAAGTTAGAATCGTTTCAGATTTCATATTACATTCGCCCCCCGGAGAATTTAATGAAGTGTTCAACGATGTAAGGGTCCTATTAAATAATGATACCCTTCTGAAAGAAGGCGCAAGCGGAGCGTTCGCGCAATACAATAAGGATCAACTAACGCCCGTGCGCCTTGAAGGTTCGGAACTCCACACGCTCATCACTGACCACAATGAGCTCGGCGGTGGAAGATTCTTCGACCCCCGTTCTAAACGTTCCTTCAAGTTTGACCACTTACGTAAAGAAGCCTCGGAGTATGAACCCTACGAGCCAGACCGAGTGGCGGAACCCTGGCGGGCGGCCCTTGACGAGGAGCTGACGGCGTACGTGGCCGCGCATTTCAAACACGGCGCGAGCTTAGTGGTAGGACGTACATTGGACGCAGGTGCTATACAACTGGTGGCCTGCATTGAAGATCACCAGTTCCAGCCGAAGAACTACTGGAACGGACGATGGCGTTCTGTGTGGTCATTGACGGTGGGTGCAGGTGCGGCAGAATTACGTGGTATGCTTCGTGTTCAAGTGCATTATTACGAGGATGGGAACGTTCAGTTGGTGAGCTCCAAGGAGGTGCGTGCGCCAGTGACGGTGACCGGTGAGGCGGCCACGGCTAAAGAGTTCGTGCGGCTTGTCTGTGACGCGGAGAACGCGTATCAGACTGCCATCTCAGATAACTACAAGACCATGAGTGATACCACGTTCAAGGCGTTGCGGCGACAGCTGCCGGTGATGCGCACCAAGGTGGACTGGGCGCGGCTCGTCTCTTACACGATCGGTAAGGAGCTCAAGAGCCAATGATGTCCCGCCGCTGCGCTCTGAGCCGCAGCGGCCGCTCCACGCCTGTACATATTCGCGTAAGAGTAAATCTTGTTCAAATGTTTACGGGCGCCGGGGTGACGTCGCGGCGGGCCCCGGCGCGTATTTATCTATGAATATATAGAGAAATCGCTATCTTAACTGTTAAATTTTATTGCATTTTGTTACACTCAGTACGGAATGATTATTGAATAGCCAAGTGTCTGAATGCGGCTTACTTTGGGACAGTACTCTCATCTGTCATGAGAGGTTGATTCAACGAGTTTGTGTCCATTTTGTTGGTAGCAAGAGATTATATGGAGTAACATTGTACTTAGGTGTGGGCAAAGTTTACACCCAACTAGATCTGTAGAACTGGACTGGACGTCAAACTTGATCCACTAATTTATTTGCTCCTCGGGGATGATTAGTTGTTGTGTAAGCAATATGATGACTGTTCAATCATTGTTTTAGCTTTTTGTGATGATTTAAAAGACGCATGTCAATTACAATAAGATTAAAATATTAAATTACCATAATGCCTAGTTATGGATGTTAATACTAAACTCATGCATGTATTTTGAAACTTGTAATCCATCCACGTCTGTATTTGTTGTATAAACAGTATTATTTCTTTGATATTGCTTGCATAACAGAGTATTATATGACTAAATTGTTCAGGAAAGGTACATAGAAGGTCTCCAATGGTGCATTTAATTGTAGTTAATTTAACAAATTGTCCACGTAGCTTTAAAGCAGCGTCTATGAGCATAGAGCACAAGATATTCAATATTTTTCAATTTACAATAAATAAAATTGGAGTGTTGCTCAAATGGTAACTAATGCAGTGAAGATAAAAAGAAGATTAGAGAATTATTGTCCATATTATGGCTTTGAGAGTGCGAATGATGCGTAACTTTTTTTTTATATAATGTGTAATAATTGTAACGCCAATAAGGATTATTTTGTAATTATTATAATTATTATTTTAATAAAGAACGTACATTAAAATCCAAGATAATGTATGATTGGATTCATTTCAATAAAAATATATATTAAAATGTTGCTAACATCTGTTTCCTTTTTATTTACGTCGCCATCTTGAAATGTGTAAAGTACCGTTAGGTAAACAGGTAAAGATGTATATTTGGTGATATCACAAGATATCCGCGAGTGATAAACTCGTGACTCACTGTTTTATTGGGATCGCCGGTGACGGTGTGGCGGCCCGCCAATATTGCATGCATTCACTAATTTTACACACGCTCGCATACGTTCTCTGTTGACCCTGTTTTGATTTGAACGATGTCGTAATTGTACGATGAAGTAGCGGGTATCGCAAGTAACGTTGACACAATGAATGACTATTATTGACTATTATTACCATAGCATAACAATTAGTCATCTAAATAGTGCTGATGTCGTTTTAGAAGTCGTAATTGTAGTAAATAACAGTTACCACAAAGTGATAGCATAATACTAAAATACTCAGTAAATATATGCTTTATTTATGTACGTGATTATTCAATCGCTTTCATATTTTTGGCTAAAGTCCAGTCCAACTGAAAGCTAGTCGAAATAACTCGGTCATAATGCCCCTTCAGACTTCAATTTGCTTGTACCCCGAAACTCTTATCGTTATTTGGTTTTGTCGGGTTGTGAAGAGCAGGAAGCCGCGAAATAACTCTGAATATAGGACGCGGTTTATCTGCGAACTGTTTTGTTTGTCCCGCAGTGTTGTTTTTAACTAAATTGTAAAAGGGTCTAAATCAGTTGCCAGTTATTAAAGTTCATGACTCTAGTTTACACCTACACTTACTATAGTCTTTGCTCTAGTACCTAGGTAGGTACCTACTATAACTATTAACAAGTTTTATCAAGACTTTATCTGACAGTTTAAACGCTTTGCTCGCACTACCAGTGGATTCGCTCACATATTTTCTCGCCTCATCGACTAAAATTATCGCGTCAGCTGTTCTTGGAACTTTAACTAGACTAGACAACTTCAAATTACCTTATTGCAGTCAGAATTCCATCCTAATACCACATTCCCAAGTACTATTTTTTAATTCTCTAAAAACTTAGTTGCACGCACTTAAAAGATTTTGTATTTTAATACGTAAACAACAAATTGCCATGTCGTTTAACGGTACAGCGAACGTATAATCGAAACAAATAGCTTGGTTCGCACACGCACCGTGCTTTTATTATGATGGGAATCAAATCTGGAATGCAGAGATGATGGGGAATTGTGCTCGTTAATTTTCGCCTCGCCTCACCTTGCCTGGCCTTTAATATAAGCACTGAATCCCAACTAGATGCCGGGTAAGACAGGCCTTCCAGCATTCTCAAGGGATGCACGGATGACACGTCTTGTCTGAATACTGACAAGTCATAGCATTTGTATTGATAGCAGAGACCGGCTAAGAGTAGGACGGAAGTCGCAAGAATTGAAGTAACACAAGCTCTATTCTATTGTCTATTAGGATCATGAACTAAATTTGGATGAAACATTCTATATCATATTGTTCGTTCTTTAGAATCTAATGTGAATACATTTTAGTATTAAGCAACTTCCTTGTTAGTTGAGTGGTCGCAAGAGAGACCGATTGTCGAGGAAGGCCTGTAGTTTAAATACTAGGATTTTCAATTTTTGAAATTCTGCATACCTAGTTACTTAGTGCTGACAACTCGCCTCTATTATCTAGATAGGTCTAATAATGTGGGTGGTACGTTGTGTAAACAACATGCACATTTACAAAAAGTGTGATGTTGTGTTTAAAATCGCGTTCTGTAAGATTTTTGTTTCAAAAGCGGCATCCATACAATGCTAGCTGTGCAAAAGACCGGTCGCTTTGCTTTGCTTTGCACGGAATCATGTCAGTGTGTCAAAACTCGAGGAAGTTAAAGAACTTGTGTCGTTTGTATGACACAGAATCTAGAAATGGTGAACGATTACAATGTGCACTTTATTATTGTAGGTTATGGCGGTCAATGTCAGGTCAAAATGCACGTGAATTGTACAAAAATCTCGGGTCTAGTGTCTACTGTGGTCGCAATGTCGCATGTTGTAAGTCTGATTACCACGAACTTAGGAAGTTGGTCTTTGTTTGGTACTTCCGAAGTCTATTTATTACATTGCCTTATATAGAATTGTTTTTTTTTAATGTTGGTAAGGGTTTTGTACTGGCTTTCCCTATTTGACCACAATATATGATTTAAAAACTATGAGCCCTCGGTAAAATACTTTAAATTCTCAAGTTTCCATTGCTGGACTATTTGCCTTCTGTACATAAGAGGGTTTTCCGTAATAATTGTCACACATTGAAGGCAGATTAAACCCTAGAGGTCGCAGTTTAAAGGGCTCGGGTTTGTCAGAGGGCGCTACTGGCCGGTCTCTGTCAAAGCGAGTCAAATGTACTACACATTGGTACTACCCTTGGTGCTTGCATCGCCAGTCTGAAGCCACGTCTATTGAAGATGTAGATGATAAATCTGTTCTACTCGGTCTACATGATTTATTTAATGTTTTAGTTAAAATGAAACCTATCTATAGATAGCTTCTACTTAATAGGCAATAAAACGTAAAGTTGCGTAGGTACTTAGTTACTGCAATGCGTTCTTAATTAGTGGTCGGATACAATTTCGAACAAAACGCTACGATATCGTAGTAGGTACGTAACATAATATTATGTCTAACTAAAATGCTTGCTGGGAAAGTCATATCAAATTTCGTGGGACATTGACCTTGTGTGTCTGCCTTTTTGTTGTGCTAACATAATGATATTAGTGGCCTATATGGCTGCTTACTAAATGGCAACGTGTAAATAAAAACTATAAATAAGTGCCTACTAACCTACTTAAGTGAATGATCTTTTGCAGTTGTAGGAATAATTGTAGCCATTACTAGCTTAAAATTTCACAGCAATCTAATATTTTTGTTCTATATCATAAGTAAGTACTTCTATATAAGAATCACACCCTTTGCGACGCCTTCCACGGTAGATTCTGCTTGCGACCATCAGGGTAATCCAGCTTAGCCACTGATCTTTTGATATGACAGTAAATATACAGATGATTTCAACTACAATAGGTATCACTAACTAATTTAAACTATGAGAAGTTAGTTAGTACCTACTTAATACAAATAAACTCATAAATCAAACGAAAACGACCTCTTGCTTCAATAATAGACTTCACAACTTTCAGTTTCCTGATTGATATAAAACTCCACGAGGCGTAAGACTCATCGCTCATAAACTTTTACTGACTACAAGACCATTAACTCAAGGTTATTTTTTAACGTGAAAATAATGGACTAGGTAGCTCGTTGGTCTAGTGACGGCAAGAATGACTATCGAGCAAGGGATCTAGTGTTCGAATCCTTAATCAAAATATCATTGGATTATTCACCTTTAGAAATTATCCACAATACAGGCTCTACTTAAATCATAGGTACTTGTGTAGTGTAATGATTCCCTATATTTTGAGGGCGGACAATCATCGATTGACTGCTCCCGCCTGGGTGAGGCGGGAGGGAGTGTCAGACTCTTACTGACTAAAAACCACCCCGTTCCTTCTCCTGCACGTCGAGCCGGAGCCCGGTGACCCGTTAGGTTCTCCGCGACGTAGTGACTGACTAAAAGTATAATTTATCTAAAGCCAGGGATACATTACGGGACAAATGTCTTGTGACAGTGTCGCCAGCGACGTTGGGTGGAGTAGCGCAACGTTGCCGGACTTTGGTCGACATGTCTGGCAACATTATTGTCACTGCGGACATACGTTGCGCGTTGTCGCCATATTTGTCAGGCGACATGGCCGGCTTCGCTTGACATGCCACCGATACATGTCGTGACACATTGAGGAATATCAATAATTTTGTTTAAAAGTACTGTATTTACAAAACGTCTATCATGACGAAAAACACGTAAGAATCTCCACTATAACATAAGTGTGCCCAGCTTAAACTGAGTTGGTGAGCCCTTTCGTCGCGGACATGC